GAGTATTAATTCTTGAGTTTTAGTTCTTAATTTATTTTAGATGATAGAGATAGTGTGGTCAACTGATAACTCTCATTAATTACATGATAAAATGCTTAATATTTCATAATTTATTATTTAATTTTACATACATATTTATAAATTACTTGAATCTAGAAAATATAATATCAAAATTTATCTATATGATTATATCGAAATTAAAATTACATGAAATTTATCATGTTAATTTCTATAATTTTTTAGAAATTATTTAAAATATTATCAAAATGCTTATATGTTGATACATTAATTTTTGAAAAAAATCTTAATTTTTTCTGAATTTTAGTAAAATTTCTTGAGCTTATTATGATAAATAATAGTATAATAATAAATTAAAATTTGAGAGTAATTTGATTTTTTAGGTTTTTCCCATCAATGATAGACGTAATGAATACAACGAGAAGTATGGTAGATGATTCAATGAAATTGACTAAATTAATGCAATGAAGATGGAAAAACACTAGGGGGAGGAAGAATGGGGCATCTTCAATCAATTTATCACTCTCCACAACTACTTTCTCTCTCCTCTAGTAGCAACGAATGTCAAATTCACCAAAATCATCCATCCAATACAAGCGATGTATTTCATCTCAATTCTCCTTGATTCAGCCACTACAAAAGCTGAACTTTACCCACTAACTCATCTCATTCTTCACTTGATACAAACAACAAAGTATTTCTTCTGAGGGTCCTTCTCCAGACGCTAGGGCATGCTTGGAGTCAAACCACCACTATCAATTGGTTCTACTGACAGCTATTAGGATGGTCATTCATCAACTAAATATCATGTAGGAATCCATTCGGTGCACTACGCTTGCACAAATCAATCAAATACGAGTAAAAATTTGATTGTCAACCATTCCACCCATTCTTTTGTAAAACTTGAATCTTTGCATGATTTTACTTTCTTTTTAGTTTATAAAAGTTATATTTAGTTCTATGTTGTTTTAAGAATCATTTCTCTTTTGAAATCAAAGTTTGTTTGAAGTATTTTGCCTTTGATTTTGAGAAATATGAGTCAACATATTTTTAATGACTCAAATTTGGGGGTGTTCTTCACAAGCTGACTTTGGCTGATGTCATAATCCCTAATTTCTGATTTTAAAATTATTTTTATTTTTGTAATTAAAAATTCTAAAAAATTAATCTATCAATTGGAAATTATAAATAGAACTAATTAATTTTTTATGTTCCTTGTGTTCGACCAGAAAAACCTCTAAAAAAATTTAATTATTCTAAATTGACTTATTTTTTAGTATTTATAAAACTATAAATTTATTGAATTTTCTTTACAATGGCATAAAAGATTCAATCAAATTTTGATATTTAGTTCTTAATTATTATAGACGACAGAGACAATGATGTTGACCTTTCTTCTTGATAGTTCTTTTCAACGAGAGGTACAATACTTTTTGATGATACTCTAATAATTTAAGCTTACCACACTTGTCTCCAATTATGTAAAACATACCAACATTAGGCAATATTTATTTTTCATATTTTCATAAATTATTTATATTTTAAGGTTTAATTTATGTCCATCTTTATATATTTTATGGTATAAATTTCTAGAATTGATTTAAAACTTGATGAATGATCCTTGTTTCTCTTCTAAATCTTCTGAAACTCATCTAAGATCAATTTAAAATCATGTTGAACTTATTTTCTTTAAATTATTATAATTAAATCTTAAAGAATTTATGTTCTCAAATTTTTATAAATAACAATTATTCATCTGATTTCAAACACGAGATTAGTGGGATTAAGATTGATTAATGAGAATTTAAGTTTAAAAATGAGGTAAAAATATCCACGCCTAATCTCATGTCATGTATGTATCTCATGTCATGTGTGATTTCTTGAACATATTCATCTAAGAAATATGGTCAAAACTGAATTATGAGTGAATTCAAAATCAACATAAAATAGGTTTACCATTCTCTCTCTCTCTCTCTCTCTCTCTCTCTCTCTCTCTCTCTCTCTCTCTCTATTATTCCTTTAAATTTTCTCTCTCCTTCTTGCCTTCTTATGATATCCCTCTCTCTTTCACTTGAGATATCTTGAAATCCATCTCTCTTGAGTTCCCTCTCTCTATCTCTTTCTCCTTCTCTAAAAATCATCCTTCTCTCCATACATAATCTTCTTTTTTCTTCCGTCTCACCTCCACCATCTCCTATCTATTCTCTTTCATCTCTTTCATATAAATTTATATATATCATTAATATCTTTAATACTTGATATCTTATTCCTTTCCATTAAATATTGATGAAAACATAAAAATCACTATTATATAAACTAAGTTAATTTTTCATGATATATTAATATTTATGTTTAACCTAAGACTTACACCTACATAAAAATCTCTTCATTAGATCTTTTTTATTTAAATAATAATAATGAATAATTTCTTGTTGTCCTTTCATTTTCTCATCCTTTAAAATTAAAATGTTATTATATCTAGGAAAAAAATATTTTACTCATATATTCTTCAATAGTACAGTAGCAATGAAATTATGTCATTTTAATAGTAATTAAAGAGTATTAAATTGGTAACTTTAGTTCTAATGTTGCAATGAAACAATTGAATCTCAAATAATTCATGTTCCCAAATTTCTATAAATCAAAATTGTTATTATTGTGTGCAGTTTAAGAGTGGTATGAGATTCTTTTACATGTGAGTGTCATAATGTAAGTTCTATATAATAAGATATTGTGATTTGTATATTATGGTATTATATAGCATAATTCGCATGCCACTCTTGAACTATGGTATCACATGACATAATTCACATGCCACTCTTGAACTACAATATCACACGACATAATTTGCATGTCACTCTTGAACTATGGTATCACACAACATAATTTACATGCCACTTTTGTACTATGGTATTACACACCATATTATGGTTGATATTCTATGGCTCATATACTTTAAATATTATATTTGATATATTGAGTTATTGATCTATAGCTCTTCAAGAAATGAAATCAACCCTCTCAATATATAAACTATTCTTTAAGAGAACCAACAATTTTATCTTATTAAAGCTTCAAGAATAGCAATAATAATAAGTACTACAGATAATAATCATGTAGTATGTGGCTTATGTCATATCCCAAGATTTATCTTTAGAGTGAGCAATATCACATACATTTAGATGTAGATTACATGCCCAAGATGAAATTATAGAAACCAGAGTTCTCAACACAGTCATTATGGGATAGACAATCTAATAAGAAATATCTACTTTGGATGAAGGATTGGTAGTCACTTGAGCATGATAAGTGGTGGTTATCTTTACCACTAAATGTCGTCTTTTTGTCCTCTTAAACTTCTCTAATTTCTCCTATGAGTATATTGTGGATTCTTGTGTCCACAATGACTGCATATTTACATTTTGCCATGTTTGTATATCCTTTTTATACATTAAATAAAATTCTCAATAATGAAGAAAACTCTCCAACACTAATAGTAGTTTATACATTACATTATATTTATTCAGTACCTTGTTAAAAGGAACAAATAGGAAAGTAATCAATCCATGGTCAAATTTTGGCATTGCAATGCTTCAAATTAATGAAAAATAACAAAAAAATAATAAAAGCTTAATTATGTTTTCATGATTTATGTACATCCTTTAGTGCCTATATATTGCATAAATGATGGTAATACAAACCATTCAATTACTATTTGAGAGCATCCTATTGACTGAATTATCTTAATCTCCTAACTTAATTAAAAATAACAAAAACATTGTAAATCTTACTTTTGTATTCATATTTTAAGTACATTCTTTACTTGCCTATATCATGACAGGAAGAGTATAGTAATTCAAGCCATCCAACTACTATTTGAGAGCATATGGTTAATAATTAGCCTAATCTCCTACCCCAAGTCATAACCATCAATAGTCAATTGATCAACTCATCTTATGCCAAGAATAGTAGGTAGATATCTCAATCAATATGGAGTAATCATGCAACATTATTAATAGAGATTTGAAAGCTATAACATTGTTTGCTATCTCAACTTCTTTTAGTGACATAATGTAAAGACAGCCGTGGTATGCCCCTTGGAGAGCATGGACTCCTTTTACTGATGTCATGGAGAAACCCTTGGGGAGAGAGAGATGTGGTGACCCCCTCTATTAGTTAACCTGGTGGCAAAGGTTATAAATGAATACTAACCTAGATTCAAGGTGTGTGAGGAGAAATATGAGATAAAAAAGGAACAACTGAGGAAAAGTCAACCATGAGCGAGTAGTCATGGTTAGAAATTGTCTCATTACTCACCTAAAAAAATGGTCAGCTAAGTTACTCTTTAAGGTGTGCATGCTTAACGAATGCTTTGACCACAGATGACCATATACTATTTAACCACATGACCCTGAAATTATAATGAGATATTCTTGAAATCTTATTGCTTTTTACTTCAATAGGATTTTATCAACTCACTGAATCTGATATTTCGGTCCCAAAAGTATTAGAGAAACAAGAATCCATCCCCCCTTTGGAATAAGCTGCTGAGATATTCCACGTCTATTAGGAAATCGACTAGACTTTGTTCATGGATACGATGATGGTTAATGGAGTTTGGCAGGTGCAGGTCAGAAGGAAGCTAGAGGCATTAGTTTTAGATTTTCCATCCATGTCAGCGTGGAAGATGGCATCGACTGAAGAAGACCCGATCTGGGATCTTGACCTTGCTTGTTTCAGCATGAGGCTTTAGATAAGGCAAAGTTGGTCAGTATGAACAGCGAAATCCAGTCATACTTTCGAGGAACTCGGATGAAAGACTTTCTGCATTAGAAATAATCCTTGTTGGTTACACGTTAGGTGAGCCCACCGTTTACGCTTGCCGTACAGATATTTCTCTCATCGGACCCATTCTCTTGGTAAGATCCGAGTTGATCCAACCCTTAATTTGGGTTTCTAGTTATCCAGATCACACATTGAAGATGAGACCGTTTCTGTGATTCAAGTCTTCCCTCTGCCTTCAGGGCCGCGTCACCTGACGATGAGAAAGGACAGGCCCCGCCGGCGCGGCTGCTCCGGCAGGTTCTCCATGCTCCCCCCAAGAGTGCGCACAGCTCTACGACTTGAGGGAGCGACACCACCGTGACCCTTTCTCAGAGCTTGGATGTATTTCCGGCATGGAGAATCCCCCGGAGTGCCTTATCTTGAGGAGGCCGCCTCCCGCCGGCGGGTGACGCGAACGGGCAGGCCTCCGCTGACGGTGGCGGTGAGGCCGGGGGCGAACTTGAGCGGAAGGCGGGAGTGGTGGGTCCTAACCTGAAACTCCCTTACGATGGACACGGCGACGCACATTACCTCCATCACGGCCATCTCCTTGCCGAGGCAGACCCTCGAGCCGCCCTGGAACACGGCGTACTTGAAGGGGCTCTCCGGCACGAAGGTTCCCTTATCCGAGAGCCAGCGGCCGGGCCTGAACTTGAGGCAATCGCTCCCCCAGGCCTCCTCCATCCTTCCCATGGCGTAGGGATGGTAGGTGACCCTGGTGCCCTTCCCCACGAAGGTCCCGTCTGGGAGGAGGTCGTCCTCGACGGCGAACTTGGAGTCGAACTGCACTGGCGGGTAGAGCCTCATGGACTCGTAGATGGAGGCGTGGGTGTAATGCATCTCCCGGAGCTGGTCCCAAGAGGGGATGGCGCCGGCGCCGGCGCCCATGACGCGGGCAGCCTCCTCCAGGATGGCCTCCTCCACCTCCGGGTGGTCGGAGAGGAGGTAGAAGAAGGAGGTGAGGGCGGAGGCCACCGTATCCCGGCCGGCCAGCAGGAAGCTGACGACGATGTCGCGCAGGTACTTGTCGTCGTGGATGGAGCCCATGAATCTGGAGAGCAGGTCCTGGCCGGTGGCGGAAGAGGCGAGGGAGGAGGGGGAAGAAGAAGATGCAGAGGCAGAGGCAGAGGCAGAGGCAGAAGAACCCAGCTTAAGATTACTTCTCCGCCGGATGACCTCTTCGGCGAGGACGTTGATCAGCCGGATGGATTTCCTCAGCTCCCTCTCGGACCCGACGTTCAGCAGCCGCTTGACCTTCCACACGAGGGGCGAAGTGGCGGCGGCGCGGCTGGCGGAGAGCCTGGTGGCGGTGTCGAAGGCGGCGGCGAACTCGGAGATGGGGAGAGAGAGCTCGAGGCATCCCGGGTCCACCCCGAAGGAGATCCGGCAGATGCTGTCAAAGGAGAAGCGGCGGAAAACGTCCTGCATGTCGACGGTGGAGACGGAGGCCAGCAGCGGCAGCAGCCGGTCGCGGACCTCGCTGGAGACGATCTGCAGGGCGAAGGTGCGGACACAGACGCTCCCCAATTCGAGGCTCGCCATCTTCCTCTGGAACCTCCAGTCCTCGCCGTCCACGTTGAAGATGCCCTTCCCCAGCAGATCCCCAAGGATGGAGGAGAAGGCCCTCCCCTTGGGATAGTTGTCGAATCGGGTCTTCAGCATATGCTCCACATTCGCCGGATTCGCCGTGATCACGTTCCCCAGAACGTGAACGTGGATGGTTCCCGTCGGCGATCGCCGGAGAAGCTCCGTGTACCAGTCGCAGAGGTTGGGGAACTCCGCCGCCCACCCGCCGGTGGCGTAAGTGCGGCACACGTCGCAGTCACACCACGGCCGCGACCGCAGCAGCTTCAGCAGCAGGGAGAGGCCCACGAAAGAGGCCGAGAACGAGAAGAAGAAGACGGCCACGAATACCTGCAACCTCACCGCCACCGCCGTCGCTTCCTCCATCGCCATCGCTCTCGCCGCTGGTGCTTGAAGATTGGAGCTAGGATTGGGAAGGGAGAAGGGGCGGGTGGTTCCTATTTATATTGGATTCCCCCCTCTTTCGATCAGTAATTGCATATCAATCCTTCGGCTCACTGACAAAAACAATTACCGGTGGCCCCTATTTAGTTCATTACTCCATTATCTAGCTTGAAGCGTTGTCGATGTGCCATGCGTATTGACTCTCTCTTCAAACGAACGGGCCTATTCAATGGAGCATTTTTGCATATATGTCCAAAGAAGGTGGATGCAGTCCCCAAATATCCCGCATGCTAGGGGATTTCCTTCAGCGGTTCCACGTGATCTAAAAAACAAGCCTTCACGTGCTGATTCCTCTTCACGGATTTTTTGTGCAAAAGTCCCGATCTTTAACATTCCGCCTTGGATCTTATCTATCTACGAGGGGAAATATATATATTATTCAGGTTTTACACGTTTTCCGCCACGTGTGTTGGGTGGAGCACAGACTCGCCAGGTCCGCACTTCCAAAGGCGGTGAAGGAGCCTCTGGAAGGGTGAACGAGTCAACTCTCCGGCTTTGACTCGCTTATCGAGAAACTTTGAGCCGCGTGGACCACGTCCAAGCGGGCCACTTCTCGAAAGGCGCGCTCACCACTTGGGGGCGGCGGCGCCGGTCTCATGTCGGCCGGCCGACACCGCTGGATGGACCTCGAGACATGAACTAGTCAAGAGAGGGTGATCGTCTCCGACAAGGTCTGACAGCGTCGTATCCACCTGAGCATTTCTACTGTTAGGGTTTTCTGATACTTGAACACCGAAAAATTGTGGTATTTATTAGCGAAAAATGGCTACGTACTTAGATTCGATCCGCGTTGCCCAGACGGATCTCTAGACCCTTATTAGTGACTCTCATTTAATCTAGATTCAGATTATATAAAATGACTAGCGTACCCATCTCTCCCTCTCTCTCTCTCTCTCTGTCTCTGTGTGTGTGTCTCTCTCTCTACGATTATCTGTCCCTTGGGCAGACCCCTTCTCTCTCCTGCAATCCTCTTCTCTGTCTAATCCGGAGCACCGGCTCTTCCTCCCACGCGAGGTTTATTTCATTCATATGTAAAGTTAAATGGATGAAATAGATGGGTAAGGAATGTTCTTCGTTCATGCATGGAAGGACCTCAAGTTTGCTCTATTTATTGAAACATTTGTCAATAAATAGGCTTATTTTAAGGGAATCAACAAATAAATCTCTCTCTCTCTCTCTCTCTCTCTCTCTCTCTCTCTCTCTCTCTCTCGCTCTCTCTCTACTGAATTTCCAGTTCTGAGTTTCTACAGACAGGTCCACACTCCATAGAAAGAGAAGGAGGAAAGGATGAGGGAGTGAAAGTCCATGCATGGCACGCAACGTCGGGCACCGTTTCATCTACGACATCATCCTCTCCGCTGTGTGTGTATGTGTGTAAGAGAGAGAGAGAGAGAGATAATGACTCGTGCACCTGCCATGCATGAATTCCATAATTGCTCACCGTTTGTACTGTATTTGTGCGTATGTGTGTGTGAGAGAGAGAGAGGGACAGACAGACAGACAGAGATACCTTCAAAGTCTTCCCCGAGCATCTCCGGAGAAGGCAGGGGCCACCATAAGACAACGCCATTCTTGTCCCTTCTGATATCCTGATCTATCAACATTTCTTTTCTAGAAAAGTAACGACAGTATTCCTCTCCTAAATAGTTTCAGACACACGATGAGAGAGAAAGAGTGATACAGACAGAGACACAGAGAGAGGGAGGAAGACAAAAGAGAGAGAAAAACAAGCGAAACGACAGCATTGATCAAACGGCGCCGTCTCCTTTTCCGCATCCTCGACCTGAATCTCCGTAGCGCAAACCCTAAAAACCTCGTGCCGCTGAGGAAGAACCTGCGGTTTCATGACTAAAATAATCTCCTCTCTCAGTCACGTCCACTTTCCTGCCACCGTGGCCGATCATCTGATCTCTTTCAATAATTGCACCCAACCATCTTCTTTTATCTAGATCCACGCAGCGAGAGAGCTTATGATAACCTTGGTGCTTTGGCTTGTCTCTTCTGCGTGCTTCCACCTTTGTGCGCCGCTCTTTCTCTCTCTCTCTCTCTCTCTCTCTCTCTCTCTCTCTCTCTGTACGCATGCAGCTCCAAGCATCGCTGTCCTCAGATTTAAATATGCCCAGACATGATGATATCAGTCTAATACCAATCATTCATGATTCCCCGATCCTTTCTCCTTCACTCACCTGGCTCTCTTCCATGGCCAGGGGGAGAGATGCCTCTTGCGTCATTGTCACATAGAGGGAAAAGGAGAGAGAGATAATGGAGGAAGGGAGGCGTGAAGGGTTGACGCAGGGGGGGGGCGAGTTGCCGTCGGAAACACAAGGGATGCTTCGCCTACAAATCTTGAATAGATCCGATGGCGACGGCTGAGAAAACCTCCACCTCTCCCACAGAACCATCCCAACCTTAAATCAAAACGCTACAAAAATAAAACAATCACTCGACGCGTAATCCACTTACCCCCCCTCCCCCCCCCCCCGCCCCCCCTCTTCCGCCTCCCAATCCAAGCACCTCCTCACGGGTATCTCCTTCCAGTGCCCCCATCAAATAACCAGAAGCAGCAGCAGCCGCAGCCGCAGAAGAAGAAGAATAAGGAGAAGAAAATGATGATGATGGTGATGGTGATGGTGATGGTGATGGTGATGGTGAAGAAGAAGAAGAAGAAGATGGGGGATCTCGTCTTCCAACGACAGCCGGAGCAGCTGGACCAGTGCCCACCATGTGCCGGCCGTCCCTTCCCTATCCGTCAAGCGGGAGTTTTTCTTTCTACCTTAAAAGAAGAAGGAGATAACGAGGGGAAAACTCCTCGTAAGTAAGTCGCGTGGTGCCCTCACTGCATTATGATGTTTGTCTGGGACAAAGTCCACATTGGTGGGCTAACTTAGGTAAATAACAAATATATGCAAGTTGACATATCACCCAAGTCAGCTTTCGGTCTTCTCTACACTTTTTCGGGACCAAGTGATGCTGGGTCTCACAACAAAAGCCAGTCTTCTGCTATCCTCTATATATGAAAAATATTATTTAATGATATTATACCCATTATGATGGCATCAAATCCTGATATTTACTAAGTATTTACCTTCCTAATGGTCATTAAAATGTCACAAATAAAATTGGGTTTCTTCCATGGCAAGAGGAATATAATCTCCTTTTTTCAAATTTTAAAATTAATTTTAAGGGGGTACATTCATTTCTCAGATTCCAGAGAGATGAACCAATCACCATGGGCGAATGAATATTGAGCAATAGTTTTCTATGTGAGGATGAATCCAATGATTGGACCTGACCCAGTTGCAGGTCTCCCCAATACCACACGCCTACGCATTGTTACTTGTGAGGGGTAACATATTTCAATCTTGTTCGCAGAATCATTCAACAAAATCATTGTTACTCACGATACCCCCTTGGGCATCTAATGGTTGTTCATAAGCCCCCATCTCTCTCTCTCTCTCTCTCTCTCTCTCTCTCTCTCTTGCTCGATCGGTAGGCGTATGTATGAAAGGATCTAAGAAATTGTCACGGCAGTCAAGTCAAAGGGCATGTGACCGATCACATGCCCACTCTAAGAAAGTCCAAATTCGGGCATTAAATAATATAATGCGCCAAGAGAATGGATGGGCTGTTGTCATGCGGGTTTTCCGAATTAGCACAGTGCCACATTATTGATCATTATTTAATGATGCAAGACCAGATGAATCCATTCCTCCTCGAGCTGCTCGGTAGGTGGGGTCGGAGGTTCGAGAAAAGAGACCATCGGTTGGTCAATGAAGAAAGATAGATAGAGAGAGAGAGAGAGAGAGAGAGAGAGAGAGAGAGGGAGGGAGAGAGGAGTATCTTAGATTTTATGAAATAAAAAACCCCATATAAATTTAATTTAATAATTATTTAGCCAGCAATATTTTTTGGAGGAAAAAAAAAGAGAGACGAGGCAGGCAGAGTCATCCGAGGCTGGTTTTTAAGTGTGAAACAATTTTCTCATTGGGAATATCCGGTCAACGTGGACAAAAATTAGGGTCACTTCTATCAGTGAGTCAGACTCAAATTTTCAAACCTCTAGTCACTTTCCTCCATGCCTAGTTGCATATATTCGGGAGATAAATAGATAAAGGAGAGAAAAAAGAGGGGGAATGGATAGAACCATCCGTTGATATTGAGTTCAGTTCATAGATTCAATCAAGAGTGGCCAATCAGCACTCGGTTACTTTTTCCATAGAGAGGGGAGAGACAGAGAGAGAGAGAGAGAGAGAGAGAGATAGAGATAAATAGCGAGAGAGAGATAGAGAGATAGAAAGAGAAAGAGAGGAGAGAGAGAGAGAGATTTCAGAATGGAAGGGGGTAAGTACTATGTTTCCTTCTTCTTTTAAACTTGATTTTTAAGCCCAAAGTTTAGGCAAAAGAGTGAGTAGGGGCTGGACCACAAGCTTAGAGAGCTCATTAACTCCTCCTGGGATGCTAGGATCACCTTCTGCGGAAAACCTAAGTGGGCTTCCTCCACACTCGGCTTAAGCATTTCAATGAATTAGGACCCCACAACCTTGGTTTCAGAGCCTTGGAAGGTACAAGATCCAGCAACATAGGCAAACTCCCCATGTGCACTTCATAACCAGTGTGGACTATCCCAAAATGCTACCCAATCACATGAGATATGGCCACAATGTCACACACTGGTCCCCTCTACCCTAAACTTTTCTAGTCAAAAAATTAGTCCAGCATGATATTAGGGTTCATAATTGTTCGCCTAATGACAGCTATCTCATGTGATAGATAGCTGAAGTCATCTCATACCTAAAAGGGCATGAACGAAGAGAACTAGGGTTTGATGGGAGATGGTAAGTTTCCTGAAGTGTTCATCATTAGCTCTTCAGACTTATTTAAGCATGTAAAGAAATTTCAAACTGAAGTGGATGATTTTGGGTCATGTTTCTATATATGTTGAGGTAATATATCTGAGCAAAGTTGTTTTATTATAACTAACCTGCTGAAGCAATCACGCAGCAAGCGTCCCCTGATTGGTCATAGAGAGTTCACATCAATAAGTTGGCGGAGAATCCTCCGATTGTCAGAAACACTGGCCTATGATATCAAATCAACAAGAAGATAAGAACCAGAGACCCGCCATCTCATCAGAGATGCTCTTGGAGGAGACATCTCATCAGAGTTGTCATTGAACCGTGTTCTACCACGCTTGCTGGTCAAAAACCTGCACAAAGTTCTGCAAAAGAGAAACGGATGCATTTATCAGATAAGAGGTCGACGTGGGCTCGTCCTGTGGACTCGATGATTCATGATAACTCGACGGATCGCACGGCCCTCGTACCGGTGACGTGTCATTCAAATTTCTGCCCTATCAACTTTCGATTGTAGGGTAGGGGCATTCTGTGGACTTTTGAATACCACAGCTAGCTTGGACACTGAGAATTGAGAGATTTGGGAGCTGAGGGAGGGGATCAGTCGGTGGGCATATGTTGAACCCTAGACGCTTGATGAGGGTAGAAACGTGATCAGATGAACAAGATTCTCCCACGGGCCGCAAGAGAGAAGATTGAAGTAGAGGAAGAGAAAAGAGTAATTGGAGGGACAGAAGAACAGACGGGTTTTTCTTCATGGTTCATCCACGCGGTGCAACGGGTCTACTAACTAGAAAGAGTAACTCTTTATATACAAAGAAGCCAAGTGGTAATCAGACTCCATAACATATTGCTTCCAGGTTCAACTGCGGCTAACTCTATTTGGAAAATATGGATGTTAATTGGAGGCAGTTATCATGATTATCAGCAAACTTGGATCAGACATTTCTTTTTCAGGCATTTATGAATATAATATGTTGACGAGGCACGTGAAGACTCACCGAAGCAATATGTTACATTCCTTGAAAATCTGCAATGTTCTTAATCCCGAAGACCAAGCTCTAGCTCAAGCTCATCATCCTCTTCAAACAGTCTTAGCAGACGAGCATGTTGTTCTTCCCTCTTTTTCTTCTGCCATTGCTTGAACAAAAAGACCGCAAGCAAGATGACAGCAACCACTCCAATGGATATGTAAAGTGCATTAAGCCCCTTACTGCTGCCGGAATTCGAATGGCTCGCCGTTTGTGTTCCCTCCTTGGATTTTGAAGGATCATCAGCTAAACCTGACAACAGGACACTATTTTACTGTGTGCCACGTGTCTATTCAAACGTAAACACTACGTGAAAAATGAAAGAAATGAAATGGGCCAAAATATGGAGATATGACGACCTGCATACATGACTGATAGCTCAGAAAAAGACCATAAATGGTCATCGATGCGGCTTTACAAAATAAAAATCAAGCACCTGCCTTGTAATGAAACCAAACGACGGATTCAATGTTTCGACAAACGTCTGCTCCAAATGATACAATTTATTTCAATATTAATTGATTTTATTAATTTCTTGGCCATATTCAACTACACGTCAACCTATCAGCTAGACCCACGTGCTGCATAGTTCTAATAAACAGACGCATTATTAATGCTCACTACCAAGGTACACTAATCTCCAGCGTGCATAAGTGGCATAATTACACAAAGAAGAATGCCAGCATATTCATTTCCCAAAAAATCATTATTCTTATCTATAAATAGTAATTTCCCCCCGTCCACAGAAAATATATATGCCAGACGTATTGAGACCTATTTTAAATATTTCGAACGAGATAAATATGAGGGACTTGTAAAAGCCAAATCTAATATCTTGGAAACTAATAGCTACACTTTCTATTATTCCAAGGCCATGAACTAGTTGATTAATTCCAACACATCAAAAAGAAAATGCAATGCCCTTGTGTTTATGAGATGAATGCTTGATGCTTAGCATGTGATTTTATCTCGAAAATCGTACACTCAATAATCTTTTTTACAATGTAATTTCACTGTGTCTGCTTTTATATTGTTGGATTGTACATCACGTACCTCTCTTTATTATCTCATGTGTATCGTGTCATGATTTTTCCTTTTCTGATTTCTGGAGTCTAGAACCTTCTAGGAGGGTCTGATGTAAATACCAGAATCCCACCGTGAGTTGTAACATGAAAAAACATTCTTCCTCATTCTTGAATTCAGCCTCCACTCATATTGAGTGCATGGATGCTTTTGCAAGGGCACGAAGAAAATGAATGAGGTTCGACATGGTATTAGAGCCAATCCAGGTGTGATTGCTCTTTTTTTATATTTCTCTATGTGAGAGAATTTTTTTTTGGTAGTCCCTTTCTTGAGGACTCAATGGATTAATCTAATTCTGGAACATCGAGACTGGTGACAGAATTCCTACTATGCCCACATAATTCAAGTTAACAGGTTATACAACCTAATCCAATGGTTAGAATACATTAGGGAAGTTCTAATTGGACAAGAGATACTACATCATCTGGAGGATATGAAACCAGACCCCTCATCACGTCAATTTCGGAGGTCGCGGGAGGAGGATCCTTGATAAAGGCTAGGATTTGGGGAACTATGATTCCCCCATTTAGTCGAGATTCTTTGTCTTGGCTGTTGCCAAAGACTTATGAGAGATAGTTGATATGAAATACTCGAAAAAAAAATAATGAGCCACAGATATATGAACTGGAGACGAAATCTCTCTTTATTGCTCAAGGATCCAAATCAGTAATGGAATCTATTGGGGAATTGAAAAGCATGAGCCAAGAACTTGATTATTATGTCAATCTTAAACTAAAAACCCTAGTGAACTTGTTGTTTTGTGAAATTTCATAAAAAGGCAGCATATCTTTAAATTTCAAAGAACTTGTTTGTTTGATCATGTCAAACAGAAAATTTTAGGACACAAGAGGAGACCAGACCTTGACGAGGTGGTCACAATTGTCCCAAATAAAGAAAGCCATCAAAAGTTGATGTTATCTATGCAAGATATGGATAGTGCTACATTTGTTATCTAAATACAGATATGAGCCATCAGCCACCCTCTGTAAAAGGAAAAACTCAAAAGTTTAACTATAAAGATAATCTTTGGTGCGCCTATCATAGGAAATCCTGTCATACTATAAAGATAGATGTTGGAAACTCTATGGTAAGCCACATAATTTCAGCGTTGAGAATCGTGTGAGTCATGTACATCTAACAACCAACCCATCCCCTACTCAAACTTCTAATAACCCCAACCAATCGACCAACCATGGGAATGTTGATCTAGTTCCACTAAATGAAATAGAACGACAACTGAAGTCAATGGCAGCACAATAATAACAACCCTCATTAATTCAGACTAGTGAGTTTCACTACTCTCTTGGAATTCGAGCTCCATCTAGAGACATTACTAAATGTTGAGTAGTAGACTGAGCAACGGATCATATGAAAAACTCTTCCTATCACTTTGTTACATACACCTCTTGCTATAGTGACCAAAAAGTGTCTATTACTGATGGTACACTTCTCACAATTCCTGATGTTGGTGACCTCACCATTGAACCTCTTAGACTCCTTACCAAAGTCATTCATGTTCCCAAACTCTTTACCAACTTCATACATGTTAAGAAACTAGTCAACAATTCACCTTATTATGTCTTCTTTGATGAAGATATCTATATGATATTCGATAAGGTTCATCAACGAAGGATTGGAATTACTAGAGCATGTGGAGGACTCTACTTCCACGAGGGACTCAATCAAACCTGTCTTATGGAAGTAGTTTCATCTACAAGGCATCCCAAACATCTTTCCTACATTTGGCTCCTTCACCGACGATTGGGCCATCCTTCCTTTAACACCATGAAAAATTCTTGCCCTACATTGTTCCAAAAAGTGTCATTCGACACACTTAAATGTGATGTACGCGAACTCTCCAAGCATACTTGTACATCCTTTCAATAGGTGAAAAAAATGAAATCTCATTCTTCCACATCCATAGTGACATTTGGGGACCATGTCCCAATGTTAATCTCTTGAGAAACAAATGATTTGTTACTTTTATTGATGACTGCACTAAATGCATGTGGATATTTCTCCTCAAGTAGAAGTCAGATGTTTCAACTGCACTGAAACATTTATGTGCAATGATTAAAAAACGATTTAGTACATCTATTAAGAGATTTAGATTTGATAATGCAAAAGGACACTTTAGTCACAATCTAATCTCTTTCTTTCAATTGGAAGGTATCAAACATGAGTCTTCCTATGTTTACACACCTTAACAAAATGGACTCACACAAAGAAAAAATCAGCATCTCTTAGAGGTCACATGGTCCCTTTTGTTTCATAAACATGTACTAAAAAAAATTTGGAGTGAAATCATCCTAACTACAACTTATCTTATTAACCATCTTCCTACCATAACATTAAATTTTCACAGCCCTTTGGACATATTGGCCTCATTTTTCCCTACTAATCAAATTAGAACTACATTAAAGTCACGAATATTTGGTTGCTTCGTTTGTTTATAACTATGATCAAACTAAAGTCAAACCAGATTCATGGGCCCCTCTCAAGTACATTTTTCTGGGATATTCTACCACTCAAAAAAGGTTATCACTGCTATCATCCTCCGACTATCAAGTTTTTCACAACAATAGATGTTACCATTTATGAGTCTGAATCCTATTTCCAAAAATTCTCCTCCGGCATACCTCTATCATATCACCATATAGCTGATTCTGCCGACTCCCCTTTGTCAGATAAGATGCTCATACCGATTTCAATGCTTGAGCAAAATCCTTCTCTCCCTGATCCACTTCTTGAACATCTCAAACTTGGCTGCGTCTGTTCTAGGACAAGAGCACCTCCTAATTCTATAACAACCCAAGATCATGAGTCTACCTTAGATGCTATCCAAAATATCTCATCTGCCCCATCCAATACCAACCATCCACAACTCAATTCACTTCTTATTACCACAAGAAAACCTCCACGAGCATGCACAAATCACCCTTTGTATCCATCGATTCATTTCCTCTCCTATCAAAAAATTTCTCCTACCTATAGGTCCTTTCTTGCTACCCTGGATGATACTATAATTTCAACTGATGTCTCTAAAGCTCTCTTTAGGAAGGAGCAGAAACAAGCCATGGATGAAAAAAAACGAGTGTCATTGAAAGAAATCAAACTTGAGATCTTGTGACTATGCCCAAGAATAAAAAAGTGGTTGGCTGTAGGTGGGTATATTCTATGGAAACATAGATGATGTCTTAAATAACCACTATAAGACCAAACTAATTCCGAAAGATTATGCACAAGTATATGGAGTTGATTATCAAGAAACATTTTCTCATGTGGTGAAAATGAACACAATCAAAATCTTTTTAGCTTTAGTGACTATTTTCAGTTGAGACATCCAACAATATGATGCGAAGAATGTTTTTCTTCATGGGATCTTACTGAGTGACTCTTCCACCGAACTATAAAGGAAAACTATCACCCAATGTTTTGTGAAGGCTCAAGAAGTCCTTATATGGACTTAAACAATCTCATCATGCCTAATTTGGGAGATTTATTGAAGTCATGAGAAAATTAAATTATTGTCAGAGGAATGCTGATCACACTCTTTTTTTAAAATATTCTTCATCACAAAGAGTTACTACTCCATTGATCTATGTCGATGGATATCATCATTATAAGAAATGATGCAGCTGAACGAGAACACCTTGGTCAATATCTAGCCAAGGAGTTTGATATCAAGACTCTGGGACACCTTAAATACATTTTGGGAATTGAAGTTGCTCACTCCTCTTAGGGTATCTCCATATCTCAATGGAAGTATGTAACAGATCTTCTGAAGGATATTGAAATGTATACAGTTGCAGACCATGCTAGTTCAATTCTAGATTGCCGGTCAACCTTTGGACTTCTCACCTTCTTGGGAGGCAACCTGGTTTCTTGGCAAAGTAAGAACCAAAATGTGGTTGCTTGATCAAGTGCTGAAGTCGAATTTAGAGCACTTGCTCAGGGAGTATAAGAACTGTTGTGGGTCAAGATTTTACTCAATTACTAAAAATTCCACTTACCAGTCCTATGGAACTCTACTGTGACAACAAATCAGCTACCAACATTGTGCAAAATTTAGTATACCATGATCACACCAAGCATGTTAAGATTGATTGTTACTTCATCAAGAAAAAGTTGGAGACCAACTTGATTTGTATACCCTATGTCTCCGCTCAAAATCAATTTGTAAGCCTGTTGACAAAGGGTGTCTCTAGCACTCAACTACAGAAGATGATGTCCAAACTATGAATGGATGATATCAATTCACCGACTTGAGAGGGAGTATTGGAGTACCTTGAATTATTACACCTCACATGCCTCTCTTTATTATCTCACGTGCCACGTGTCACGTTTTTTTTCCTTTTTTTGATTTTTGGTACCTAGAACATTCTAAGAGAGTCTCTGATATAAATATCAGAAACCCACCATGAGTTGTAACATGAAAAAATATTCTTCCTCATTCCTGAATTCAACCTCTACCCATCTTGGGCACAAGGATCAAGTGCATCATGAAAGTGAATGAGAATTGACATATATGGATTAGACTTATTACAAACACATAAATATTTGGGTTTTTCTCACTTCTAAAATATTTATTTTGTTCTAATTTTGCATAGTTTCTCTCTCATAATGTTTGCAATATTCGTCTAATACATTATTTTAGAAGGCCATTCCATCATTTATTTTCCCTGAATAACTACTTTTCCAATTATATACCCTTTTAACTTCAAAAACAATATTCCAAACATAATAGTTACAAATAGTTACAAATCACACATGTTGACTTGATATTCAAGTCGAAATGTTTCATATACACACTGGCAACAAGAATCCTAATCGTTATTGGTGTACTATATCAGACCTGCTTACATAATTTACATCAGATTAGGGACAAAATCTTGGCACCTCAACGCTATGATTACTGAATGTGAAGGATAATGCCTATAAAACAAACTAGAGTTAGCAGATTACATTTTCAGTTTCTCATTATTCAACATTGTACGACCCTAATAAAGATATCCTCATATGCTCATCTACATTAACATGAGGCTCAATGTAGTTCAATCAACAACCGTAAGCAATGCAATAGACAGAATATAAGAAAAGCTACAAATCAAAATGCTTCTTTTCCATATCCAGTAAGTTTGGAAGATCTAACCTAGGTTAGACAACTTTATCTAAAGAATCAACTCCCATAGTTTCCATAAGAATGGGCATCTGAAAAACACACTTATGAGGCAAGTCTAAGCACCGTGAAGGACTAACAAAGTGGGACAAACAAATAACATTGATCATCCATTGTCCATGGGCACAAGATTCTTGATCAAATGATCACTAAACGCATCAACTGAAAGTTTAAAGTATGAAGACTTCATCACAGTTTACATAGGATACTATTTCTAGCCCTGCACCCTAAAAGCGTTCCTCTAAAATCCGTCATACTATTATTTGGCAAACCTGCTCCAATTTGAATAATAACTGCCAAGGTCACCTTTTGGAATGGAAGTATGGAAACAAGGTGATTAACCAGGAACGAAAAAATGCTGCCAGTTCTTAAGAAGAAATCCATCCAACTGTCGTTTCCTCCAATTTTATAATGGAGAGCGCCATTACGCAATAATTCTTTGCTTTCGGTCCTTGGTAGCAAACAAATATGCATAAAAAAGCACACTATTGTCCTCAGGAATCCAACCCCCAAAAAATCATCAATGACGATGCAGAATGATTGAAATGCAGGGATAAACGCTGGAAAGCTATCCATCACAAACGGATGGTACATATTAAGTGATAAAAAAGAGTTAGCCAACTTGGTTTCTCTTAGACAACATCTTTTATATAATTCCTCACATTGATTAGGAATAATATGGATTAAAAAGGAAAATATTTCACTCGTTTGATGAGGTTTATGAAATAATAATATTTTACAAAATTATAGCGCGGAATAAACGAAGAGTAAGAAAATGTCACGGTTTCGACCAAACCAGAAAAATCCGACAACGAAAAACCATCAGCGTTCAAGGATTAACACCCAAAAATAAGTAATGCGGAGACCGAAAGCACTCGCCGAGCCAAATCGAGTGCCCTCCCCCGACAAATCCCGAGAGCGACCACGACGTAAACAGAGATGCAGCAAACGAAAATTGAACACTGAAATTCGAAGACCGAGAAGAAGAGGAGACATTAAAAAAAACGCCACCGAAAATTCGACAAGCCTTCCCGGATCGGCAGGATCCACGCGGAAAACCCAACCCGAACCACAGATTTTGGTCGGCAAAAACTCCAAGTCGATCGGCACAAACCAAATCCCAAGATCTCCGTCAAAGATTTCAGGTGAAGGCATACTTAGGATTGCTTGAAGAGAGATCGACGAGAAGAAGAACGCCAGCTGCCATCTCCCGGGGCCCCCGCGCTTCCGAGTAACCCGACACATCATCTCCCCCCCTCCGTGCCTTCTCCGCCACTTCCGATTCCTTTGGCTTTATATACCTCTACACTTACCCGCAGAGGATTGTACGATCGAGGCGATCCGCACCGTCCATCCATCCACCCATCCTTGCGCATCGGCAAAGGCCCGCGGAGACGCCGTCAAGGCCCATTAGGCCTGTCAATCGTGTCCTTGCCAGCTGAAACGGTCCAGTTTCCCGTGGCCCAACTCAACCCAGATATCACGTGCCCTTTGTAAATAAAACTATTATTTTATTATTTTCTCTTTTTAATTCTCTCAAATTCGATTTATAATATTACCTCCTACTCACTACACTGGATTGAGAGAGAGAGAAAGACCTATAAGTCTCGTAAATATTTGATAAGCATGATCAATAAATATTATTCAAAGTTGAATATAACTTGTTGGGGTTTTTTTTTGGCATGTATATACCCTCGTTATACGATTTATTAATACAGAAGCGGAGGGGGACCTTGCAGAAACGCGGCGGCGCCGCCGTCAGGCGGCGGCGAGCTGCTGTATGTTTCGCGGGTAGGCGTCGGAGCGGGCGGTGGAGTTGAAGGCCTTGCCGGCGAGGACGACGTTGGCCGCATCCGTGGGGTGGAAGGCGTCCCAGAAGAGGTATTTGCTCCGATCGTCGCAGGGCTGCTGCAGCGGCAGGCAGGTGATCTGCCCGTTGTTCCTCCCCACCCCACAGCACCCTTTGTCGATCACATCAAACCCTAAAATGCAGAATAATTATGATGATGATAATGACGACGACGTTGAGGAGGAGGAGGAGGAGGAAGAAGAAGAAGAAGAAGAAGAAGAAGAAGAAGAAGAAGAAGAAGAAGAAGAAGAAGAAGAAGAAGAAGAAGAAGAAGAAGAAGAAGAAGAATCCGCTCGTTGCAGCGGCTCCCGTTGGCGGCGGCGCCGTCGTAGCGGGCCAGCTGGTAGGGGATACACCCGATCTGCCCCACCGCCCCCACCGCCACCTTCCTCGCTCCAGTATCGTACAGCGCCTTCGCCCACCCAAACAAAAAACAGTCACAACCCTAATCCTAAAAACTCCCAACCCTGAAAACCCTAGCCCTAGCCCTAACCTTACCGTGAGCTGGCGGGTGTAGTCCTGGATGAGGAGAGCGGCGTAGGTCTTGGGGTCGTAGTCGGCGCTGGTGGAGTAGGAATCGGGCATGAAGTAGTTGTTAAGGTAGTCGTTGCTGCCTATGGCGGCGTAGAAGATGCAGCGGCCGAGGAGCTCGTTGACGGCCGTCTGGTTCCCCCGGAGCAGCCGCCCAATCTGCCGCACCGTCCCCCGGAACCTCTGCACCTGCTCTCCCATGGGAATGTGAGCTCCCTGCCACCCAAAATCACCGGCAGTCAGTGGGAACCTGCAGGAATATGATCATGGATAGCGAGAGAGGGCTCGTGAAAGTGAGCCAGAGTGTGTGTGTGTGTGTGTGTGTGTGTGTGTGTGAGAGAGAGAGAGAGAGAGAGAGGGCCGATACAATTTAACGTCCCGTTAGAGAAGTGAAAGAGCGCGATTGAAGGGTCACCAGATTGCTGCCGCTTTCCTCGCGGATTCCGGAGGCGCCAGAGGCGTAGTTCAGCCCCCGGAGGATGGCGGCCCCGCGGGTGCCCTCGTACGGCCGGATGAAGCCCTGGAAGCCCAGTAGCTCAGCTGCAGGAGCGAAGAAAGTCAGCGTTTGAAACTACATATTCGTCGGGGAAATACGTCAAAGTTGGCGAACATCGTGCCCAGAATGTCAACAGTGGTGCGGCCGTTGGTGAACCTCCCGGTGGCGCCGTCCGGGAAGTCAACGCCGTAGGGAAGATAGTTGGCTCTGGCCAGCGTTAGAATCCCGTTGTTGTTGCCGTTGTCGACCAGGGAGTCCCCGAAGATGAAGAAGCACGGCACCTGGGGGGACTCCGTCGAGCAGGCAGCGATTTCGAACGTCGCCAGCGCCAGAAGCGCCGCCGCCGCCGCTGCCGCAACGGTCATGTTGCCGAGGAATCCCATTGTCCAGGAGATCTTAGGAGTCGATCGGTAGGAGAGGAGAGATTTATATAGACTTTGGGGCTCCTCTTGGGTTCTTCCTCTTCCTCCAGTTTAAATGGCTGCAGAGGGCGCGTGAATGTGGGCCCGGTGGCTACATGGGAGCTGCGGCGGCGGCGGCGGTGGTTCATGGGGAGCACTCCGATGGCGGTAGCTCGCCCGAGCGATGCCCGTGGGACGTCACTTCTTTCCCTTTGTTTTCTCACTCCTTTACGGATTGCAGAGGGAGAGAGATGAGTACTCTCTCTCTCTCTCTCTCTCTCTCTCTCTCTCTCTCTCTCTCTCTCTCTCTCTCTATCTCTATCTATCTATCTGTCTATCTGATACAGTACATAATGAGGAGGGGCCGAGCTCCATTGCAGTCTGGCTCATAGCTTATTTGCGGGGCGTTTCCCAGGGATTGAAACCGTGGGGCCAGCCCGTTGACAAATCTAGATCTTGCAGGTGTGAATTCGAAGATGGTTCAGAGAATTATTCAAACAAATATTAAAAACTTCGCTTTGTATAGATATGTTTGAACGTCTATTTACTCACATTTACCGGGCAAAGATCACCGGCTTTGGAACATCAGAAGGTTTTTTTCCCCAACGGATTTTACTGTATCTGATTGCCAAGTACAACCCCGAGCCCTTTTAAACCAGAGGAAGGGTAGAGAGAGAGAGAGAGAGAGAGAGAGAGAGAATCTTCGAAGGTATTTTATTCTCACCAAGACATTAATTACTGTGTAGATTCAGACGAAACATAAAGCTAACTCAAATCTACGATTATTTCTACAATAAGTAAAAAAAAAAAGATTATCAGTCAACGGGAGAGAGAGAAGAATCAGCATTACTGGAATATTACTGCTGCTCTGCCATTTACGTTAGCATGCACTCGAGCTCTGCCAAGGTAGGAAACACAAAAATGGGATACTTTCCCAAAAAAAGCAGGGGCGGGGGGATCATGAACACGTCATGGAAGAGACAAAAAGCTCCCGCCTGCTTTCGATGAAGCTCTGCCGGAACATATCAAACGTCCCGCACCCAATCGCTCTCCTTATCGAGCGGAAGAAGCCAAGGTAGTGGTGAGTATTGTGTCTGCATCCACACAGAAGATGCCCAGATCATAGAAAGAGAGAGAGGGAATGCGAGAGAGTGCGAGAGAGAGAGAGAGAGTGGAAGAGAGTGAGAGAGAGAAAGAGAGTGAGAGGGAGAGGGAGAAAGAGTGAGAAAGAGAGAGAAAGGGAGAGACAGACAGAGAGAGAGAGAGAGAGAGAAAGAGAGTGAGAGGGAGAGAGAGAAAGAGTGAGAAAGAGAGAGAAAGGGAGAGAGAGAAAGAGTGAGAAAGAGAGAGAAAGGGAGAGAGACAGACAGAGAGAGAGAGAGAGGGGGGGAGAGAGACAGAGAGGGAGAGAGACAGAGCGAGAGAGAGAGAGAGAGAAAGAGACAGACAGAAAGTGAGAGAGAGAGAGTGAGAGAGAGAAAGAGAGGGAGAGAGAGAGTGAGAAAGAGAGAGAGAGAGTGAGAGAGAGAAAGAGAGGGAGAGAGAGAGTGAGAAAGAGAGAGAGAGAGTGAGAGAGAGAAAGAGAGGGAGAGGGAAAGAGAGGGAGAGAGAGAGTGAGAAAGAGAGAGAGAGAGGGAGGGAGACAGAGAGAATGAGAGGGAAAGAGAGAAAGAGACAGACAAAGACAGAAAGTGAGAGAGACAGAGAGAGTGAGAGGGAAAGAGAGAGTTAGAAAGAGAGAGAGAGAGGGAGAGAGACAGAGAGAGTGAGAAAGAGAGAGAGAGAGAGGGAGAGAGACAGAGAGTGAGAGGGAAAGAGAGAGTGAGAAAGAGAGAGAGAGAGGGAGAGAGACAGAGAGAGTAAGAAAGAGAGGGAGAGAGAGTGAGAGAGGAGAAAGAGAGAGAGAGGGAGAGAGACAAAGAGAGTGAGAGGGAAAGAGAGAGGAGAAAGAGAGGGAAAGAGAGGAGAGAGAGAAAGAAAAGAGAGGGAGAGAGAGAGAGAGGAGAGAGGCAAAGAGAGTGAGAAAGAGAGAGAGAGGGAGAGAGACAGAGAGAGTGAGAGGGAAAGAGAGAGTGAGAAAGAGAGAGAGAGAGGGAGAGAGACAGAGAGAATGAGAGGGAAAGAGAGAGTAAGAAAGAGAGGGAGAGAGAGAGTGAGAAAGAGAGGGAGAGAGAGTGAGAAAGAGAGAGAGAGGGAGAGAGGCAAAGAGAGTGAGAAAGAGAGAGAGAGAGGGAGAGAGACAGAGAGAGTGAGAGGGAAAGAGAGTGAGAAAGAGAGAGAGAGAGGGAGAGAGAGAGAGAGACAGACAGACAGACAGACACAGAGAGTGTGTGTGTGTGTGTGTGTGAGAGAGAGAGAGATAGAGAGTGAGAGAGAGAGAGAATTCACGTCCTTACATCTCAAGGAGGATCTGGGCCAGCATCTCGTGGACATTGAGAAGATGATTAAGGTAGGCCCGTGTGTGGTTCCGACAGGTGAAGCAGCCACAGCCCTCCAAGATCGGAGACTTGTCCTTCCTGAAGCAAAAAAACTTACTCGGTGGAGACATGGTAGCCGGAATCGGATCAGCCGGCCAGGCTGACAACTGCTGACGCCAGCCAACCCAGTCCTCGAAGATGAAGAAAAAACATACAGACCTGTAAATTGTAGAACTTAGATTTATCTTTGTGCCGTCGTTGACTGCACTGCTCGGCGGGAAGTCAAAAGGGCTTCTCCGAGATTTGTCAACGGTGTCGAGGGGGAAGACGAGAGCAAGCCCTCCAAGTGTAAGATGGTAAATATACCTGAAAATGGGGCCAAAATTCAACCCGGGATCTGAAAATCATGGAAAGTGACAAGAACGAGGAAAATTTAGAAGAACAATACATACGTGGAGTCAAAAAGATCAATCCCTGCAGCCACACCCTCCAAGATTTCCTCTGAAAAAGAGGAAGAGAGATTAAAATATCATTTATTTATCATGATGATGCAGGTTACTGTTTTAGATAGCCATGGAATGGTATGGGTGGGTTGATTGATCTAATAAAGTTGGTTCATTGGTAGATATATTTCAAGGAAAAAAAAAATCTAATCAACTAGAACAGTTCTTTGTAGAATCTGACGAAACGGGCACACAAAAAAGAAGGAAAAAGCACCTTAATTGGTGTCTGCAAACGCTGATCATGGTAACTTTACCTGGGAGACCAAGTCCAGAAACATACCGCAGTTTCTCCTCCGGCAAATTATCCTGAAAATTTAGCTTCGAGATTTAGTACAGTTTATTTTTCGTTTAGATTCAATATTAATATAGTTGTTTGGAATCACATTGTGTTTCTAGTTAAGGACAAGCAGGAAACAATTAGTCCGCCAAAATCACATATGTTAAATAGGAGAAATTATAATAGACGCCAGTATATTTTCATATATCCCATTTCTAGGTTAATGCAAGGAAAAAAAATCAGTTCAGTGTTCTTCACATAATTCGAAATTACTCAATGTTTCCTTGAATTTAGTGAACAGATTTAGGTAATATATTCTGATCTTGGAAAGTATTTTTTTTCAGATGAACTGAGACAGCAGTTGAGAATAATCAGCATCTTAATGGCCTATTAAAACCCTCCATTAATTCGACTAGGTTAACAGAAAAAAATTATGTTGATGTGATTGTTTTTTTTTTCATTTTTAGGAAGAGCAGTTCAGAATGATCCCATCTCCTCATCTTCTTTCCTATGAAACTTCAAGATATTTATTAATTCAGCTGATGATGTACGTCATTTTAAGCAGGATGAGGAGATCAATGCGCCATCAGGTAGTCTCATAGTTTAGAAGTCCTACCACAACTGCATTAAGGAGAGCAGGACGCTCTTCCATGCTTTCTCCAAGACCAAAGCCTCCAATCCAATAACCTGAATCAAAGTTCGTGGTAGAAGATCAATTATAACAGACAGATAAATCAAATGCTCCCTTGGATCCAAAACGATATCTGTTGACGAGGAGAGTGAGTGAGAGAGAGAGAGAGGGAGAGAGGGAGAGAGGGGGAGAGAGAGACACACACACACACAGAGAGGGAGAGAGAGAGAGGTGAGAGAGAGAGGGGCTCCCCTCTTCCCCCTCTGGCTGATTTTTTTGTTGACCAAATTAATTGATCACGGCTAGAGGCAGAGCTACCACCCAGTGCTGGAGGGGAGGGAGCGAGGGAGACAGAAAGAGAGAGAGAGAGAAAGAGAGAGAGAGAAAGATAGTATTACTTCGGACTAGGCTGCCGAGGATTGTAGCTTCAATATTAGATCAAGTGTTCCTCATCTCATAGGTCAACAAAAATAACTAAATAAATGACAGATTAAAAATAATAATACTTGATTTACTAATTCTGACCAAGATAACAAGTGCAGTTCACAGATCAAACGTGAACCCAGTTTTCAGTCGTTTGCTCACAGGGAAACAAACCCACAAGCCTCATCAAATTGTTCTCCCTCTCTTTCACCGCAATAAGTGGAGAAGCCCACTGATCTGTGACCGAAGTAGCATAAGGACTATATTCCAAGTACATTATGACCAAAGGTAAAATTTAAAAAAGGCAAAAAGTATTTATCTACAGACATCAGAAATAAATATCATGAGTTTTATTCCATAGAAAATAAAAAGACCATGCAATTGATCAGAAAATGCCCAGCATGGTCCTAAGAATCCTGATAAATAACCTGAGACATTTCTTTTCGCCACTTCTTTAGCACACCGACTGCGTTCTTCTAAACTGGATCCTCCAACAACTGCTCCCAAGATCGCCTCTCCACCTGACTGAATTTCATAAGATGGATATGGTTTCAGAACGTTGCCTTGAGAAGGCATCTTGCACCGCTCGGGAGAGCAGTGGGCATCAGGTAGAACAGCTGTTGGAAAAAATCATGGGATGGGCTCTAAAAGATCATCCTGATACGATGACAGGAGTATAGGAATTCACAAATCGCGAGCTAAAAACAAAGGAAAAAATAGGAAATTCACAAGATCATGTGGATATTTCCCAGAATCACAATATCAAAACAGGCTAGATACGGCATCCAAACTGACTCTAGCTTTAATGCTTTCGGTCATCAATGAAATGGAAAACATTAAAACAAGATTATTTTAGGTTAATGATATGAGATTGTGAAGAGGAGGGAGTGATAGTCAAACTAGCACTAACTCAAGAAAACAGTAAAGAGAATTGCCATACACATAATTTCCACACTAGATAGATAGGTAGATAGATAGATAGGTAGATAGATAGATAGGTAGATAGATAGATAGATAGATAGATACATAGATAGAGAGATAGATAGATAGATAGATAGATAGATAGATAGATAGATAGATAGATAGATAGATAGATAGATAGATAGATAGATAGATAGATAGATAGATAGATAGATAGATAGATAGATAGATAAATAGATGAACAGACCAGGTCTAGGGCAATGCACTCATCGAGCCAACGAATTGTTCTTTCCACTGAAGCTTTATTCCGCTTCTCAACAGCCCAGGCAGGCACCTCATCTGCCAGAGTGGCCCAAAGATTTGGCTTCAACGAAGAAATAATCTCCATGTATTTTTCTGGTCTTACCTTCATCGGAAGACAACATGAAAGCGATGAGGAATTTATCTCCAAAGGATCAGAGTAATAGGAACATCCGCCGAAAATAATTGTCTATCAAGGACAGGGTAGAGATGATAGGAGTACCAATAGGCGACCACTGGGTGTCTCAAACGACGCTCCAAGCTTGTTTGTACCTTCGATCACAGGAAGAGAATCGATAGAATCTCTACCTACGGAGACGAAGAGATGCTCAGGCAACCCAAGCATCTGACGCAGCCCCCCCATGCTCGAAATGGTTCTTGATGAAGGGCATTCCATGCTGCAAACCACAAGAAACGAATCATAAGGAAAGATAGAAACTATTTTTGCGGACGATTTTTTTTAGGATGAAGAACTCAGAATCGGCGTGGATTTTCTTGAAAAACTCTGCCAACTCTCTGATTTTGTTTTCGCGAGATTCGCGCTAGAAACAGAGAGAGAGAGAGTGATTGAGGAGAGCTGTCCATTGGGAACTACGCCACTAAGTATGTAGGTGTGGCTGTAGATTTCACTCTGGAATTTTCTCTCAGGCCCTCGAATCCGACGAACATCCGACGGTCGTGTATAAACTACAGCACGGACCATGAGGAGGACACGCGATGGACTCACAAGTGGAGAGGGCTGACGTGAAGGAGGCGCGAGTCCGGGAGCGGTAGAGCCTGGAGGAGGTCAGGAGTGATGAAGGAGGGCAGCCCCTTCCTCGTTGAGAGGAGGAGGGCGGGCGTCTCCACAGAATGCTGGAAGCTCCCCCAGCCTTGCAGGACTCCCGCTCTAGCCTTTCCGTTCCCCCCGCCGGAGGTTGCTTTCACTGCGAACCTCATCTCTCTCTCTCTCTCTCTCCCGCTCACTTCCTCCCTCCCTCTCTCTCCCCTCACTCCCTCCCTCTCTAACTCTCTCTCTCCTCCCGCCCTCCCTCTCTCTCTCTCTCTCCCCTCACTCCCTCCCTCCCCCTCTCTCTCTCTCTCCTCTCGCTCCTTCCCGGTTCAAACCAATTTGGGCTGTCCAGGCCCATACTCGTCACCCCAGCCCAAAGTATGGGAAAATGGGCCAAACATAGGCCGGTTTCTAGTCCCGCCCGGCTCGATCTTCTTATGAAATGCGTTCAACGGCTGAAAATATTTGGCCGGGCCTGGGCCTCTCTCCTGGGCCCAGGAAAGCCCACTAGGGCCGGCCTTTAGGCTAATGGATCCAATAGGGTGACCAGCTATTCAGATCGTTCCGGCGTCGGAACAAGTGGACCTTCAAGAGCCTTTCTTATCGGGTCCATATAACGTACGATCGGGATTGATCCGGATCTAGACGGTTCTTGACGGATTCGAATCTGGATGGCAGTTATTTCTGCTACCCGCAGTGGATCCAAACCACCTGGAGACAGCTGGAGACAGCCTGTCACCAACCCAGTACTCCGCCCCTCTGTCTCTCTCTCTCTCTCTATCTCTCTCAGCCTCTCTCTTTCTCTCTCTATCTCTCTCTGTTCTGGTTTGTGCTTTTCTTCAACTCCGAGAGAGCGTACGTAGAGGGAGAGGGAGAGAGGGCGAGGGAGAGGGAGAGAGAGAGAGAGAGGATCGATCTCCTTGAAAAGGTTGGTACGGTTTATCTCTGGAGCCGTGCGATCGAGGGAGTGAGTCTGGAGTGTGGAGGAGGGGGCGAGTTGGCTTGGTTTCCGCAGGATTTGGTTGCGAGGACCTAGGGTTTTAAGACACGGTCGCGCGAGAATGCCGGCGGCGGAGGGGATCTCTCGACGAGGTATTTGCTTCCGTTGCGTGCTTTCTTCACCACCTTGTCTAGATTTTTCAGTTTGTCGGGTCGTGCTTGTGATTGATCTGATTTGAGAGGCCGGTGGTTTATCTGTTCTTTCCGGTCGCGTGAATGGAGTACTTCTACGTGGGAATTGTCTGTAGTCTTCTGACGCAATCCTGTGTCGAGTTTTCCGTTTCGCTGAATCAAGCATCATGGTCTGCAGTCTGTTCTTGCTCCATTTTTTGCCAACTTTTGTGGAATGAAAGGCCAGGGTGTCCTCCCAAAATTGATTCCGTGCTTTCCCGATTGGGCCTCCACAGCAGCCACAACCTACCGACGATCTGTATACTTCCAACGCTGGTTGTGAAGTTTTAGAATGAAGTGTGCTATTCGAATGAGTTGGGATCTTCCTAGAGCGGGCTGTGTGACATGGCCGACTATGAGAGTTCATCCCGGCTGTCCTCTTTCCTTGACCTCATGTATTCTGAATCATATTTCACTCGGTATTGTGTCCAAGAGCCAGCCTATTATCTTCTAGTATCAGTTTTCTTTTCATCTGGTTCATTATAATTTATTTTTAAAAAACATGGGATTAGTCTTCTGGTTACCATTCCTGACTTTCTAGGCTGTGATCCTTGCGTGGCGTTATGTCACTTTTCCTTCTATTTTGCTAATTTCTAGCTTTACATTTATTTATTTTCGTCAAGACGTTGGACTGGTCTTCTGGTCAGTTGATAGCCTTCTCTGACTTTATCTCTGCTGACTCTTTCTAGATGATCTTTGAAGAACAGAGCCCGCCCTCTGCGATCCCTCACCCCTGCTTCTCTGGTTTGAACCCCTCCGCCAGCATGCCTCGTATAAATTTTATGGGGTCCTAGTAAAGCAGCCGCCTTTGGAAGATAAGCCGTCCGGAGGTCCTTCTTACAGCGGCGGGGGGGCGCTTGGCATGGATGCTGGAGAAGAGCATGCGAAGAACCTGTGCTTCAGGTGATGCCCCAGACCGGATTCACCGCCGATGCTTTCGGTGCGGTCACCATCGCCCTGGTCTCTCTCTTCCTGGTCCTCGCCCTGCTCAGCGTCCTCTACTCCGTGCACTTCCGCCTGCAAATCCAGAAGCGAAGCCTTCTTCAGCTCGGGTACTTCAATGGACCTTGGGCCACCAGGATCGCCTTCACCTCGGTCGCTGTTTGGTGGAGCATCTGGGAGATCATCCGGCTGAGCCTGCTCAGAGGTAGCGGGAGGCCCTTCGCCAGCCCGCCATGGCAGAATCACGCCTGCAAGTTCTACATACTCTCAAACATTGGGTTTGCAGAGCCCACCATGCTGCTCATGCTGGTGTTCCTCCTCCGGGCCTCTCTGCAGAAGAGGGAGCTGGGTGCGCTGAGCCACCATTGGAACGGGAGGGCCATCGGCAGGGCCCTCTTCCTCTCCCTCCCCGTCTTCCTCCTGCAGCTCATGGTCGTCTTCCTCGGGCCCAAGCTTCTTAACCGGGAGACGAACCACCACATCAAGCTGGCGAGCTATTTCTGGAGTGCCTGGTGCGCGACGGAGGACGGCGGCGCCGCCTGCACCTACCCTCTCTTCAGCACTCTACTGCTCGGGCTCCTCGACCTGGCACTGCTCGGTTACGCCTCCTACGCCGGTGCTCGAATTGTATCCCTGGCGATCAACAGGAGACTCCGGCGGCGGGTCTGCATTCTGATCCTCTCGGTTGACTTTTTAATCCTGCTACGGGTCGTCTTCCTCGGCCTCTCGATCCTGGCGGCGCCCGGCGGCCTGCCCTTCGAGGCTCTCGTGTTCTTGGCCTTCCTGACGCAGCTACTCTGTGCCGCGGCGGGCGTGTCCGTGCTGGTCTTCTTCCCGGTAGCGGATTCCCTGGCGCTGAGAGGGGCCCTGCATTTTGACATTGGAGAGACGCCCTTCGACGACTATTACAGCGATGGCGCCTCTCTCATCTCCAATAACCAAAGCCTCCGGCTGGAGCCTGGAAGAAGAAGCTCGGATGTGTCTACCAAGCGGGGCTCGATATCTTTCAGGACGATGATCAGAGTGGAGCTTGCGGCTGGATGTGACTCCGACAACCCCAGCGCCGCATCGCCGCTGTACCCTCCCACCAGCTAAGACCTTGGAACCTCCACCTCTCCTCTGTCGTCATTCTTCTTCTTCCTCTTCCTTCTCCCGATCTTCCCCTGCCCCTCATCTGATTTGCAGAAAGGAGGAGGGCCCTCTCTCTTGTAGAAATTGTTTTTTTTTTTTTTGTTAACCGTTTAAGGCAAGGTTTTCACTGTTCCAGCTGATTTTCGTTGCGTGATGCTGCTTATAAGAATATCAACCAGGGTGGGATGGGGAGGAGTGAAGAAGGGGAAATTTCTGAAGGAAAGTTTGGGGGAGAACCACTAGAGTATCATAGCGTTGCTGTCGGATAGTTGACTATCTCCGAAATGGCTCACTTTCCTGGAGTTTGATTGGTCAAAGCTCCCAGCTCATTACGTGTTTGACAGATATTGGGATGGCGGCGGGTGGGGTCGGTTCTGCCTTGCCGTCCTTGACTTCCTCTGGGGGTTAATCTTGACAGCTCAAAGAGAAGATCTTTTTGACAGCACATACTCTCTCTCTCTCTCTCTCTCTCTCTCTCTCTCTCTCTCTCTCTCTCTCTCTCTCTCTCTCTCTTCTGGGTGGCAAGGATCAGGTTTGACTTGGTAATGGCTGGGCCTTGCCTGGCCCAGAAATCTCACCACCGCGGCCGATTTTGACGTATTCGATCCGCCGATTTAATCCCTTGAAGCTCATAGATTTTCGAATTGACCTTGAATTGGGTCCTCTCTCTCTCTCTCTCTTCTCTCTCTTGTGTGCTCGGACTGTTGACTTCTGGGGGAACGATCTGTCAAGTCAAACTTGAAATATGAGGCGGAGACCACCATGGATCCGCCGCCGGTTAATATCGGGCACGGCTCTCCAAACGGGTCTCTGTCCCCGAGTTTATTCCTGATTTATTTTGTACACTTGATTCTCTCCGACCAAGTGGCTGGAGCCGCTTAATATATGCATTTCCAGGAGAGAGAATCTTCACTGTATCAGATCCGGCGGCCGAGAGAATCTTGCACTCTATCATACGCCTCTCTCTCTCTCTCTAACTCTCTCCTACCTGTGCGCGACCCATTTGGTGGGGTATGGTGTCTGGAGGAGAGTCGCAAGGCATGAGAATGGGCAGCCCCGGCCGAGTCTTTCTTTCTGGGAATCATAAGCTCAAGTTTATCATCTACTTGGTAGTAAAAATAATAATAATAATTCGGTTCATTACTCGCCTCACCGACTAACCATCATCTTCGTGGACCCTCCGATGGGCCACGTCTCTCTCTCTCTCTCTCTCTCTCTCTCTCAATCTCACTCACATTTAAGAGGACAGAGCAAAATCGACTCATTGGAACCCGTCAGAATAAACTGTACAGGGAGGATTTTCCATTAGACCGACTCGGTCAGCCTCCTACAAAACCCTAAGCAGTTCAGTGGCACGCCCTAGAGAGAGAGAGAGAGAGAGAGAGAGAGAGAGAGAGAGAGAGTTGTTGGGCTTCTAAATTGATCTGAAATAGGATTATACCCGTTGACTTTTTCCTCCAGGACTTTGTAAAAGATGCGAGGCTCTGGCTGGACTTCGTAGGCACTACCACATACCGGCGCATCATCAGATAGCCCAAGGGGACATTGAACAGAGAGAGAGAGATTTGGGCTTCTAAATTGATCCGAAATAGGATTATAACCGTTGACTTTTCTCCAGGGCTTTGTAAAAAATGCGAGGCTCTGGCTAGGCTTGGTAGGCACAAGCACATACCGGCTCATGGCCAGATAGCCCAAGGGGACATTGAAGAGAGAGAGAGAGAGAGAGAGAGAGAGAGAGAGAGAGAGAGAGAGAGAGAGAGAGAGAAACCCGCTCCTTCCATTCCCCAGGTGGCCGCCACCCGCATTATGAAGCTCCGGCCGATGTTCCTCAGATCGGGTGCCTACTCGATGTCCTTCATGGCATCCTGCATGGAACAGGGAGATGATCATGTAGATTCGAGATAAATTCAGCAAAGGGCTCGACATATTAGGCGAGGATTCCACGAAGAATGGGTGGTCAAACCATTCACCAGCCCTGAGGTTTTTCCTCAGATGGGCTAGAAACAATCTTGCCCACAACCTAAACCCGTCATCATCTCCAAACCCCGCTCCCAGATCCACATGAACCCTAATCGCCTCTGTATACCCAAAAAGGCATCATTTTTTTCGGGGGCATGAAACTTCAAAGGAGATCGACATCCAGCAGTCTACTCAGAGATCTCGGCCAAACATCAGCTGGGTGGGTATGAAATGATGTGCTGGAGGGTGGGGAAGGGGAATGAAAGCAGGAAAGAAGATAGATGAGAGGGGGACAATAGAAAGGTACTCATTTAGGCAGTACCTTGGCGAGCCGTGTAACATATGATGCAGCCAACGCCGTGGCCAGGAGACCGAGGCCTAATGTGATCAACTGGCCGTTGCTTCCTGGTAAGCCTCCAGATGATTCTTCCTGCTGCAAAACAGAAGTGCAGTACGATTGGTGAATTAGCGAACCTCAATTCAAAAAGAAAAATGAGGACTTTATCCAAAAAGGGGAAAAATGTGCGAGGACAGGAATTTATCAAAAAGGGGGAAAATATTATCATGAATATCTAAGAATGAGCAGTGCTGACATATGATTTTCTACTTTTTCTGGGTAATCAGAAAATAAAAAGGAGAGAAATATAGCTTAAAATTATTGCCCTGCCTAAAAGGGGAAAAAAACTACCATGAATATCAAAAGAATGAGCAGTGCTGACAGATGATTTTCTCATCTTTCTGGGTAATCAGAAAAAATAAAATAAAATAAAATAAAAAGAGAGAAAATTAGCTTATAATTATTGCCCAGACAAAACGGGAAAAAAAATTATCATGAATATCAAAAGAATGAGCAGAGCTGACAGATAATTTTTCCCTATTTCTGAGTAATCAGAAAAAATAAAATAAAATAACAAAAAAAGAGGAAAAGAGATTAAAATTATTGCCCAGCCAAAAAGGGGCGGAAAATTAGCATGAATATCAAAAGACAGAGCAGCGCTGACATATGATTTTCTCCTCTTTCTAGGTAATCAGAAAAAAAAAGAGAAAAAGAGCTTACAATTATTGCCCTGCCAAATGCGCCGGCGCTAACATAAGCCCACGTCCCTGGAAGCATCCCCAACCAGCTGCAGGGAGGGATATGGACTCGTTTACAGGCAAGAAACTGAGACAATATCAAGTGACTTCCATGGCAATGTACAGACTAAAAGGTCCAATCTGATGTCAATCTGATGTTCCTGAATCTAGATAGAGATGCTTTCTACTATATAAATGAGGCCCGATGCCTTATGATCCGGCCCCCCTGGAGGTCACTCTCCTTGCTTTACAGCATATTTTCCATTTGTACTGGATTCAATGAGTTTTCCCTTTTTCCCTCTCCAAGCTTCGCCCAGTCAGATTGAAGTCATGGCAGATATCAACAGATATCAAGAGCATTTAAGAGGCTAATGTCTACATGCATTCCTCAGCTAGGCAGCCATCTAATTATTTACATATGATCTGATCGAAACGCCTGCCAGTAGATTGCCTTTCTCATTTATCAATTATTTCCTTTATAATACAATAAAAGCAAGTCCTGCTCAGACGCTATCTTGTAATAGGTGACAGATCACAATGAATGCAGCTATATGCCGAGAAAGGCCAGATTTTATATCGCCAAAAATGGCAAAAAGAAAAAAAAACACTAACCTTCCCAAAACATAGGGCCAAAATTCCACCGAAGTCAACCCATATAGATAGTTTCCAAGAGCAAAAGGAAGCAACGGACTCAAACGCAGCAAGGTGACAACTCTGAAGCCGTTTTCCCCAATAGCTTTATCAATAGCCAGAAATTTTTCATTTCCCTCAACCAATTTAAGAATTCGGTCACGGGCCAAGTATCTGGCTATAAGGAATGCGACAGCAGCTGCAAACTGCAGAAGGTGGTTGACTTTACCAGAGCTTCAAGTGACACATTTATGGAATAAATTATCAATAATATGATCCAGGATGGGGAAACCCCTTACCGTTCCACTGATTGAGACAAGGACTGTACCAGTAAAACTACCAAACAGAAGCCCTGCCGACATGGTTAAAGGAATAGCAGGCAGTGCAAGGATCTGGAAGACAAGCAGTAGATATTAGTCGCAAGAAATACATAATATAATCTGCATGGGCTTTAGGAGAGCGAAAACACAAAAGGATTCAATCCAGATACCATATCTGGTCTTCTTTTTCCCATTGAAAAGTCAGAGAGTTGTGATGCTGCAGGGGGATTCTCAGAAATTTGTTTCATGGAGTAATTTGGGAGGAGGAAGGAAACATAAGATTAGGATTTTCATTGAAACCTATGATTTTCGTCAGGATAGCTTATAAATTCTTGAAAAAGGAAATATGTTTTTTCATAGAATTTGCTTTACCTTTCACCTTATTCAAAGAGCAACTAGAAACGCAAATCCATAATGAACCAAAAAAAGTATTAATCAAAGTATGGTTCCTTGAGATGTAACCAAAAAGTTCTTCACTTGAATTCACATTGGACGGAAACATGGCAGCTTTTACAACCCTCTAGACACTGATTCACAGAGTAAGAAACGGATGGGAAGATATGTAACTAAAAGATTATGTGGAAGCATATGAAAAAAAAAGAAAATATTTTATGATCGAAGCAATTTAGGAGGTGGAGAAACACCACGATGTGTATGACATATTATAGCTAAACGAAAGATCATGTCTGGTATAAGTTTTCGCATCTTGATGGAACTATATCAAGCAATTTCTACTATTGTTCATTTTTTTTCCATCATTCAGGCACTTTAAACTAAATTATTCTCTCAACCTTCTTCATATAAGTTGATCCTTTATTTTCACCACAGCAATCATACTTCAAAGGGCAGTATACAATTAAAGCATAGTTGGAGGTCTGATTTTTTACTTTATTTCTTTTAATATTGGTACATCATTTTGAAAAGGTAGGAACGGCATTTTATCCGCAAAGATCAATAATTGCGCTGAAATCATTCTCACCTGTCATAAATAAAAGGGAAAATGCATCCAATACACAGAAAAGTGTGTGCGAGAAGCTTATCTCACCTCCAGACCAGCATAGACAGCTACAAATAAAGCATATCCCGCAGGTCCATAACCTAATTTCCCAGAACATATCAGTAGTAATTCAAGCCACGTATGCGAATATACTAAAATAGAGAGTTGACAAACAATATAAACAGCAATTAAGAGAAATGGGAATGATACCTGATTAGAAATACATTCATTAAAGCCATAATAAAATGACATGCATCTGCCTGAAAAAGGCATTTCTCAGCCAAATGTTGTGATGATAAAACCTATGTATTGGTAACATTTTACAGTTTATATGCCTCTCCTGCTGGCAAAAATTCAGAAGGTACGCCTGTGAAAAACATAACTCTGGAACAGTCCAAGAACTCTGGGATAGAAGACTCCACAAGAACCAGTTTCACGTAGATCCTAATCAACCCAGACCCACAGACGACGGGGATCAGCAAACTTCCCCAGCTTGGATCCATAATGTTCAACCAGTTTGTCACTCTCGACTATAACACTTCGGCAGGGGAACCAGTGTTCATGGAAATATAGAAAGCTCTAATGTGAGACGCACCTTCAATGAACGCAGAAAACTGGGTGAGGAAATCGTTGATCTGATCCTTGTAAATGTAACCCACCGTGCTAAAACCCCCGACGACACCAACGAGCAAGAGCCCAGCAAGGACGGTGCCCTTGACAGCAACATCCCCTCCGAAGCCCTCCTCCTCCGAGGCGACCCCATCTTCCCCTTTCTTCTTGCTCGGGCTCCCAACCCGGAAGCTCTCCGGAGCCTTGGAGAACTTCTGTGGCCTCTGCTTCTCGGTCCCCTTGGTGGAGGAGATGGGCCTAAGCGTAAATAACCGCCTGGTCAGGGGACTAGACCCAGATGGGAAGGTGAAGGTGAAGGGGAAGGGGAAGGGGAAGAGAGAGAAGGAGGCGTTGGAGGAGAGAGATAGAGGAGGGGAAGGGGCGGAGGGGGAGGCCAGGAGGCATGGCCTCATGAGGTTCATTCGAACAGGAGCCGCAGCAGGAAGCTGAGGAAGAAAGAAGAAGGATATTCCATGCAAGAGCTCTTGGAGCTGCCTTCCTCAGTGGTCTCTGGTCTTCGTGGGGAAGGAAGACGAAGACGTTGCGGATTTTGACAGAACGCGGGCTTGACACGTGGCGTGATGGGCATATCCCCGGAAGAAAGCAATGAAATTGAATCCAGGTGGAAACTGTCGGGAGATCCTCTTGATACAATCCGGGCCGCCAGTCCCGTGGGCTCCTGCTCTGTTCCTCCAGACATTGGATCCGCGGGATCTGAATATTGTCTTACAGCAAAAAATTGATTTGTGAGATAAACTTTCGACTTATTTTCTTAATTTCTTCAAATGTTCTTGATAAAACATTCATCCCTTCGAAATCAAAATTTCATATTTGGAAAAACATAAATACCCGTCTCTCTCTCTCTCTCTCTCTCTCTCTCTCTCTCTCTCGTTGACTGTTACTGAAGAAACCCTGCGCTCATCATTTCCAAAGAAAATTATGGAAGAAAATAGGAAGGCATCGGGTCCTTCGGATCAATCTATGTGGGGCACAGACACGCTCGGATCATGAACAAGGCAGAGTAGTTCACAGTCGTCATCGCGGCCAGGTGATGCTCTGAGAGATCATCAAGTTGGTCGGCCTCTGAAGATGCTCCTCCGTTGGGTCCTCGGACGGTTGACTGGGCTTCAAGGGTTTGACTACTGCGCCTCGCTCTTCCAGGGCTTTGAGTACGGAGCCCGCCACCAAGTCAACCTACAAAGCGAGTGAAATGTGAATGATCAGAATCACACTGATGAAGCACAGGCCGGCCCAAGTGTGGCCATCTCTCTCTCTCTCTCTCTCTCTCTCTCTCTCTCTCTCTCTCTCTCTCTGCTCCCTCTGCGACAACATGTTATGGGGGAAACAGTGATCAATGACAGAATTACCCATTTGGGGAAGTTTATCCATTGATAAAGGGTGCTCTGCTGTTAAAAAGAGTAACACCGACTGTAGTCAACGGGGAGGATCCAAATCAAAATAAACCCAAAACGTAAGATCACAGTGGCAAATGACTGAATTCTTTTTTTTTTTGTAGAGGCTGATGAGATTAATCCAAAATGATGTAATTAACACAAACCATGGTCAACGGGGAGGATCCAAATATAAACGAAACAAGACACCATTCCACAAAGGGCCCAAAAAAAATCAGAAAAAAAAATAGCTGGATTTATTAACTAGCCTTTTTAAAATTAATGGACCCACATGAGCTGCAAGATCATCAAACCTCGGTGATGCAACCACAAGACAAGAAAGTTTTGGCTCTTTTCGCTTGAGAATCCACTGAAACCTCTGAACCTCTGGTTCTGTGAGCTAACTCTCCTTGATGAGCCTAGTTCAGTCTTTCACTCCTACCACACCAGCTTGGTCCTTCCATCTACATCACTACGAAAGCTCCCTATGATACTTGTCACTAAGAACAGGGGAATCTACCTCGCCAAAAAGGAAAATAATATCGCAAAAATGCAGGGAAAAACTTAATTATTTGGGTTTTGATGAGCGGAAAAAAATCGATGATATTATTTTTTTACAGGAGTAATAAAATAAGAACATATTCCACAAAACCACGAGAAAGAAGGTTAATGAGCAGCCACTGAAATAATTTTTCTATTCGGATAATGAGCAGAAAAATTATACTAAAATAAGAAGGTTATTTACCTGACTCTTTTTTTTTCGTGCCCAGAAAATAAATTAATGGGCATCCAAGAAATTATTTAGATTTCATCAGGAACATAGAGATTACCAACGACCCATACAAAGATGAGGATGGGAATCTGACATCTGTGGATGTCCTGATGCGTTACTGATTCCTCATTTCTTGCCACTTAACCATTCATTTTCACTCTACTTTCGTGTATTTTTTCTATAAATGATGCAAACTCACAAGAGCAAATATTCATCTTCAAAACCCACAAAATTAGCACATAATTGTCAAAATGAGTCAATAAAAGACGATCTCAGAGCTGAAACAGTTGCAAAAGAACTCTCCGACGCATCAATGAAATGCAGACCAACAGCAGTATCCAAACCATGGTCATCGTACGGACAGGAACTTGAGATGAATTCAGATATCGCTAGTTAAAATAAATAAATAAATAAATAAATAATAGTATCTATGCCAATAAATAGAGACATAGATACTGGTACTGAACAAGGTTCTCACCGAATGTGAAGCAACCTCAACCAGGGCTTTAACGATAGGCAAGATACAGAACCTGAAACTTAGCTACAATCAAAACATTCGGACATAACTTTATAAAGATGAGGAAGATGCGGGAAGGGAAGAAGAGCACCGACATGCCCCTCCCGCCGGCCAAAGCCTCCCCCGAAGGTTCCCTCCATTCATCGACCCTGACCAAAAGATCAAACAAAAAAAAAACACAGCACCTCAGCACACAGAAAAACATAACTCGAGTCAGTAACACTGAAGGTTTCGGAGGTTTCAATGTCGGCGCCCCGGATGACACAGAGAAACACTCGCTTGGAACCCCTCGTTTCCTCAGAAAGACCACCATCTTCGGAAGAGGAAGAGGTACTTACACCCACCCATAGCGCCGATCAAACAGCAGACGCCTTCCATGGCGCCGGCCCCCCGGTTGCTGCATGGTGTGGAAACGAGAAGAGAGAGAGAGAGAGAGAGAGAGAGAGAGAGAGAGAGAGAGGGAGAAGGTTTCTATCTTCTATAGGAGGGGGGCGTTTCTCCCGGGCCAGAGTGCAATGCACCGAACAGCTACCATTTGGGTTTTTTTACAGAAGAAAGAGAGGCTTTATTGGGCTTGTTTTATTATTGGGCCATTATTGGGCTTTTATTATTATCCGTCCTTACGGCGTCCGTGGCATTAAAAATAATCTCGATTCGAAAAGGTTTATCTGTCATACAAAATGTTATTTAGAGTATATCAGACATTTTCCATATCGTTCCCCGACCTTCTCTTCGGGCACGAATCCGACGGATTCAGCGAGTTTCTTCCCGATTTTAAACGAAACAAGACTGAAAAAAAATCATCCCGGACATTGACCAACCACGCAATCGCCCAATCCAACCCGAATCGGCCGGCGTGTTCACTGAGTCACCGAGCCGCCTCCGGAGACGGCGGCGCCAGCGGAGGCCATTGACGTGGCCGGGGAGGCATCGAGAAGCTTACATCCTTTTCCCCATTTAATTTACTGTTGACCCAATCATATATTCTTCTTTTCATCATATCTAAGTCACGGTCAACGGGTAGGCCACTGGGCCACGTCATGATCTGTCCGAAGCTGACATGGTCCAGTGGGAAAGCTTGGGCATGAGGCAACGAACGGGCCTGTTTTCTGAAGCTGAGGCCCGAAAACAGGCCCGGTCTTCCACTAAGAGAGAGAAAAGAGAGTTTTTTCGGACTCGATTGTGAGGCCCGAGCCCGGAAAAGCCGGGGGACAGTAGGATGACAGTAGGAACGACACGTCACGTCTTGCGTGTTGGGGGGGATCGGCCGAAATCTGGCCCCCACTGAGTAACCGCATTCGACTGTCGGTAAAGGGACAAACCGCCTGCGCCGACATCCCCTCTCCGACATGGGCGGGAAGAAGGCGAAGACGGACGAGTAGCGGTCAAAGACCGTTTCCACCGATCCCCCCCCCCCCTCTCTCTTGAAGCCGTCCACCTGATAGATCCTCAAACCGTTGACTGGTCAAAGGTCGAAAACAGATCCTTGAAAACTTCTCCGCGACGTCCACTTATTCAAGCTCCCCTTCCTCCCTCCCTCTCTCTCTCTCTCTCTCTCTCTCTCTCTCCCTCTTTAATTCTCCATAAAACCTGGTCTTCTTCATCCCAAAAGATGGATGTCTGGAGGAGAAGAAATCTGCCCTCCTAAAAGGTATAGTTAAGAAGAGAAAATCAGGAGACGATGGTCGATCTGGTGGATATCTTCTTCCGTGGTCTGAGCGTCTCGGTCGTCTCCTTCCTCTTAAACTCTCTCCTGGAGCTCCGCAAGGCCATGTCCATGGCGGTGGAATCCTCCTCTCCTCCCCCGGTACCTTCCCCCGGCCCATGGAAGAGATTCTCTGAGGCCCTTCCCCTGGTTTCCAAGAGACACAAGGCTACTCCTCCAGTCTCAGACGAAGGCGGGGGAGCCGCCGAGTTGCACCGGCGGCGGAGGCCGACGAGGATCGCCATACCGGCGGCCGACGTGGGTTCTGCGTTTCCCGACGGGGATACTGTGGATTCTGAGGAGGATAGAGAGTTCCATCTCCAGGAGAGGTGCTATTCCGTGGCGAGCAGGAGGGGTAACAGGAGGGTGATGGAGGACGGCTATGGAGTCATCACCAACATCCGGGGAGACCCGAAACAGGTAAGACGATGACGACTAAGGCATCAATGTTCTTCTTCTTCGCTATGTGACTAAAAATGGAAAGAAATGGATTGTTCCTCGGCTGCAGAGACATGTCTTGGACAATCAGAGAAGCACTTTGATTGAAAGATATTATCTTTTTTTCTTATTGGACAAAAAAGATCGCCTGTTTTTCTTAGAAGTTGATCTCTTGCAGGCATTCTTTGGCGTGTTCGACGGCCATGGAGGGCGAGCAGCTGTAGACTACGTCTCCAAGAACTTGGGAAAGAACATCGTAGCAGCCCTTGAAGATCTAGAACAGAAGGGGAATGGAGACCCGGAAACAGCAATAGTCCGAGGATATCTCGCCACCGACGAAGGGTTCCTGAGCCAGGTACGAATCGTCGAATCATCCGTCCCGGGGAAGAAAACTCTGATCTGATCAGATAAAATGTGAATCTAGTTTCATTGACCTACGACTGAGTCAAGAAGGAAGACTATAAATCTACGAATCGACGACTCCCTGCGAGAGTTTGAATCAAGAAGGGAAACATTTTACGTGAGAGATAATTAGTCAAACGTTGACGGTGTTCTAAATGGCAGGCCGTTGGCAGCGGGGCATGCGCCGCAACCGTGCTGCTCAAAGACGGCGAGCTGCATGTGGCGAACGCTGGCGACTGCAGGGTAGTGGTGACCAGGAACGGCGTCGCCACCGAGCTCACGACGGACCATCGCCCGGAAAGAGAAGACGAGAGGACCCGCATCGAGAACTCGGTGAGTTGCGCATCGATAAATATTAGATTTTGATACGATCGGAGAAGTTTACAGATTATGTTTCAAGGTGGGTCTAGTCTCACGCGCTGGGCATCCACAGGGAGGGCTTGTAAGCTGCCACAATGGTGTCTGGAGAGTCCAGGGCTCCCTCGCCATCTCTCGGGCCATCGGAGATATTCACCTCAAGGACTGGATAATCTCTAAGCCTGAAACGACGAAGCTCGAGCTTACTTCCGACTGTGAGTTCCTGATGATCGCCTCTGACGGCCTGTGGGAGAAGGTATTCGCTGGCGAGAACCTCATTTACCGGAGATTTCCTGAAAACCCTAATCAACACTTCGATGGCCGACAGGTTTCCATCGAGGAAGCTGCAGAGATCGTCGCTGAGCACCGGAGCTCGGTGCAGAGCTGCCGGAGGCTCGTCGACATGTCCTCCGGCCGAGGTTGCAGAGACGACATCACCGTCATGGTCGTCGATCTACGGAGATTTGTGCGAGGTAGGAAGACGGCGCAGTAGAGAAACACGGAATAGCCTCTCTCCCGTAGAGAGAGAGAGAGATCCGATCAGAGCTTCATGTCGATCGGGGAGGCTAATGAATGGAAAGTAGAACCGAAGGTCGGAGATTTTTTTCTCATACAGGAAAAAGTTGTTCTTACAGTTGTACAACCTACGTCCCCACGCACGTATTGACTGATACATAGAGAGAGAGAGAGAGAGAGAGAATATATATATATATATTAAAATGAGTATAATTGATTAAAATATAGGCGGGGCAAGGGGAGGGGGGGGTGTGAGTGGCGGGAAAGGGTGGTCCAGGTGCCCCTCTTTTCTGAGAGAAGGAACCACGGGAGGAGGTCAGTTGCGGCGGCGACAAGTGAAGCTGGCATCTGATGCCACGCGTTGTCTCGACAGAGATCTGACCCTCCATCAAGAGGGAGTTGGAAAGGGCTGACGGCGTCAGATGCGTCCCATGTCGTGGGATCTCATTAAACTCGGCTCAATTTATGATTAGATCCCTACTTTTACTGGAACTGCATTAATAGCGCTTATGAGCTTACTTATTTAAAAATAGTGGAAAGAGATAAAACGATTTTCAATCTGAAAAGCTCCACCGTCCGATCCTCCCAAGATTCTTCTTCTTCTTCTCCCCCCCCTCTCTCTCTCTCTCTCTCTCTCTCTCTCTCTCTCTCGCTATCTATCACATATAGAGGCACACACACACTCTCCCTCTCTCTCGATTCGGCTATGGAGGAAGGGGTGGGAATCCACGACTGGGAGCTACTTCATGGCTCAGGCGCTGCACCTCTCACCTCCGGTGCAGCACCCGCCGCGGAAGTCGATGATTTCCTTGGGATCGAAGGTGAATCAAACGGGGTGATCAAGTCGGACTATTTCTCTCTGGACTCCGAGAGCCGCTACGGCCTGCAGGTGATCTCCGACGGCGATGGCGAGGGAGACAGCCTCCCCGACTCGGATAACCCTAGCTGGGTGGACCCCGAGTCGGATTCTAGGTTTATAGGGGAGCCGTCGGCGGTGGCGGCGTCTGGCTTCCCGCGTGCGGACGCCGGCGGATTCTGGACCTCCGACGAGTCTTCCGACGAGCAGGAGGAGACTGCGCCAGAGGGGGATCTCTTCGACGGCGCCAGTTCGCAGTCGGGATTGGCTCTCGAAGCTGTCAATTTCGAGATCGGAGAGGCGGAGGAGGTTTGGGATTTCGAGGGAATTGTGGATGGGAGCGACGAGTCCGGTGATCTGAACTCTGAAGATAGCCCTACTGGGGAAGAAGATAACCCTAGAAGCGGCGATTTGGGGGATTTCTCCGCTGGGGAGCGGGAAAAGTCGGAGATGCCCTGGTGGAAGCTGCCTGTGGAGCTTTTGAAGTTCTGCGTGTTTAGGATCAGACCTGTCTGGTCCGTCTCCATCGCGGCGGCACTGGTAAGTCTCGTCCTGCTGAGGAGGAGGTTGTACAAGAAGAAGCCCAAGATCAAGAGCGTCCCCATTAATCTCAGCGCCGACGACAAGGTAAGAATTCCTTCTGCAGATCGGGCGAATCCACCATGCTTGTGCATCAAAAGAAAAAAACTTCCAATAACTGAGTAACCTAATTGACTTCCAACATGCCGTAGAAATGTCCCAGAGAGAAAAATAAACTAAAACCATTTATTATTCTGGAAAAAAACTACTAGGATTTCATGTTTCCAATTGACTAATCTTAAAACCATCTATGTCAATTTCTGTTTTCGTAGATTTCTTCTTTCCCTTACACTTTATCGTGATCGAGGTTCATAATATAGAAAATTTTCAGACTCATCTTCTCCATTTTTTTTCCCCATTGTCCATAAATCTTCATTAATTCCACCATCGTCATCAAGTCCCCCTCACGTATGGTTTTTCATCGAAAGGAACCTGAGACCGTGGTTAAAAACGAGCCCGCTCATGGTCTAGATGCTCGCGGTTCTTACAGCTTCTGGTTCATCAAACCCTAACCCCAGACCTCATCTGCTTGCAGAAGGCGTCTCAGTTCATGGTGCGGGCATCGCGGCTCAATGAAGCGTTCTCGGTGGTGAAGCGGGTACCCATGATTCGGTCCACTCTGCCAACCATGGGAGTGACTCCATGGCCTGTCATGGCCTTGAGATGAGTACTCACAGCCCTCTTTAGATGAAGGTCTCTTCAACCGCCGGTAGACGGAAAATTCTGTGATATCCCATATCGATGCTTGCCATGTAGATTCCCCACCATAGTTTGCTGTATATATTTCCACAGCACATAGCATATTTAAATATATATATACATATATATGGTATTCAGTGTGAGCTATCTAGTCTTGGGTTCTGTGTATCTCTTGATGAATGTTCTTGTCTGGTCATCATCAAATCAAGCTGGGAGCTTCATCATCAAGTTGAGTGTATCCTGATTAGAGCCATGATCTTGTTCCTCCCTTGTCATGTAAAAGTCCACTGAGATCATTATCCTCTCCTCTGAAAGCTTATCAGAAGAACAGCTCGGTGAGGGCATCCTGATTGGAGCCAAGATCTTGTTGCCTCCCCTTGTAATGTAAAATCTCAGTATAAGTCAAATTGATATAGTTCTCAGCTTGTTTCTGTCCTTGCAGTCAACTGTTCTCTGAAAATTTCTGGAAAATTTATATTGTTGAATGTTCCTGTATATCAATGAAATGAAGATGGAAGCATTACCATCAAGTTGAGTGCTTTACACGGTTTCTTGAACAGATGTCAGACACATTATCATTTTATACGATTCCTATTTATATGATTCTCAGATTGAAAAAAAATGTGTGGTTTTCTGTGTTAGGGGAGGGATTATCTTTCTGATTCTCTCTCTCAACTCAGAATTGGAAAATTCTCAAAAAAACCCATTTTGAAGATCATTTTTGGAGTATAGAACGTGTTTAAGAGGACTATGTGATTATGATTATCCTACCATCTCCTTTGAATTTTTACGGGTTTTAATTTATTTCATTTTTCGTTATCCAATAAAAAAACGAAATGGGATTTTATATAACAAATAAATTATTACTGGGTCGTGTGGGGCCCAGCTGTGAAGATTCTTCTACGCCTCGGCCGGCTGACCGTTGACTTGCTTGGAAATCCGAGAGACTCGTCGAAGACTCAGCAGGCAAACGGATTCTTTTAATCGTCGGGTGGGGCCCAAATATTCGAGAGAGCAGCCTTCTAGGTCCGGGCGGCCCGCCACAGCCCTTCCGAACAGGATTCCTGGGTCCCGATTGGAATCCAGCTTCTTCTCTTCCCGCCTCTTCGACTAGAGAAGGCACAAATGGCATAGCAGCAGCGCAGAGGTGAGGGGCGGAGGGACTTCTATAGAGAAGAAGCTCACATCGTCAGAGGAAGGATTTATCGCAGACAGCGGGGAGTTCTCGTCTGGGGTTTTGCGTTTGGTAGTCAATTCTGAGGGTTTATCACAAATCGTTCCCGTCTCATATTCTGGGTTTTGCCTGGTGGAGGGATTGGAAACCTTCCTTCGGAGGCAGATTCTGCTGAAAAGTTCTTCGAGATGGGTAGGAGAAAGGAAACGATTGCGGAGGACTACTGCTTCGTCTGTAAGGAGGGAGGAAACCTCCTCATCTGCGAGCACAAGTGAGTGGTTGCCTATCCTTTTTTCGTAGATTCTCTCTCTCTCTCTCTCTCTCTCTCTCTCTCTCTACCCCCGTGTTCTTGCTCTTGATCTTGTTCGGCGGAGTGTTCTAGATAGAGCGGGGGCCAGGTGGGCCTTCATTGAAACACCCAATGCTCTGTGACTGTCTGTGGATCTCTGCCTGCCCGATTTGAGATGTTTGCGTCTCAGACATTTTTTATTCACTGGATAAATATTTTTTATATCGTAGAAGAGGCGCGTTCCATTAGAGAAGAAAAAAAGATGAAGAACCTAGGGGTAGCTAACAATGCCAAGTTTTCTCTTGTGATCGCAGCAAGAGTAAGACCAATGGGGAATAGAGTAGGAGATGCTCTAGTCCACCGACACAGAGTAGGAGATGCTCACAGACATGAGATTGTCAGGCTGTCATTTGTTCTCTGATGTCAATACACAGAAAACATCTTAGAAGTGGCCCCACAGACAGTAAACTTCGATCATGGGCTGCAGGCGAGTGCTGGCCTCTGAACGAGAAATCATCTGTCTTTTAAATGTCTGCTTCTGAGGAATTTCTCTGGTGGAGTAATCTACAAAACGATAAATCTTTAGGAAACAGCGGTGGCCTTGTTTATTAAAAATTGAAAATTACTTTAATTTTAAAAAAATCGTAGAAATATATACAAACAGTCTTGTTCCATGAAAAAAGTATGTGCCCTTGTTTCTATTTTTTTTTCTTCAGAATCTATTCATTTTCATTGTTTTTAAAAAAATTTAACGTATTGTTCACATATGATTGATCGAGTGCCTTATTAAACTATCGCTAACACTAAGTAAGGTGAGTGAGAAGCAAGCAAATCAAACAATGAACCAATACTGTCTCCAAGCAAGGACAATCAAAAGCTTAAAATTGAATTCCCTTTCAACAAGGGAAATAGTAAAAATGTTTCGGCATCTAAGAAGGTATCAAAATCAAGAATGTCTCAAAACACATTCAAAAAGAAGTATTTTAAGAATAAAAGATAGAGAAGGTGCATACTCACAGATGGCTGAGCTTTAGAAGAGCACATAAAGAGTCCATACTCTCAGGAATTGTTTGGTGAAAGCTACCGTAGATAAAGCAGTTTGTCATTTTCTGGTCTCGGATTGTTAATATGGTATGCATAGGCTTCAAGTTTACATTCAGTTTGAGTAATTTTATTTTTCTATATAAATTGTGGTTTATACCAAAAAAAATTGTCATCACACATTGCAATATCTGAACTAGTTTTTGCTTGATGTTTCAAGGAAAACCATTCTTATTTTTTTTTATATAATTTTTGGATCCACAGCAGAATAGCTAAGATTCTATCACTATCCCTGTACAGTTTGTCCAGTCTTTCAATTACATGCTTTAAATTATTAGAAACAACCATATTCTTCGGTTATCTCCAATTTAGCATTTGTGTTAATCCATGTTTTAATTTTTTAGCATTTTTTTTCTACGTTCTATGGTTTCATTTCTTCAAAGCTAACGATAAGTTATTCAATAGAGGTTGTCTTAAAGTATATCATCCTCAGTGTGTGGGCAAGGACGAGTCCTTTCTGGAGGCAGAAGAGCGCTGGACTTGCAGTAAGATAGCTGATGCTTTTATCACATTTTTTGATATTGTTTCTGACTCAGTTCCCTAGACTGACTTATTCCTATCCCTCTTAGCATGAAATCTCATGCTTTACAAACTGTGGCGGCTCTTCATGCAAATTCTTCATCTTGTTCTGACTCATTATTACATTTTATAATTCATGCGAAACAGAACATCTCGTTCCTTTATGACCTAGATTACTAGATGCTCTGCATTTTGTGACAAATTATTTGTTATTCTTTCTGTCAAGTTAAGCAAACTGAGTTAGCTTGTGTAGAAATTAAGAATGAAAGAAGAAGAGACAATTGGAGAATAGAGAGGGGAAACACCTGAAATCTATGGTGTAGAAATGGCGGAGAAGAATAACGTTCTCACAGTTCCCACAACCCAAAGGCAATAGCATATGTGATTCCAACATGGTACATGTCATTTGGATCCAAGCAGACCCAACAACGAACAAATAATTATTCGTCAAAAACTTTTATTATTTTATGGTATTATTCGCTGATGGCGCATGAGTTGTGTTGAAATGATTTTTTATGGAATAACTTTCTCACAGTTCCCACAACCCAAAGGCAATAGCATATGTGATTCCAACATGGTACATATCATTTGTGATCCAAGCAGGCCCAACAACGAAAAAATAATGATTTGTCAAAAACTTGTATTTTTTGATGGTATTACTTGCTGAAGGTGCATGAGTTGTGTTGAAATGATTTATTGTGGCATCTATCTCATTGGTGATAGGTTGGCATACGTGCTTCACCTGCAATAGGAGTTCAAAATTTCAATGTTTCTGTTGTCCAAAGGCTTTCTGTAAAGCGTGCATCAGAGCTACTGAGTTTGTGGAATTGAGGAACTCAAAGGGATTCTGCAGTTACTGCGTGAAACTGTTAATGTTGGCGGAAGAAAATGCAGATCTTGACTTGGATGAAGTAAGCTTCTCCACTGGCACTATGATGTTTCTTATTTTTTTAACTATATGTTCTTCACTGTTGTTCTACTTTACTCTGTTCAAAAAATTAAAGAGCGGCTTGCCACTCCTCCTGTATGAAAAAAATTCCAAAAATTCCACGTTATCGTTTGAATGCAATAACTGAATTAAGACGCTGAAATTTCACAATTTTCAAGCACGATCCTTCTTGGAAATTAAAAAAATGGAAAAAAAAACTGGCAACGACAGTCATTGTAGTAAAGTAGATTAAAAGATCTCATTGGAAAGGTGTAACATGTATATGCCTCAATTATTCTATTATTTATTGGTTCTAGTTTGTCGGTATCCATGTTATCTCATCATCATTTTTTCTTAATTAATACCTGAAGTTATACGCAGTTGACTACTTGCAAAGTTCATTTTACAGGGAAAAATGGACTCTGAGGATACTGAAACTCCCGAGTTCTTGTTCATGGAGTACTGGTATCTCATCAAAAAACAAGAGAAGATAACCTCGAAAGATCTCTGTGAAGTGGAAGCTCTGTTGAAGAAAGAACAGAATTATAAAGTTCCATGTAAGTACGGTCAAAATATCGAAGAACAAGGAGAAATGATGTCTAATTCGGAGGATACTTGTAACAGACTTGATGGTGAAAAAGCGTCATTCCTGGATAACAGAGCATTGAGGACTAGGCACAATGGCAGCTCAAAAAGACTTAGATTTAAGAAAAGATACTTCAGAGGCTGGGGATCTGTTGAACTCATCGAATTCCTTACTTTCCTTGGAAAAGATGCGACGCAGCCCCTGGATAGGTGGGATGTTAATAAAATCATAGAGAGCTACATTCATGAGAACAGTCTTCTGCATCCCTACAGGAAGAAAAAGACGGTTTTGTGCGACGAGAAGCTGCATACCCTTTTTGGCAAAGGCACTGTGAAGGTTCGTAAGATATATAATCTATTAGAAGGCCATTTTGCCTCAAATCCAGCTTCAGATGACTCCGCTTCCGGATCAGAAGGGGATTCTGATCTAGAAACTAGAAAGAAGTCGAGGACAAGTTCTGACCCCAAGAAAGGAAATCAAGGAGAAGACGTGTGTGAGCTTCCAGGAGGCCGGTTTGCCTCAATGGTATACGAAAACATTAAGTTGGTCTATCTCAGGAGATCCCTGATCATGGAGCTGTTGAGTAACCCACAAACATTTGAAAGAAAAGTAATCGGATGTTTTGTGAGAATCAAGAATGATCCTAAGGATGTTAACTTTTCGCCTGATAAAGTCTACATGCTTCGAAAAGTTTCTGGTTAGTCAACTTCGTTCTTAGTGATCAGTTCACAACTTTAACTTTCCTTTCAGCTTGGCGGAGGTAGTAACCAGACGTGACATGGCAGGCATCAGCATTGTCTCAGAGGCGTACATGGTTGGGGGAGAGAGCACAAGCATTGTTTTGTGTGCTTCTAACTGCTCGAAAAATATCCATATTTCTATGCTGTCCGATGATGATTTCGAGGAGGTATGCACACTATTTATTGCTCCTTTAGTGACATCCTTAAGATATTCGGCAGTGTGAAAATCTTTGTGTGATTTTTTTTTCTCATTTATTACCTTTATAAAAACATTTTCCATGATTGTTTTAATTTATTTTGCCTTTTCTACGATGACTTCAACTTATTGTTGTAGTCTTGGCACTCAGTTTATTGAAGAACCGCGCTTTATTATAATTTCCAATATCCAGTGCCGATTGTTGTCACCTGATCTCGTTGACAGGTAGAGTGTGAAGATCTCCGGCAGTTGGTTCAGAAAGGGCTCTTCGCTAGGCCCACTGTTGTAAGTTCTAGGCTAATATAGCAATCACTGAACTTTATCCAGCATGTTATATGCTATAATATAATTGATTACTTGTCTTAATTAGAGATATTTCGGAGGATCTCTTGCAATTTCTCTTCTTGACTTTCCTCACAGCTTGTCTTATGTGCCATTTTCAGGTAGAATTCGAGGAAAAATCCAGAACCATTCATGAAGATATCCTGAACCATGTATTAAGACTGTTATTTGCAATATATACATATATATATATATATATATATATATTATTAATGATTATTACCCCGGGGTTACATCCACTTTTTTATCTATAATTTCTTCATGCTCATGAACCCATTGAGTGGTTCAACATGAGGATGTTTATATAACACGAAGTGTTTTCACGCTTATATATATATTTCTGCTTCTCACTGTTATTACTTGTACTGGCTTTGTTTCTCAGTGGATCAAACGAGAAATCTCAATTCTGCAAAGGAAAATTGAGAGAGCCAACGAGAAAGGATGGAGTAGAGAATATCCTTGTCAGTTTGACATTGGATGTACATTCTGAAAATGCATTCTGAGTCTGACTTCTTGTGTGCGATCTAGAAAACATTAACTGAGAGAATTTATAACCTTAATCTATAAACCTCTGATACGACTTTATGATTCATTTCGAACCATATAGGGAAGCATAAACTTGGTGGGTTCATCAGGAGTTCTTAGATATCACCTTCAGATTTGCATGACTAGACGCTTATAGAAAAATATGCTTCATTTTTGTGAAAGAGGATGGGTTATATCTATGGACCGAATCACATTTGGGCTTCTATTTTTCCCAAAAAAGAAGTGAATTTTGATTTTTATCTTTCACTATATTTGGGTTATGTGCATAGTGCCAACCTTGACCTTGTTCTGATTCTCACAAAATGGGAACATATAGAGAGAAGAGCTCTTCTTCAAACAGACAGCGAGCAAGAACGCCTCCTGAAGGAGATCCCGAAAGCCATTCCAGATGTGGAAGAACCAGCGGGGGATAGACCAAATCCTCCGCTGAAGATCCAGAAAGGAGGTGAAGATGAAGGTTTTTTCTTCATAGCATATCTTTTAATAGTAAAGTTTGACATTAATTTTAAAAAAAAACGATCCCCTTTAATCTAATTCCTTTCCAGCAACTATTTTCCATTTTTAGCTACCAACATCATCTTTAAATCATTTTTTCCCAGACCCTGCAACAACTATAATTGAAGTGAGGATCACAAGGCTGAATCTGTCTCTTCTATGAAAACGATATTTTCTGGAAGTAGATCATCTTTAAAGCATTTTATTATTATTATTATTATTATTATTATTATTATTATTATTCATTGATACTAGTCGATGTAATTCATATTTTCATTTAGTTTAAGATCACGTGGGTTTATGCAGCATTCATCGAAGACCCCATAAAGAATGAAGGTCGATCCTTCTTTATATCCTTAAACCATGTTTTTTGTTCAGCTCCAATGATCCTGGAAACTAGTGACACCCCCCCCCTCTGTTTCTTGCAGAAGAAGAGCTGTGAGTCTGTAGAAGGATGAAGCAGGGACGCCGGGTTTTTTAAAAAAATATATATATATATATATATATATATATATTTTATTTTGATCCTTCCCCCGAGGCGACTGGGTAATCCAGAAGAATCCAAGCCGTTTATTGAGGATATGCTCAACTATTTTGTTTAGCCGAGGAGCAGGAATATATACAACTCTCCTCAGGTTTCTGCAGAAGGGCATTTGACCAAGGATCTTTTTGTAAGTGCTTCCATACTTGTTTTGTAAAAATACCCCTCACTTCAGCTTTATGGATATGGATGGGTTCGTGAACAAGAATCTCTTCTGGTGTATTTGTGAAAACCAAGAAAAGAAGGGGGTACTTTAAAAAAAAATACCAACTCTGACCCGCCCAAGGGGGGTATTTTTTGATGTACCCTTTAAATTTTATTAATCAATAATATATCCTCCATAGACGATTTTGAAGGGTACAACGTTAATCGAAATAATATCCGGGACAAAATGAGCGATACCCGAGTTTCGCCAGTAATTTATTGGGCCGATTACCGAGCCACATAAACCCTAGGAGGCCCATTTGACCGACAAAAGGATATAACGTTAATTGCAATAATACTTGAGGACGTTATGTACGAAAACCACAATCCCTACATGGGCCGGCCTATGATCTACATATACCCAACTGGCCCATCTTAAATAATGGGCTCAACGGAATAGCCTATTTTTTAATGTAATAAGCTATTTTGTGGGCCCATTTGTATTCCACGTAATTTACCAAAAGAGCCCATTATCAATAGCCTATCCATCCGAAACGGGGCTCAATGGGCCCATTAACAAAAAGCCTCCGATCGGCCCCAATAAGTCGCCGCAACGTACCCCGTACGCCTTCCGTCCTTTGGACCGAGACAACCGTTAGAAGACATCACCGACCAGACCCGATGAGTGCAGCGAGGCATCTGCCAAAAGCCACGTGCCTAGTATCGAATCCCCATAGTACCCCCAATCAAGATGACTCTTCACCGTCTGATCCCTGTTTCCGCAATATCCCCCACGTGATCGCATTCACCACGTAACTTCCTTGGCCAACCCGTTCTTCTCCAACTGTCGATCCTCCCACCTACAAAAGGACAAAACCATTCTCTCTCTCTCTCTCTCTCTCTCTCTCTCCTGCTTCTTCTTCCTCCACCCGTCGGTCAATCCCTCCACCCCATCGGCGGCTAGAATTTGGCGAGAAGGTCGGTCGTCGTCGTCGTCGGAGTCTGAGCTCGGAACCCTAGATCTGATCGGCTGATTCCCAATTCAGAAGACGAGGCCTGGCCATGGCGCCGATCTTGAGGAGGGAGAGCTTCTCCCTGGCGGTGGCGCTGCTGATCTGCTCCCTCGCGGCGTCGCCGGCGGCGGCGGACGCGCCGACGGCCTACGAGATGCTGGAGAAGTACGGCTTCCCGAAGGGGATCCTGCCGGAGGGGGCGACCTCGTACGTTCTGCGGGAGGATAAGACCTTCGAGGTCCATCTGGGAGGCCGCGGCGACTGCGATTTCGCTGTGGAGGGGGGTTACCTGCTCAACTACAAGAGGAAGATCTCCGGGAGACTGGACGAGGCCGCTGGAGCTCTGACAGAGCTCAAGGGAGTCAGCGTGAAGGTTCTCTTCGTCTGGTTTGGGATCGGCGAGGTCGTGAAGGGGCAGAACTCACTCAGCTTCTACGTCGGCCCTCTCTCTGCCTCATTCCCCCTCTCCAACTTCGAGGACTGCCCTCGCTGCCGCTGCGGCTTCAACTGCTCCCCCGAAGCCGCGGAGGAAGCCGCCGCCGCCTCGTTCGCAGATTCATAGGATCGCCCTCGGCAACTTTTTGTACCATTCCTCGCGCTGTCTATCAGATTCATAGAAATCTCCCACCATATTCTGTGCTTTTGGATGCTTCTCCGAGAATAAACGATCAGATTTTTTTCCGTGTGCTCCATGTGTTCTTCGCGAGGCCAGGAAACCTCCAAGATCCCCTCCCCCATACCGCCCCACTCCACGGGATCTTCCCTCCGTCCCTCGCTCTGCTCTCGGAGCCTAGCAGGAGAGAGAAGGTCGGCATCTCTGCGATCCACCAGGCTGATTTCGCCATCGGCATTGAAGATCAGATGCCGCAGACCCAGAAGCAGATCAATCAAACTGTCGAGAACCCCCGAACCCAAATCTCTGAGAAATGGAGGAAATAATTAATGTGACCTCTGTACAAGAACTGAAACATCATGGGATCAGAAGAAATCAAGGAGCTGAAAGAGCAAATAGACCAATGCCATTGAATTCATCAGCACTTCTCAAGATGAAAAACAGAGAAGGCCCCCCGAATGCCCCTAGAACCAGAACTCCAAACAGATTAAAAAGAATCTGGCGGCGACCCAAAAGTCCAACGATGGAAACATCCCCAACACGGGAAGGAGCAAAGAATGGGTTCAGAACTTCATCACTGTTTGACTGATCTTGAGAAGGGGCTCCAGAGCACTGGGCGCAAACTTCCTCGCGAAGAGGAAGCAAACGGACGTGGGCTTGGAGTTGTATGTGCAGATGGTCCCATTGTTCCTGATGGACTGGATGAAGGTCTCGTTGACATCTGCCCGGCCGAACTGGGCCGGATGAGGGCCCAACCTCGACCAGTCAACCCAGGTGACTGTTCTGTTTGCATTCAACTCCCCATGGAACATGTTCAAGTAGGTGGGTATGTAGTGTTCATCAGGGTAGCAGGAGGGCTTGCAGTACCTTCTGAAGATGGAGTAATACTTGGAGTCTGAGACAATGTCGATGGCCAATTCTCTGCTCATCTCAAACCACTCGGACCCTTTTCTCCACTGGTAGAGAGAGATCTCGGGGGCCATGCTTCGGGAGTAGCGCCCCCGCCCACGATGCGATGGGTCGTCGTATGATTCTACGTAGCTCTGCTCCGAGTTGATCAGATATTTGTACACGGTCGGAAAATTGAAGACAGGTATGCAGCTCTCGGAGAGAAGAACGAAGCGCTCATTTGAAAAGTCCAGCAGGGCATTTCCCATGAGCCGTTTCTCAGCATCCACCAATGATACTGATCCCCATGAGACGTCCTGCATGATAAGAGAAATTGTTAAATACGTCTCTCCAGAGAATATTGGTTGCTTCGATTAAATGTAAATAATAACAGGGAAATTACAAGTTAAAAAAACCGGGTTTTTATGATTTTCTTTCAGTTCATATTACGTGACACCAATATTGTTGCCAGGTTCGATCAATACAGCAGTTCTTATCTAAAACTAAAACGTAGATTCTCATGAATATGTCAATGAAGAAGACTGAGAGCGTTCTTTGCTTGTTCTGGATATTGAGCTAGAAAGAAGCCCAGATGCGTTAGATCTTGGTGAAAGACGAGAAAAAATTTAGTTTACCTAGCTTTCTTTCACAATGTTTCTTAATGTCATGGATCAACCTGAGTTCACAGTTCACAATGTTCCAGGGTATCGCATCATTAAGTTGATGCTCTCTTCGCTTCATTTTCACTGGTTCTGTCGACAATGAGCATCTGCAATAGTATAATCACATCCAACATACAGTAATTGGTTCTATCATCATAAACCCTATCTCTCCAGCAATTAATCGAATCAACATCTACAGCCCATTATGTTCTATCGTTATTTCTAAAAAAAAATATTACCAGAGTCGGAGGTTCATTCAACTTAAAGCTCACTTGTTTAATGTGTTTAAAAAACAAGGAATTTGATCTCACTCGTCAGTGGAAGCGGATGTTGAGTTCAGGACACATATGCTACAAGATTCCAAATCTGACCAAAAATGAATTGAAGAGATATCGATCACGTGTTCTACAAGATCCCCAAATCTGACCGAACATCAATTTGTTGAAAAAAAAAAAAAAAGGAAACAAGAAATTCTACTTAGAACACCAATGATAGGGAGTCTGCGCAAGCGGTTGTCCAGGACAAGATTTAAACCTGTCATTCGTTCTTCATTTTAACCTTACATCATTCTATCCCCAAATCATAGAGAAAGACTTCTCTTCAGGAGTCACTTCATTGTTATTCTCGGAGCTGGGCTCCAAAGTCACATACAGCTCCAAGTAAGAACTTGAACACCATTTTAGGAAGCATCAACCCCAGACTTATTAGTTTTCTGTTGGTCGTATTTTATATTTACAACAAATAATCCTGTAAATGATAACCAGTAAGAGGAAATGAAAATAAGGTGGCGAGCGACTAATGTCTAAAAAGGATTGTACCTGACTTGGTATCTGGCGACCATAGAAAGCGGAATTCTCGGTGACGTTGAGCTTGTATCCTGGGAGAGCATGCACATAGACTGTGAAGAGTCCCTCGTGGCCATGGAAGAACCTTTCCCACAAGGGTCCAAGTGGCAGAGCACCTCTAGTCAAGAACATGAAAGCCACCTTGGGCACCCTCTTATATGGAAAATCAGCTTTCTTTGGCACCATGGATCCTCTCCAGAAAAGCTCCTCATCTGTCATCTGATGCTTCAACTGCTTCGGTTCGATGTAGCTTTCTATGCTCAGACACTCCTCGATGTAACGAGTGGTGGGAAAGAAGAGTTCGGTCTGGGAACCCAAGTACCGACTGAAGTGGGTATTCACGGATAAGCCAATCACCCCACCAGCCATGAAAATGACCAGCGCAGTGACAAGCTTTATCACACCCAGTGACCGATCTTTTCTGGGAGTGGTTGGAAATTGTTCCGGATCCTCCTCATAATGCGCCCCCTTGAATAGCGGTTTCATCTGGCCTTCCCTGAATATATTGCGTTCATGAATTACTCTTTTCCGGAAGATGGATAACATTGAATAATATGATACAATAACAACAATTCGCGCGGTATGAAGGGAAGAAGAGCAGACGGCAGAGGAATCGATCTCTGTCAAAATTCATAGCTCTAAAAACCGAGGCATACAATCCATTAAAGATCAAATAACAGTTTGAAATCGAAAATCACAGCATTAGAAAGCGAGGGAACGCGATATACTTTCGGTTCAAAAGTTCTGTTTAATCCTCCCAGACCACTCGTATGTCCTTCGAAACTAGACACGGAAAACAAATTCCCCACAAATGAAACCACAACAATCCGGAAATCAAAACTCAATAACGCATTACTCACCTTCAAAGACAACAGATACTCTCTCCTCCCTCGACACAAATCCCCGGATCCCCCGAGCCGCGCCGGAATTAGAATTTGCCGTCTCCCCGAGCCCACCGGACCGCAAAGGTATAGGATCTGCAAACCCGAGGTCAGAGCGACCTATTGAAAGACACGGCGATCAGGAAAACCCATCTACTCACCCGCGACAACGAAACCCTCGGACTAAATAGAAGAACAAGGAGGAAACGCGTGAAAAGTCGATCTTCGTTTCTTCCTCCTCGTCGACGTCACCTACACGCTCTCCCCGACCATCCGCGAATCTTCGTAAAAAACACTCGGAAGAGAGAAACCACTGTCAGGGAGAGGGCTTCGCCGCTGTGCGCGCCGCAAGGGCAACACTCAACGAAGAAGACGTGGTCTTCCCCTCTGACTGGGCCCCCGAGGTGGTGGAGGAAGAAGAAGAAGAAGAAGAAGAAGAAGAAGAAGAAGCAAGGTGGACCCCACCAGGGCAGCCTGAGTCCCCGCTTAAACACTTTTTTCTGTTTACACCCTTCCATTAAATTAAATAGCATTTCTTACATATCTCAATAGTAGTTTCTTTTATACTTTGGCGAGCATCATGTGAGCCGGTCCAATAGATAAGACTGCCCACACGCTGTTCATATTACGTTGATCCCTTGTGTAAGGAAACATTTTCTAATAAACATTTTATATTATGAAATTGCAAATTAGTCTGACCTCAATTAAGTAGGAGTAAGAAGCTTTTACGCCGTCACCTTTATTAGCTGCTTCGGTGGCTGGCTATAACAATTATCAACTCGGAGGAACAGAGGAGTGGGCCCCCACGGTCTCCCCCTTGACTTCTGTCTTCTCCTAACAACGAACTTCTCCATCGAATGTTGAGGAGGTCTGTTTTGAAACTAATGAGACTAATAAGCTCGCTCTAAAATATATCGTGATTGAACATTATATATATTTATATATGTTATATTTTTAATCAAATAATAATGATCAAACGCCTAAATGGGAACACAAGGCCATAATTTATTTCTTAATAATTCGTATTGGAGTAAATGATCAAACTCGTATTGGAGTAAATACACAATTTAGAGTTTTAAAAAAGTGATTTTACATTTTTCTCCACGGAAACTATGGAATATCGTTAGTTAATAGGCCTTTTTTTGGGCCTGGATATAAAAGTTTTAGCCCGAAAAGAAGAAGCGGGCTGGCCTGGTCAAAAGCATCACAACTGTTCTGTAACGGCGCAGAGATTAAGAGGGGTCCTCACACGAAGGGAAGAAACTATTATTAAAATAGCGAATAAATATTTTTCCCGTTTTAATAAATAATTTTAAAAATTATTTGACATCCGAGTGTTAGAAATTATTCTAGCCCTTTTTTTTTCTCGTGGGCCTAATTTTGAGTCGTAAGCCCAAGAAGGAGTTTGTAAAAACGGGCGATGGGCCGGTCTGTGGGGAACTTGTTCAGTTAATGAGCTGAACTCGTATAGTCACGAGCTCGGCCCGGCCCGAAAATTCGCGTTATCTCGAACATGCGGGCCCCATGTAAGACCAAGACCCGCGAATAAAGGGGAAAACAAATTACGCGTGTATGCCGTGCCAAGCAGTTGGTCCCGAACATTACTGCCAGCTGGTGACGCCTCCATGGCGCTGTCCGCTTGGCAAAGTCAGTCGCCACCGACCGTACACATGTGCATTAATAGTGTTGATATGGCTTCCAACGATTCGTTCATCAATAATCGAGAACGCCAGCGTGTCTATCGATTGCAGTGTTCGCCCGTTTGGGTGGCGTAAAAATCAGATCGGGGTGTAGATAGATGATCCACGTGGTATGTTTGCTGTCGTCAGCCTTTTCAATCGATCAATTGCAAAATATGACACATGTCTCACGTTACGGATTCGAACCCAAGGCGGGTGCCACGGAACGATTCGTGAGGGCGGTGGACCCGAGCCATCCCATTCTGTCCAATCAATCACGCAACGAAGCCTGGACCGCCTTAAGGAACACGAGGCTGACTTTTATATAATATTTATAATTTTTTTACAAAACCAGACAAAACTTTTTAATTAGTAAAAATGCGTTAATCCACGTATTATGCGTAGTAAGTTGGAGCAACCACCATTTCCTGGAAAAATAAAATAAAATGTATATATATGATTAAGAAATGTATTGATCTGGTGCTGATATGACGCGTGGGATAACAGAAAATAGCATAAAATCAGGGCCGTTCGCTAAATGAGGAATCCCCGGGCGTGGGGGAGTCGTGTCCTTTAAGTAGTCTCCTCCGTCGCCCGTTTCTGTCGTCTTCCGGTCGCGAAGGCCTGGAAGCTCTTGGGGTTACCCGAAACCAGCAGAGGAGCTCCGAGGTCCTCCTGTACGCCACCGCCACGCGGGCGGAAGACGAAGAGGAAGTCTTGGACCTCCACTGGTAAACTCTCTTAATCTCTTATTTCCTTCGATCGTTAGGTTTTGAGTTCCTGATTGCGGCGACGGTGAACTCGGTCGGAGGCCAGAGTTGGAATCTGCATGGACAGGGACGATCTTCGGTTTGTGTTATCACGGAATTGATCTTCGTAGTGGAGGGGAGGTTTCGTGAGCGTTCAGAGATGAAATCAGAACCGACCGTAGGATATCCGTTCGTGGAGGAATTCGATTCGTCCGCAGTGATGAATATGCGTCCGTTCATTTCCTGAAAGTAGCTACAATCGGTTGAATATCCTTTGTCCGATTCGTCGCGTGCGGTCGTAGGACTGCAGCTTCCTTTTTCCGGACGATCGCGGTAGAGACACAGATGAAACAACAGGTCGTGCCGGGAATTCGAATCCGTATTTAACGCCTGTGTTCTTCTTTTTTGTTTTCGAGAAGGAGTTGATTTCAGAAGAGGAACGGCGTGTTTGTCGGATCTTCCCACGAAAACAACGCCGGTGGTGGGATGCATGTTCGTAGAGGAACCTTATTCGTCTGGGGAGATGACCGTCCTGCGGACTCATTTCCCGACGATAATCGCCATCGGATGAATACCCGAGGTTCGATTTATCGTCTGAGTTAGGTTTCAGTGGCCGCTTCCGTCCTTTTTCCCTTGATCTTTCTTTTGTCCTGTTTTTCGACGATTTCGTCTGCTTCCAATTCCCGCCTCCTTTCACCCGTTCATCATCGAATTCTCCCAAGGAACTGCCCAACCTTTAAGTTCACCCTGGAAATCCTCCCTGTTTCCTCCATTAATTCCGCTCTACTCACTGCTCCCCGATTCTAACGGAGGACAGGCTGTCGCCTTTCTGATTATCATCATCGATGTGCCATCACCCAGTCACGGAGAACTCACCAGCTGTCCTTTCTTCTTCACGATTTCTCCTCGACCTCTCTCCCTACCAGAAACCGGAACGTGAGGCGAGAGGCTGTCCATGTCCCACCTCCTCCCCCTTGCTTCCTCGCCTTTTTTTCTCCTGTCGTCATCCGATAACCTTCTTCCTGTGATTGTCGTCGCCATCATGGGCTCTGAAGGTCAGGTGGACCTTGGCGCCCCCCGGGGTTATCCGTTTGAACCGCCGTCTCTGTCCGGTCCAGAGACCCGGTTCAATATTTCGAAATGTTTCAAAGCCTTGGGTAGTAAAAAAAGTGGAACGCTGTATTTCCAGGATTGTATTTCATATTCGAATGAATCTCGTAGTCGATCTGGCCTTCTTGGTGGGGAGGTAGGTGGCCCTATCTGGCCTCATCACGATCACAGTGCCGATGGACGGTGACAATGATGATGCTTCTCTTCGCTGTCTTGGGCTGGAGAGGAGGCCGCTTGAAGAAATCTGTCGAGACGATTGAGCTTTCTGATTCAGCTAGAGGTTACTTCGAGAAAGAAGAGTACGGCTGATACAGGGAACTCGCTAATATTTCCTAAATAAATACTCGGATTTGTCAAGCTAATTTCCGCCACTTGCCGCAGCCCGTCTTTCCCATTTAGGCACTCTGGCACTCAACAGGCCGGTGGAGGTTTTCCCGGGTCAACGGCTTTAATCTCAAAGACGGAGGCAGGTACAGCGTGGGGACGCGCTGGCCCTGTTCTGGCTTTGACCGTACTATCAACCAAACTTTCTATCCTTTGTTCGACTTCAAGCACCTTGGATTGGAAGGTGTAATCCGGGTTTTGGACGAGGGGTAGGTCTAAGGTCAAGCCTCTCAGGAAACCCCCGTCGCGGTAGGACCTGTTCGAAATGGGTTTCCTCTCCCAATGCTAATATGGCTTCTCTATCTTCTTGATCGTGCAGGTGGAAGGGAAAGGAGCTCCGACTGGTCAGGAGGAGGTGCGCAGCGCGATGGACCACCGGGGGGTGGGGAACGACATAGAAAGTCACGAATGTCCGGGGACGGAGGGAGGAGCGATGGAGCGGAACGGCTCTGATGTCTCCGACATGAGGGAGCCCCTCCTGCTGCGGAAGCGCACCAAGAATACCACGTCCCAGATGGCCATTGTTGGTGCCAACATCTGCCCTATTGAGAGCCTCGATTACGAGTAAGTAGTCAGAATTATTAATGTCATTCCTTTAACATGTGGCTGACTGAAAGGATCAATGTTATTTTCCAATTAAACCTATAGCTTTAAATATTTTTTCCGATTACAGGATTGTAGAGAACGATCTATTCAAGCAAGACTGGAGGTCGAGGAGGAAGGTCCAGATATACCAGTACATTGTGCTCAAATGGACCCTTGCTCTCCTAATTGGCCTGGGCACAGGGCTGGTGGGCTTCTTCAACAATCTGGCGGTTGAAAACATTGCCGGGTTCAAACTCCTGCTGACAAGCGATCTCATGCTTGTGAAGAGGTAAATGAAAAGGCTCGCATTTTTTTTTCTCTTAAATGATCATGGCAATTTTAAGTTCAAGTTCAGTTTAACTCTAGGATCAGTTTGGCATTTGGTGGATTGACAGATTCAAAGGTCAAGGCCATTTATTTCTGATTCTGTTTTCCAGTACAGATATTACATGGCATTTTTTGCGTTTGCTGGTTGCAATTTAGTTCTTGCTGCCATCGCAGCAGCAGTCTGCGCTTATATTGCACCTGCAGCAGCAGGGTCTGGCATACCTGAAGTTAAGGCGTATCTGAATGGTGTCGATGCTCATTCCATTCTGGCCCCGAGTACACTCTTTGTGAAGGTAATGTTGGAGCTCACACGCACTACTCAGTAGAGATGAATTGCTAGCGCCAAGATTCTGAATCAATCATTGCAAAAGCATCTAAATAATGTCGTATTCTATTTGAACAGTGTTATAGATTTGATCAGAAAAGACAATAAGACTTACAGAATCAATCTGTCAGGCAAAGGTTTGATCATTTATGTTGATTTATATTTGGATTGTAAGCATTGCCACTTCTTTTATTAAATTCACCTAGGCAGGGACCATTATGCTCCGAAGCATCCACTAATCATTAATAGATTACTTTGGATAATAGTATGTGATTCAATGAAACATGTCGATAACATCATTTGACCTTTCCCAGTGAGGAGAATGGCAAGAAGGAAACTTTTCTGCATTTTTATGCAATGGAACGAATAAATTAACCATCTTACTTCTCCAGGGAGAAGGTGTTTGGATTGGAGGAGGGAATGAATACGGGTCATATGTGACGTCTTTCTTTACTGGTATTCATATTTTATCAGCAGATATAAATAAGAGCAAGGAGAGATTGGGTAACCGGTATTTGATTTTGACATGCGGCTGTCAATTTTATTTCTCATGATATTACCAAAAATAATCAATTTTCATTGTTGCCGATTTATCATATGTTAGCTTTTTTTAAGTGTTTCTCACGACATCAGGACGTGGATTTTCCGGAATCATACATAAATCGTGAAAAAAACTGTTTTTTCCACATTTAAAGCTGGATATTGAATAATTATCCATATTTATCAAAAATAGGTAAGCAACTGGTACAATGGTTCCGTATCTTTCTCTGGACAGTCGATCGTAGGACGTAGGAAGGAGTAATTTTTCTTTATGCACCTACACTTTTTGTCTTTGGGATCGTACTTTATTCCTTTGTAAAGAAATATGATGGCCCTACATCATCTGTTTTTGGGAAAGCATTGTCAAGCGTCAACCTTTCTTGTCTGCAGATAATTGGTTCTATATTTGGTGTCTCCGCTGGGTTTGTGCTGGGTAAGGAGGGACCGATGGTCCACACAGGGGCATGCATTGCTTCAATACTCGGGCAGGGTGGATCGCGCAAGTACCATCTGACGTGGACCTGGCTTAGATACTTCAAGAATGATCGGGACAGACGGGACCTGATCACCTGCGGGGCTGCAGCGGGCGTGGCGGCCGCCTTCAGGGCCCCTGTTGGTGGCGTCCTCTTCGCCCTCGAAGAAGCAGCCTCTTGGTAACCCCTTCGACCTGTTCGCGGTTTCCTACCCCTCATCTGAGGCAAACTTCTTTCCGTCCGCCCATGATTTCTTTCATATTCAATGATTTATGCACGATTCGATGATTTTCTGTGCCTCCCAGGTGGAGGAGCTCTCTCCTGTGGAGGACTTTCTTCACCACGGCCGTCGTCGCGGTGGTGCTGAGAACTCTCATAGAATACTGCCAGAGCGGAAAATGTGGGCTCTTTGGGAAAGGCGGCCTGATAATGTTCGACATCAGCTCGACCGTCATCAGCTACAGCACTCCCGATCTTCTGGTCGTCCTCATCCTCGGCGTCACCGGCGGCATCTTCGGCGGGCTCTTCAACTTCCTCCTCAACAAGATCCTCCGCGTCTACAGCATCATCAACGAGTAAGCCACTCCCCCAACTCCATGCTAGTTTTAATCCCAATAATCTAGAGAGAGAGAAAATTTGCTAATAGAGAGAGAGGGAAATGATTTTTTCAGGAAGGGAGCGCCGTTCAAGATTCTGCTGACGATGGGTATATCGCTGGTGACCTCGTTCTGCGCGTACGGCCTGCCGTGGTTCGCGCGGTGCACGCCGTGCCCGGCGGGGCTGAAGGAGCAGTGCCCGACCATCGGCCGCTCCGGCAACTTCAAGAACTTCCAGTGCCCCCCCGGCCACTACAACGACCTGGCCTCCCTGTTCCTCAACACCAACGACGACGCTATCCGCAACCTCTTCAGCGGCAACACCGACAACGAGTTCCGCATCTCCACGCTGCTCATCTTCTTCACCGCCGTCTACCTCCTCGGCCTGTTCACCTACGGCATCGCCGTCCCATCCGGGCTCTTCATCCCCGTGATCCTCGCTGGCGCCTCCTACGGCCGCATCTTCGGCACCCTCCTCGGCTCCGTCTCCGACCTCGACGCGGGCCTCTTCGCCCTCCTCGGCGCCGCCTCCTTCCTCGGCGGCACGATGAGGATGACTGTCTCTGTCTGCGTCATCCTCCTGGAGCTCACCAACGACCTGCTGATGCTCCCACTGGTCATGCTCGTGCTGCTCGTGTCCAAGACGGTGGCGGACAGCTTCAACAAGGGGGTCTATGACCAGATCGTCACCATGAAGGGGCTGCCTTACATGGAGGCCCATGCGGAGCCCTACATGCGGCACCTGGTCGCCGGGGACGTGGTCTCCGGCCCGCTGATCATTTTCTCCGGCGTGGAGAAGGTGGGCAACATCATGCACGGCCTGCGGCTCACTGGGCACCACGGGTTCCCCGTGGTGGACGAGCCGCCCTACACCGATGCGCCGGAGCTGTGCGGGCTGGTGCTGAGGTCTCATCTGCTGGTGCTGCTCAAGGGGAAGAAGTTCACCAAGGAGAGGGTGGCCACCGGGGTCTCCCAGGTGTCTAGGAACTTCGGGGCGTTTGACTTCGCCAAGGCCGGATCCGGGAAGGGAGTCAAGCTCGAGGACCTGGAGATCGAGGAGGAAGATATGGAAATGTATGTCGATCTCCACCCCATCACCAACACCTCGCCTTATACCGTGGTGGAGACCATGTCGCTGGCCAAAGCTGCTGTTCTCTTCCGTGAGCTCGGTCTCCGCCATCTCTGCGTCGTCCCCAAGACCCCCGGGGTAAGCCCCCCCTCCCCTCTCTCTCTCTCTCTCTACTACTCTCGTCTTCCTGCTGTCGAGGTTTTTCTTTTTTTTCATCTCCGATTACCCAACCCGTTCTAGAAAGGTAATATCGGCAGCCAAGAACGCCATTAAGTCTGGAGCTCTGTAACAGGGAGCTGACGCTCGTTCTATCTCGCAGAGGCCGCCGGTGGTCGGAATCCTGACGAGGCACGATTTCATGCCGGAGCACATTCTCGGACTGTTCCCCCATTTCAAGCCCCGCAAGTGGAGTTGATCGCCCCCAGCGTAATCCGCCATTTTTTTCTATATTTGTTCATAATAATCTGCAGTTTCACAACGAGGTACAGCGTCTGGTATTTATGCCATTCTCTCAGGAGAGGAAGGAATGTTGGGTACTTTTCTCCCCAAGTTTTGAAGACCAGGGGGCTTAGAGCGAGAGAGAGAGAGAGAGAGAGAGAGAGAGAGAGAGAGAGAGAGAGAGAGGACAATGAAACTTATGTGATTATCTTTATTTCCCTTATATGGTTTCTCCATTTTATTTTATATTTGGTCGGGTAGAGAGGGAGCTGGGGAGGGTGAATGATCTCCAGGTGTTTAAATCAGGATCATAAGTTTATTTCATAATTATTCGTGTAATTAACTTTGTTCTTGCGATTAATAAATAAAGTTGCTCATGGATGTTTATCTTGATTACATACCAAAGTTTCAGTCTCTGGGGCGGGGCCCTGTAAAGCTCGAACTCAAAATCGGACGATCTCGGCCGATCCTTCTTATGCACTGATTTGAACAAAAGAGAGAGGGAGAGAGAGGGAGAGAGGGAGAGATAGATAGAGAGAGAGAGAGAGGGGGAGAGATAGAGAGAGAGAGAGAGAGGGAGAGATGGAGAGAGGGAGTGAGGAAGAGATAGAGAGAGGGAGGGTGGGAGAGAGAGAGAGAGAGAGGAAAACTGACAAAAAATATGCTCTAAGATCTTTCTTATGCACTGATTTGAACAAGGGAGAGAGAGAGAGAGAGAGAAGTGGAAACTGAGGAGAAGAGAGAAGATGTAAAGATATTTTTTCTTGTTGGGCTGATTTCGAGGCCCAAAAATGAGAAAAACTGTGCTGGGTACAGACTCGGAAGATAAAATGGGCCCCAGGTTATAAACGGTATCCATGTAACTCTTCTTGTTGGGCTTTTAAAGGCCCAAAACCAAGAGAAACTGGGGCGGGGGTTCATGAACCACCAGGAAGAAGTCGAGGATGGGTATCCAATTCACGAAGATAATACCCAAGTTACCCCTGTTATTAGGAGTAATCTACAATTCTATGTAGATGCTTTACTAGCGTAAGGGGTATGTTTGGTATTTTCTTATGGGTAATAATAGATGGAAGGATCTAGATGACCTAGAACATGAAGAAGGGAATCAGTAGGAAATGAGGGACGGTTGGAGGATGGCTGTATAAATGGCGGGTATCTTGGACTTCCTGCACTGACGAAGCTCTTCTTAACCGGAGGTGGTGGTTGGCGGTGGAAAGTCTCCTTGCAGAGTTCGTGACGATCTGGAAGAGCTTTAGGGTTTCGGCTGCTTCATCTCTGATAAGGTGTCGTGCCGTTCTCGGCGTCAATTACCACCGTATTCCCCACTAGGGTTTATTCCGCCTGGGGAGGAATAAGGTTTTGAAACGGTAGCGGGATACTTGGAGGCTCGGTGATGGCGCGTAATCCAAGCTGCACGATGTTCATAGGTAATCTCGTCTCGTGACTGAACAACCTCTTTTTCACTTAGTCAGATCGAACTGAATCGAACGTTTGGCCCCTCGATTTGATTGTTTTTCATTCACGGTTTCTGTCGTCGGTAAGTTTCTCTAGAATGTTTCTGGTCGTTGTGGCTCTAATTCTTCCTTGTTATTTCATCTCACCAAGTCGGAAAACGTAGGTACTATCTGAACTTAGCTTCTCTACGCTCATTTCACATTTTCTAGTTATTTTCTAAAAGTAGATAATCGCCCAAAAATTTGATCGCCCCTTTCCATAATTCATGTGCGCGGCATTGTAGGGCGAAAGAACAATGCTCACATACATTGTAATATCTCAGTTTTGGCTCCATACATTGCCATCTGTGTTTTCTACGCGTCAGATATTCTTTCTCATCTGAATTTCTATATCCTTTTAGACAAAAATTATCCTCCTTTTAGGTTGTAGGTCACTTCCTTTTGGTATTTTCTCTCACAAAGTTACAGAGTTTGGTCTTTCATCCGAGCTCATCTTCTCCTCGGAGCCAATTAGTTGGATGTACGGCGGAACCCATCTTCATGAAATTAATTTATTTTAATTCGATTTATTTCATGCTAGGTAATCTGGACGAGAAGGTGACGGATAGGGTATTATACGAGATACTGATCCAGGTTGGTCGCGTCGTAGACCTGTACATACCCATGGACAAGGAGACCAACCGTCATAAGGGCTATGCATTTGCAGAGTACGAAAGCGAGGAGATTGCAAACTATGCCGTTAGGCTATTCTCTGGTCTCGTGTGTCTCCACAACAGGACACTGAGATTTTCGGTGCGTCTTTGTTCTCCTTCCCCTGTCAAATCTCTTGCAATTTCTATTCATAGTCATCTTCAGCCCAGGGCCCTCGAGGGTGGGTTGGAGCTTCAGGTCATTTGGATGCTCCCACAGATCTTCCATTTCTGGCCTTGTAGAGACTTTCGATGTGACCCTATTCCGGATATAATTTCCATTTATGGTCTGAACTTAGGCGGTCTGGATGCTCCTACAGACCGTCTAGAGCCTTTTGAAGTGATCTTGAGCTAATGTGAGTCAACTCCATGAAAAAAATTCCTCTCTTGCAGATGTCGGGACAGGATAAGCCCTCTCAACAACACAATGGTACTCCGGTAACGCCAAAGTCAACCTCATTAGCTCCTCTTCCGAGGGAAAAGAAACCCTACCAGGGTTCGGCGGAGTTAACTGATTTCAGGGCTTTGACCAATTCCCGCTATTCGGCGGCATCAGTCAACCCTAGCCCGAACTCGGGCCTTCTCCCAAGGCTGCAGCATCCTCTGAATCCACGAGAATCGCCGGTCCACCGGGACGAATCTTCATGGCCGGGGAATTGCAGGTCTGATTATGCCCATCCAGCGTCTCCGAGTTATCCCCAAGGTTAGACCCTCCTGCGTTCTATTAGGTTATACCCCCTGCACACACCCCCCCCCCCCTCCCCCTCACCCGGGGATTCAAACCTCGATTCATATTGCCTTGTTTCTCATATTACCGTTGACTTCCGATTGCAGCTCGGCCTGCACGCGGATATGTGAACGGCGGAGTTGACTCGGATTATAGTAGGCAAGTTCTTTCCCCAATGTGGGTCAACGCTGATCGCTCAGATTTTCAGCATCCCGTCTACCCCGCCCACTCACGACGACCGTGAGTCATGCAAGTAACGGGATAAGTCAACCTCTGAAATGCTCCTATACGGGCATCATGCTACATGCGGCCTCCTCCGGTATATTATCCCTGTCTGTAGACAGTAAGTGCCCGTTGACCCACGTTCTGATATCTAATGATATTCTTATCCCCCTCCTCTGGGGTGATCTTGACTTTGCCCTGCGGCGGATCTTATCCCGCTTCTGGAATCTAATGAAGTTCCGCCGCCGTGTCATCCGATTCCGAATTTGGCTCAAATTTAGGAAATAATATGTAATATATGATTATCGGCTGATGGTGTAGTATGTAGAGTCACATCTCATCTGCAGACCCAGGTTCTCTTGCTATTACACAGAGAGAATACAAGTCAACCCCTTCAAATCCGGAACCCTAGAGTTCAATGGGAAGGGAAGATTGTTGGGGTGTTCTGACTTTCAGTTCTAATTTCGGCCAATTAGTTCCCGCCGCGTTAGTCAACCCCGAGACATCATAATCATCGCCATCTGGGTCAACGGGAATCGCGGGAGGAGCCCTGGTTCATCTTATTCGTCCTTGAAATGGCCAGCTAGAAATAGATACACGTTAGAACATGTACAGAATGGATGGCAACATACGAAGAAGAAGAAGAAGAAGAAGAAGCGGCTCATTCGAGGGTCTTCAGGAGCCTGAACAGGCCGGCCGCCTCGCGGATCCTCGAGAACTCGATGCAGAACGCCTGCACTTCGATGAAGAGATCTTGAACTGCGCACAAGAAGAGAACCGGCCACATAAAAAAAAAAAAGAAGAAGAAAAAGGATCAAAAGGCATAGTTTTCTGTGCTTTCTTCACCGAATGGCGGTGCCCGGGTCAACTATGATGACTCACCGTTGATGATTTTGTTCCGGATGAGGCTCTGTAGGAAGACGCATACTAATCTCACGAGCCTGTTCTGCATGTACTTGTCCTGAGAAAAGAAAGAAAGAAAGAAATAAGATTATTTTCCAAGAATACCGGAGCAAAGTAAATATACTCGTGCATGAAATATTGTGCAGAGAAGCATAGAATTGGTGCGTATTTACTGCCAGTGATGATATACACTTTGAGAAGAATGCGATGATATGCTTGTACAAGAAATTTATACCCTTGGATAAGAATATGATGATATGCTTGGACAAGATATTTGATACTTGGAGAAGAATATATGATGATATTGCTTGGACAAGAAATTTATACCCTTGGAGAAGAATATGATGATATTGCTTGGACAAGAAATTTATACCCTTGGAGAAGAATATGATGATATGCTTGGACAAGATATTTAATACTTGGAGAAGAATATATGATGATATTGCTTGGACAAGAAATTTATACCCTTGGAGAAGAATATATGATGATATTGCTTGGACAAGAAATTTGTACACTTGGAAAAGAATATGATGATATGCTTGGACAAGATATTTAATACTTGGAGAAGAATATATGATGATACTTGGAGAAGAATTATGCATACTAGGAGCAGAGTAATGATGATCATTAACCTAAGATGAAAAAAAATATAGCAGGGGAAAGAGAGAAGGGGGGTTTAGATCTTCATGGAACCTTAATATTCTCGCACGACGATATGCAGTTAGTGATGTACATGTGTACAAACTCTGTGGGGAGGTTAACAGCTGTCGTGAGCCGGTTCACGACTTCCATGGAGTGCAGACTCATGTCCATACTCACAAGGACACGGAAATACCTGGCGGTAGACAGCAGAGCCGCGTGAGCCAGTTAAAAGCGGATGGAAATACCAGAAATACCCAGCGTGAGAAAAGGGGAACTTACTCTTCGATCTCGGCAGAATTCATCAGCTTTTTCAGTACTTCAACGGCGACAAGGGGATTGTGTTCTACAAGTTCCTGGAAACAAAATCCTATCTCTTTTACATTCATACGTGGCACAGAAAACATATCCTCCCGCCCCCACACCCCCAAAGAGATTACATACTGGAAGCTTCCGAGGTGTCAGCCCACAGTGATAGACCAGCTTTGGATCATTATTAAGCTCCACCATGACTTGCTGCAATAAGTAAGAGTATATATCAAATATATATGATTCCCTACCTCCGCAAGACATATTATTAATAAGCTCCGTTTTTTGCATAAAAATAAATAAATAAATAAATAAATAAAGTAAAGCAGTAAGCTGCAAGAACCTCTTGTTGGGCTGGAGCGAGTGGGCCCTTCAAGGCTTTCGCAATTAAGTCCCTGACGGCAGCTCCTCGGCTGGTGTCTGCGCACATCCCGTAGTCCCACAAGAGATCGTGGCTGTTGTCCGGAATCAGCCACACCATCTGTGAGATAATTGACGACAGTAGTAGTAAATGTCGTCAATAGGAATTCTTCAAAACAAACGAATGTAGACTTTCGGAATTCCTACCTCTCCGTCAAGAATAGGGAGCCTAGGTGGTAGTGGTCTCATCCACTGGGGATCTAATCCTTCAAGTGAAAGATTACACAGAAGCCCGGCAATCGCACCATCTCTGTCTCCGGATCCAATTCTTGAAGAGAATTCGAACCTGAAAATCCACGACAAAAAAGTCAAATTTTTTTATTTTCTTTTATTTTTCTGTCGTGGAATTACAATATTAATGTCTAATGATTGGAACGTAGCCGTACTCTGCTGAATTTGCATCAAATCCTGAGGGTAAATCCGGATCCGCTACGACATTTTTAATAGAAGCGTTTCTGAAAACACTGCTGTACGGTTCTGACTGTTCACCAACGGAAAACTGCCTCAGGAGTTGTTCGCGAGGCAATAACACCTGTGTAGCCATCAGAAAGTAAAGTAAAGAGAGAATGTCAGAGAAATTATAAGGATTCAGATGAGAAAAACAAAAAAGGAAATTATCCCCCGCAACTGGAGAATGCTGTGCTTTGCTAGGCTAATCAATTCTCTGGACGTCTTTATATACTCACGTGTACTGATGGATCGAACCCTTTGATGTAGTCTACTGCAGATTGTTTCAGAACCTGCACGTTCAAGTAGATGTGACCCGTAAGAAACCAACAACTTTTGCCACAAAAAAAGAGAGTATAGATCTCTTTTTCTTTATTTGTCAGCAGAGATTATATCTTATTTAAAATGATAAATAAATCAGGCCAAAAATCCTACCCACAACGCCACAACGCCAATTGGAAGAAAAAAGGCGGAAAGTGTTCTTAATATTCGAACTTATGCGAAGTAAATTAAAAGTTTTGTGACGTCTGAAATGGTAAGGAATCATTCCGTACTCTAAATAAGGGGTGAATCTCTTACCTACCCATTCAGATTCAATGCTTGTAGAAGAACTCGATGCCAAAAGCTGAGGCAATCAAGTAAAGATCAAAGGGATTCCTTAAAGGGTAATGCTTGTAGAATTGTAAATGCGAGATATGGGGATGATCAACAGTGGAGCAAGCGGCAACAATTGCCCCAGTGAAGGAGATACAATGGAAGGCGTGGATGACTAGCAATCAGGCCATTAAAACAAGAAGGTATGACAGTCTCCAAGATAAGACGGAAGGGGGTTGGTGATCTATAACTCTCACCTAATCTCAGATGGCACAATAGATGAGGTTAGCCAACTATCTACGAATGAGAAAAAGCGGCAAGATTTTGAGTATGTTGAATGATGACAAATATTTTATGTGTACGGCTAGTCATATCCGCAAATATGAAAAATCTCAACGAAAGTAAAAGAGATTGTGACAGGGAGAAATCACGAGGAAAAGGACTGTAGGTCACCAGAATTGGTCCCAAAAAAAAAAAAAAAAAGACAACATTGATGAGACCAAAAAGGGGAATCCAAAATAACTTCTAAACATCCTCGGCAATCAAAGCATTGAATTAGTGAAGTAAAAAAATATTAAAAAAAATCAATTTTAGCCTTGAAAAAAAAAAACATCAGTACCCAGCCAAGTTCTATTAGCCATCCATAGAAAAACAGTGAGGGTACGCTAATTAATGGACCTTAAAAAACGTTCAAGGGTATCCATACAGGCATACATGTTTTTCGCCGCCTATGTGCAAGTTTAACAGGAACAAAGAGACAGTGGTGGTAGTGCAATAAAGGTGGCAAGAGTGAAAACAAAGGGAAGAAAGGAGGACGAAGAGAATGAGTCCTCTTCTCCCTTTTCATCTTTTAGATCTCACAAAGTGGATCTAATAGATTCTTAGTATGACATGGCAACCAAGGCTTCTATTCTATTTTCTTTTTGCAATATTTTCAAGGAAAAATCATATCAAGATGAACGAATTATGATCTAAATTAACCTCGTATTCTACTCAGGCCTGATTAGTTAGTACTCAACAGATCCTGATACACCAATGGACTTATCTAACCTCATAGAAACGAAAAAGAAAAGGGATTATCACTGAGGCATGACATATCACCTTTCAACAGCAAGCAATTCGATTATTTACATGGTGCACAGGATTTTGTCAAATAATAAAATTAATCTGTAAATCCACAGATTAGGCCTCTGTTTTTGGATTTATTATTCGGATTTAATACTTGACTTTTCATCCTAATTTGAAAAGCACTCATTTTGCACAAAACATTTGTCACTTAAGATCAGTTTCTCGATCACAATCAATCTCCACGGCCGGATTCTGTGTAATTCACTTGCATCCATTGTCTAACTACTACTGGGCCAGAATCACCAGACAGTCCATACACCTTTAGAGTTAAGAGTTAACCAAACATGGAGAGGGTGAAAGATGTACCCAAACCAGGATTATCATAAACAACCAAAAAATATGACGTCGATCTATATATTGGCATTCATCTAGGAACGTTTATGTATGTTTGCATTAAATTTCCAAACTATTTAGAAACTTGACACATTCACAAATTCGTAATACTCCACCTCACAGAACAAGGCAACTAACACAAACTGGTCAAAAAACTAGATCCAACTAACACATACTCACTTCAAACAATATGACTGCGATGATGACATCATATGTCACGTTCAGAACACAAATATAACCTTCTCTTTGCCAGAGCATTGCATAAGTTCATCTGTACTCTTGACTGAAAGATCATCTGATAGCTGCTTTCTCACTTAATTATGTTAGGGCACCAAAATCCGTCAAGTACACAAAAAAATGGATTACAAGAACCAGACACCTTCATCTGTCTGCTCTCTTCATCATTCTTTTGACAAGACTATTTTCCTGGTTGGAACCAGAACTCTCACTGTCAAAATGAGCACATTGCAAAGTGGAAATAAAAGAGGACAGAAACCCAGTTTGATCTTGGAATCCTGTTTAGACTTCGTACAAAGATATTGCTTTTGAAAAAGGAATCCCTATCTTCAGTGGCCTAGATCTATCAATTATTCGCTTAAAAATTCAAATGAACAACTGTACTTCTAGAATGAACGAAATTAGCGTCCAGAACCTCTTTATTGCCATTTGTTGCAATAGATCCCAGCATGAGAAGGATAAACGTCCTTTCAAATTTCTCCGCTGCTTCCTCACAAGCTGCCTGTCAGACACACACAAACAATAGGATGAACAAATCTTAATCTGAGAGGTAGCGGCCATTTCTAATAAAATACTCCGAGTAAATAATGTAGCGGCATCCACTTCACCATTTCCCGTACATTTTTTTCTATTATGTGGTTCATTAACTAGGTAAAAACCTTCACAAAAAATCCAATTTAAACCATCTGAGCACAAATGAAATCTCCTTACGTCTATCAAAAAAGATATGAACGGACTTGAAAATGGCGGTTGAGATACATAAGCCTGATGCAAAATAGCAAACGCAACCAAACGCTGACTGGGCTTGAGCATCTTCTTATCCTGAACACAATTTTCCAATTAATTGACATGAGACCAAGTTGCACCACCAGCAAAGGAATGTGAAGAAATAAAATAAAATCACACTGGAGAAAGAGAGCACATATTAAATGCAGTTACAGACTAACCGTTGCATAACAACATCCAATCATCAACAAGCATAAATGAAAATTATGACCAATACATAACATCATAGTAGTCATCTGAAATTAATCGGAGGAAAAAACACCAAACAGCAGCTGGGTTCAGCAAAAGTAAAAAAATATGGTCTATTACTTGCCATTCAACAAAAATTTCAACGTCAACGAATATTATTTACGGATCATCTGTAGTTAGATGAAGCATAAAAAGAAAGTAAGTAGTGTCGGGAGCCTTAAAAACAGCCCATCATTCTATATTCATTCTTTGGGAACCTAAGTAGCCCAGTGTTTTCCTAATCTTAAAACCCGTTGTCCCAGCCAGATCCTTCCCCATGTACACCATCTTGCGCACATACATGCATATAACCTTTTACTGGGCCATCCATCAAAAAATGATTAGAGTAATAAAATAGCCACTGTCAAACATCAGATGAGATGCAAGAAGGCTTCACGTGAAGATATCTTCGTACTTCCTCTGACTTCGATATTTCAACTGCTCTAAGAAAACTACACGATCAAAGTGTCATTTCCTAGCTAATAATATTATATTTTCAATCAAAACAACAAGAATCCATAAATCACAAATAGCCAATAATGTTATATTTTCAATACTACCAATCAGTACACAAGCCACACAAAGCACCACTCATAAAATAATTTTAAACTTTAAAATGTAAATCGGAAATAAGCGTGCCAGGTTTCATTTCATAAAGTTGATCATATCAAAGTTTTCCTCAAAGGCTATTAAAAGGTCTACCAAAAAATTCAGAAATTGTCACCAACCCCAGCACTTGAACTCCTTTCAGACAGCAGATTTATATCAGAGTAAATTTCTTGTTCAAGAAAAACCTTTTTTTCATAGGCTGACAAGTGTTCTCTTATAATTTTATTTCGTCCCACAGGCATTTCAAGTCTTCATAGTTTAACAGAATAATTGTTTTTCTCGTGAAATTGACAGGAGATAACAAAAATAAAGAAAAATATGAGCCTGAAAGACGATGATTCAACATGTTTCAATAAAAAATATTTGATCGTTAACCAAGGCCGTTGATTCGTCTGTTTTTTTTCATCCTCTCCCTCTCTAGCGTTCTTCAGTTTTCCATTCTTCTTCTCGTAATATGATTCTCCATGTTACCATGATTTGGCTGCACATTCTTTGGTTTTAAAAACAGAAACAAGACGTCAATAGGGAATATCTACAGATGTAGCCATAAGATACTAGTTGAACCCGATGATCACGACTCAGTCCTGCCAGACTCGTGTAACGTGACAGTTTCAGCCGTCATTCGAGTGACTTACGCGAAATAAATAGCTATCAAAAGAAAATTCATTAAGATCCAATTTCATGTAAGAAATATCGACAGTCAATGAAGGGTTGGCCAACCAGTAAGAGAGGAAGCGCGACGAAACAGTTTTGATAGTTTGAAATAGACGAAAGATGGTCGGAGAAATATGTTTAGAACAGGTTTTTTAAGGAGGTAAGGCGAATTATTAATTCTCCTGCTTTTGCACCAGTTAATAATTCTAGTTCCATGATTGAGGGGGTAGGTAACTCTCTTCAACCGAATATATGTTCCGTGTTGATGAATGATGACTTCACGGGCTTCAAATGAAACAGCATTACCACTCAGCAGTCAATTTTAAAGAAACAGACTACAGAATGTATCATTTCAAGGCCAAAGTCATCGCCCATCCCGTTAGGCGCAGGAACCTATTCACCTCAGATCTAAACAAAAAGATACTCGAAGAAATGTGGGAACGTAAAACCCTAGAAGACAAAACAACCATCGCCGGGTAGAAAACAACAGTCGAAAGCAATACTCCCCAAACATGAGGACACAGAAGAGCTCCTAACGAAGGAAGCCGGAGATTCGTGCCAACCTCGAGAAGGAGCGCGAGAGAACAGCACGCCCTGAAGCGGACATCCCGGGGGAACTGAGAGCTGAAATCTGCCGACACCTCGCTCAGAGGCCGCTGGTCGGCGCCCAGCAGGGAGAGCAGCGCCTTCGACTCCTCCACCCCGAGCATCCTCGGAGCAATCGGCGAACTGTGCGGAGATGTCGACGATCAGACCGCACTTCAAATCGCTTTCAGTTGGGGAACCTTCTCCGCAGGGTTTTATCCCGCGGCCGGATCCGATGGACCTGGGATATGATTTAAGAAATAGTGCTTCCTGCACGTGTCGTCCTATGACAGGACCGTTCAGGGGGGGAGGAAATGGACCCGATAGAGAACCACGACGGATCCGGGACGAATCTGGTGTTAGCGGACAGCGTAATTAGCATCTAAATTACGAAGAAAACCAAATTAGTTTATTCCACGGGATCAATATAAAAATGTCGCCAGCTACTAGAGAGAGGGACGAAGAAAAATGGATTATAATTTATCAGAAAATATTTATTAATTATTAGTTATTATATACTGATGAGTTAAGAGACAAAAACCAAAATAGCATCGAGGTGGTGAAATCTAAAAAATATACAAAACCATTTATTTATTTAGTTGAGAGATGGATATTCCGGTGAACATGGGTTTTTATATATTTCATTATCCCGCCACGTGGAAGCCTATATAGGTGCCACTTGGATTATTATTTACCGATAAATAGCATTAATTAAATTTTATTAGACTCACGTTTGTGAGTTAGGAGGCAAAGATTGGAATAGCACCCGACGTGGTAGAATCTTAAAAAATTTTAATTCCATTTTTTTAGTTGAGAGATTGATATTCCGGTGAACATGGGTTTTTGGATATTGCAATATCACGCCACGTGGAAGCTATCTAGCTGCCACCTGGATATATTTTTTACCAATAAATATGCATTACTTAATTTTTATTAGATGACGTGGGTTAGTTAAGAGGCAAGAATTAACATAGCACCCAAAAAAAATATAATCCCATTTTTTTACTTTAGAGATGGATATTCTGGTGAACTTGGGTTTTTTTAATATTCCAGTCTGCTGCCACATGGTAGCCTATCTAGCTGCCACCTGGATTATTATTTACTAATCAATATGTATTACTTAATTTTTATTAGATGACGTGGGTGATTAAGAGGCAAAAACTGGAATATTACCCGAGGAGGTAGAATCTAAAAAAGATATAATTCCATTTATCTACTTAGTTGAGAGATGGATATTCCGGAGAGCAGGGGTTTTTTCAGTTTCCTGCCCACATGGCAGCCTATCCAGCCGCCACTTGCCCGAACATTCCCGCGGCATATCCAATCTTCTTGCAGCTGGTACACGTAATTCGGAGCCGCCACAAGTGCTTTATCCGCCTTCCCGGTAATTCTTGCCTTATTTGGGACCTTTTCCTCGGTTTTTTCTTGTGAGGAGGAGCCTGGCCCCGCAGGGTTGTATCTCCCTCCTGCCTTTATTCCCGCCCTTTTCTCTGAGATTGTTCGAATTTCGCCGCCTGTCACCGTCGCCCAATTGGCGAGGACGGAGGCGCAACAGGGCGGGAAGATACCTCCCCCGGTGGCCTCCGGTGACCGGGGGGGGGGGGGGAGAGTACTTTTGCCAGTTGCAGGCCTCCGCCACCGTTGGATCGGCGAGAGGAGTAGCCATGGCACCTACAAAAGGGCGGGGTCGGGTTGGCTTCTTCGCTGCAGAGCCGTGCTCTGAGCGGAGTGGCAGAAGGAGACGTGGAGGAGGGAGGAGGAGGCGGTGATGGCTGGGAACGAGTGGATAAACGGGTACCTGGAGGCGATTCTGGACGCCGGCGGCGGCGGGAAGGGCCTCGAAGGTGGGGGGACGCAGAGGACGTCGCTGGTCCCGCAGCTGAAGTTCAGTCCCACAAAGTACTTCGTGGAGGAGGTCGTCAACGGTTTCGACGAGGCGGATCTCTACAAGACATGGACCAAGGTAACTCACCTCGCTTGCCTCTGCGAGAGACCGATCGATCGATCGAGTCCGAGTTGACGTTCTCTGTTGTCATCCTTCTCTGCGTTTCAGGTCACCGCCACGAGGAATCTGCGGGATCGAAGCAACAGGCTCGAGAACATGTGCTGGAGAATATGGCATCTGACGCGCCGGAAGAAACAGGTGATCTCTCTCTCGCTCCAGAAAACTGTTGCTCTCTTTCTCCCTCGCGCGCACATTCTCTGCAGTCCAGGGATCGAATCTTCCAGAATCATGGCGCGTAGTTCTGATCAAACCTCGATGAATATTGCTCGAATGCCTCTGCCGTCAGGGGGAAGCTCCGGGGATTTCTCCCAACAGTCTGTCAAAGTCTGTCAGGATGATTGAACTTTGATTTTGCGCCAGATCGAGAGGGAGGACGTGCGCCGCCTCACCGAGAGACACCTCGAGCGGGAGCAGGGCCACAGAGACGCATCAGAGGACCTCCCCGACCTCTCCGAGGGCGAGAAGGACAAAGAAAACCCTAGCTCCGCCGGCAATCTCAGGGACTCCATGTCCCGGATCAACTCCGACGTGCGGATTTGGTCGGACGACGACGAGACCAGGCGGCTCTACATCGTCCTGATCAGGTCTTGCGGCCTTCCATTCGTTCGCTGCGGAAATCCTTACACGGAAGTTTAACCGTTGGATCCGCTTTGTGTGATGCAGTTTGCACGGGTTGGTGCGTGGCGACAACATGGAGCTGGGGAGAGACTCCGACACAGGGGGGCAGGTGGGTTCCCTTGATGGACGATCCAGATTAATCATAAAAAAATGTTGTTATATTTACGTTTCCCTTTCTAGTGCAGGTGAAGTATGTAGTAGAGCTGGCAAGGGCTTTGGCCTCCACGAAGGGAATCTACCGCGTGGACCTGCTGACTAGGCAGATCGCCTCACCTGACGTGGACTGGAGCTACGGGGAGCCGGTGGAGATGCTGTCTCGACCGTCCGATTTGCAGTCCCTCGGCGATGGCTGCGGAGCGTATATCATCCGACTCCCGTGCGGACCACGCGAAAGGTATCCCAGGAAAGAGAGAAATGGGTCTACTTTGATTTTTTGAGGGCCAAATTAATGGGCTTGGTTGACCTATCAGGTACCTTGCCAAGGAGACTCTCTGGCCCCACATCCCCGAGTTCATTGACCGTGCGCTGGTCCACATAACCAACGTGGCTCGAGCTCTCGGAGAGCAGACGGAGGGTGGGAAGCCAGCGTGGCCGTACGTGATCCACGGCCACTACGCCGACGCCGGGGAGGTGGCCGGGAGGCTCGCTGGGGCCCTCAACGTGCCCATGGTTCTTACAGGGCACTCGCTGGGGCGGAACAAGTTCGAGCAGCTGCTGAAGCAGGGGAGGCTCAGCAGGGAGGAGATCAACTCCACTTACCGCATCGCGAGGAGGATCGAAGCGGAAGAGTTCGCGCTGGACGCGGCGGAGATGATCGTCACCAGCACGAGGCAGGAGATAGAGGAGCAGTGGGGACTCTACGACGGGTTCGACCTGAAGATCGAGAGAAAGCTGAGGGTGAGGAGGCGGAGGGGCGTCAGCTGCCTCGGCCGCCACATGCCTCGCGTGGTGGTAAGCAGCAGCAATCTGTGAGGCCTCCAGGTCGTAAAAGCTTTAGCTGGTTTTTGCATGGTGAGCGGGATCATCGTCACTAGGATTCGTGTCACTGACTGCGTTTTTCTGTCCGTTGAATTTGCTTCTTCATTAGGTCATACCGCCGGGGATGGATTTCAGCTACGTGACGACGCAAGATTTGGCGGACGGGGACGGCGACCTCCAGTTTTTGATTGGGCCCAACAGGGCTCAGACCAGAAGAAATATTCCTTCCATATGGACTGAGGTCGTCTTCCTCGCACCGCTTGGAGAGATCAAGTCTTCATCCACGTATCTGGACTGACGATGATGAGCCACATTGCAGGTTATGAGATTCTTCACGAATCCTCACAAGCCCATGATCCTTGCTCTCTCTCGTCCTGATCCGAAGAAAAATGTTACCACGTTACTGAAGGCATTTGGCCAGAGTCGTCATCTCCAAGAGCTTGCTAATTTGGTATGGCATTGTTAGCCCAGTCGACCGATTAGATCACACCGCAATGGGAGTTGACGGCGAGTTTTTTTTATCTGCAGACGCTAATACTGGGCAACAGGGACGACGTAGAGGAGATGCCAGCTAGCAGCTCTGCCGTCCTCACCACCGTCCTCAAACTCATCGATAAGTACGATCTCTATGGACAGGTGGCGTACCCCAAGCACCACAAGCAATCCGAAGTTCCCGACATATACCGTCTTGCAGCTAAAACCAAGGTATGGATTGAACCTTGCGGATAAATCATTACGGTCCCAATTAATCATTTATCAATTTTCTCTTCTGAACCGAAGGGAGTCTTCGTCAATCCTGCTCTAGTGGAGCCTTTCGGCCTCACCCTCATAGAGGCAGCTGCTAATGGCCTGCCCATCGTTGCGACCAAGAACGGAGGTCCCGTAGATATTCTCAAGGTAAACAGACAACAATGCCTTTGACGGTCTGGATTCTTCTCTTCTGCCCGCATCGAAAAAATGATACAATACCTTGGAGCGGTGCATGCAGACGCTGAACAACGGCCTACTCGTTGACCCGCACGATCAGACTGCCATATCCGAGGCTCTCCTGAAGCTGGTCGCCGACAAGGGCCTGTGGCTGGAATGCCGGAAGAACGGCCTGAAGAACATCCACCGCTTCTCCTGGCCCGAGCACTGCCGGAACTATCTCTCCCACGTGGAACAATGCCGCAGCCGCCACCCGGGCACGCGCCTCGACGTGGCGCCACGGGCCGAGGAACCCCTCAGCGACTCCCTCAAAGACGTCGACGATCTCTCCATCCGCTCCTCCGTCAACGGCGGAGTTGACCTCCACGGCAATGGCGATGTGACTTCCTTACTCGATGCCCTGCGCCGCCACCGACCCGAGAGCGTTGACCACCCACTGGCGGCGACGTACTTCCCTGGCAGGAGGCGGAGGCTCTTCGTCATCGCCGCCGATTGTTACGATCCCCGGGGGCAGCTTGCCGTCGGCGAGCTGAAGGGAATCGTCGACAAGGTGGCGGCGACGGCGGCGGCGGGCTCCAGGGGCCGCACGGGTCTCCTCTTCTCCACCGGCTCCACAGTGGCGGAGACTATAGAAGCTCTGAAAGCTTGCCGCGTGGCGCCGGCCGAGTTCGACGCTCTGATCTGCAGCAGCGGGAGCGTCATCTGCTACCCGTGGAAGGACCTCGCCGCCGACCCCGACTATTCGGCGCACGTTGACCACCGCTGGCCCGGGGAGCACATCAAGTCGGCCGTGCCGAGGCTCGCCATGCTCGACGGCGCAGGGAAGGAAGACGAGCAAATGGGCACCATGGGAATCGACTTGAAGGCCTGTAACTCCCACTGCTACGCCTACTCCCTGAAGACGGCGGCCACGGTGAATCCCCTCCCCCCACAGAACTAGATGAGTAATTAATTCTTCAGACGAAGCTCGCTTACTCTTCTGGCCTCAGCAGGGTCGGAAAGTCGACGAACTCCGCCAGAAGCTGCGGATGAGAGGCTTCCGCTGCAACCTGGTCTACACCTGCGCCGCCACCCGCTTGAACGTAGTTCCCCTCTTCGCCTCGAGGACGCAGGCGATGAGGTCAGTCTCAGGCGATGGAGCCCCGTTTTTCCTTCCTCTTCATGGCTTCCTGATGCGGATGATCACTTCCTCCCCTTCTCTTCCTCCTTATTCCCCCTTCTTCCCGTTTTCCATGGATTTCTCTGTGAAGGTACCTGTGGACGAGGTGGGGGGTCGACCCGGCAGAGACGGCGGCGTTCGTGGGGGAGAAGGGGGATACGGACGCGGAGGAGCTCCGAGGGGGGCTCCACCGGACGGTGGTTCTCGGCGACGTCACCGAGAACGGCGGCGAGGCGCTGCTGCGGGGGGAGGAGAGCTACGGCGGGGAAGACGTCGTCCCCTCGGAGTCCCCCAACGTGGCTGCCGTCCCCGCTGGCTACGGCTGCCCGGAGATCGTCGCTGCGCTTGCCAGCCTCGGTGTGAAGTGATGACGCTCGACTTGGGAATGAATCTTCGAAGCTTATCAGGTTCGGTTAAAAGAATACACCCATTGATGGTGATATAAAGTACCCATTACATGAAATGTCAAATCTTTGATTTATTTTCTTAAATAAAAATTATTCGTGATGTCGGTGGTTGGGGTAATCCCACATTCAACCAGGGCAAATTTTCTGATACTGAGTGATAAAAGCAATTTTGTAAAGAAAAAAAAAGTGCATACTTTAATATATATTTGGTTCCACAGAATAATCTCTCTCTCTCTCTCTCTCTCTCTCTCTCTCTCTCTCTCTCTCTCTCTCTCTCTCTATTTTCTGATATTTACATGTGTGCACTTATGATTGAGATTTGTTTTGACCTAAGTGATGTGAAAAATGTAAACACATGGACTACAAAAATATGAACCCCACTGGTTTATGTGCAACAGAAAAGGAGGTCACGTAAAGCACTCAAGAAAAACTTTGAGACAAATTAGACGTCTCAGATGAGCATGATTGAGGAATATAAATAGAGCTCTAGGGAATGGAATAAGGTAGTGGAAACTCCATACTAAGAGACGCAGGGGATCCTTTTGAATCCCATTCCCACCTACTCTTCTCTCCCCCTCTATTTTGATAGAACCATCATAATGATGTTCTATCAACACTATATTGTCTAGGTTGTTAAATTAATATTGTTCATTTTTTCCCCTAACTTGTTCCAATCTGATCCTTTCAAAGAGGATTGTATCATTGGTATTAGAACTAGTGATCTTGGAACTATGCAACATGACACCAAAGGTAGTAGATGTTTGATTTAAAGCTCTATAGCAAATAATGAGAACCTATGGGTAGATCAACCAATGATGGCTAAAGATTTACAAAAATCACAAGAAGAATCTATAGATCTGATGTGCCAACTCTTACATAACATGCAATAGTTCCAATTTACAGTATGTGCTCGTCTAGATGCATTAGAAAAGAAGGAGATTGTTATTCCTTAGTCGGCAGGACCGTTTCGTCAATCTTAGACATAACGTCAAGCTGGGGGACAATCCTCCATTCATCCTCATGAGACTATACTAAATAAGTTCAGCACAACCCATGACATGATACAATTCATCAATAAAGGAGATATACCAATATTTCAAGGTGAAAATATAGAAGGTTGGCTATGATGTATTGAATGATTCTTCAAGTTAAATGAAGTACAAATGAGTTAAAATAATTGGAGATGCTATGATGAAACTTGGAGGAAATGGATTAGAATGATATTTATGGAATGACAATAAGCATCCATTCCATAATTGGCAAGAATTCAAAATTCAATTGGAGAAATATTTTGATATTGTTGAGAGTGTGTTATCTAATTCATTTGAGAAAGGTTCCTCTTATTTATTTGATAATAAAGATACACTTATCTTCTTCTATGGCCTCACAAATGAATTACACTCCTATATACAAGGATCAATGAGAGGAGGAGAATATATAGTGACATATTCACATTTACAAATTACTCCTTGAGAAGTTGAATGAATATAATTTTACTACTTAGGCCACTACAACATAATTATATATTGGAGTATGTTATAAAATTGAATAAATTTGTTGTACTAAGCCTCTAGTCAAGGACCCACATTATAAGATGTGATTCTATTAAAACAACTTGATTATGTTATAGATATTGAATTTAGTCAATATGAACATTTGATAAGTGATATACATAAGAAGACTATTCATTAGATGTAGATTCTAGAGACAATGGATTGTCAAAAATATGACATGAATTGAACTTACCAATTGAACAATAATATTTCTAAATTGAAATAAGGAATGATGTCTATTATACAATACTAGACCTCAAAGAGTATGTGGGATGAGCTAGATTCATATGATTTAGATGGATGATAATTTATTGAACATCAAATGAGATATCTACCAAAATTAGAGTTAAACAAAACCTTTAAATTTTTGACTAGATTGAATCACGAAAATGAAGCATTAGATGACCAAATTCCCAATATGGAACTCATATTCTAACACAAAAGTGAAACATGATGACAAAGCAAACCGACATGGCACAAGCTCCAAGAGGCATAATGATGCGGCACACAATTCTGACATGACAACCCAAAGCCACAAGGATAGTTGATGAGGTCACATGCATGACATCATTCGAAGGAGGAATGGAGGACATCACTACCTCAACATCACCTAGTGTGAGGAACCTTAATCCCATATCAGAAATGTGAAGATAGCTACCTAAGAAGACCATCTATAAAGAAAGACCCCTAACCTAATATACGAGTACCTTCCATTATTAGGATTATCCATATTGGTCACATATGGGCCCATTAGGGATACGATCACCCAATTGCCTGGCAAAGATTTCATGTAGAGCAACTGATTTCCTTGTCACAAGAACACCAAAACAATTGATGTTTTTAAATTAGTCTCTTTTTCTATGTAGATTCACTCTAGTTTTTTTCTCTCTCACTCACTCGTCAACATGAGAGATGAGTTTTTATATTAGTTTACCTTTCACTAAATGTTTAGTCTTAAGAGATCCTTCATATCAAATTTACTATTCATTCTAGAAACATAGTTGATTTCATGGGATTAATGATTTAAACACTTTCATCTGATCTCTACAAAGATCACATCTCTCATAGATAGAGTTGTACTCTCAACATCATGTGCCTAAATCAATTACACTAATCTCCTTAGAGACCACACCTTTCATTGGCATTTATACATTCTCAATACCTCATATCTTAATTCAAGTCTCTCTTCACTTATCACCTAGATTACCTTAAGGCATGATGAAAAGAGTCAACTTTTAATATAATAGTCGACTTGAATTACTACAATTGAACAAGTAAAAATAATGTAGTTTTCAAATCTTTCTTTAAAGCATGTGATAGTTTCACTTTGATGGATAGAATATGAACTTCTCTTAAACTTGAGTTGATGAGATAGAAAGATGTTGTCATTAGAAATCAATTATGGTTCTTCATAAGCTCGCTCTTTATATCCTCCAACATCAATGTATATTTTTAGCACATGAAGACAATTAACATGAATTCAAAATTCTTTTTGTTTCTTTGTTGGTATATTAATGACCTTCAATTACTCTTTAGTTCAAAGCTTTTTATTTTTACATAGATTGTCTATGATATTTTATATGAAGATAAATAATAGATCAAAAAATATTTTTCATTCTAACTCAAATGTAATCATTGAGCTTGTTATTTTATCTATATTTTTTATTAACATTTTACCATCTAGAATTAGTGTTACAAACCTTTAATCATTTTCAGTTTAAAGTTTTATGTTTTCATGTAAGTTGTCCTTGATATTGTGTCTAGAGATGCACGATAGATCAATATATATTTTTGCCTTTGGGGTTGAGCTCAAATATAATTATTAATCTTGTCATTTTATCCATGTACTCTAATGATGTGTTACTATCGAAGGTATGTTATTGACCTTTGGTTGTTTCTCACTTCAAGACTTGTAGTTCTCTTTTGAAGTTTTGGTCTAGAGATATGTGATATTTTAATAGTTATTTCTACTTTTAAGGTTGAGTCTTAATAAGTCATTTTGTCATTTTATCTACATGACATTAACGTGTTACACTTAGGTTCAACCATTATGTAGGTCTTGAGTTCAATTCTTATCTTGAACATTGATAATCTGAATTTCTTCTATATTTTTCTAATCAACTTTCTAGTGTGTTAATACTAAGGTCTTAATTTTAAATCTCACAAATATCTTACTTTTGATGATATTCAGGTATTATGACTATTATAATTCTTGTCTTTTTGTCTTGAGTTTGAATCTCATGTTTGACTCTATTTACTTTGATTTTTCATATATTTTTCTTATTGAAGCTTTTGTCTTCATATTACTTATGTATTTAAATATTACATGTGACTTGGTATTCTTAGATTGTACATGAAACTTTGTCATACATGTTGACACATGTTCCTTTGTACATATATTTAAGTAATATGATGCCACATTATATTCAATATGAGCCCTAATTATAATCACACATGTTGACTATGTATTTAGGAGGCCATAAGCCCTAATTATAATTTATTGAAGTTCATTTTTCTTACCATTGCTCTTTCCAATGGCAAGTCCCTTGCTCACAATAGGAGAGACTAATAAATTCATTATTAGTCATATGATTATATATCTAATCAATTTATGATTAAGTAAATATTTAATAAATATTATGCAAATCATTAGCAAATAAATGTTCACTTAAAAGTGTCGAAACCAAGGGCATCAATAAGAATGAGCTCAATCAATCACTAATCATAATGGTCCCCTTATAACAAGTTTTAGTAGCACCACTCAATGGCTCAAGGAGTATGATCTCACCTTACAAATAAGGTGAGTTCACTAGGATAGAGTATTGATAATATACTTTGTCACCCACATTAGAAGGGGGCCTAAACCTCATGAAAAAGTTAAGCATAAATAATTCCTCACCCAACCATCTTTGTATGAGCTCAATCATTCCTTCCTTACGACAACCCTCTTATAGTAAGCTCTAGCAACACCACTTAGCTCAAGGAGTATGATCTAACCTTGCAACAAACTAAGTTCACTAGGAGGGAGTATTTATAGGAAACTTAGTCATCCATATTGGTAGGAGGCTTGATCTTACATAAACAAGTTAAGCATACTTTGTAATCCATGTCAAAAGGAGGCCTGATCCTATATGAAAAAGTTAAGCATCAATAGTCCCTCATTCAATTGCATTTGAATGAACTCAATCATTTCTTTCCCATAGCAACCCTATTATAGCAAGCTCTAGCAACACCACTTAATAGCTCATGAAGCATGATCTCACCTTGTGGACAAGATGAGTTCGCTAGGAGAGAAGTATTGATAGAATACTCAGTCATCCACGTTAGAGGAGGCTTTATCTTACATGGAAAAGTCAAGCATCAATAGATAGAAGGTAAAAATTAAGAGATACGAGATTAATGTAATATTATTACGATGTTATATCAACACTGCATGGTCCAAGATTGTTATGTTAATATTATTAATTTCCCCCCTTAATTCATTGAGATTCAATCCTTCCAAAGAGGATTATATCAAAATATTTGAAGACTCAAAAATGAAAATAAATGATGTACAATTACGTGCACAATAATTGAAATCCCATAAATTAATAGGCCGAGCATTTTGCAAGTATGAAATATTAGTTATAAGGATTGCAACATCTTGATAATTTTTAAAATCAGGTTAGCCTAAATAAAGTGCATGAATGGCATGTCATACTTATTAATTTAGTGACTATCTTGATGTTGGGTGTTTTAATTTTGTTTTTGTAACATAGAATAATTTCTAAGAGAGTTACAACTAATTTGTGCCTACTTAAAGGCTAATGTGTCCTAAGTTGAGAGACATATTGTTATTACCATTTTTTATCTTTTTGATATACTTCAATTGCTTGTGGATTTAAAGGGAGTTAATTTTTTTTTATTCAAGTGCATTTTCTTATCCTTATTGATTAAAAGATTGCCCATGACATTAATGTGGATTCAATAATTGGAGAAAATTGTGCCTTATTAATCCAATATCCAATTTTTATGTTGTAAACTAAAGGTCAGATTTAATTTTTCTTTTCTATTCTATACAACTAAAGATATGTCTTGTCCATTGACACAAATACTTTTCAGTCAAATGATAAGTCAAACTATTTGTAAATATTACAATGCAATTGGTAATATGTTTATGTCGTTTTTATGTTGTATGTTATTCATCACGTGGGTTTTTAATAATATTTTTTTTATCTTTGTAATAAATTTAATCTATGTTACGAAGAACAAGTAGCTTGAAAGATGATATTTCTTATGAGATGATGGAGGAAGAGTGAGAAAGAAGGGGGGAGAGAGAGAGGTGGAATCGTCGTAAGACGAATAGGTTGACTTATGAGGACAGCCCCGAGCTTATTCTCTTTCCAAGTTCACTTTTAGTGACTTTGAAGAACAGAAAAATTACAATTTAACACGAGCGAAAATAAAAACTACACGTGTCCAAATAAAGAGAGGATATATAAATAAAAATATATATATATAGATATACATTTCACTACAGAGGTCTCCTTCCCCCTCCCTTCTGAAGCGACTCGTCGTTCCAGAGACCGCCCCTACTCTCCTTTCTATTTTCCCTCTCTAGAAGTTCGGTTTCAAACCCTGAGAACCCGCGCGAGGTAGAATCTCGTGGGCAGGAGGGACGGACTCCGGAAGATGATCCTCAGGACCCCTCCGCCCCAGAGGAAGCGGCGGGCCAGCTTGGCCGCCGACGGCGAGAGCCCCGGTTCCGACCGCCGGCTCGTGATCTTCGAGGATCCCTCTCCGGTGGGATCCCACGACCCGTCCGACCAGATGGTCTGCTCTTATCAATGCCGTCAGATGGTAGGTGTTCATATTGTAATCTTAGGGCCCTCGGTACTCTCCCGCTTGCTTGGATTCATCGAAGTTTCGCTTTTTACGTTTGGCTTGTTTCCCTATAATGTCGCAGAAAATGGCTCGATACTTACAACGCTATATCATGTTCACACTTATACATCCTTAAAATTTTCGGAACATTGGATTCACCATGGATGGGAGGAGAGTGAGTGATAGATCTTTACATGCTTATGGTTCAAATTGCTCTGGGAACCGGAGCTGAAATGGAGGTGGAGGCGTATTTTGTGTCACGGATAGGACTGGCGTAGGAAGCTAAATTGTGTCAAATTGTCTCTGAGTTAAATTGTGTTGCCGAAGACGTCGGAAGCTAGTTTATGGTCAATATAAGGCATCACACCAGACTGATACGGATGATCTCGAAGTTATTTAGTCGCAAGGTACCATACATCTTTGGATGTTAATTGTGAAAAGGGACTTACTGATCACACTGATGTCTTAATGTTGACAGATCGGTGCCTCATTTAATGTTAGTTTGTACAGTGGAATGGATAATTTGTATATCATGGTCATCATAAGATTTCAAAGTCATTAGGTATCGGATTCAGGAGCGCAGATTAACATCATCTAATGTCCAATAACATCCTTGAAAGAGAGACCCAAAGCTTTAGCAATGTTTCTCGTCGTTTAAGATGTTCCCTCAACAGTCTACTTTCCTATAAAAACGGAAGATTTCGAGAACTGTTTCTGTTAATTTTAGTTGTTTTGAAGAAGTGTATTCCATCGCAATGACCCATAAAGTTAGGCTTGCCTTTTTTCTATGCGTTAAATCAGAAAAGTCGTGTATCTCGGATAGATTTTATTGAAGTTCATAGGGCGGAAACACCCTAGGCTGTGCCCATGACCCATTATAATTATACAAAAAGTTATCAATGACACAGTCACTTTTAGCGACATAATGGTATTCTTAACTATTTTTCCGTTTATTATAAATCCTTAATTTTTATCGAATTCCTACATTTTGTTTTTTGTACCACCACAGACCCTTCTCCATTTCTAATTTCAGGTTTTTTTAAAAAACCAATGTCCTTTTATTTGTCTAAATGCTTTTCATGCAATATTTTAGGTTAAGACAGAAGTCATGGATGCACTGAATATTGCAGAGAAACAAGCTATAGATTATCGGTCAAGAGTAGAGACACTGGAGCAAAACTTGACGAGGAGTGGTGGGTTTATCTGAAATTTTCACCGATGCATCACATGACTGCTTAATTTTTCACGGCATCTTTTGATGAGAAGCATTTTCATAACTTTAGCGTGACTATATCCATTGCTTGGGAAATGACGTTATGGTATAATATCTTGGTATTCTTTTATTTTCCTCATAAAATGAACCATATACCAGAATTCTAATGCCTATTTTATTTGTTCTACCTGTTGTTACAGAAGAGGAGAGAAATCGATTTAAGAATCAGTTATGTTTTGTGGAACAAGAGCTTGCAGCATCCAAAGGCCGTGAAAATGCATTACAACAGCAACTACTGAAGGAAGTCGCTGATTCTCAGGAGCGATATCGAATCCAAGTACAGCGTTGCAGTGAGCTTGAGGTGCATCTTGACTATCAAAGAATTTTGGAAGATTGGTTGTTCTTTTCTCTCTTCAATCAATTCTTCTGATGACGCCACATTTGCTGTAATTAATTTATGTTTTATGTATCTCTAGCTATGTATCTGGAATGTCCTTGATCTATACATTGCTTATTCAGACCATTGTATATTTTTTTATATGTAACTGAAAGGCAAAATGTTTTTTCTATATCCCCTAGTATGCCGTGTCAGAGTTTTCATATTAATGAGAAAATTTTGAAGCTCAATTGTCAGCTGATATTTATACCGGCAAGCTCAAATTCCTATGTTTAACCCACTTTTTTCTAACAGTCCATAATCTTTTATAATGTCAGTGGAGTAATTTATGATGCTTATTTATATGAGCTGCAATATCAATTTTGCTAGGATCTGCCAGTCCAACCTTAAGGTTATGCTGATGATGTTACTGATTTGCTATTGTTGTTGCTTATATAGTTAACATAGCTATATCGACTCAAATACGTGTTTGCTCATTTTCTAATAGGTTAAACTCAGGAAGGAAGCAGATCTTCGTAAAAGTGCTGATTCTTCAGCTCTTGCAGCAAAAGATAAAGTTTGCGATCTTGAGGAGAAAGTTAGGTGCCTTCTAGAGAGCACTGAGAGGGAAAAGAAACGACATCAGAGGGAGAATTTCCATTTTCAAGATGAGGCAAATCTGTCTAGCTCGAGGCTAAGAACAGAAGTGAGTTGTGGACAATGATTTAAGATGAGTACGTTTTTTCATGCCTTACGAACCTTTTGTTTTATATATTTCAGCTCGAAATAATGAAAAATAGGGCAGAAAGTGATAGGAAAGAGTCAGAGCTTTTGAAGAAGCAAATGAAAGAACTCAGAGAACGATTAAATGAGGTGTGTTCTGCTAATTTATTTCTTTGATGCTATATGATCTTCCAAATTTATCATTATTTTTTGTTTCAGTAGTTCAGTTTCCCCAATGTATGGCTGTTACTTAAAGAACTTTTTCTTTTGATTACTAAATTTAATCCCAGAAGATGAAGCAACCACTAACGCCAAGAAATTCACATAAAACCTGGAAAACGGAGGACTAAATAATTACTTGTGTGATAAGCTGATTTTGGGCACCCCAACTCGTCTTTCATAAAAAGGGATATAAATATCCTTTACAACTTTTTTATACTCATCGATGCCATAACGTTGGTTTTTTGGGCGTTCCAATTTGATCTATATTTCTTTGATGTGGTAATCATCAGCTTGTTAAACTGATCAATAATTCAAATTTATTTTGACAATGCTCCCCCTTTCATTTGCTTCCAAATGATGGATTACCCTGTATTAAGCATTGGCAGTAGGTCCAATGCATGCGGCAGAGATAATTTGAAAGAACCCTTGTTTGTACTCCATGCTTGTCAGTATTGAGTGTAGCCACTCGCTGTCAAACGATGTTCATTCGGTGGTTTTCTGTGGAAATTCAAGCAGTGATATCGTTTCCCCTGACAAGCTACTTGTTCTGATGAAGCCCTCTCTGTCTATTTGGCCACATCATCAGACATTAGGTTGACGACTGGCTGTAAGATATACTTGATTATTTTTGAGATACATTCAAATTCATACGTGGACGCTTTTTTCCGATAGTAATGATGCTAATAAAGATACTGGTGACGTGATGACGTTGATGAAATCTGGTTTCGAAATTTTTGATAATTTTTAGGACCCGTAGTGAAACTTTATAACTTGCAGGCCAAAGATGATTTTTCTAAAATATTACAGACTGTGTTGTTTTCGACCGAATGAGTTTTTAGTTTGGGCTCTGGATTCGAGAACTGTTATTTATCAACCATAGTTTAATTACAATTTAATATCTTTATATTTCTTTTACTAAAAGGCCGAATGCTTTTTGCTATCCTCATCTGGGTTAAAAAGCCTCATGTTCTCTACTGTTCATGGGTTGCTGAGTAGACAGATCTCGATTTTGAGTCAACTTTATTTTCAAATGTTACGAACAGATTTTTGAAATAAACACCTGATTCAACCTGAGGTATACTATTATGTGCGATAATAGTTGTTTTGATTTCAGTTTTGTTGTTACAATTTTGCACTTATGTACCCATGGCGTGGATAATGAAGGGATTTGATGAGCCATGAACTTGGTTTCACGACACTGCCAATAAAATAATATTTTTGCAATTCTGGTTTTTTTTTTTTCAGTGCCTTGCGGAGAAGAGCGAGTTGGAGCATAAGGTTACAAGCCTTCCTATTGCATCACCTGAAGTCCGTGCTCCAGAAGAGACACAGGTGCTGCTGAAGCATCTGCAGGAAGAACTTCGGAACTATGTGAGCTATTTGTTCCTATGGCTATTTATTTTTTTATCGTCCTGCTATTGAATATTGCTGTGTACCATAGGATTTCTCTCTTGCTCTCTGGAACTAGAGAATAGAAAGTTGTTTGCATGAGTTGCGTCTTCTCTGAAGTGTTGATAGAATATCCTGTTTGGGTATTGTGACCAAGATAGAAAGTGTCCTTTGATTCAGTTCATATTACCTTTAGTAACAATCAGAAACTTGTGGAAAGAAGATGATACCGTTCAGTAGGAACATTATAGTTCGTTAATTATCAAATTGTTTCTCACCGTTTTGAATCACCGATAAGACATTGAAGCCTTAGATGCCAGGAATTGAATGTTTTGTTGCAGAGCACGTGGTTAATTGTTGATAAATATTTGTCCGTTTACATTGTGTGATCTTGTGGGACAATTGTCTATTTGATCTTTTCACACTGTTGTCTGACTTAACCTAGGAGGTTGAGGTGCAAGAGGCAAGGAAGCTGAGATCTTTCCATGCGAACACTGAGCTATTAAAGGAGAAACTACTGGAGGAAAAGGGTCGTAGAGACAAGGCAGAAGCTGAGTTAGTTAAACTGCAGGAGGTCCAGTTTCATGCTGAAAAACTGGAAAATGAGTTGAAGATGTGGAAGTCATTAATCAATGAGATTCCCGGGGTATCTTCCTTTGATGATATATGCAAAAAAATTGCTGGCTTGCAGAAGTATGTATTTGCAAGTTTGTTAGAATGTTTTATTTTCCCATTGTATTCTGTCAGTCTCTGGTTTTTTTTATTATTACCGAATTTTGACTTAATATGTTTCTCGTGTTTTGCTGATGTATTGTTTTGCTATTTGTGAAATATAGAGAAACAATAGATGGCATGATGAAGGTTGGGGAGGTAACTGCTCAGTTGAGAGAGCTAGAGGTAGCCCTGGATTCGGCAAAGCTCAGCAGGCAGCAAGCAGAAACAGAATGTGCTCTTGCCAAGGAGAAAGCAGATGAATCAAGTTTGGAGGTGAAGCGTCTTAAACTGATGGTTAGTATTTAAATTGGGACCCCCTATCTTGGTGAAAAAGTAGGCATTTAGTTAACTATGGCTTGGTTATCTTGACTGTGCAATTAGCACCCTTTCATAAATGGTTCGTCACTTTCCACGTAAAGGGGATTTTGGTTGGATCAATCGTGTCAAAACACTAGCTAGGGGAAAGACCCATTTATCAAATAAAGTAGAATTCCGAATTCATCCACTATCAGGTATATATAGATATGGCTAAGTTAGTATCAATTCATTAAGGGAATCAATAGAGTGTTCACATGTACAACTTATCTACCAGCTGATTGTCCTTCTGTTCTATGTTCGAAAATCTCTATATCCAGTATAGTGTAACATCAGCATAACCTCTATCCATTCTGAAGATCTTACCAGACTTACTGTTGAAGATCCAGTTGGTGGGTTTCCTTGACAAGTTCACCGATATGTGGGCTGTTTCTAGCTGGCAGTGGAGAATTCATGTAATTACACCCCAGTTTGATTTTTAGATTTACATTTTCCACTTTCTTCTTTTTGAGTGACAGATTGATGCAGTCACTGAAGAAAGGGATCGGCTAAGAAAGGATGTTGTTTCATCCTGTAAGATGAAGATTGAAGATTCAGAGGGTGGAAGTACTGAAACAACACTGCTTAAGGTTGTAAGACACAGAACACCACTAGTTCATACTGGTGTAAGCTTCCTACTTAGGCATTCCTCATTGTTTTCAAAATATACAGGAACTAGAAAAATCGTTGGCAGAAAAGGAGGAAGTTATCAAAGGATTGGAGACTAATATAAATGAACAAGGAATCATCATTCATCGTCAACAAACTGAAGTGAAAGTTCTCAACGAACATCTCTGCAATGAAGCAAGAAGAATCAAGTCTTTGGAGCGTGAAAGTGACCGGCTTCGTGCTGAGATCTCTCTACTGGAGTCCAAGGTACGATCTACAACCATCACCAGAATATTATCTGTTCATGATATATATTTCATTTATTTTCACTCTTCCGACTTCAATTCCAGCAAAGTTTCTTGTCCTATAATCTCTAGAGATATTCATGTACGTCATCATTTGTTAGCCGAAATTCATGATGCACAAAGTGAATTTGAAAAAAATCCAATTCGGATCAATGATTTTTGCTTTGAATTTTTAATGATTCATGTTGTTTAGCCAGAAATATCATGACCCTAACACAACCGTCTTTCTTCCCAGCTGTATTAACCAATTTTTCCAGCTATTCCGGTGTCACATCCCTACTGACTGTGCTATTTTAACATAATTAGGACAGTGTCTGCAGCTTTCACACTAATATGGTTATTGTTTTGGCACTTCGCAGTTAGGTCATGGCGATTACTCCACTGAAAGCACGAAGGTGTTGCGTATGGTGAATACGTTGACCGTGGACAGTGAAACAAAGCACACCATAGAGGCGTTACGATCTGAGCTGTTGAAAACAAAAGCAAAGCTTCAAGCTGTTGAAGAGCTGAAGGGACAGTCAGGTACAGAACAGCGGTTACCATACTATATGATACTCTTGATTTCTTTATTCTTGAGGAAAAGGATTTTGGCCTGCGATCACAGACGCTATGGTAATATGTTTACTTCTAGGAAATTCCACAGAATATAGCGTGCATATGCCCTTATTGTTCATGCGTATTGCCATCTATAGTGTCTGCATTTAGATATTGGGACCCGGATTTTCCATAATTTTGAATCTATTAGTTCGTAGGCGACTTATCACGCAGCGATTTTGAGTGCCGTTGTTAATGTGTTGCCAGATGCCGGAAATCTAATAGATGCCCAGATATCAGACAAACTTGCCCAACTCAAAGGCCAGATTGCAACTCTAGAGAAGCGTGAGGAAAGGTTGCTTATTCTTCTTCATTTGGACGCAATCTTCATCCTATTATTTCAATCTTAGTTTCATTTAATCAATCTTCTGCTTGCGTTAAACAGATATAAAACAGTTTTCGCGGACAAAATCTCAGTCTTCAGAAGAGCTTGTTGCTCTCTCTTTGGCTACAAGGTAATCTCGTAGACTGATTTGATCGAAAGTTCCTGGTTTTAGTGATTAATCTTATATGGGGTTGGGATTAGTTCATATGAACCAAGCCACAATGAAAAATAAATAAATAAATAAATAAATAATCATCTGGTTGATCTGCTATATTTATTGCTAATTACTGTTTACTTGGGTGACCGAATAATCAAACGATTTTTGATATATTTTTCTTCTCTAAAATTCTTCTACCGCAAACATAAAAAACCCTTTTTTTAAAAACTTTTGATGGCTTCTGAAACAAGTGGGTCCCAACTTTTCTTAGATCATTTTTCATGTTTGCATTATTTTTTGATGCTTTTCAACTCTGCTGCCAGATTGTTATGGATGATCAGCAGCGGCCCAATGGAATTCCCGTGACCCGGTTCACCCTCCAATCAATCTACGCTCAAAGTGACGATGAGAAACTCGAATTCGAGTATGAGTCGGGGAACACTAACGTCTTGGTCGGTGCATTTTTTGTGTGAAAAAAAGCTTATGATTCATGATTTTCCGCGTATTTTCCGCCGGATGATGATTTTTTTTCTCTCCCCACACAGGTCAACGATTACTCCTCTCAGCCAGAGATTTCCCATCAGGTTATTCCTCTTCTTTCTTTTCCTGGATTGTCGTCGCATTGATGATAGATTTGACGGGGCGTGCATCACATCCCAATAGTTTTTTTTTTCTTTTTTTTGCCTGATTAATCCAACCTGAAAGGCAACTTTCCTACTCTTCTCATCTTCTGACTTTTTGGCGAGTTGATTTTTTTTTTCTCAGGTTGAGATTTTCATAAAGAGGATGAATTCGATTCCTGCTTTCACTGCAAACTTGACCATGGAGTCATTCAACAAGCGCACCTTGAGTTAAACCCCTCCCAAACTGGTATACTCTCTCTCTCTCTCTCTCTCTCTCTCTCTCTCTCTCTCTCTCCTCCCCCACCCACCCACATCGCACATCATCATACTGTAATCTTGATGGGCATCTACCGTAAGATCAATTATTTCCTTTCCTATGAGCACTATAAATTCATAAACTAGCGTTTCATTTCACATATATCTATATATATATATATACATATGTAGAGAGAGAATTAGACTACGTTTTGATAGCATCCTCATCCATTATTGGCGGCGTGGGCCACTCACTGCACAGGCCGTAAGCCAGTAAGCGACAATTAACAGGTGGTGTTGACTGATTTGAGTTGGGTCAAGCACATTAGGGCTATAGGCTGGGGCCCACATGGCACAGGCAAGAAGTAAAACGTGAAAATGGCTTTCGGCTCTTGGTCACCCTGATTTGACTGCGATACGGATTCCATACTGAGTCCATTCTACGATGTGTTTTCATTGGAGCAGAGGAAAATAATGACTGGTAGCACATTAAGTGAGGTAAATTATATGTTCCTATGTGTGTGTGTGTGTGTGTGTGTGTGTGTGAGAGAGAGAGAGAGAGAGAGAGAGAGAGATGTGCTGTCTGGTGAATGGGTTCTCTGTGGAAACATGCAGTGCTTACCACAGTAGGCAACTGTGGGAGCACTCTATATGGAGGACGTTTGAGGGATTCACGCGTGAGGTTGAGTGACCATCTCACGTGGGAATTGGTGCCAGCCCGGATGATGCACGCTGATTGGGCTCTGACGTTGACCGGCTTCCAACCTTCCTCACGTGTGGTGCTCGTCCTCCAACGCGGGCAGTTTTCGTCTCGAATGAGCGATTATTTTGACGGAAGGAGGATTCGCTGCTCGCTCCGTCTCAGATTCTCTCTCACCAAGCAGTGCACTCTCTCTCTCTCACCAAGCAGCGTACTCTCTCTCTAAAAAATTGTGACTTCAAGATGGAAGAAAGGAAAATAGGGGTTCTACGAGCCGCATCGCCGCCACTGACGCGAACCCGCGTCAAAAGCTTAGTCCCATCTCTCTCTCTCTCTCTCTCTCTCTCTCTCTCTCTCTCACGCACACACCCAGCTGGCACACAGGAAACGGCGGTCCTCTCCGACGAGAACGGCCGCTAGTGAGGGCAGCGGATGATGATGGGCGAACAACCTTGTCTAATTAGATGCCCGCGACGGGGCCCCAGTTCTCATCTGCTGATGGCGAGCTCAATCAAGTACAGCCCACACTCCGGAGGGCTCTCTCTCTCTCTCTCTCTCTCTCTCTCTCTCTCTCTCTCTCTCTCTCTCTCTCTCTCTCTCTCTCTCTCTCTCTCTCTCTCTCTCTTCTCTCTCTCCCCTCTCCGCAAAACACACTCATCTTCTGGTAGTAGCCGGTAAATGAGAAATAACCCCATGCACTGTTCAGGCTTCCTGTACATAGAACAAGCCAGTGAACTTCATCCCTCCTCTCTATCACTTCCTACGAAAGAGAGAACCGTCGGGTCACTATTTCACGGGAACTGTTCCTCGGTCTTCACCTTAATTCTCTCTCTCTCTCTCTCTCTCTCTCTCTCTCTCTCTCTCTAGAGATATCTGCGTATGTGCTCCAGTTTATTGATGTAAGTTGGAAGGAGGAGGAAAATCTCCGTCTTGCTCGTGAGGGCCCGCGAGACGTCCTAGTCAGGATCAATCTCATTTATTTCTGATTTCGTCGGCATCACCTGCTGCCGACGAATGCGTTGCCAAGAATGGATGCCCCGGGTGGTCCACGACGAATCGCTGTTCTTCTCAGCGCCGTCAACTGGCCGGCTCTGACTTTTCACTACCCATCCAGCGAACTCGAGCGGCGCCGCCCTGTCGTAGCATTGTATGTCTTCCACAACGGCTACACTCCGTTTAGAGAGAGAGAGAGAGAGAGAGAGAGAGAGAGAGAGAAGTAAAAGTACCCTGAAACAGTCTCTAACAAAGGAGAGTGAGAAAGGTGAAGAGTACCTTGAAAAGTTCCCAACAAAGAGAGAGAGAGAGGGAGAGAGACTCAAGTGAGCAGGAAAGAAGCACGTGGTATAGAATTAAAATTTTAAATCGATGTATCCATATTTAAGGCCGAATTATGTGCCTGAAGTCGACTGCCCAAAAATTGTCTTGAATTATTAATTGTTGGAAATTTCAGATGCCCACTTCCCCTATTTTCATACATTTAAGTTCTCTCTCTCTCTCTCTCCCTCTCTCTCCCTCTCTCTCTCCCTCTCTCTCCCTCTCTCTCTCCCTCTCTCTCCCTCTCTCTCCCTCTCTCTCCCTCTCTCTCCCTCTCTCCTCCCCCCCTCCCGGGGCGTCGCATACGTATAATCCAATGTGATGAATCCCGGAAAATCCCCGCGAATCCGACGGGCAAAGGGTCGGGGAAGGTTGAATGCCCCCCCAAGATACGTGGGGCCCACTTTGCTGTGCCTCCGGACGACGGAACCGTACGTGGCGCCGGCACGGAACTTGATGGGATTTCACGTGTCGGGAAGACAGCTGGCTTGCCGCGTGACCCCGCCGCCGCCCACCGGGGGTACGTAGCGAAGTGACCAAAATTTCCTCAGAAAATATTTACCTATCAGTTCGGTTTATTAACTTGGCAAAATCAATGTACGTATTTCTAAGGTGGAGATTGCTATAGCGGGAGCCGCATCGGCGTCAATAATGCGAGACAAATACGGTACGAGAAAAAATCCCAAAAAAGTCAAAGGTTTTTTTCTGACGTTGCCCAAAAAATGGGATAAATTTATACGGAATTTAGTTCAGTTGAGTCGAGAATATTAGTAAATATGGGAAATTTTTCATTTTATAATTTTTAGTCGCAAGAAGAAAAGCCCACTGAAAATATACGAGTTTTGCCTATAATAGAAAATCTTATAGAGAAAAAATCACAAAAAGTCAAACCTATGATCCAGCATGTTGAAGAAGTCACCGAAAAATAGGATAATTTATTGGGATTTATTTTTTTTTTAATTTATTGGGAATTTAGTTCAGTTAAGTCGAAAATATTTGCGAATAAGGGAAATTATTTATTTTAGAATATTTAGTTGCAAGAAGGAAAACCCACTGAAAATATACGATTTTTTTTCCGTAGAATAAAAAAAAATCTAGAGAAAAAATCCCAAAAAGTCAAAGCTATGAGTCCAGCGTGATGAAAGAAGTTGCCAAAAATGGGATAAATTATCCGGAATTTAGTTCAGTTAAGTCGAAAATATTAACGAATATGGAAAATTTTGGATTTTAGAATATTTAATTGCCATAAGGAAAACCCACTGAAAATATACGAATTTTGCCGTAGAATAGAAAATCTTAAAGAAAGTAGAGGGGCACATTCGGTAATATCGGACGGTAAGATAAGCCGGGAGAGTACTCCCTCCGTACTCATCTCCGCTACTCCACGAGTACCTACGCTGGCCAGCTGTCTCCTCTCACTCTCTCCCCCCACCTATAAAGACCCCGTCACTGCCTCCATCTCTCACCGTCCGCTTGTCTCTCTCTCTCTCTCTCTCTCTCTCTTAATCTGCATCTGCATCTCTTTATCTCTCTTCGGTTCTCTCTCATGCCGGTGCAGAGGGCGGCGCAACGAGCGGCGGAGGAGGGACAGCGGCGGCGGCCGTACAGGGGGGTGCGACGGCGGGCGTGGGGGCGGTACGTGTCGGAGATTCGGTTGCCGGGGAAGAACACACGCGTGTGGCTGGGCTCCTTCTCCTCCGCCGAGTCCGCCGCCAGAGCCCACGACGCCGCCTCCTTATTCCTCCACGGCGACCCGACCGCCCTCAACTTCCCCGCCGCCGCCGCCTCCCTCCCCCGCCCCCACTCCTCCTCCCCCGCCGACATCCGCGCCGCCGCTTCCCAGGCCGCCGCCGCCGGCGGCGTCGCCGGCGGCGCCGTTGCCTGCTGGCAGGCGCCGGCGGTGGAGGAGGCCAAGCTCGCTCCCCTCCACAGCCCCCCAGGGAACCCAGGGATTGACCTCTCCGACTTCTCCGAGCTCTGGGCGGAAGACTCCCTTCTCTTGATCTGAACCACACCTCCTCCCTCCTTCCAACTACTCCCTTGCTCTCTCTCTCTCTCTCTCTCTCTCTCTCTCTCTCTTGTAGATGAAGGTGGTGAAACAGAAGATGGGACTATGGATGAGACGACGCATCACGCGGAGATGAGATGGGGACGAAAGCGATAATATCGTGGGCATTCTTTGACAAAATGGGCCCCACTGTGGAAACTTGGCCAACGGGTTGATATGCGGAGTGTGAATGGGTCAACGTGAAGTCAACGGTCCGAGTCCAGAAGAGCTGCTCTTCGCGATCCTTACGTCAAACGCCGAGTACTTACCTTCCCACCTGGTGGAAAGCGAAAGGCTTTGTAATCTTCACCATCTGTGACTTCTTCTCTCTCTCTCTCTCGTTTCTGTGTATTTACGATGCCCGTAGTTATAATGGGCTGGGACAGTGGAGGGATGAGACTTTAGGGAGCCGTCGGGTCAATGACTGATGAGGATGAGGATCGGCCGGGGCCAGTTCTGCCCCACTTAAGCGCTCTCAAGACAGATCTACGTGGCCATCTGAAGACACTCCAGACTCCGAGGACCACTTAATTGCGTGGCAAAGGACGTGGCCTTGCTATGAAAGAAACGCTTGAATGTACTTGCTGACTTTCTGTGGATTCCACCCACCCCTCTCTCTCTCTCTCTCTCTCTCTCTCTCACACACACACACACACACTAGATCCCACATGATATATAGATATAGCAACCCCACATGATAAGTGACTATCCCCATATATATATATATACGTGTGGGGAATGAGTGGATAGAAACTGCCAAGTGTCAAATGGTTTGGATGAATAACTTATTTTTTAGGCTCTTATTTATCATTATGTCATGAATGATTAATCTTCGTCATCCAGGTTAGTTAAGATACACCCGTCATATTAAGTAACGGGTTACGGGAATGAAACCCTAATGCCACGTGGGCACGCATGTAGTCATGTCTACGTGGCACGTCAACATAGCACAACATGTACGGAGCACAGGAGTTAGAATGATGTTCGAGGAAGTGTCCCATGAATCTCGTAGATCTTGTGGGTATGGATGCATACATACATCACCACAACATGATATCGTAACAGTATGCAATTTATGGTAGAGAGGGATTAATGGGATGGGCTTGTGATCTTTGTGGACGACGGCCCATCTCAAACTTGCACTATTGGGCCATACTATTAGAGGAATGATTGCACTACCTAACAAAAGTGAGATTGCATGGCCCAAGTCATAGAAGATGAGCCAATCCAGTGGGCAAATTTGGGTAAGTAAATACGGGGAACCACCCTATAAAAAGATGAGGTTGGCCTCACTTCCGCTTGTACTCCTTTTAAATAGGAAAATACATTTCCTTTTAGCAAAATAATCATAAGTTATTTGCTACTGGAGCAGCCAAGTTCAGTTTTAACTAAACATTTGGTGATCAAGATCTCCGAGACTTAAATTTGGTATAAAAATAGTAATATTTTTTATTTTTTTTGTAGAAGCTCACAGTGTGAGCACATAGTTTTAGATGCAAGGATAACTAGATTCAAGTCAACCGATGTTAGCTACACATCAAGCATGGTCTACTCATGGTCAACCACATCTTGATTTTTTCTGTCAATCATCCTGGTCTAATTTGAGCATGGGCAATGAAAGGATGCATGACCGCATTTTTCCACATTTGTTTAGTTTTTAATTTACTTACATATTTAATACGCCTTTTCATGGTAGGTTAAGCACTGAGGTACGTATCTCATGTGAATAGACATGGTTTTCAAGCAAGCGTTTTTCAAGTTTTTCACTTCATATATTTGATTCGTTCAAGCATGACATGTTGATTTTTTTAATTATTTTTTTTCGTATTTAATTATAGCAATAGACTAACCAAATGATGTTTTAACCATAAATAGAGGGAAATTAAAGGGCCAACACCAAAAAAAAAGAATTATGGAACATTTTTATCATAAAAAGTTATTCGAAAGTTAATTATTATATTTATCTGAAAAAAATAAAATTTGTGTGAAGCCCAGTCGTCAATTAGTTCATTATGAACAGAAAAAGTTACGATATCTGTATTTATATAGTTTCGTAGGTATATATTTACGAGGGATGGGCCCCCCATTAACGTGGGCTACGCAATTAGAGCCACGCTCTGAAAGAGTCTACGCTGGCCCACTCACGTGACTGGGGAATCGTGAAATTACTCCTGTTCGTGAGAATATTTTAACGGGCACGAGTGAACCACTGCTTTTGTAATTACTCCCACTCTTTCAGCATGTTTTGTATAAATACGTGGGATATAATTTAATTATCTTTATGGTCACCAATGCACCCCGTAAGAATAGGTCGAAGGGCTAGCAAGAAAAATCGGCGTGTCACGTGGGTGTCACATCGCCTTCCCACGTGGCATCATTACTTTCTCTCTCCGTCTCTGTCCATGGCCGTCTGTCTCTCTCATTCTATCTACATCTCTCTCTATTAAATGTTTTTTTAATTAAAACGGGCCGGACCCGAAGCTTATTCAGCGCCAAGATCCTCATTTCCCGCCTTCAGCTTCGATATTCCCAATGACTCCAGGGGCTTTTCCGCAAAAAGACAGACGAAGCTCAGAGGGGTATTCCCGTAGTTTATTCGATGCCGCCATACTTTTTGGGTATTTTCGAGGATAATGCTGAGCCGTTATCGTAGAAAAAACGACGGGGCGACACGACATCCCCGGCCCCACCTCCCCAATCCCTCGAGCACCGCCTCTTCACATCCCTCTCACCTCCCATAAATATCACAGCTGGTCGATGCCGGGGCTCTCCTTCCAGAGAGAGAAAAAAAAAAGTAGAGAGAGAGAACTTCCCTCGCCTCTCGTCCCGATTCCCGCTCCATTTTGGAAAGCCTTAACCAGACTTTAACCGCACTCTAACCCTGGTTTCACGACTCCCGATGCGCGTCTGACGCCTCGCTCCTCTCTCGCTCTCTCTGTCTTTTCTCTGTCTCTCTTCTGCTGTGGGGCGGGCCCTCTCTCGAAACCCTAACTCCACCGGGGTATAATTTTTTTACTTTCCTATCCCTTTCCCTCCTCCCTGTCGCCGCCCTGAGAAGTGCTCCTCCCGCCGCCTGCAAGTGACCGCCTGAGAACTGCCCGGCGCCGCCTACGAGAGCCGGATCCGGCGAGATCCATAGCCGACGGAGTCAGACGCCATGGTCGTGAACGGGCGGCCCCTCAAGCGAGCGAAGAAGCGTGTCACGGCCGATCTCTACGACCTCCTGACGTTTCCGGCGGGGGCGGGGATCGGCTTCGACGGTCCCTTCCGGACGAACGTGAGATCCTTCCTCTCCCGGCACGCGCGGCTGCCGCCTCCTTCTTCCGTTCTCTCCCCCGCCGCGGCGCCGCACCTGCTCACCTGGCGAGTCTCCTTCCGGATCGGAGGGCCGAAGACGGCGGAGGAGTCGGGGGAGGAGGATACCGATCGCAAAGCCGCCGACGATTCCCCCTCGGCGTTCGTCGTCGATCTCGACGTGGTCGAAGAAGACGTCGCGAGATCCAGATCGGTGTACTGCGACCAGTGCCGCGTGGTTGGTGAGTCAACTCAGTGATCGATCCCTCCTTCCATCGCGTCTCTTCACCGCCTTCATCCTCGTTTTTCCTGCCCATCCTGATCAGATCCGGCGACTCTCCCTCTCCGGTCGGGAATCCGGTTCCCAGTCCACCCCATCGGTCAATCTTCCGTTGACTGCCAGCTGGCACGCCATTTAAAACATTTAATCTCCCTCTCCTCCTTTTATCTCTCGAGCTCACGGGGTTGCGGTGATCGTCAGTCCCGTTGATACCTGCTTTATCGGATTTCCTCCTGCGATCTCCTTCTACCGCCGTTTCACGTGCGCTGTCTAAATGGCCACCGTGGAGGATTTCGTTGTCGTTTTTCGTTCTGCTACTCGGAAAAAACCATCCCATCTTCGTGATGTGCTCCCTGCCGTACCTCGTACGACCGCGGAATCCGCCGCTGAGGGAAGCGTAGGCTGTGTGGTTGGGGGGGGGGGCATCTGCTAACAGTTGTTTACTGTGTATTAACACCGATGGTAACTATGGTTCGTGGTCCAGGTTGGAGCGGGCACCCTGTCTGCGGTAAGCGCTATCACTTCATCATTCGGAATGAGCTCACCTCCTCAACACATCCCGATCAGAGTTGTATGAGATGTGGGTCGATGCTGCAGTTCCTGGATACGAGGCAAGGGCTTTATACTCTCTCTCTCTCTCTCTCTCTCTCTCTCTCTCTCTCTTTCTGGATATCTATTTATCTTCGTGGGTTTAATGTAGGAGGGGTGGGGGATTGACGGGCAGTTGTATCGTCCAGGTGTTCGACCTGCAACCACGAGATGACGGCGGATGATCTCGAGGACTGGGCGTACCTCCAGCTGGGGGACACCACACACTTGCTCCATGGAGTCATCCACACGAACGGCTACGGGCATCTGCTCAGAGTCAACGGCCGAGAAGGCGGCTCCCGAGTTTTGACGGGATGCGACGTGATGGGCTTCTGGGATCGCCTGTGCGGTATGCTCCGTGTCAGGTAATGAAGCTCGGTATCAACCGACGACTCTCACAGACTTAGGACCAACGTTCACGCTCACCCTGTTTCCTAAAAGAATTTATGGCGCCGCGCCTATCCCTCTACTCACTCAATGCAACCGCGAGTCTCTCGATTGGTTTACGGACAGATCTGGAAGTATCGTGAGGGAGGGCATTGAGTTTAGTTCTCGCGAGTTACCGTCGGCGGTGAAGTTCGGGGTTTCGTGTTCTGCGCCATTAATTATTTGTGACTCGCGTTTTGTGAACATTCACAGTGTAGAAGAATGTCTTATTTGAACTATCATTATGCTTATTAACTACGCCTAAGAAGGGAGGGGGGAGGACCCGCATGGTTGATTGCTTGGTTGTTTAATAATTGATTGACGCGGTGGCCTTACTTGACTGTCGCAGGAAGGTGACGGTGATGGACATATCGAAGAAGCACGGGCTGGAGTACCGGCTCCTCCATGCGGTCACCGCGGGGCATTCGTGGTACGGCAACTGGGGCTACGAGTTCGGCACCGGGAGCTTCGCGCTCACCGTCGACGCCTATCGAAAGGCCGTGGAGGCCCTCGCCAACCTACCCCTCTCTGTCTTCTTCTCCCACTCCCGGTCCCCCCGCGGCCCCTTGCAGGACACCATCTCGATGTACTGCGCCTTGTCGGACTGCCAGTTGCTGACGGTCGGCGAGTTGTTCTCCTTCGTGATGCGTCTGCTGCGCGACGCTGAGGGGCGCCGGCCCCCGTCGGGCACCCCCGCGTGCGGAGCCGCTGCCCCTTCCGGGGTCCTCTGCGCGTGGACGGGGGAGGAGGTGGGGCGCCTGGAGGCCGCCATGGTCAAGGTCCTTCGTGCCGCGGGGGGGTACCGGTGGGTCTCTTGGCGGGCCCTCCGCGGCGCCGTCTGCCAGCAGGCCGCCTCCTCCCTGGCCCTTCTCGATTACTGCCTCAAGGGCCTTGCAGGGAAGTCCGCCGGGGACGGCATGGTAGTCATCGTGCGGTGCAACGCCGAGACCCGAGCTATAGAATTCAGGTAAGCTACTATTATTATTGCTACTTTGCCTACCACTTCTAATTCTCCGTATGGAACCTAATTAGGGGAAATCTATTTACCTTTGTTTGCAGTCTTGTGACAGTCGGTGGGGAACGAACGGCAGGGTGGAGTGGGCCGACAAGGCATCAGATCCTGCGGGATCTGAGGTTTCTGTACGACGCGCTGCTGAATCCTGGCACGATGCATCCCTATAGGCCGCGGCCGCTGCGGCAGCTGGCGCAGCAGTACGCGATGAGGCTCCTCGACTGCAAACAGTTCATCAAGGACTACGACAGGAGCAGCAGCCGAGTCGGCGGGCCGAACCCTCAGGCGATCCGCGTGTGGTGCCAGGCGGAGCTCGACCAGCCCAAGCACTATGCGCCGCCGCCAGCGGAGCTGGTGGTCCTGCCGGTGACGGCCACGGTGGGGGACCTGAAGGCCGAGGCCACTAGGGCCTTCAGGGAGACCTATCTGGCCTTCCAGAGGTTTCACGTCGAGCAGCTCTCGGAGTACGGTGACGTGGCCGACCGTGCCCCCGTTAAACTCTTGGTTGGCTCGGAGGGGACTGTGCGGGTGAGAGGTCGGTGGACCGGAGACCTACAGAGGCTTGGGCAGTTCAGGATGGAGAGAGGGCTGGAGAACTGGACGGTGGACTGCTCCTGCGGGGCCAAAGACGACGACGGGGAGAGGATGCTAGCCTGCGATGCCTGCGGCGTGTGGCAGCACACGCGCTGCTCCGGCATCGACGACGTCATGGAGGTGCCCTCGAGGTTTGTATGCCGGAGGTGCTCGGGCCCGCGGCGGCCCGGTGGGCCTGGGAGGAAGTGTAGATACCCTAAGGACTCTTCTGGCATGACTGGGAGGTGCTCTACCAATGCCGCCGCCGGCCCGACGTTTATGGACGGTGGCGGGTACGGATGCTTGACCCAAGTGCGGTGACTTGTAAGTATATGTAATACAAGATGTACAGTTTCTGGCCTGAGACTTTCCTATGGCTATTTCTATCTAATGCCTGAGAAGTTTCTTTTCTATATCTACGGCTCTATCTGTTTCTCCAATTTGATGGTTGGTTATGGATGTGTGCCGAGCGAGTTATATGGACCGAGAAGTCTGCTGGGGATAGAAGCAAGTAGGGAGAAACAGTGAGCATGAGGGCGTACCGTGACATGTTACATCATAGCATGATGGGCTTTCTGAGAATGTCTTCCTGGTTAACAGTTCTTGCGGTCTTTCGGAGCGACTCCTCCCACCTGTTTACGTTACCAGTCAACAGCAGACTGATCAATGTACCAAACCCCAATAATAGAAATGAAAGGTCAAAAATAGGTATCCACGGCTTAAAAAAGAAGGTTATGCAATTATCCTCTGACTCTTACCAAGACACTAGGGCCGGCTCTTCAGGGAGATGTTAGGGGTTAAACTCCCCTTTCACCAAGAATGATCCTCAAGCATCATGAAACAAAGTCCTCAAAGCTGTCCCTGAAGTTAGGACGAGTCACATCCATCCCAAATAAGTAAAGATCGTATCTATTAAAAGGATGGATTTGCTGGAGAACATGTTCGCATGAGTTACTAGGAAGAATCTCATCGGTGAATGACCGAGGCATACGGGACTTCCATTATTCTTATTAAAAGAAAGTATTCATGTTCGATGATCGAATGAATTGACGGTAAAGAAAAATTGCGACATGAAGGCGACTGCCCCATGTATTGAACAGCAATTTCAGGTTCTGAAAGGTTCGGGATAGGTCAATTATCATCTATTCCCAAACACTTTATCGTCTAGGGAAATAAATTTGTGGGACTCTGAAATGCCGTAGTCATCTTCTCTCCAAGGTAAAGTCTCATTCCGTATCCAGGTCAGAGTTACATCCGAAGAAGCTAAAAAATCTCGCAAAGGCTACGACAGTGGGATAGTAATCTATGAGATTGATTAGGCAAGGAAGTATATAATGCATTTAATTATAGATGGAATATCGAGCAGAGCATACTTAGAAACTATATGGAAAAGAATTGCGCTTGAGGAAACCAAACTTGCCTTAAATGGAAGGAATTCATTCCTTGCCAAAAGCGTGGACACCAGGTTGTTGACGACCCACGATGAGGCATAAATGCCTCATCGAAAATTATCTTCCACGATTTCCTTCTCATTGCAATCTGCAAATCCACCATAATATGAGGCATCAGAAACCTTGATGCATAAGCTGTGTTGTTGATCAAAGACAGCTTTGGACAGCAAACCAAAGAAATCGAGATTTGTTGTTCGTTTGAAGATATTTTTCTTTTGTTATTGATGGTATTTTGTTTTCTTTTTCTTCTTCACGCTCTCCCCACCCACCGCCACCCAAATCTACCTCTTTTTCGTCATCCTACAAGCGGGAGGAGATTTTTGTAACAAGCGGCAGATCAAAGGTGACTTCAACATTCGCTATTGTCATTATCATAATGTCATAAGACAGCAATTGGACCATGGCTGGTCAGCTTCTAAGAAAATGGAGAGTTTACCATAAATATTCCTCTTTAAGAAAGTGCCATAACTGAAATGTGTAACAAGGGACAGACGCAATGTAAAATTAAATCCAAAGGGATCATTATATCAAGAATTAACAGTAGACATTTTAAGAACGTCTAACATGAGGAATAGCAAGATCACCTGGAGAGCACCGGAACGGAGTAGCAAAAAGAAGCAGTAGCAATAAATGAATTCGTGACAGGAAGCTCTAGATAAGTACATTCTCGAAACCAATTATTAGAAACCAATATGAGTGGAATTTCGAATTAGACTTTCTATTCGATACAGAAAATTATTCCTGCGATTAAAAGATCACAATAAGTCAAATATAAAGGACAAAAAGACTATACACTTACTATGGAACAGTTGATTTTCATATATTTGACGTATAAATTATAAGACTGTCTTCTTTATTTGAAAGAAAGAATCAAGCAAACCATGTTATGTTAAGGTTGAGCGAAAAACTAGAGGGGCAGAGGTCAACATTGCAATGAAAGAATCAAGCAAACCATGTTATGTTAAAGCAGAACGAAAAAGTAGAGGGGCACAGGTCAACATTGCATAAATTCGAAGAATAACACGATCACGAAGCATAAGAGGGATGAAAATGGCTTCTGATAAATCAATAGCACATCCTCCTCTCAGAGCATAGAGTAATACTAAAATCCGGGTGCAACAAAATGTAGTCTACGTGCAAATCTCCGACTGAAGCTTTAATTATTTGAATAATATTTCTTGAACAAAGAAAATCATAAGATATTGGGAATTAATTCACTTAGTCAACATTCACAGGGGTTGCGGAAAATCATTTCACCAAGATCAAGCTATTTCGTTGAAGGGAATTGGGGTTGAGAGGGTGTTACAAAGGATCTTTGCCAACACCGAAAAGGTCGAAAAAAACCTTGCACACAAAGAAAACTACATTCACGGTATGGAGTGGGTTCATGATCTTGCAATAGATTTCAAGTGGATGTCAATGAGAGCACACCGAATGACCATCTATGCTGAGTGATCTACTGCACATATTTAATTAAAGCATTTAACGACACTTGATTGAAATGAAGATGAAGAATAAAAATCAATTTACTATCAGATGCAATCACCTCCTAATATTATTAAATTATTTCTTAATGGTGCAAGCCCCACGCAGGATTATCCCTACTGCTAAATTACTGTCAAGGTACAGTCCAACTATCTTTCCTTCTTTCTCCACTAGCTGGGTGCTGGTGCATAGCATGGTGAAACAGATATGCGACATTTGACTTAAGCATTCAACTTAATACATGATAATAAAATTTTATAATGAGATACGTCTAATGTCCGAAAAAGAACAACAATGAATTTTACTCTTCAAACTTCTATGAATAGTAAGTACCGTTTTAAATGATGGAGGCAAAGTAAGACCTTGGCGAGACACTACATAAACTAGGGATAAGATCTCCCACCAGTGACCGATGTCTAGAATTTCGCAAAAAAAAAAAAAACAACGGAACCGAACGAAAGATGTCACGAAATTCTACAGATGAAACAAACATAGGACCTTCGATCTAACAATAATAAAGAATAATAAAAACTGTACAGAGCCAAGTGCAGACAACTAGGTCAATCGAAACGACTAAAAGAATAAGAGAAAAAGATAAATCGATACACTCCCATTGAAAACTAAGCGTGTTCGATATATATTAAGGAAAAAAAATCTAAGAAGTAGCTTTGTCAGGACATCGGATTCAACAAAGAGCCGGTATCGTCCATCCATCGCGCAAGTTGTTATTAGGAACTCGAGGAGGGAACATTTGTCCGAATATATACCCCTGATCGTGTTCCCAGCCTAACTTTGGCACAGCCGTGGGATTTTTTTTCCCTTACGAAACCGCCGGAAATCACGCACCCAATCTGGAACCCGACCGATGCAATTTTCCGATAATGGAACAACCACATAGCAAGAAATATCTCAACATCCTCACCATTATTATAGCACGATGGAACATTAAATCTGGAAGTAGTGAAATCTCCAATAACCGCCTCGACAAGCGCTTTAATCCAAGATAGACAATACACAAAACTCCCAACAACAGATGTTCTTCCGACGGAAACTCCACGAAAAAACGGAAACGTCACGCAGTTCACCGAACATTGATGAATGCAGAGCGAATTAAGGAAGGAAAGAGGAAGACAAACAACAAGAACAATACGGGAATAGAGAAGGGAGGGTTGCCACCTGCCGCTGGACGAGAGCTTCCGAAGCAGGATGGCGCATCCGGCGGAGGAACCAGCAGGAACCTGTGGAGGAGCCCGGCGGAGGATCTATCCAAGCCCTCTAGAGAGAGAATTCAGTCCACAGATGCGGCAAAATCCCTCTCCCCCATCTAACAGCTCTGGAGTCGGGAGGTATATAGATCGTGATGGGATTGCGGTGGGGTTCGCGCGTGTGGCGTCGTCAAATCCTCTATTGTACTTATTTTGCGCTTTAATATTGTGGAATATTTCCCCAGTTTCGGGCCACCTCAGGCACCTGGCTCGGACCCTGTGGCCCGCATTGTTCGGCCCTAAAATCCACAATTCGCCACGTACCCACGGGTCACGACTGTAGGTCTTAAAACTGGGCCCAGGCCGGACCCCTGGGCCCGTTTCTCGACCCCGCTAGTTCATAATTGTTTGCGCTTAATCTGAAATATAATTTTAAAGACTCGGAAACTCCATTTTCAGACGCGGCCGTAAATATTTTCCTGTGGATTTTTACCGGCATAGTGGGGCCCGCTTCATGAAACGTGTCAAAGTCCGGTTGGAGGAAACCGAACGTGGAAAAATTCCGTGGCCGCCCTGAGTCGTACGGAAATGGTGGAACGGCCCGACCGAGACGGGACAACCCACGTGGCCCTTCAAACTTCCGTTTTCGAAGTGCGCTTCTCTCGTCGGTGCAGACCATCCACGTCATCCTTTTTTTACCCTTCTTAGCTGACCGAATCGCGATTTATCGCGATTTAATCTCCCTTTCTCGTTGATATAAACGGACTCACACGATTTACCGGCGGGTCAAAGCGGTTATTTTACATGAAGCTTTTTTATTTCACACCTGCCTGAATCTAATAAATCACGTAAGCTTACGAGGAGGTTAGATCGAATAACTTAAAAAGGGAAAAAATGGGGAAAACAAAATTAATACGAATTGAGGGGTTATGTGAAAATTGTGAACACTATTCGGAGTTTTATGAAATAGACATCATTCAACAGAATGGGGTCTCCGTCCCCACGGGGCCCGCTAGGAAGAGCTGGCTCGGTACGTAGTCAAGGATTTTATTGTCCGGCCCCCGTGGACATATTTTTAATCCCACCATTTTTTTCTTTTATTATTTACTTATTGGTCGATGTGTAATTTAATACTAAAAATAGAAATCTATAATGTGAACACAAGACGATGAGAGGCGCGTTGGACTATCTCTCCTGATCGTAATGAATGAATATTTAATTTTCCCCCTCTTCAAGTTTCGAATTATGTTCAACAACCTCAATGGTTCAAAATTGTCTCTTAGATACAAATTAAACTCATTTTTTCGAAAAAAGACCTTTAAGGATCTATTTTCGTTATACCATGATCTTATTGGTCTTCATCGTGGCTGAATGTAAAGAAACTTCATGGAGTTTGCCTGGGAACGAATAGAATTTATTAGTAGTATAGGGTACATATCCAATTATAAAAGGGCTTGTCTGTTCGCCGTATCTTCCTCCTCGTGCCGTACCCCCACAGGTACTGGGGCCGGATGCTGGGGTCGGCTGTTTGAGAGGCGCGGAGGGAGGACAAACCGTGAAGAGCAACGGCAAGGCGGCCGAATGGGCTCGGTTTCGGCGAGGGAAAGGGAGGACGGAAGGAGGATGTCGGCGGCAGCAATGTGTTCATGGCAACGATGGCTGCCCTCTGGGGCTATCTCCTGCGATTCTCCCCCTCGTCGCAGGTACCTCAATTGTTGCTGTGTTTCCGCTTTATCCTCCCTCAGATCGCTCTGTCTGGTCAGCTTTCCGCGATTGCTCCGGGATCTTCTTTGTTCTCTTTTTGCACGGCGTGGGATAATCCTGTGAGGAGGTGGCAGAGAGGGGGTGGTGGAGATAGATCTTCATGAAGGGGAAGGAGGTCGAGGGTGGCTCTATGGGGGAGGGGATTGCCGCTGTAGGAGGGGGGCGGTGAACGCTGGCTCATGGAGACTGATCTTTCACGGCCTTTTGGCGATCGGGCTTCAGCGACGCCGCTGTTGTTTTTTTCTTCGCAGTCCGAACAAAGGGGGCAGTCCTCGCTTCAGAGGTAAACGCGGGGGACAGCTCCGAAAATAATGGGAAAATACCAGAAAATATGTCCATAAATCAATGATTCTCCCGGCCTCCTGGACCGATGCGCTCGTGCAATGGCGGAGGCCGCAACCCTCCCTCTTCTGTCGCCGAGCCTTTCTTGTTGCCTATCTCTGTTTTTCCTTCTTCATTTCGCTCTTCATTCGTGAATGTTCATGAACTGCGCGACGCGTCGTTCTTCTGGAGATCCCGTGGGGTGAACTCTGTTCACGCGAAATTTGTGTATCATTCGCCACGCATGAAAAATGCACATGAAGTCATTTTTTGCAGATTCGTTTCTTCAAGGATGAACATTCTACCGTGTTTTTGCTAATGGTGAGGATCTGTAGATCTTTCGTACATGATTATTGCTATATCAGCTTGAATTCGTGACTCGCCGTATTTCACCGGAAAAGAAGTTGCGGTGCGAAAATTGACTGTCAGCCATATTAATTCAGAAGAATTTTTCTTCTACAGCTACATATTGGTTACTGTGCAACCCAGTGGTTACTGTTCCTTGGTTTGAATCGACCATGCTTACATTTCTACGTGGTTCTGTTCCCTCCTCTTTTTCTCTTGGTTGCATTGTGGTTTCCATTGACCCAATTATCTGCTGCTTGGTTGTTTATAGTTTCTTTTTTTTTCGCTTGGTTGTGTGGTGCTTGCATTAGCCTAGATCTCTGACGTTGGGGTATGACGCTGGTATTATTTTTCTCTTCATTTTGTAATTAGAGCCACCATATCTTGCCTTTTGGTTCTTCATCTCTTGGACTTCTAACTGAAACACGAATAAGCATCCCACAACGGTGAAATTCTTCTTTTAATAAAAATATAAATCAGAGTTGCCCCCCTCAGGACACATCCAACACTACCTGAAGAATATTTTCTCTAATGAGAGTGCTCCCCAGTGAGTTATATGTAATAAGTTTTCAGATGCTGCCTCGTCATATGCTACCTTAATCTTTTTTTTACCCTCTATTTTTTAAGGCTCATGTTTTGCTTATTTCATATTTCAATCTTTTAAAAAGTGCACAATTTAATTTCATGAAAACTTTTCCAAAATCAGCAGGTATTGAAGTGGCGATTTCCAACCATTTTTAAGGGTTACAGCTGGAATATTTTCGAAGGTTAAGTGTGGACATTGACCTGGAGATTGGAGACGTTTGTGAGTGGTTCCTGAGGTTGGATTGATTCAGTGGATTATCTCAGATTTTAGAATTTTCCGAGGGGTCTGTTAACTATCACAAAGTCTGTGGGTGTTTCTGACAGTGTTAGAGATATATCTATCACAAAGTCAACCCTTGCAGTGGATCTCTTCTGATCGAACATAGACGATCTTTGTACAGTTCGCTGCAATCTTCAATGGGATTTCAATGAGACGGAAGTTTCCGTGTGTTTGCTCCTGTGGAAGGCATTCACTCTCACAAACCGATGACTCTGCCTTCAGCCAAGGAAATCCCTGGGCTAATGAATCTTCCGAGATCCCTCTCCTTCATCTTAACTTCTATAGTTTTGTTGGCTGTATTCCTCATTGGAGCATCCCGACTTTTGATCACATATCCTCTCAGTTCCAGCATTCGCGAGTATATTTTGGGCTTTGATAGCTCAGTAGGAGATGCATTGGTCAACTCCAGTGTGGCTGAAATACACCAAAACGACCAGTCTGCTCCATCAGTCAATGTGTTGGCAACTGCAGAGTCACCAGTATCCCTGTTGGAGTTGGATGGACCGGAAGCAACAGCTGAAAAAGGGCCGAGTTTTCAGAATGGAACAGACCATTTGAGGACTGCTAATGCGCCCTTTCCCAATGGATCACCAGTGGTGGAGGATGAGAAAAGTCAGTTTTCCGAAAATGGAATCAAAGTGTTTCAGGTCTCAGAATCCCCTGGAGCCCCTGATGCGGTCAACTCAGGAACAGGCGGCAATGCCTCTACATCTTTGTATACCACTGTTTCTGCGGCGCCTCCTCCGCATGCCCTGCGTGGATATCCCGAGAATAATGTTTCAGGTATGTCTTAATGGCAACTTCTTAAATTTGTTTCTTCACCAGACCTGCTGCAATAATAGTCAGTCTTGAGGTTTCATTGCCTAATCTATTCACATCGGTTCCTCCACATCACTCTCTCGTATCTCGGATTCTAAATGCAACATTTCCGCATTAAACTGGTGATGATCCTGCATCCCTTAATGTCTGCTAGATACCATGTTGATGTCTACTTCGCACCCTAGTCTTTCCTAATTCCATAACACTGACCTTGTTAATGCTTATTTTCTCCTAGGTTCAACCTTCTAATGTTTCCTTTCTTTTGCGTGCGTATCATGTGGCCGTTTTTGTTATTATTTTGAGGATTTGAGCGACAACTTCTGTAAAATTTGGTTGTTAAAACGTTGGGTCTTGAAAGATACTTGCTGTGAGACTTCTTTGTTAAAAAATTCACATCTTACTACGTTAAGGATTTGGGCGATATTTGCCTTGAAATGGCCCTTCGAAGGGTTGAATTATATCACCTGACTTGCATTCCATCAAGGTGTGGCAATCATATATTTCATTATCCATGAAAAGGCACCTAGTTTATACGGTAAAAGAAGGGGGGAGAGGGAGGGAGAGAGAGAGAGAGAGAGAGAGTTCAGCATCCTTTTTCAGTGCTGTTTTCTAAATCTTTTATATACAGGTACCTGTGATCTATACCGTGGGAAGTGGGTCTACGACCCTTCTGGACCCCTGTACACGAACACATCATGTCCTGTAATAACCCAGATGCAGAACTGCCAGGGTAATGGAAGACCAGACAAGGACTACGAGAACTGGCGGTGGAAGCCCGATCAGTGCGATCTACCGCGCTTTGACGCCAGAAAGTTCCTTCAACTGATGCAGGGCAAGACGCTGGCCTTCATCGGAGACTCAGTTGCCCGAAATCAAATGGAATCCTTGCTCTGCATTCTCTGGCAGGTGCAGCATATTCACGGAGAAAAATATGCTATTTTAGGATCATGATGCTCATAGACTCTGCTTTCATTGCAGGTGGAGGCCCCCAGAAACCGTGGGAACCGCCACATGCAGCGGTGGTTCTTCCACTCCACCGGCACGGCAATTATCCGCATATGGTCCTCGTGGCTCGTCCACCACACCAGGGACCCTATCGAAGACGCCCCCATGGGGATCGACAAGCTCCATCTCGACGTCCCAGATGAGTTCTTCATGGAGCACATACCGAAATTCGACGTTGTGGTGCTCTCCTCCGGCCACTGGTTCGCCAAGCAGTCGGTCTACGTCCTTAACGGCACCGTCGTCGGCTGGCAGCTATGGCGGCCGCCCGGCAGATCCCAGAAGATGGCGGTCGACAACATGGCGGCCTACGGCATATCGGTGGAGACGGCACTGACAGCCATGGCCAAGCACCCGAATTACACCGGCCTGACGATCGTCCGATCCTACTCCCCCGACCACTACGAAGGCGGCGCATGGAACACCGGCGGGTCCTGCACCGGCAAGGTCGAGCCCGCCGCGCAGGTGGTGAGGAATGGGTTCACCGACGGCATGCACCGGCGGCAGGTGAGCAGCTTCAGGAGGGCGGTGGAGAAGACGACTGGCGCATCCAAGTTTAAGCTGATGGACATCACTGAGGGCTTTGGCTACCGGCATGATGGGCACCCTGGGCCCTATCGGAGTCCAGACCCAAACAAGATCACCTGGCGGGGCCCCGACGGTCGACCGCCGAGCCAGGACTGCCTGCACTGGTGCATGCCCGGGCCGGTGGACACTTGGAATGAGCTGGTGCTGGAGATCCTCCGCAGAGAATTTGACAGCCCCTGATCTTCTTCTTCTTCTTAAAGTTTATATTTTTGTCTGGGGTCGATTATTATGTAGATAGAAGGTGGAGGGTATTCTTTCTAGCATTAAATAGGCGTCCATTTTCCTTCTACTTTGGGAATTCTGAGTCTATGACTGAGATTTCAGGGTGATACGGCATGGCAATCGCTTTGAAGCTGAGCAGAAAGTATTCCCGTTTAAGCAACTTCTTCCCCATTGGAGCAGGTGGCTCCCCTGCTTACATATAAAGCTTTTTTAAGAAGCTGCTCAAACGGGTGTGCTTTCCGTGAACAGAAGAGTGAGTGAGACTAAGCCCGCCTTCAATGCTGGTGCTTATCCGGCCAACGGATGGCTTTCCCTGCCTCGTAGAACCCTAATTTCGGTGATCTCGGGTCCTATGGTGTCGCTTGCTCGAGAGGTACCGAGGAAGAGCTTCCTCTGCCTGTTCTTCCTACCTGATCAGATTACCCTAACGAATCCGTCGGAGGAAGTCCTCAGATCTGACCATGACGGGGATCTTCCCCCACGAAGGGCCTATGGCTGTGGAAGATGCGCTGACTACTCTTAGAGGTCTTCCTCTACCATGGCGGTGATCTTCCTTTTAACCTTCTACTCCGGTAAATGGGGTGTATACCTCGCGTGTGGACTGGTTGACCTATTCACCTTGAGGTAGACCAGTGCCTCGAAAGTCAACATGTAGCACGAGTCAAATGCAACAGCTGCCTGCGGAGGGGATGATAAACTAATACAAAGATTGCGACATTAAGGAACTATTCTTCTCGCGCAGGGGTGGGTGGCGGCCGGAACGGACACGGAAGAAGAGTAGGTCTGCGCTCGATCCGTTGATCCCACCATCGCCATTCCCATCAGCTTTCCATAAAGGCTTTTCCAAACCCGCTATGGTTTCTCCTCTCTGTCTCTCCATCTCGGTGGATTTTTTGGGCACGGCGGAGAAAACGAGGGTTTGGTGCAGCTGTGTGCGGTATTCCGTTCGTAAATCTCTGCGCCGAAATCTCCAGTTGCTTTCGGTTTCTGTGTCTTCTCCCTCGGAGTAGGGTTTGGGGTGGAGCTGTGTAAGTCGTTTTCAGTGCTGGGCGTGTGAAGATCGGCCGCGTGGCGGAAATCGCTCTGGAGGTGGGCTCTGACTCCTTGTTTCGTCTTGCTCCGGGTCGAAGAAAGGCTGAATTGCCGGGGTGGAGCTGAGGAGCTGTTTCTGCAGTCGACAGAGCCTCGGTCTTTGGAGGCGGTGGATCGCGTCGACTATAGTTTCTCCGTCTCATCGTCGAGAGCCTCCGGTGCGAGCCAGTTAGAAGGCGCTGCAACTGGGCCGGCGGTGAGCCATTGCGGTTGCGTGATCCTGGGAAGCTCGACGCAGCCGTGAGACTCTCCGGTCCTGCTCAGAGATTGAGAAGGGAGTTCAGACGAAATCCGGTCTCTCGCTCTCCAATCTGATCCGGAGAGGCCTGGAGATCCGGGGCTCCAGAATTAGGGCATGATTTTCTCGATGAACTGAGAAAGTGATGCTCGAGGAATGGCCCCGAGGATCTCACCGTCGGAGGTCGCAGAGAACGCGATCCGTTCCATCGGTCGAGGTTTCGATATCTGCGCCGATCTCCGTCTCAAGGCCTGCAAGCCGGACTCAAAGGAACCCTGCCTTATCGAGCTGGACCATGGCCAGGGCCGGGAACTTTATCTTCCTGGGGGTATATCAATCCCCAACGTCTCAAAGTCCATCAAATGCGACAAGGGCGAGCGGATGCGATTCAGATCCGATGCTCTCCCTTTCCAACTGGTTCGTCCTCTCCATCTTCTCATCACCTGTTCTTCCTCCCTCCTGGTGCATAATTCCTGCTGCAGAGGACGCCACGGCGTGCTTCCATAGTGCGATATGAGGAAAGAATCTTGTCTTCTCGCAGATGGCTGAGCAATTCAACAAGGAACTATCCCTATCTGGGAAGATCCCCTCGGGCCTGTTCAACAATTCGTTCAGATTCTCTGGTTCCTGGCAGAAAGACGCATCGACCACCAAAGCTCTGGCCTTCGACGGATGGTTTATCACGCTGTACACCATTGCGCTGGCGAAGTCACAGATTGTCCTCCGTGATCACGTGAGGCGTGCTGTTCCAACGACGTGGGATCCTTCTGTGTTGGCAAGGTGATTTATCTCATGTTATTATAGCCAATGCAACAGATATGTGCTGTTGTGATCATCAAGCTTTAAGCTATGCAAGGTGGAAGAGATGGTTACCAAATGCTTTTGAGTTAGATTGTCTGTTGTTCATCTGTGTTCTACGTCTTGCTCATGATGGGGCGTGCCAAAATAGTTTTTTATGGGTTTACTCCACAATTTTTTGAGACAATTATGCAGTAGGATTGACCTTGCGAGAATAATTGGCCTTCGTTCTTTATGTTGATAAATAGAACTTTTTTTTTTTTTTTTGAGAACTAGAATATTTTCACATGATCGGATGAATGAGGGAATGAAGATTTATGTTCTAGGAGATGCTCTGCCTTTAAGGCATCTTTGTTATGATACGAAGCACTCCCCTCATGGAATATAAAGACCTCTCAACCATTTAAGTCTCTTAATTATCATAAGAAGCACTCTATTGATATGCTTCTGAAAAGGAGTATTTCTAATAGTGAGCATGAACTTAGTATTTTGAACTAAGTTAGTAAGAATGCTCTTTATGAACGGAGTTATTCTGGTTTGATCACGTACTAATCATATACATTGAAATGAAAAAGGTAAAGCATATGTAATTTTGTTCACATCCCCTGAGGAACTAGTAGTAAGTACTCTGTGCTAGCTGACCAGTCAATAACATAAAGTCAGTTCTTCTCATCTTGGATTTATGCTTGATATAGATGTAGCTGATTAATCCATGTTTAAGAGAGCAAACCCAATTTTATTTAGACATATATTTTACCATTTATATTCTTTCCCAGGTTCATTAAGAATTTTGGCACCCATATTGTGGTTGGCGTGAAGATGGGAGGGAAAGATGTAATTTATCTTAAACAACTACACTCATCAAGTCTTCAAGCTGCTGAGGTTCAAAGAAGACTAAAAGAGATGGCGGACAAGAGGTTCCTTGATCAGAATGTGAGCTATGGTTTTGATGCAGAAGGCTCATATGCAAGGGATAAGGTCTCTCTCTCTCTCTCTCTCTCTCTCTCTTTTCTCTCTCTAGAAGAAAAAGAAGTCTATGCATACCAGCTCAATAGTTGAAACTTGCAATGGTTATCATACACATCTCTCCAAATCACATGCTTAGAAAGTCTTTGATCAGGTTACTTTTCTTTAAGATTTATCTTGAGAAACCACCATTTTTAGTCCAACCTTGGCCTTTACGTAGGAAGAATGTGGTGTGTGGGGGTCTATTGATATCGAATTTATGGTGTGCCCAATTTGAAACTGTGCACGATGTATATGCGACTTGTTTATTAGGATGGTTGTGGCGTTTCATCATCCGTGGACATTTTTATTATTCCACCTTGAAACTGAAGGTTACTTTATAGAAACTTTTCTTATGATTGATAATATGTGATGGTCATCTTCATATCTCTTACTTTGTATAGTATGCTCCTCGATGAGCGCGTGAGGGATTTTTAGGTTTATCTTATTTCTTCATTGGCTTATGTTTTCCTACGAAAGAATTGCGGATACGAACATTCTCATGAAAGCCCCATGCTCTCTAATGAGGAAGTTTAATCTTTAAATTTCGTGATAATTATAAATTTTATATTTTTAATCACGTTATTATCCTTCTTTATTAATTCGCTATTTGACATGGTTTTAAAAGTGGGCTAGTTGCCAATTTTCCATCATTTCATTGTTCCTTAGCTAAAATTGATAGATAACATTGATGTCATGTGCATTCCACAACTATTTTCTGTTAAAGATTAATATTTTTTAATTCAAAATCTTATTATTTGGCATTATGTTAACGAGTCCGTTGACCCCGGATCAGTCTTCTTTCAAATATCTGATCTGGCCCAAGTCAACTGTTGTACTTTTATCATATTTGTAAACCTCTCATTTCTGTTTTAATTGGTTTTCACCTTCTGTCCTGGCATTTTTTATAACCAGCATTCTTCTTGTGGAGCGAAATATGTTGATAGCAGATTGTTACAAGTCAACCCTGGTTGCATTTATTAAGCCTTTATGAATTTTCTGAGATAATATTGTTCAATTTATCCTTGCTCATTACAGTTTCCATCTTATTTTTTTCTCATGATCTGTGTTACTTTTATTCTTCACTTCTTACATCTAATCAATATAATTCTCTGTATAAATTCAGCCATATATGGGGGTGCACCGTCTACGGTTTGTGGAATCCAGCCCCGCAAGGTCAACGGCAAGAAACGAGGTGGGCCACAAGAAGATTACATTGTTTCAAAGTACATTAAAAATTAATAAAATAGTTGAGATAAAATCCGTTGTTTCATGGTTGCAGGATATTGAGAAAATCTGCATCAGGAGAGGAGGAAGCCCTCTAGAACACCTGAGCCACAGTGAATGGCTGAGCACTGTTCATCATGAGCCGGATGTCATCTCAATGTCCTTTGTTCCAATCACCTCTTTGCTGAATGGAATCCCTGGCAGCGGCTTCTTGAGTCATGCGATCAACTTGTACCTGCGCTGTGAGTTGCCCACTATAATTAACTCATACCTATTTCTCCATAAAAGCGTTGACCAGATGGATTGAACATTTCTTTCCTACCCGGTTCTCTTCTACGATCATTTCTAGTTGACTCACTCGGGAAGCACTGAGGGGGGTCGATCAGAGAAACCCTCGCGTCAGACTTCAGCAATGACTTTGACTTTGCTTATTGTGGTTAAGTGCTCCAATATACTTGCAGATAAACCTCCAATCGAAGATCTGTACCAGTTCCTGGAGTTTCAGTTGGCGAGGCAGTGGGCACCAGTGTACAGCGACCTCCCCCTCGGCCCGCAGCGGAGGCAGCAGTCAACCGCGTCTCTTCAGTTCTCCTTCATGGGTCCAAAGCTCTTCGTCAACACCCTCCCGGTACCGCATCCCTCCCCTTTCTCAGTGATTCCTTTTTATTACGAAAAATAAATAATTACTTACATATTTATCCATTATCATATGATAAGATAAGAATTGCATATGTATATCGTTGAGTTCATCCATATTGTCAGAAAATTGGCCCAATTTTTCATACAGAGAAAAAAAGCTAGAAAATAATAAAAAAAGACGCTTTTGGTGGTGGGTTCTTCTCATCTGTCTCTATCACAGGTGGACGTGGGAAGGAAGCCGGTGACCGGCCTCCGGCTGTACTTGGAAGGGAAGAAGAGCAACCGGTTGGCAATCCACATCCAGCACCTCTCCTCCTCGCCCCAGATTCTGCAAATCCAGGACGGCGGCGCCGCCGCGTCCCTCGACTCCAACGAACAGGACTTCTACGAACCCATCCTGTGGCGGAGCTTCTCCCACATCTGCACCGCCCCCGTTCAATCCGACGACGAGGTCGCCATCGTCACCGGCGCTCAGCTTCACGTCGGCCACCACGGCCTGAAGAAGGTGCTGTTCCTCCGCCTGAAATTCGCCCGAGTCGCCAACGCCGTCTGCGTGAAGAACCCCAACTGGGCGGAAGCTCCCGGCCCGGGGAGGAAATCGGGTCTCATCTCAACGCTCATCAGCACCCACTTCTCCATCCCGCTCCAGAAGCCGGCGGCCCCGCCGCAGCCCGAGGCGGTGAACATCAACTCCGCCGTGTACCCCGGCGGCCCCCCGGCGCCGGCGCAGGCGCCACGGCTGCTCAAGCTCGTAGACACGTCGGAGCTGGTGCGCGGCCCGCAGGACTCCCCCGGCTACTGGGTCGTCTCCGGCGCGCGACTCATGGCCGAGAGGGGGAAGATCTCGCTCCAGGTCAAGTTCTCCCTGCTGACCGTCATGATGGACGACAGTGACGAAGACGACAGCTTAGAGTACCCTGGAGACTAGACACCTGGCACTTTTTGGCTGTTTGTGACATCTCTTTCTCTCTCTAGCTTCTCCATAGACATGAGGCACCTGTGGGCTTTCCTCGTTCCTTGACCGAGGTGATGAATGGGTTGCATATAGCATAGCTAAAAACGTGATCCGCTGCGGCTGAGGTGATTACGGTGAAACCATAATGAATAGAGAACAAGCAACAGATATTTCTAAAAATAACAACCAAGAAATCACACTGATGTCTTTAATAACTCTCTAAAAAAAGTCAGCCAAAGCATCAAAATTGAGGAGTTTGACGACGATAATTTTTCCATCTGAGACAGCTCTGAGAATGGAGATGGAAGGGAAGAGGGGGAGATGAACTGGTCTAGTGCAGGTCGACGGGCTTTCCTTCTAAGAATAGACCCCCAAAAGAGGCTACACGATTGCATTTGCCGCACTGGCGATCCTGGGCCACAGATCCGCGCATTCCTTTCCGATGGGCCCGGTGATTGCAGATCCTGCAACAATCCCAAAAAAAACGCAAGTTACGGTCAAATCCGAAGATATTATTGAAGAATAATAGAGGGAATCCAAGGCCATCATATAGATAGATGGATAGATGGATGGATGGAGAGAGAGAGAGATAGACAGATGGATGGATGGAGAGAGAGAGAGAGATAGACAGATGGATAGAGAGAGAGCGAGCGAGAGGGAGATATACATCCATTTATACAGAGAGATAGAAATAGAAAGAGAGAAAGACAGATGGGTGGAGGCATGTGTGAGGGCATCCGAAGCTAACAGCAAAGATCGACATTTCATGCGATAATGAACATGATGGTAACGTTAGAAATGGGTGTTGGAAAATACCCTTCATTTCGCCTTTCGGATTCACAATTACTCCAGCATTATCTGAAAATAAATGAAAACAATGACAGATCAGACTGTGATAAAGGTGAATTAACTACTAGCGACAAAATCGCAACGGCGCTGTTGAATGCTTCTCCGATAGCAGAGACCTGCTAATTTACCAGAAGACAGGTAACACGATGCCACAAGAATGAGCATCATGCTGTTAAATACTGGGTCTCAGTGTATGCTTCCTTCATTACTGACCCATAACAAGTCAAAGTGGGTCATCATCCAAGAAAGAAGCAACAGACAACGGGATTCAAAAATCCCCACAAAAGCCAAGAATGAAATTCTGCCGTGGCTCTTGAAAGAATGATGATAAAGAAACCAAGAACTGAAGCAACTTCACCAACCCACCGAAAAATCATCGTCAAATGATTTTTCTAAGAACGAGTTTTAATCCTTATTAAATAAGCAAGAATCAGCCTTTACGATCAGAACATATTGATATATGGGTCTCAAGCCCAACCCCAAAGGTTCATGGCTGCAATGTTTATTATGAGAACATCGAGAAACCTGAAACGTCTAAGGCGAACCATCGTCTTACAGAAAATCAATAGATAACGTTTATTATGGAGCATGCAAACATGTTCAGCTTGCTTCGGTGATAAGAAGAGCATTACACCCAGACATACATCCCCATCATGATACCATGAACAAAAGTGGAAAGAGCCACATTCAAAAGATGCAAATCGAGACGCTCCTGTTCTTCGTACAGAAGGCGTTCTGCTCTCGTCCAATGTGTTAATACTCAAGAAACACAATGTCGCATGAATGAAAACATGCCATCTGCACAACAGGAAATAAACTCGCAGCATTTTCAAAGCAATTCAGGACTTCAGACGATATCTGGATTGAGGATGGACGGGTGGAGTAAGGAGTAGCATGGATTGTGGTATTGCTTCACTATCATGCACAAAAAAAGCTACCAAATCAGAAGAATATCTGATACGATGTCTGTTGATAATCAGCAGAGAATTTTCGGGGCTTAAACGAAAGTTGTAGATAATTAAGGGGGAATCAGCCAATGCCAGAAGTTAAAATGCATGGTAAAGTTAAGAAGAGCACCTTCGAAATACATGAAAACTCCGTCCTTTCGGCGCCACGGCTTCCGCTGCCTGACGATGACAGCCGGCATGACCTTCTTCCTGAGGTCGGGCTTCCCTTTCTTCACCGTCGCCATCACCATATCTCCCACGCATGCAGAGGGGAGGCGGTTGAGGCGACCCTTGATCCCCTTCACAGAAATGATGTAGAGATTCTTCGCCCCGGTGTTGTCCGCACAGTTCACCGTAGCGGCCACAGGGAGACCCAGCGACATCCGAAACTTGTTACCCGCGGAACCTCCACGCCCTGAAACAACCGAATCACTTGACCATCAACGAACTGAGAACTGATACAAATCGAAAAAACTGAACCCTAAAACCTCAGCAAAAACAACTAAACAGCTCTCCTTCGTCGATCGATAACGAGAGCTATCCATCCATCCGATCATCAGATGTATGGAATCCCAACTTGAAATCCCAAGGACGGATAAGATACACGTTTCGACAAATGGATCTGTCGCAGGTTTTGGGAAGACGCCGATTGGATCCCTAACAAGATTCGACGCGAAGCATGAGGAGGAGAATACGAAACAGCAGTACCTCGCTTCGACATCTCTGCTGAGCTCAATCGATCTGCGGCTCCCGCCGGCGGAGGAATGGAAGAGTTCTAGCGAGGTGTTTCGTTCTTATAGGTCCAACGTCCGTCGCCCATCTCGTACATGATATGATCTGGACCGTCAATGGGGATTACCTGACTGATCTCGAAAACCCTAGCGCAACGTGACAGAAACCGCTATTTTGGGCTGATTAGTACAGCATACGAAAGGGCCCATTTGAGAAGACGTCTAATATTATTGGGCTTTTTTAGGCCGACTTGTTTGAAATGCCCCTAGCACCCGAGGCTGAACCTCTGTTGAAAGAAGAGCAGGGCCGAGAGCGGCTGTGTCATGCTCCTCTTATTCTGGGCCCAAAGGACTGGGCCATTCTGGCTCTCAATCAGGCCCATTTAAACGAAGAATGCTAATGGGCTTTTATGGCCCAATTAAAGTCCAACTGAATTTGATAATATAATTCAAGTCTCGGCCCAGGCATCGTTTTTACACGATATTTTAAATAAAAAGGGGGCGACGTTTTTCTATCTATGATTTTGATACCGTGAAAATAATTTTTATTTACTATAAAAAAATATATATTAAAATTTAAATAAAAATAAATCAAGGTACCCACGGGGGGAGAGAGAGAGAGAGAGAGTATTGAGCTTGGAAGTTGGGCCCATGCAAAGGCCTAAATGGGCCTATTAGGAGGAGGTGGAAATAGTGGGCCTTTTAAAGCCCAGTCCATTTAAAAGCCTCACTGTTTTAGCTACGGTGTATTAAAAAACTCCCTTTGGAATATTTTATATTTTATTTTCGTCGGCCCATTTAGGGTGGCGTGAGCGGCTTATTTCCCCAAGTGTGGTGAGTATCTGGTGGTCCGATCACCAACAGAACACAGCCACGATGCAAGAGTCCTACTAGATCACATATTTTAGAAGAGTCGCGTGCTCTGCCATTTTAGATTGTAGGATTTCCATGCGTATTGCTACGTAGACAACCCTTCGTGCACCCAAAAGTGCCACACTCCCTCTGTCTTCAGAGGGGGAAGAGAGCTAAACCGCCGACTGCCTCTCTCCTCCTCCACGGTCCTTCCGCCGCCGCCGCCGCCGCCGCCGGATTCTCTCTCCTCTCCGCCGCCCTACACCCGGCGGCGCCGCCGGTCCGCCCCACCCTTTCTCTTCCCCTCTCCTCTAGGGTTTTCAATGGCCCTCCTGAAGACCCCTTCCCGCCCCATCCTCTCTAAACCATCCTCCCCCGTCTTCTCCCACCCCCCAAAGCGGCGCCCAGCGCTCCACTCCGTCAAGCACCACCAACACCACCCCCACTTCCTCCGCCGCAGCCATCTGCCCCTCTCCTATGCCCCACTCTCCAAGAACGCTTCTTTCTCCCCCCGCGCCGCCGCCGAGGATGGCGGCGCCGCCGTGGGAAAGCCCGGGAAGAGGACGGACATCAAGAAGATTATGATTCTCGGAGCCGGCCCCATCGTCATCGGCCAGGCCTGCGAGTTCGACTACTCCGGCACGCAGGCCTGCAAGGCCCTCAAAGACGAGGGCTACGAGGTGGTGCTCGTGAACTCCAACCCCGCCACCATCATGACCGACCCGGACATGGCCCACAGGACCTACGTGGCCCCCATGACCTCGGAGCTCGTGGAGCAGGTCCTCGAGAAGGAGCGCCCCGATGCCCTCCTCCCCACCATGGGCGGCCAGACCGCCCTCAACCTCGCCGTGGCCCTCGCAGAGAGCGGCGCCCTCGAGCGCTACGGCGTGGAGCTCATCGGAGCGAAGCTCGACGCCATCAAGAAGGCCGAAGACCGGGAACTCTTCAAGGAGGCCATGCGGAACATCGGGATAAAGACTCCGCCTTCGGGGATCGGCAACACCATGGAGGAGTGCGCCACCATTGCCGAGTCCATTGGGGAGTTTCCGCTCATCATCCGGCCGGCGTTCACTCTCGGAGGAACCGGCGGGGGCATTGCCTACAACAAGGAGGAGTTCGAAGCCATCTGCAAGTCTGGGCTGGCAGCGAGTTTAACTTCGCAGGTGCTGGTGGAGAAGTCGCTGCTCGGGTGGAAGGAGTTCGAGCTGGAGGTCATGAGGGATCTTGCAGATAATGTGGTAATCATCTGCTCCATCGAGAACATCGATCCCATGGGGGTCCACACCGGTGATTCCATCACTGTGGCGCCTGCTCAGACGCTGACGGACAAGGAGTACCAGCGGCTGAGAGACTATTCTGTGGCTATTATCCGGGAGATTGGGGTCGAATGTGGTGGGTCCAACGTGCAATTCGCGGTCAACCCTGTGGATGGGGAGGTCATGGTGATCGAGATGAACCCCAGAGTCTCGAGGTCCTCGGCCCTGGCGTCCAAGGCCACCGGGTTCCCTATTGCCAAGATGGCCGCGAAGCTCTCTGTTGGTTACACCTTGGATCAAATTCCAAATGACATTACGAAGAAAACCCCTGCTAGTTTTGAGCCCTCGATTGATTATGTTGTGACAAAGGTAAGCTTCAATCTTTGACTTTCTTTTTCCGTCCAATTTATTTGCTCTGATTATCGTTGATCAGTTTTTCCTCTTCCGAATGCGATGCCAAGTGGGTGACATTTTGTCTTCATTTCGATCTTGCCCAGTGCAAATTTTTTTGTTCATCATTTGACAATTACATCTGAGCTCTGTTTATCAATGATGCACCCCGGCCCACATAATATCTGACATAATAAGTTTACTGTGCATGATCCTAATTATGTTAATGAGAAATGCCTGTGGAATTAATCTTCTATCCTTACTAATTTCCAAATATTGATATTTTCGTGTGGGTATTTTTCGGAGTTTATTAATTTGAGTGAGCTCCCGGATTATGATTCTTGAATCATTTCCTGCTACTTGGGGGATGAAAGACAGTGGTTTTATAATTTTATGATGCCCAGGCTTCATTACAATGTAGATTTTCCCTGCTGCTGCATCATCAATAGATCTCCATGTCCATGGCCTTGTAACACGCTTCAATCAGAGGATTGTTCTTGATAATAGCGGCTATTATTTCTTGTAACTTCAGGCTTTTTTCTCATTCTCATGTCAAGGAAAGCATTATTCATTTTCTGTGCACTAAAATGACAGTTTTCTTGGGATGAGAATCAGATCAGAAAGTGCCTTCCCTTACTGAGAACTGGGAGTAATTTGTCTGGTGTAGTTAAGGAAAAGTAGGCCTCCGCAACCTAGTGTTCTTTCATGAAAGAGAGATCCTAGAACAGATATGGGTCAATTCAATGGACATTGCAAAATCACAGCAATAATGGTGGCAAATAAACCAAAGAATATTGTGAAGCCTAGGCAAGTATCATGTACTGTTATGTGACATCCCAGGAGGCCAGTCTCGATCAGAAACTAGGAAGCAGAAAATCTATGTCGCTGCAGCTGTTTTTTGAAAGATCATAGTCATAGTAGTGGGATTCAATATGGGTTATCTCTTTATTCCCTCAGGTGATGATTCAATGTCTAAATTCCCTGCTGCATGATCTGATTTTACTGCAGAGATCCTCACGGTATCTAATTGGATCAGACCCAAACTATTTTCTTGGTATATATCGTTGTTTCCTATAGGCTGCCTTGTCACAATTAGTCTGATGTTCTTGTGCCCTGTAAAAGGAGCCTTCCCTCCTTGCTTTTCTATTCCAGTCACCAAAATTGACGCATGAAGAAGCCCTTCCCCTCAATAACGATCATGATAATAGACAGAGTTGTCAAGAATATTATGCACTTTTTTATGAACTGTGCGCCGATTTTCCCCACCCGGCTTGATAGAATCGAGTTCTTGCTAATGTCATTTATTTTTATTTATCCTCATTTTTTTCATTTCTATCGGGTTTTTTCCAAAGAAATTACTTCTGCTAAGACTGGTTGCACATCATGTGCGATCTTTTTTTGTCATTTGCTGCAATTAATTAAACCCATTAAACCTCAGTTAGTTTCTTTTTTATATATTTCCTCGATCTTTATTTTTTAGTAGATTTGGTACATAAACTACATATTTTTATACCGCATAAACTTATCACATGCATATTTTTCTTAGTATTCGTCGTATTTGCAAGCAATCTTTCTTCACCTTTTTTTATCGGCACTCAATGTGTGCAGATTCCGCGCTTTGCATTCGAAAAATTCCCTGGTTCGCAGCCAGTATTGACCACACAAATGAAATCAGTGGGCGAAGCAATGGCAATGGGTCGGACTTTCCAAGAATCCTTCCAGAAAGCTGTCCGGTCTTTGGAGTACGGCTTCTCCGGTTGGGGCTGTGGAAGGATAAAAGAGCTCGATTGGGACTGGGATCAGCTGAAGTACAGCCTCCGTGTTCCAAACCCAGATCGTATCCACGCGATCTATGCAGCAATAAAGAGAGGGATGAAGGTGGAGGAAATCCACGAGCTCAGTTTCATCGACAAGTGGTTTCTTTCACAGCTTAAGGAGCTGGTTGATGTTGAGCAGTTCCTCCTCTCTACGGCTCTACCAGAGTTGTCAAGGGATGACTTTTATGAGATAAAAAGGAGGGGATTCAGCGATAAGCAGGTTGCATATGCGACCAAGTCCACTGAGTATGAAGTGCGGGCTAAGAGGTTGTCTCTGGGGGTGGTTCCTGCTTACAAGAGGGTGGATACCTGTGCTGCAGAGTTCGAGGCAAACACGCCGTATATGTACTCATCCTATGACCTTGAATGTGAGTCATCCCCGAATCAAAGGAAGAAAGTTCTGATCTTGGGAGGTGGACCCAACCGCATCGGTCAAGGCATCGAGTTTGACTATTGTTGCTGCCATGCTTCATTTGCCCTCCAAGAGGTTTGTCGTTTCGATCATTATCATTATTATTATTATTATTATTATTATTATTATTATTATTATTATTATTTTCATTTTTATTTCGGTACCAAAGTTGATATTGCAACCCTGTTTCAAAGTATGCTTGCCCAATCAGGAATTTTTCTTCTCTTTTAATGAAATTAGTCATTTTTTCTATATATCACTAACTATTTCGCATAACCATCACTTTTTTTTCTTTCTTTCGCATTATTTATGCCTCTCGTTTTAAAAAAAATAAATGGTTACAGGCTGGATATGAGACAATTATGATGAACTCGAACCCAGAAACAGTCTCCACAGATTATGATACCAGTGACCGCCTCTACTTTGAGCCACTGACAGTCGAGGACGTGTTGAATGTGATCGATATGGAACGACCGGATGGCATAATCGTCCAGTTTGGGGGTCAGACTCCGCTCAAGCTCGCACTCCCCATACAGAATTACTTGGAGAAGCAGCAGCTCCCATCTGCTTCTGGTGCAGGGCGAGTCCGAATATGGGGCACCTCCCCTGACTCCATTGATGCAGCTGAGGATCGAGAGAGATTCAACGCCATTCTCGTCGAGTTGGGGATTGAGCAACCAAGAGGTGGAATTGCCAAGAGCGAAGCCGATGCCCTGTCGATCGCCTCAGAGATCGGCTACCCAGTTGTTGTGCGACCTTCATATGTCTTGGGCGGGAGAGCCATGGAGATCGTATATGGCGACGACAAGCTGGTCACCTACCTGGAGAACGCTGTCGAGGTTGACCCCGAGCGGCCGGTGCTGGTCGACAAGTACCTCTCCGATGCAGTGGAAATTGACGTGGACTCGCTGGCCGATTCATACGGGAATGTGGTGATTGGTGGGATCATGGAGCACATCGAGCAAGCAGGAGTGCACTCTGGGGACTCGGCCTGCTCTTTGCCCACCAAGACGGTGCCCATCAAGTGTTTGGAGATCATCCGGTCGTGGACATCGACCCTGGCAAAGCGGCTCAAAGTTTGTGGTCTCATGAACTGCCAGTACGCCATCACGGCCTCCGGCAGCGTCTTCCTCCTCGAGGCAAATCCCCGGGCCTCACGGACGGTGCCGTTTGTGTCGAAGGCCATCGGCCACCCACTGGCGAAGTATGCCTCCCTGGTCATGTCCGGTAAGTCCCTGCAAGACATCGGGTTCACGAGCGAGGTGGTGCCGCTGCATGTATCCGTGAAGGAGGCGGTGCTGCCGTTTGACAAGTTCCAGGGCAGCGACGTGCTCCTCGGGCCGGAGATGCGCAGCACCGGCGAGGTCATGGGCATCGACTTTGACTTCTCGATGGCCTTCGCCAAGGCCCAGATCGCCGCCGGGCAGAAGCTACCCCTCCGCGGCACGGCGTTTATCAGCTTGAATGATCTGACCAAGCCCCACCTCGCTGCCATTGCTCGTGGTTTCCAAGAGCTCGGGTTCCAGATCGTAGCAACCTCCGGCACTGCTCGGGTGCTCGAACTCGAAGCCGTACCGGTGGAGCGGGTGCTGAAGATGCATGAGGGTCGGCCCCATGCCGGGGACATGATTGCCAATGGGCAGATCCAGGTGATGGTCATCACGAGCTCTGGTGATGCCCTTGATCAGATTGATGGGCGGCAGCTGAGGAGGATGGCGCTCGCCTACAAGGTGCCGATCATCACCACTGTGGCAGGCGCCCTGGCGAGCATAGAGGCTATTAGATGCCTGAAGCAGAGTTCCATGAAGATGCTGGCTTTGCAAGACTTCTTCACCACCCCTGCTGATACCAAGAACTTGCAGACTGCCGCCTCTTCAACCACCATTTAAATGCATTCCGGGAGGAGTTGATTGCCCGTTTTTCTCCCCACCCATCCTCTTTAGATCGCAGCAGGAACAGTCTATTTATAGTTGCTGTCGTCTCTTTCGCCTTCCTTGGTTTGCTTTGAACACTGTAGAATCCTTGGTGGATGAATTTTTGTGTTGCGGGCCGTCTTTCAGATTCCGTGGACTTCAGATGTAATTTGTCAGATGGGTCCAGATGCCCATCGTTGACTGTCTGTTGACCGTTGATGAGTTTCGTTCATTGGATGAGATTAACCGAGGGGAGATACCTCAGCCCCAGAATCTATAAAGTTGGTACCTTTCTTCTGAAGTTAGTACTTCTTTTACCCTGTTACAGACTGATGCGGGGAAGGAACACGTCAGCCCTCTCTCTCTCTCTCGTTCTTATGCATGGGGGTTGACATCGTCAGAAGGTCAACGGGTTGAGCCGAGACCGGCCCTTCTGAAGCCCAGCAAAGGTCTGGTCATTTTAACGAGGCCCGGGCCAACTCTAGCCCCAATGAAAAGCCCGAAAACTAAGCGGGCTTCGAGCAAGACGCCTGTGAGATCCAGGTTCGGCAAAACAATGCAGTAAAGAAGGGTTGACTAGGATTTATCTGCAGAGAACGTCTCCCTAATTAGCCCTTAAAACCTTTCACAGGAGATTTACTAAGAGGGGAAACATTATTGCAGCCGAGAAGTAGAGAGAGAAAGTGAAAGAAGCTCACCCACAAAAGTTTTTACATAATCTCGACGACCGCCCGGCCGACGATCTGCCCCCTGTTTAGGTCCTCATAGGCGGTCGCGGCTTCCTCAAGCGTACATTTCCTGGAGACAGCGTTCTCGAGATCGAAGGTGCCATTTTCGGCAAGTTTGATCACCTGGGGAAGGTCCTGCCGCGCTCTTGCTCCATAGGATCCGATGATCTTGATCTGATCAGAAGTGTCAGCTCTAGGTTAGAACTTCTATTTACAGACTATATACGATTCAGACGAACAATTTAATGAGGTACAGATTTATTTTTTTTAGGGTTTTTATTGATTAATTGCAATTGAAGAATGATAGGCTAGAAATCCGGCCGGGGTCAGCTTTGGTCTAAGTCTGCGGCTCAGGACAAACTGAAGTGAGCAAATCCTTCATCAAACAGTAAGAGGAGAGGTGCCAAAAAATTGGCTGATAATAGTCTCCCGTAATTATTTAATTATTTCATTGAAATACACTAAAATGTATTTATTTTCCCAAAAGTAAGGGAGAGGTGCCAAAAAATTAGCTAGATAATAGTAGCCGGTATTTATTTATTTATTTATTTCACTGAGATACACTAAAATGTATTTATTTATTTATTTATTCATTTATTCATTTATTTTCACAAAAGTAAGGGGAGAGGTGCCAAAAAATAGCTAGATAATAGTTGCTGGTGTTTATCTATTTGTTTCACTGAAATACACAAAATATATTTATTTATTCATTTATTTTCACAAAGTGCCAAAAAATAGCTAGATAATAGTTACTGGTAAAAAGAGAAACATTCTGAAAAGAATGACAGCAACTACGACATTTTTTTCCTATGATGGAATGAAATAAAGGATCAGACGAAACAACACACATTTCCATTTAAAAGCTTTCGTGGATAAAAGTCTGGACAGTCAAAATCTCTCGATGATAAGGTTTATATGTTCATTTTTTATTTAGTCATCACCAAGAAGAAAGCAATGCATATTATAAAAGAACTAGGAAGCTATTAGCTCACGCTAAAAAAAGAAGAAGAGAGAGATTCATCATTGTGAATCAATTTTAAGCTGACCTGTCTGCGGACAAGACGATTTATGTCAACTTGCCCCATTGAGCCCGCTGCAGCAAGACCGATCATTACTGCTTTCCCTCCATCTCGCACACTGTTGGCGCATTGCATGAAAGTCGCTGGCCTTCCCAGAGCTTCTACAGCTACATCAACGCCCATTCCTCCAGTTATTTCCTGTCGCAAGAGGGAACAGACGGTCAGCATTCCAAAAGCCCACCTTACATGAGGACCTTTAAGGCAAATGCAGAGATGATGATCAGAGTGGCTATGAATTGAAGGCAATGTAAAAGCCAGCACTGAGTTGCCAAATATAGATTGAGATCTCAAAATGGGAAAAAAAAAAGTAAAATAGAAATTTATTTTGATGATGTCGAGCCTGATTGTTTGATGAACTTTTCTCAACCGGTCAACGGTGTGCTTCATACTCATTTCAACAATCGGTTTTTGCTATGAATTGAAGGAAATGTAAAAGCCAGCAATGAGTTTGCCAAATCTAGATTGAGATCTCAAAAGGGGAAAATAAAAGTAACATAGCAATTAATTTTGATGACGTCGAGCCTGATTGTTTGATGAACTTTTCTCAACAGGTCAACTGTGTGCTTCATACTCATGTCAACAATCAATTTTCGCGACATCAAAAGCAAGAACCTATGTACATTATTGCATGATATGAAAAAGAAAATCTAAAATGAAACACATCCCAGAAGTTCATAATATTCCATAATAACCATAGATAATCTAAAAAAAGAGTGGAGAATAATGATTCTTGATAGTACTAAAATTGAAACTGTATGGAGACTTTGGCATATATAAGTGAACAGATGATTGCCTTGATTTTGTCAATAACGTCTTCTTTCGCCGCATTTATAGTATGCGTTGCACCAAGTTTCTTTGCATTATTCAGCTTTTCATCTTGAACATCAATGGCAATGATCTCCGAAGCACCAAAAGCACGCGCTATCTGCAGGCAACTATAGAAAGTATTTGGTCAACAGAGTTGAACATGTCGGTAAATCGATAAAGAAATATACCAGCCTTACCATGATTGAAGACAATCATTTCTTCCAAATTAATGATCACAAAACCCTCCCATTCTCTCTCTATTTCTATGGCTACTATTTCATAATTTACTGATCTTATGAAAGAGTGATAAGTGAGAAATCTACTACCATGGTCAGGAAAGACAAGCGCATGAAAATGAATGATGATCCATGTACAGTTCCTGAAAGACACTTCTGGGTAAATTAAGCACCACTTCCTCCACAATTATTTTTTTTTTCCTGATATAAACGTCCTATAAAATACACTTAACGTCATCAAGGAGCACAGTAAATTTGTTGGGTACCTTGATCCAACGCCACCTATTCCAATGACCGCCACAGCATCTCCTGCACGCAGTTCAGCTGCGTGTCTCATGGCCCCATAGGCAGTAAACACAGCACAACCTAATATGGCTGACTCGGTGTATGGTAATGAGTCGGGAAGAACAGCTAATGCATTAGCTGGGACAACACAGTATTCTGCAAGGCCCCCCATACTGTACATGAACACCGGTTTTCCTAAAAGGCAAAAAATAGTTTTGTTAATAAAATTTTATTTTGCACGTAGATAAACTAGGAAAGGCATCTTCGAATAATTATTAAGAAGGACAAATAAATAAATAAAAATGAACAAATATTTCGGAGCAGCAGTTTGTCAGCAAAGTTATGTTAATGGATATTGACAGACTGACAAAGGGAATGACAATAATTCACACATTGGTTCGAGACGATAATTCACACATTGGTTCGAAACTAACTGTGAGAATGGGGGGAAAATCCTACCAAGAACAATAAGTCAAAGTAACAGTCAGGTTACCGAACATTTATAGAGAGAAGTACCTACGGAAACTCCACTCATATTTCATGCATTCGGTCCCCACTCGTATTCCCTAGTAATAAGCGAATAAAAGTGGAGACTTGTATAATTTCTTCACGATCACAAAATTCCCCCCACCCACTTGTCACCAGCAGGTTCGTGATGGACATGTTCCGAGTGGCTAGAATACCTTCAATATTTTATTCTCGCGGTCAAACAGCCATTGATGGTTTGATCCAGATGAAAATAGACAAAAGAAAAACAAAGAATAGTAAATTTAATCAGGGAAAAGAAAAAAAAATGTTGCAGATTAGTCATGAAAGTTCAAGTTGAATAAGGACCTGCGAAAGAGATTAAAGAAATGCAAATACAATTCATGTGTGAAAAACGATGTACATTCAGGATTCTCCCCCCTCTTCTAAAGGAAGCATGACTTTCGCCTTCTCAGAGGTCCCGTTTGTATGACAGTAAGGGAGGGCAGGAATTCGGTAGATAAGGTGGAAGTTAGAGGGAAGGCGACTTGAGACAAAATATTGAATAGTAGTCCGAGATCTTCTTGTACTGAGTGGAGAGCGGTAGAAATAATTTTTTTAGTGAATCCATGCCAAAGATGCTTGAAGGATAACCTCTGGGAAGTTGGACATAAAAATACTTAAACGTGATGGGTTCAATCATGGAGAAATATCACCAATGGACTCTATGGGATATCTCGATAGACATAAAGGTAAATTCCAATCTATTCACGTCCACCTTTCACTGCAGAGTTGAAATTTCTTTAGCCAAATAATAGAAAAAAGAAAGTGCAATGCGGTCATGGATAATAAGTTGCGCTATATGCAATTTATTTTCAACAGAGAGAATGATAAGCATTCAAACAGAGAGAAAATCAACAGATTCTGTACTTCATACATCTCGATGAACATTAAAGAGAAAACATTGATACCACAAAGATTCCATCCTGCCAAAGAAAGTGGCTTTCGAGAGACTTTCCACTTTCAATAACATCAAGAAATTCAATCAGGTTATCAGTGAAGAATGTTAATTCCAGGGCTCTAGAAAGGAATTATTCATCTCATTCTTATTGAATATGGCATCACTGAAATCATATGGAGAGATCTGGTAAAGATTGTGTGTAGGTGAAATTGTGCAGTTTTAATGGAATCCTTAGTTTGATGAGGTAGAACGAGGTACGCATTTGAAAGTCGTACAAGGATTGCTATCAGCTCCATAGAGGGAGAGAGAAATGGGGAGATTTGAAGATCAGTTGAAGAACCGTGCATTGCTATCCACAGAGCAGACTTAATTTTAGAGGAGTAAATCTTTCAACGTGAAGGGAATAGTAGATGAGCCAATTTTATCCCTATGCAATGTGTTGGAAACTTCTAACGACCTGTGCCATAGAATTCCTTTCGAAGGTTCTTTGTAAACTCTAATGCAGTGCCTTCCTAGAACATAAATAACGACAGTTGATTAAGTACACAAACTAGCCTGATTTATTTACCTTAGATTCAGAAACAATGGGTTTTCCATAGTTATCTAAACAATGAGGTTTAGTCATCTTACAACTTAAAATCTTCAAAGAAAAATAGTTGAAATAAATTTAATTATGGCTGAAAAAACATAAAATAAATGGAATGTAGAATGCGTTACCATTTCCACGCAAAAACAAACGTGTCTTGCCATCATAGAGTGTTCCTTGTGCTCGATTGTAGGCAAAAAAATCCGCACAAAGGTCTTCTTGGCCCTAAACCATCACACATTTAGAATTATTACATGAGAATGATGTTAAAAACTAAAAGAAACGTTCACTGAAGTAAGAATTTAACCTTCACACAAAAGTGGCAACTGCCGCATGGCATTATAAATGCCCCTACAACACGAGTTCCGATTGGAAATCTATGAAGCCAAAAAAAAAGGATGACATGTTAACCAAGAGCCTGAACATGAATTCAAAGTAAAAGGTAAATAGGAAAATTGAAGGACAAATTTTACTTTGGTATCTATATTTACCTCCTTGTAATCCCTCGATCTGTATTTGGGCCATGCTCGACTACCTCTCCAGTTATTTCATGACCCACAACACAGGGACTCGCAAATGGAAGTTCTCCTTTTATAACATGGAGATCAGAATGACAGACTCCACAGGCTGCGCATGTAGATCTGAACGTAAATAGATACTTCCATCGGACAATGCAATTGTGTTCAGGAATCGCATGTCTGTAGGACTAACGTTGTTTAAGTGGTGACAAAAAAAATATAATCAATGAAAATCGCAGAATTATAATGAAGTAAATATAAGTACAAACATTATCAACTATGCAAAGAGAAAGAATAATAAAACTTCTTAACTCAACAATCATGACGACAGCGCATAAGCTAATACACCAAAATACTTTTATTTCACATTTCCTTTAAAACAGGTGAAAGAAGAAGACACGAACACATACGTTATCCTTGCTTTCAAAGACGAAGGCACTCACTGATTTGTTGACTCAACCATTCACTTTCTTCGAATTGGACTGCTTGCGAGGCTCCATTCTCCAAAGGAGACAGTACCAGCTGAAGTCTTCGTGTTCTATCCAAGCTTTCCAGAACTCTAACATATATTCTTAGAAGAGAGACTACCGAAATTCGGGCAAGCATTAAAACCTGGGATTCATGTGGTGGATATATCTTTTTGTACAGAGATGCCCCCACTGTCGGATTAACATATCGATGCCTTATACAATATTTTGAGAAAAATAAGTAGACACAGATTATAGAATAATACCGTGATCCGCGTGACATTAAATACAGAAAAAAAAATCTGCGACGTCCGAAGGGAATGGTGTAGTACTAATAGAACGCGTTGACTCTTTTTAAGACATCAATATGCTACAAATTTTATTATAGTAATCCATGCGTTGGTGTGGGTTACATGATGATGAGACTTCACACCCGCAAATCCATTTTGAGAATGTCCCTCGAGGGGGAATGAAGGGGTGTGAGAATGAGCAGTTCGAACCCTTGGTCCTGATCAGGACCTCCCCGGCCTTGGGGAGGGGCATGTGGAACTCTTCAATGGTGATGGGCTTTCCCGGCTCCCAGAACACCGTGCCTCGCATGTAGGAGGGCCCCCCGCCGACGTGGTATCCGACGGCCTCCTTGGAGATCCCCGTGCTGAGGAGAGATCTCTGAACTTGGGCTGAGCATGGTGCCCTGGAGAGCTTCCGGACCAGAGAACGACAGGCGGAAGAGAAGGAAGCCATTAAGGGAGGGCAATCGACCTCTGAGACTACGCAACTGGATCTTGACTGGCCTTTGCTATATAGCAGCTGAAAGCCATTGCTGAGAACGCTGACAAAGGTCTGTTATTCGACTCACCGAGTCTGGGCCGGGGAACGGGCGAGTCGGAAACTCGGATCCGGTTTGGTGCCCCGTAAGCAGGCTGACGTAAGCGCTAACGTCGAGAAGTCTATCCGTAAGGGATAACTACTCTGATTAACACGTCATCCCCGCCTGTTTTAGCGTATCCAATTCGATCCGACCGTTGATAAGAGCAAATATCTATTCATGGATCACATCTTGTCGTTCGATTGTCGTGCCGCATTATATCATCTAAGTCACAGGTCAGTTCATCAGTTGGTCCTGTATTTCCAAAAATAGGCATAGATTCTAGTTCCCAAGCAGGTTGACTCTCTGAGAGCATTCGTTTTAAACGCGGCAAGAGGTGCAACCCGAGCTGATGACGTGGAATCAGACAGCGAATTGTCGTTCAGCTGGTCAACCCAGAGGTTACCAGAAGTAAAATCCTCATTTGTTCCAACGGCATATGCAGTCAATTGCTATCCTTCCAAAAATAATTACCAGAATAGCACCAATTTTCGTGGCATGTCAGCCTCGTTATGAAAGAGGGGAGTCAGTTGACCGCGTGCGACGCCAGCTGACCCCGAGCGTTGACTGGGCAGACGGGGTGGGGTGCTTCTATTTTTCTGGTTGCTTTTCGAGTGAAGTCTCTGTTCTCAATGTGAACTGGTCAAATGGGTGGGTGGAATGATTTCGTGAAAGAGTGTTAATTACGTTAATGGGTTTGCTTTCCCAGCTGTGAGTGCATGATTTGATGCAAAATATATAATGGGCCTCATCTAGATTACTACGGACATTTCCTGGTAAATCGAAAGTGTTTGGTAGCCTCCCTCGTTTTACCTCGCCTCAGGATTGACGATGATTCGGATTTCGCCACACTACGAATGGCGGCTCTTCTTCCTAGTGATTTTCCTTTATTTTCTTCTTCCATGATGGTTGATTGCATTACCCGGATAAATATAAACCGGATCTTCTCTCTCTCTCTCTATTTATCTATCTACCTATTTATCTTTCTCTCTCTTTATCAACCTTTCTATCTACCTCTCTCTCTCTCCCTCACACACTCTCTCTATCTTTCTATCTATCTATCTATATTTCTCTCTCTCTATCTACCTCTCTATCTTTCTATATCGCACTCTCTCTCTTTGTTGCTGTCCCAAAGTGAAGGGAGCTGGGGATGGCATGAAAGCTGGGGTATCCCCACCGTCCGTCCCCCCCTAGAGGAACGAGGAGCCTCCTCTATTCATTAGATCCGAAAATCTAATAATTTTTTATTTTAAAAAATAAATATGTGCACTCGGTAAATAACAACAATAAATACAAATAAACAGTACTTACTAGAATAATTTACTAAACTTATGGTCAAAGATTTAGGATTCAATCTGGGCAGACCCTCACCAAGCCCAACGGGCCAATGTTAGGCCCATTGGCCCCAACGGGCCCAACATAAGGCTCGAACCCAGGGGCTCCGCTGGGTGCCCGATCCACCCGTTTTCTGGTATTTTTCTCTCATTTTTACCATTCTCTCAGCATCTCGATCAAGGGTTTCCATAAATAGGTTTACCGTTTATTTATTATTTATTTATTTATTAAGAGCATCCTGAATAGCGAAGAAAATAATCAAATGGATTGGGGAGGAATACACAACGAAGGCTGCTTTGAGGTGTACTCAGATTTCAACAGACTGAATAGCGAGTTTGGCTGCGATCAAGGCTATGTTGTGTTTGACCAACTGCAGCCCATTGTTCAGCCTTTTAGACGTGTCCCTTGTGGCCATTGCCCACAGTTTTCGCCTCTGAAGGGTCAGAATCTCTGTCTGCGTTGACCCTGCAAGAGAGTGAAACGACAAATAGAATATTCAAAACACTTGATTTATGACGTAATAATAATCGAATTCAAGGTTTAGCATCTAAAGGGGAAAAAAGGGAAGAACATATGGATGCTCAGAGCTACTCATTCTCAAATAATGAAGTAATGAAGGATGGGGGAGCAAACAGGATTTGCATTTCTAAAATATTACTCATAATCAAGCTTTAAACTCTTGGAGTCACAAACTTTCTAAATATTTTTTCAAACATTATTGCTACTATTTTTTCTCCATGTTCTACTGATTCGAGGCATGATCATGGGGATGGGGGGGGGGGGGGGGGGTTGCCAAATGACATTAAAGTGAGCTATCATTCATCTTTGGTGGATAGATATCAGTCCCATGGCATATACACACGAAATTGTCTATTTAGGTCAACTTCATGCTAATATATGCGAATAGTTTTAATGATGACCAGGTTATATAGTTAGTAAAAAAGCTCATAACCCAAGAAATTCTAAGCGGTGAACAACAGATGTCATGAAGTTCTAGTATCGGCATTGGAATATTAGACCATCAAAGTAAAGAAATTCATAACAAGGGGGAGTAGGCTAATCCAAGTAATTAAAACATTTTTAACATTGTTTCCAATGCGGACATGTTTGCATACATCATCATGTGCCAACAGATCTTTAAAGAAAATCCGCACATTCCCAAGGAAAACCATCACGATTAATGGAATGACATGGTAATGAGCCATACAGCTTAAAACCGAGTGTTAAAGAAAGGAGTATGACTGTTTATATAACAATATGATTTTTAATTCTTTTATGTTGCAAGTTTATTCTCATAGTTTCTGTTCCTGAGGGTCATTTTCTCCTATTTCTTGTAATCTTCATATCGTTTCAGCAGAGCAGGCTGGTACATCAGCATCCGACCATGGACCGGGTCGGGGATGGGCCCAAGTTGGGAGGGTACAGGGCCAAGGAAGCATGATCCAACTCTTCATGGTTCAAAAATGCCTGAGCTTTACTTTTTTTTTCTTATTCACAAAAGGCAGTAGACTATGATGTCACACTACTCAGCTAGACATGGCTTGTTTTTTTACCCATGACCTCTATGAGGTGTGGCCTCGGCAAGAGTGGTGGGTTAGCTCTCCATAATCAACGCATCCTTGCTGTTTTTCTATCCTTCTGCATGATTTCTTCACTTTTCTTGGGAATAGGCATTGACTCTGTCTGCTCCTTTTATTCAACTCTCTCGCTGAAATCAAAAGTGGATTTTTCCGAGCCTCAACACATTCTCTCTATCCTTCATTTTTTTGGTCCAATTAGGAGTCAATATGACAAAGTTTCCACTATGACATTGTCTCTGTAATCAACAGTAATAGTTTTTTGATTTGATGCGCAATTATTCTTCTTTAGGCCTAACACCAAGAGGTTTTTTTCTTATTTGATATGAACTTGGAGCTCTCTTCCGCATTCAGGTGGTGGAATACTTATTTATTGAAGTAAAATCTGTCTAGTGATTGGATCAAATAGTTCTTGTATCTTGTTCCAACCTTTTCACTACTCTAATGGGTTTTGATTTCCATAATCTATCTAGAAGGCAGTCATATTGGTGAACTCTGATTTTATATAGAGGTGTAGTGAAAGATCAAAGCTCACCAATCTCATTACGTTCTTTGATGAATTATGACAATCAAAACCCACAAGAGAGGTACAAAAGCTGAAACAAAATACAAGAGTTATTCGATCCATTCACTATACATAAATTATATTCCAATGAAGAAGTATTCCACCACCTGAATGCTGAAGAGAGCTGCAAGTTCATATCAAATAAGAAAAAACTCCTCAAAGTCAAGGCTAAAGAAGAACACCTTTGTAATTCCGCATCAAATTAGAAAACCATCTTTGTTTGTTTCAGAGATGTTGCCATGGTGGAGACTTCCCTAGATGTACTCCTAATTGGACCCAATAAGTGAAGTATAGAAGGAATGCATCTTGGAATTATAGATAAGAAGTCGAATGAAAGGAGCAAAGAGAGGGGGTGCCTATTTTCAAGAAAAGTTCAGAAGTCATGCAGAAGGATAGAAGACGAGGGGGGCACGCTGATTATGGAGAGCTTACCGACCCCTCCTTCTTGAGAAAAATAAAGATAAAAGGAATAAACTTTGATGGGAATAAAATTCTACCTGAGACTGGTTGTAGTGCGGCAAAGGATATACGCTCAGATACTCCTGGAATGAAAGCCTGACTGTAAACCTCAGGAGCTTCCTTTTCAGCCCAAATCATTGAGCTTCTTATGCGGGTTTGCAGTGGCTCATCCTGGGAAGCCTGGGAGTTTTGGAGTAATCAGGAACAAAAAAATTGAGCAGCAACTGCCAGAAAAGATTTCAGAGAAATGACAAACACCTTCAATTTAATCTCCAAGTTGTTTAAGTTAGCAAGAGATTCCTTCAGTGCTGTAACTTTTGAGACGATTTCACTGTCACTTCCGTCAGTACCGTCTTGCATTGGTATGGCAACTCCTCTCAAGTATGGTTCTGTCTGAGTTCACAAAAAAAATGCACGTATTTAAAATAAATAATGAATAACAAATGTGCTCAGCAGTTATTTCTAATGTCTCACAGAAAATAAAGCAAGTATTACCGCACTCTGATATGCTCAATATCATCAAATTTCAGAAAACTCAAAGTTTCTAAAGAGTCACGAGTAAGGCTGGTTTAAGGTCACGTTGATGGATATATATTAGTTTGAAAGGGCGAAAGTGTACTGCAGCCAGGTTCGTGAGTAGCTGATTTGAGAAAGGATGCGATAAGTCATCTATTTTCTTAATTATTTTCGTTCTTGTGAAAGATAACAACAATTTCTCGAACACAAGAAGTCACAAATTACATCTTTAAACCTACTCGCAATATCATGTTTTTGCCTTTCTTCACCATGAATGATTAAAGAGCAAGTTTCGAGTTTCTCACACACTGTGAAACTGAGTGTCCAGAGGTCTTCATTTGCCTTAACGAAGATAAATTTCATGCGTCATTACGTAAAGGAATTATTATGGAAAATCAAACCTCGTTTAATTCGAGCAATAGAAAGAAGATCAAGTTTAAATTCCATATAAACCTTGGTAGAGTACCTGTGTCATATTCATGATGCTAACACGGCCAATGCCTCTAATGGAAACCAGAGCTCCAATATCCAATTTCTCAACCTACATTTAAAAAAAATGAAACAAATCAAAGCTATATGGTGATGAGATTACAAACAAATGACATTGAATCACAGGTACATGGAAGCAAGGTAAATCCTCATCATTAAGGTCAAGATCAAAAAACATGCAGGGGATGTAATATTGAATTTCTTCACGAGGTGACAGTGACATTCAAGCTTACATTTTCTATATAAACTAGACAACCATATCTAGCAGCATAAGATGCTCCTGTTGATGATCCACTAGAAGGAACTGGGTCCAGGACGAAGTGCACAAACTGCTTCTGCCCTTTGTTTAGTGACTGCAAGAAATTAACATCAACAAGAAAACAACTAAAATAAGCACTCAGCTGAGAAAACTTGCAGGTCCACAGCAAGAATCTCAAAAACAAAGCAGCACCAGAAAAATTTGAAACAGACCGTGATCATTAATTTCCAATGATAGACACTAAATATGTCGTCACTTTATGGCAACTTACTGGTTGATTAGTTACATTGCTACCAGGAAAACCATTTACCCATTAAATTTAGATTGAAAACCTTTGGGTTCCAACTTCACATCACTGAACTTTATACTGTGTGGGCACGAAGATCCACATTCAATAAGGGAAAAACATTAAGACCTTTCGTTCAAAACACTGATAGAAGATAACAAAAAATTAGAGGAAATGAGAGAAGAATGTAACCTCCTCCAGCAATGCAAGAAACCTTGCTTCATACAAATGCAGTGTCTTGGATTCTGATGGAACCAAAACCTGACAACCACCAAAAAAAATTACAAGTCATCTGCCTGCTTTTAATAATCGAGATTGTCAACTTGAAGCATAAGTTTGAATCGGGTTTTAGGAACAGGAATCTCTGCTCATACTTATATATAATTTAACGTATTATCATGTCGCATCTAGCATAAAGCCAATTGGCGGACAAAAGTAAAATGATGTTGAGTCTTTAGAACCTTCTTCCACCATTTGTTGCGCATTTGGTTTGATTTTCATGCTTATAGGCCGTGCCTAGCTTGTGAACGGAGTCGACGTAGAGAAATTATCAGAGTCATAACATGGATCCACGTCCATTAAGGGGGATGGATTAACGAGGATAAAACACTATGAACACAGACGCTGCCGTCCTCTCGGGAAAGTAGCCCCGAAATGCGTCCAGCATAAAACATTGGGAACAGAATTATACAGCCATTTGGAAAACAATGACGCTAGTACACTGGCGATACACTAGCATTACAACCGCTGGAGAAAGGATATGCAAAAACAGTTCATAAATAGAGGAAAAGCAAAACGAGCACCTCATCCGGTTGGAAAGGAAGTAGTGGGAGATCCAAGGATGAGTCCAATGACTTCGAGGAAAAGCAGAGCACTCTGAGTCGCTGGGATTTCCCAGAGACGCCGACATCCAGACACCCAGCAGCGAGACAAAATCCGCGGCGGTGAGCAAGACGGTTCAAGGTAAACGGTCTGAGGCTGGTACCTGCCGAGGCGGACGAGACGCAGCGGACCGACGGGAGGCCAAGATTTAGGGTTCTGACACTCATGTTTCGAAGAGGTATTATCTAAGCTACCCCGCAACGCTCGGGAACGCGGGAGAGGGAGAAACAGCTCCCTCGCCTACCTCTGACTTGATCCCCCTCGCACCAGACAAATCACTGCGGATAGAATGGCGGAGCGTCTGATCATCCATCCTCCTCTCGCCCTCGTCGTTCGTTCCCATACAGAAGGACCATCCATCGGTCGACCGACGCCGAAGCTCTCCCCGAGACCATCACTTGAGAAGAAATCTAAAGCACTTAAATCGCTTATTTCCCGTATAAAAAAAAAAATATAGCAAACATATCCCTATATAATATTCGACGCATTAAAGATATATTTGTTTATAGCATGATAGTGGCATATATGATAATTTATGTGGCACCTTGCGCCTCTCGCTTCTTGTCTCTCCCTCTCGCTCTTCCCCTCCCTGTCTTCTTCAGCGTTAGCCCAAGTCCTCTTATATTTTCTTCAGGGGGGGTTGACTTGGTCGTAGCTGGACGGAAGTGTTCCAAATTTGTGAGCACTTAATTATTTTTTTCTCTTAAATGCGATCGCATTTATTGAAACATTAATTATATATATTTATAGTTTAAAGTCAACTATTTTAAAAAATTAAGTACACCTAAATTTGGCATCGATAATAGCATTTATTGGGTTACTCTCGGTGGCTTTTGTGTGTAATAATAAGCCTATCATATAATATTTAATTTACATTTATAATTAATCTCGTTATAACAATAATATTATAATGCAAAATCTGTACGAATATTTCATCGTTTGTGAATAATCTGAAGATGGTATTTGTTAGCTGTATTCTTTAAAAAAAATCCAAAAAAGGAAAATGTCGTTCTCTAAAAGCGCGTGCGCAACATGAGGTTACAATTGGCATAAGCCCATTTTTGTAATAAATTTAAATATGCGTGTTGATAGTTAATTGATAGTTATTTTAGGGATATATTGACAGTATCTGTTGACACGATGGTACAAGAACGGTCCTATTTATTATTTTAGGGCGACTGGACTCTGCGCTGCTCGAAGAAAAACCCTTCTTGCAATCTAGGGTTTTGTTCTTCGCTTGTTCAATCTTCAGGCAGACGATGGCAAAACCTGGCAGAGGCCGACCGGCGAGCCCGTCGGGATCGGCCTCTGGTTCGTCTTCCTACTCGCGTTCCTCGTCTGAGTCGGGTTCGCGGTCGCGGTCGCCATCTCGCTCTCGTTCCCGCTCGCGCTCTCGCTCAAAGTCCTACTCGACTTCCTCGCGTTCGGGGAGTGGGAGCTCACGCAGCCGGAGTCCGCCTCCCCAGAGAAAAAGGTGAGTTTAGTTTATTAAAGAAGAATGGGCTTTACCTTTGTCGTACAGCATCAGGCGTCGTGTAATTTCTCTCTGCGTGAGGTTTCTACTTATTTTACATAAATTCTCATCGATCTTTAGATCTTTCGCATTGTACTTTGCACTCAATGCTTGAAGTTGGAAATTTGGACGAGTACATTATCGTTTCCATAATTAACGTCTTTACTGCGTTTCACATCTGATGACATTATGAGACTAAAACCCTATTTGACACTAGCTTGGGGGATGTTAAAAGATCAAGTTATCCCCCTCGACAGGAGTACTCATATCATGTTTAACCTCATGTTTTCATCTTTCTGTAGTCCCAAAGCAGCTGCTCGGAAGGAGCGATCTCCATCACCGCAAACTAAAAGAGTTTCACCGCCAAGGTGTGGATTCTTTGCAACTTCTCAGATCTCAGTTATCAGAAGTTAGAAAAGTCCATAATTAGAGGTTTAACAGCATAAGGGCAGTATGCGTTGCATACAATCCATGTATATTTGGGTTCTTCGTTGAGATTATCGTTATCTCTTTAGGCTTGGCTTCCTGACCCTCGCGCTTTGAATTTTTTTCACCTGAAAGATTATTGGCCGTCATATCCAAAGACGTGTGTTGGGTTTAATATGTCACTTGGGAGCCTTGCATATTTCGTCTAAACCATAATAGGTTGAGAAGTGTGATGCAGAATAGGAAGTCTTACATATCTATCGGTGATAGATAGCTTGTTATTTTTTTCTCTCTCCTCTAAATATGTGCATGTTCTCCTTCAGGAAAGCATCTCCAGTCCCTGAAGCAGCTGTGCTTCACATTGATCAGCTCACCAGGAATGTCAATGAAGGCCATCTTAAAGAAATATTTGGTAAACTTTCTCCCGCTCCTTATTGAAGGCATTCTGTTCTCCAATGGGAGTAATTGTCAAATTTTATTAAATTGTCGTGACAAATTTTCCTGTTTTTTATTTATTTTCTAAATTTTCACCATTGCTATCTTTATAACGAAGGCCTTTGAATGGGTTGTATCTTTGTGTATTGTTATCATCTCTTGGAAAAATATTTGATTCCAAAGATCTCTCAATTGTGCAGAGAGTGCATCTCTTTTTTTGCATGCCAAACTACTTAATGAATATGGATTGGAGTCCTCGTTGTTTGGGGTTATAAGTGGACGAACTCTGTTCTTTGTATTAGGCTCATGGGTTCGGCAGGCCTCGAAAACAACCGATGCGCCTAATTTTTTTCTTACTCCAATTCTGTCCGTCAGTTTGCATATTCCGTAGTTTATGCAGTTATAGCATCTACAGATTTGAAATTTCTTGCTAGATATAATTTAACATTTAAATGGACTTCGTCTGGTAATTTGATATTTAGAGATCACGTGTTCCCAGTTCAGTCATCATGATGATGCCCTTTTTTCAAGAATTATGATTGTGTATAGTGCTGCATATCCTCAACTTTCAAACCGGAAAAAGATGTATATTTATGATTTCATTCGGCTCTAAATGACCCTTTGTTCTGTCTTTATCCTAATTTATCCGATAACAGATCGCAGTCAGGAGGATAGTTTTCTGGAATGTTTAAAGTAGAAGACTTTTGGTGTACGCTTCCCTTCTATTAAGATCTAAATTCAGTTAATTAGTTTCCTCTTGTTATTCTTCGAGGGTGATTCTCAAAAAAGACTTACATTCTCATCCTTCTGCGCTATTTCTGCAAGAAAGCACGATGGGGTAGTTGGGTCAGCAGTATAAAATTTCAAGCTCAAAAAATATACGACCTTCTAAAGAGATAATTTTTATGTGACTTCTATTGCCATTGAGTGAGTTACGCACTGTCATATTTAATGTCTTATTGTAAGACACAACTTTGTTCTTTTGGCCGCACCGTGGCTCTGAAAAGCCATCTAGTTTATCATTTGGTGATTACCGTTTTAGATAACCCTGAGTTCTTAGGATTGTTGAATATATGATGCTGATTCCCATTTCATAGTGACATCCTTTGCTGTGTTCTTGTGTAGGAAATTTTGGTGAAGTAGTACATGTGGAGCTGGCAATGGACCGTGCTGTAAGGCATCCTTTATCAATTTCACCATTGCCTGGTTGGGTTTTTTTTTTTTTTTTTTTTCCTTTGTATGTCGTTTGATATGGCTTCGTTGCATGAATCCAGGTGAATCTTCCGCGTGGGTTTGGCTATGTCGAGTTCAAGAAGAAAGTTGATGCTGAAAAGGCGGTTCTTTACATGGACGGTGTATGTGCATTCTACATTTAAAAAAGTGACTTCATGTATGTGTACCAACTTAACGTTTTATTAAATTCATGCTGTAGGCACAAATTGATGGAAACTTGGTCCGAGTTAGATTTACCCTGCCACCACGACAAAAACCTTCATCTCCTCCGAAGACAGCTGCCCCTCCAAAGAGAGATATTCCTCAGAAAGATAAAGTTGCAGTTGATGCTGAAAGGGCTGCACAAACAAAAGCTAGAGAACGTAAGTTGTTTTTTGTTTTGTTGTGATGTTGGGTCTTTAACTTCGTATTATATCCCATCTTTTGTGCTTTGGTGGTTTCAAGAGCATTGCTGCGGTACTCTGTCTTTAGAGAAAAAGTTAATAATTTTGTGAAATCTTCATCCAATAGCTTCCCCACGCCGTAAACCACTCTCACCACCTCCACGACGAAGATCCCCTCCTGTTCATCGAAGAGGTGAATCTCCAAGGCGCCGACCGGATTCTCCTCCCAGTCGCCGTGTTGATTCCCCCGTGCGTCGCAGAGCAGATTCTCCTCATCGACATGGTGAGCCACCACTGCGAAGACGGCCAGCTTCCCCACTAAGAAGACGCTCTCCATCACCTGCTCCACGTAGATATAGGTCTCCAATGCGGTTAGTTGTGTACCTGTTTTTTGCTCCATCTTACTCAATATAAATTTACTATTGGCATCTTAGTTGCCCTTGTGTTACAGGGTTTCTCCACGGAGAGGGCGTGGCAGTCCCATTCGCAAGCGTTCTCCAATTCCTCCCAGACGCCGGTACGTCAGTCTTGCATTTTCTTCTCTGAGTACGCTTGCTCATAGAAATGTAATGGTTGCTAGTGAAAATGCATTGATCAGATTCCTGTGTTAAGTAATGGATGTTGCAATAGGTGACGGATTTCTTTTAAAGTAAAGATCAATTTTGTAGGCTGAGATTTCTAATTCCTCCCAGACGCCGGTACGTCAATTTTCCTAGGTGATCGCATGCATAAATTCTGCTGTAGGAAGACTTAATATATTCATTTAATGGTGGTCAGTTGTTCTTTGGTTTAGATTTACTGTCTAATTATTCATTTCTTCCATTTTTTTGTTCCTTTGCTTCCACAATCTATGCACATAGATGAAAGTTACATTTCAATGGAAATAATGTAAGGTCTAAACCTAAATTTTGGTAGCGACTCTATTCGTTACCATTTAATGTGCTGTCACTCCCTTATCAACAATCTGTTATCCGGAGATGATACATCAAGGGGAAATATGACTCATGGTATAATTTTATTGAGGTTTTTTATGTAATTTGAATCATCTAGTTTTAATTATTTCTTGGATTGTATTAATTCAGTCAGTGGACGTTTTTGCGCGAACTATCATTCAATGAGTCGGTAATCCAAAATCTGGGCTCCTAAACAGTTGGACATTACTTTGGCCTTTCGACAAAACTTTTCGTTTCCAAATCTGTCAAAAGGTTTGTAATGGAAAATGTAAACTTGAAGTCCTTCAATCAATCGCCTTTTTGGGTCAGATCCAATGTGGATTGTGCATCTTCCTTTGCCAAAAACAGGCTCGACTTGGATTCGAACTTATGTGCCATTGTCAAGATGAGTGAAGTGGAGTGAGGAAGGGCTGTCATAAGAAGGAATGGCTAGTGAAGATCAGTAGGGATGTTTCTGTCTCTATCCATAATTCGGGTGGAATGGGACCTATCGAAAAACACCGAAAGAAGGAAATTTCACTGTCGTTTTTGTCATCATCTCCTAGAAGAGACACCCAGACAAATTCTAGAATAGAAATCCGAAGCAACTGAGCTCCCCCTTGGTTCCAATTAATATCATATTTTCTCTCACTTGAGCCATTTCTTAATATATTGACTGTTAAGCAACCTTCTATTTTGTTCTATAAATTTCTCGTCTTTGCTTTATTTGTGTGATCTATCACACCGGATCACCTGCATTTTAGGAATCTCGTAAATTATGCTATATCTTACTCAATATACCAAGTCTCATCCTTCTTTTTGCCCTCCTTTCTTATTATTTAAACTGGTTATGCTTTAGCTCGCCCCTTAGAAGAGCACGCAGCCCTCCCAGGCGGTCTCCTCCACTTCGCCGGCGTTCCCGCTCTCCAGTCAGAAGGCCTGTTCGTTCTCGCTCACGATCACTCTCTCCTCGAAGGTGAAGAATCTCTTATCATTAAACTATGTCGTCTGACTTGTGTTCATGACGACAGCGTTGACTCTTTCGATCACAGTTCTGGGTTTTCTATCTTACTTTGGCTATTGTTGAATATCATGTGCATACATGTACAGTCAAATGATTTAATGGATAGGGTGGCGATTTGGATTACTGGATGAAAATTAGCCGAAGCTGTGGATGATATCCGATTGAATGTTCATGGTTCATTGTCTCAAAGATCAGGAACTATATTTAGCCCTCAAAGAAATCTAACTTTTTTATGTATAAAACCAGCCATTGTAGAAAATAATCCTCATTTGCCGATGGTTTATATGATACTCTGAGAAAATTTAATTTGCCCAAAATGGTCCAACCGCGAGGACTGTGTATCTCAAGGTGGTGAACAGTTGGTGATGATTTCTTTACTTGGTGAGAACAGAGGCAGGATGCCACCACAGAGGCGTGGAAGATCCAGTTCTTCGTACTCTGGTTCGCCGAGTCCTCGGAAGGTCCGAATCATTCAGTGCTGTCTTCTCCTTCAAAAAGCTCAGGACGGTTGTTGGAGCCCTGACTGATCTCTCCTTTTGTATGTGGCAGGGTGGCAGGAGGATATCCAAGAGCCGTAGTCCTCGGAGGTATCCCTCTCTCTCTCTCTCTCTCCCTCTCTCTCTCTCTCTCTCTCTTTCTCTCTCTGTGCACACCTTCCCATGTCTCAGAATTTGGCGGTTGACATAATCGTCTGAAGTCAATCTCTCGAACCTTTATCATACATGTGGAATATAGTTCTAGGGCACTTCGCTTTTATGGCAATGAATTCATTTTACGGGATCTCTGTCTTTCTCTCTCTCTCGCTACAGAAGCCCATATCTCTGACTTTGGTGGTGGAAACATATTGACTGAGATCGAACCTGTCGAACCCAGATTGTACTCATGGACTAGAGTCCATGTGTACAATCTGCCCATATCTTAATGGCATTGCATTCTATGGCAGCTCTCTCTCTCTCTCTCTCTCTCTCTCTCTCTCTCTCTCTCTTGTTACACCTGCCCATATCTCTTACTTTGGTGGTGGAAACATATTGACTGAGATCTAACCTGTCGAACCCAGATTGTACATATGGCCTATGGTCCTCGGAGCATTTCTCTCTCCGGGCATTGCACTCTCTCTCTCTCTCTCTTTCTTGCTACACCTGCCCATATCTCTTGACTTTGGTGGTGGAAACATATTAACTGAGATCTTATCTCTTGTACCGAATTACCCATGAGTAGAGTTGTTGTAGGAACATTTCCCTTTCATATTATGTGTTGCCTGCTGTTTAAGCCGACGAACCGCGAAACTGCTGTCTGTAGGCCTGCCCGTGGAAGAAGCACCAGCAGCAGCAGCCCAAGTGGCAGCTCACCCCCACCAAACTGATACTCCTTGCTGGCTTCAACTGGTAGGTTCCTCTCTCTGTCTCTCTTACTCTCTCTCTCTCTCTTCCTCTCTCCTCTCTCTCTCTCTCTCTTCCCCCAACCTTCCCATCCCCCACCCCAAAAAGAAAAAGAAAATCTTCGTCCCTCCGTTTGAGTGAATGCAAGGAGAAGCAGATCTTCTGAGCCAGGCGGCACGAGGCGTCATCGACCCCTCCAAGGCGACATGGATCTTGTGGGATAAATCTTTTGCAGTCTTGTAGAGAGAGAGAAAGAGAGAGGATGGCTGCCGTGGGAGCGAGCACTGGACCAGCGTGTGGGATATTAGGATTTCATCTTCTCTTTCTCTCTCTACTGTGCTTTTTTTGAGGCATTTGGCCGACATGTGTAGACCTAAATTTCCAGGCAAGGATTCTCCGCTCCGTACTCTAATGTTCATGACGGAGCCGTTCCATTTTCGGAAGCTTTTGTGCGATGATGAGCCGGCCCGCGGTCTCTTCTTCCCCGATCGGGCCCGCCGGCTGCTAGATGGCCGTTGCGGCGGCGGCACTGGTTCATGGCTAATTCATTTGAGTCTTTTCGTCTGAGTTTTTTTTTCTTCTCTGGGGAAGGGAGTGGGAATCGATCTCCACTTGGGCTTCCTCTTCGCCGGAGTAAATCGTAGATGGCCGTACGATCCGGCGTCGGATCGATCTTCACCGTTGGAATGCTGGTGTTACCTGAGATTTAAAGGGGAAGTTCTCGAACTTTGTTATCGATCCGAGACGAAGTGAGAGGAAGGGTCCCTCCCTCCCCCGCCTCTCTCTCTCTCTCTCTCTCTCTCTCTCTCTCTCTCTCTCTCTACAATGGCGGAGGAGAACAGGCAGCTAGCTGCGCAGTACGGCCTCGACGCCAAGTGGGACGCTTGCCTGGACCTCTCGCTGCGCCGATTCGTCTACTCCACGGCTGCCGGAGCATTCGGGGGTCTCCTGCTCTTCCGTTAGTTCCTCTCCCTCCTCAATCTACCTCCTGTCCGCCTTTCGAGAATCTGAGCGTCGATATCAGCGACATCATCTATAATCCATTCCCCCCTATTTTGATGTGGTTCTTCCCTTGGCAAGAACTGGAGTATTAGGGTTCTACGATCCTCTACCGATCACGAGTTTGCGTCGTCTCTCTGCCGGCCGTCCCATCCGATTGCGAGGGCGTGCAAGTGTAAGCTTAGTACTCCGTGTGCTATGCTGGAGCGCTATCCTGTCGGAGCAATGTTGTGGAGCTTCATATTAATTTTTTTGTGGACAATCTTGCCTGCTATGCGCTCATATCGGGAACGAGTGCTGCAACTAGGTATCTGGTTCTGGCTCTCCTGGGATATTGATAGAAAAATGAGATCGATGAAGAGGGATGGTGGGACTTTTTACGATGACTTGGCGAAGGTTCTGTGGAAGAATGTGTGCTCATAAAGCGATTTCCCAATCTGAGGATATCATTTCCGTAAAAAGTGCTGGATGGTGCAGTTGGCTTTGCTTTCTGCTGGGAAGGCTCTGTAGTGTTGAAGTGAGCTCCTTGGCATCTATTTTCCTTCAAATTTTTGGGGAATATTATGGTCAGCATGGGTTTATATCATCACTTAGCTGTGATGAAGAATTATAGGTTCTTGGCTGTGATGAACTAAGAGTGAGCGATTCAACTTGGCTGTGATGAAGAATTATATGGCTTAGGTAGACTCAGGAATGTGAGCTTGATGTAGATATTTTTAATGTAGCGTAAAAGTGAGAATCATAGGTTCTTTTTTACCCATGAAAAGAAAGTTTGGTGTATTAAATGAATAATGGTGTATGCATCTGAACTCTAATAAAGTTTCATCACTGTTGGGATTTTGTTCAATTACCCTAGTGGACTTAGGACGGGCTTGGATACCAGTACTCCACACTCGGGTATGGCTTGGAAAAATAGCTGTCCTTGGTTTCTCCATCTTGTTATACTATTTTGAGTTTGAAGTGGGGCGAGCTTGTTAATTTGGGAGTAAACGTTAAATAAGTTTGATAATGCATGGGGATCTCTAACTTAAATGAGCTAGAATGACCAGAAGTAGGAACAGGTCTATTTTCCTTGCGAGACTTGGATTGTTCTGGTCTGTGCAATCTATCGTAGGATAGATAACTTAGCGAACCTAGGTTATCAGTCATCACTGAAGAGGACAACTTCCCCTGTTAGTTCAATCATGAGGAATCTATGATATATGTATCAAAACGTCTAACTTTGTGACGTTTATCCTGTTAAGATAGGAATTTTTAGAAGTGTTATCCAACACCACCTTAGAGTGTATCCGTATCACCTTATTCTTGCAAATATGTTCTCATTTTTTTATTCTTGGAGTTATTTGAGTTTTTAGATTTTTTATAAAAAATACTCTGACACCATTTTTTTTCTACTGATTTTTTTCAAGTTCTGCATTTATTTTTTTAAATTGTAAGGGTCTAAAAGTTTCAGTTGATGGAATAGCAAGGAGTTCATGGAAGCCATTATTCACTGTTTTACTATCACTTCCCTTCACTTTATTGACCATTTTTCTTCATTGGAATCGACGAATGAATTAGGAGGACAATACATTCTCAATGATGCATCAATCTTCACTACGTTAGCAAAGGAGAATGACAGTCACAGAACAGATTACGTACAATGGTTTATAAAATGGGAGGAAAAGCGCCGTCTTATCTTCCATCTTTCTTTCCCACTATATTAGAAGCTTGACTTGTTTGACTTGTTCTCTGTTTCTCTCTCCCCAAGCTTGCTATTTTTAAACACCTAAGCAGGTCGAGCATGTCCATGAATGTCACCGAGGAGACTCATGCCGATTTCTCAGGACTATATTGGTATCAGAAGCCCAATCTCCAGCGCTAAATCTGCCCCCCTTTTTTTCTTGATTCATTTGGAATGAGGAAGCCCATGTTGCCGGTACTCACGTTTGAGCGTTTAATTTGTCAAGTCCAAGTTGGGCATGCCCATGATCAACGAGAACTCAATAAGAGACGCCTCGTGTGATTATTCAACAGATATTAACCACTGAAACTGGCACTCCGACTAGGTCTACCTGGAATTCCTGATCCTTTCAGGTTCCTTTCAAATGCCGACTACCTGGTTTTACACCATATTTTAATTAAATAAATCCTTTCCTAGTGAGTTTATTATTGTGTTTCATAAAACGAATTTAGTCCGATAACCCTGCCATATCACGGTATCTAGCAGCTCTCTATACATCTATCTATTTATTCATCTATCTACACACACACATTCATGTTAGTGTGTTCAGCTGAGGCTCATTTTTTAGCTTAATTGAATCAGTTTCTTGTACCAACCTTAATTTTGCTAACATTTGATTACGCAATTGATCGTCGTAGATTGATCCTTTTCTGTGTATTTATAATCTCTGCACCCAGGTTCACCGGTGACAAGATGGGCCGCCGTAGCTTTCGGTGCTGGGATCGGTTTAGGATCGGCCTACACCGAGTGCTCTTACATATTTGAAGGGTCAGCTGGAAAGGAATCACCTTCAAGCCCACCCGTCCCCCCTGCTTCGTTTCATGTAAGTTCCTCGCTTCCCGCACCCCTTTCTAATGGCTGCATCGTTATGTATACATATAACTATGTGCATCTAGATATATCATATGTGTGCCTCTATGTATTTATCCAAAGTTCTTGAGGCTCATGGAAAATGAGAAAGATCATGGAAGGTAGAGAGGCCTGCATTTGGGGCTTAAAGAGAGAATAGAGAGAGAAAGAGGGCAGTCCGTGATCAGCAAGTCTTAGAAAGGGAAGAAGGATAAAATTTGACAGATAACCCGTTTTTCAAGTGCTTTCTAATGAAGGATAATAATTGCCGCGGGATCAAAAGGTGCTCTGTTGGTTCCCATTTTTTTCCATTTTTCGCCAGCTGAATCCACCCTCGGTCTTCCTTTCTTCGCAGGAGGGAGAGAAACCGAGCGATGAATAGACGACCTCAAGGAGACTCAATGTGGTGAAGACATCTTCCTTTTTCTTTTCTTTTTTTTAATCAATCTGCGCTTTGACAGAGTCACCCATGTCTATTCACATCGTGCTCTAAGAACTTTGCATGCTTTTTTCTTTCGAAAGCAAAGCCCAATAACGAGCCTGTCCGTCTCCCCTACTTCGCATGTTCAGAGTGAACCCTGGCTAAATCCCTCGCCTAGATTAGCCCAGCCAATTGGTTGGAAAACGAGGAAAGGGGAGAGTTCCTCTCATTGGCTGACCCGTAGAATCTTTTTACATTTATCCATCGCATGCCCAATATTATTAATCATTACCAATTAATTATACATCTTCTCCACCCTCATCATACACGAGGCTCTACATCCCTCCCCACTGGGGGTTGGGGGAGACCGGGCGGGGGAGGTCCGGCACCTGTACACTGTAATGGAGTATGTATACACATATATGTATATATGTACAGGCCGGCACCTTTTTTCAGGCCGGCGCCTTCGTGTCCGCCAGCCGGTCGAGCAGCGTCGTGCCGCCCACGTGCCGCAGTGCCACGGCGGCTCGCAGCTTCTTCAGGCCAGAGGAACGTACCAGGGGCGGTGCACCTGGCAAGAAACGGCGGCCATCATCCCGAGTGACCCCGCCGTGTCCGCCAGCCGGTCGAGCAGCGCCGTGCCGCCCACGCGCTGCAGTGACGCGGCGGCTGCGCGGCGGCCGCGCGCGCCGCAGCCGCCGAGGACGAGCCCCCGCGCGGCGAGGTACACGGTGCCGGACACCTTGCCGAAGACGGGGTCCCCGGCCTGGAGGCTTCTGTAGAGCACCCGCGCCATAACCTCCTCCCTCTCCCCCCGGCCGTCGCGCTCCGGCGGCGCCGCTGCCGCTGCCAGCGCCGCGGCGACTATCTCCGGCACGCCCACATGCGGGTCCCGCTCCACCAGCTCGGACAGCCTCCCGGCAGCGAGGGAGACGGCGGCCTCTACGTCGGCCGGCGGCGGCGGCGCCGCGCTCTGACTGACGAGGGTCTGCCGGAGGACCAGCAGGCTGCACCCAATCCATCCCCCACAAGAGGTTGGGTAAATGATATTAAACTCATTGAGGAGATTTCAGGGCGAATGGAAGATGGAGGAAACGGAAGGAATAGAGAGAATAAAGGGGCCCACCTAGTGCAGACGACTATGATGTTCTGGAGCTGGGATTGGGCGTTCCTGAGCCGCTGCCAGTTGAGTTGGAGCGTTTCCGGCGTACCTTCTCGGGTCAGGCCCTCTATCCTGCCGGCGAGCTTTAGCAGGCCGAGTCTCACCTGCACGTCGATCTTCTCTCCCTTGCACTCCGTCGGCGCATCTCCTGCTTCATCAGCGAATAGAGTATAAATAACTGGAATCAAGTGAAGTAAACCCAAAGCGGCATCTGAATCTGTCATGGTACCTGAATCAGAGGAAGAAGAAGCAGGTCGAGACCCACCGGGAAATCTCCCACCGCTTCGGATGGCAGTCGCAGGGGGAAGAACCTGAGACGAGGGGTTTGTAAAAAGATGATATCAGCATCCATGGTTCATTCTCAGTTGCCTGGAGAGAAATATTTTGGGCAGAAGGGGGGTTCTCACTTGGCCTGTGGAGAGGGTAGACATCAAATCGGTGTGTTCCTCCCACTCTCGCATGCATTCCTGGGAAGAAGACGACATCCATTGAGCCGTCAGAGGTAGGGCCGCAGCCGCGTCTGATGGTGGCCCGTAGCGCTTGGTGAACGCCTTCTGCAAGTATTCTATCCCGGCGGGGCCTCTTATAATAGGTCCCATCATCTGTATCCGGGCCCTGCTGATCTCCTCTTTAAGCGCCTGCGGATCGTAATTTTTTCATCAATTCTTCATCGAGAGAGAGAGAGAGAGAGAGAGTCAGGATATAAATAGGGTACCTGGATCTGTTCGAGGACAAAGCAAAGACCCCTGACGACCGTGGTCACGAAGGAGCCATTCCGTTTGTCAGTGGATTGAGAAGCAAGAACGGCCAACTCAGCCCAGAATTTCTCGTACTTCTTCTTCATGCCCTCCTCATTTGCCGGCGCAGAGAGCTTAAGCAGCAACCCCAATGAATAGTTCAGGATCTCGCGAAGATAGCTGATATCATTTACCCTTGAATCGAGCATCTACAAAAATTAAAGCAAGTAGCCAGCGGAGATATTAGGTTTACGAGTACCAGAGGACTACAGTCGAGAGATATATAGTGTGGCGGTTTCATGTGGAAACTCACCTGTGAGAGGATGTCGAGATCAATACGACCGTGAATTTCGTCCTTCCAACTCTTAGGACTCATCCCACAGAGCTCTTCTCTGACTTCCTTCACGAGACTAATTAGGGTTTCATAGTCAGGCTCCTCTTTCGTTAAAGATTCCGTTACCCCATCCCAGAATGCCTTCTCCATCGTCTCTTTAATCTTTTCCTGGTAAATAAATGAAAAAAGTAAATAATTTGACCACGGAGGTATACATGCCCACGTTCCTCCGTTTCGATGTGGGTCGTTGTACTCAGAAACTACCGAGAATGTGAAGAAAAATCTACAAGTCAAAGGATACCGACCTTGATCTTTCCCTCCTCTTTACCATTGACATTCAAGTCAACCAGAGATGAACGGTAGCTCTGGTGGAGCATCTCGTTAACGAGAACTTCATTCTCTTCGAACTGCTTCACTGCCGGAATTGTTTGCGCATTCATACTTGGGCTGATTTCTGGCGAGGAAGAGATCCCATCATTAAACAATGAACGAACAACGTTGCTCGACTTGGTGCTGTGGTCAACGCGATATTGCTTCTCCACAGAAGCTAGGAAGACGGTCGACGAGTCAGAAGATTCATGGACGGGCGTCACTGATGGTGAAGAGATGCGTGAAATTGATGTGGATGGACTTCCATTCTCCTTGGTTTGGAAGTATTTATGACGAGTTTTAGATATCTCAGATTCCATCCGCTCAATCCCATCACTTCCACTCAGGTGTTGGACTTTCTCTCGCAGAAGTCGCTGGTCCTCAGTGACCTAGCATTGACCAAAAAACAAAATAGTCTTACCACATAACCATGAATCTCATAAAAATTTCCTTAAATCATTCACATAGTAAAAAAAGCAATCTGGAGAACTGCAATTGGAAAAAAATAAATTGTTGCGGCGACAATGAACCGAAGTAATATGCTCCACCCATCTCATAATTCAGCTAGCTAAGTTATAATGAATGTTAAATGCATCCAGAGGAGAGGAACAAGGCATAGATGCAGACAAGTATTCGCTCTAATGTATACAACACTGTGGTCACCCTACACATAATTCTTGAGCGTATTCAACTCTATTTAGTGCTTTTTTCAAAATAATTAAAATATGGAATTTACGTACCTGTTTCTGAATAGCTCTCATATCGTGATTGAGATCAGGTTTTTCTCCCTCACGGGTTAGTTTACACTTTTGCATCATAGAGAGCTCTAGCTGGCAAGCTGCCCTGACGAGGTCCTCCTCCAGCAGTCTTGCATCCTTAACTTTCCAGACAACAAAGCTGTACAAGTAAGAACGCCATGCTGCATCAAAAGCTGCCAGCTGAGATCTAATAGTCCTTCGCTTGAGCAAATTCGGAGATGAAACCTCAACGGACTTGACATCCAATGAAGATGGCCTTGATGCAGCTTCGGTTTGGGGACCGTTTAAGACAACACTGATCAACAATTCAAATTCCCGTAAAAAGCTTGCAGCTGATTCGGCAAGCTCACTTTCTTGTGCACCACGCCCACTAAAAACTTCATCTGGATGACCCGAAATCATATAAGCGCAGAGAACCACTCTCACCGCGTACCTTGATACTTTACGTGGTTCATGCTTCACTGATTCATTACCGGGCCCTTTTTTTGTTTGTACCCTGGAACGAGTTGCTTTATTAAGTGATAACCTTCTGCTCGGAGATGCCACCCTTTTGAGCAGATGATCAATGTTTTCTGGAACAGATGAACTTGAGGACAGTGTAAGTACAAGACGGCTCTCAAACCGGTCGAGCAATGCTTTTACTGTCCCAAGAGCTGCAGGTGATCCAATGAGACCAGCAAGTTGCTCAAATGGCATAAGCCTGACAAGCTCCTTGTTAATTCCTAAAGATTCATATGCTTTAGTAAGGGAAACTGTTGTTTTTCTGGATCTTACGAACTGCCTCCAACAGCTGAAATTGAAAAACCGAAATGTCAGGACTCTCTTCAGAAAATGAAGTGTTTTTTGGCGAAAAAAGAATCTAACCGCGCCAGTTTTCTCGAAAGAAAATCGCCATGTTTGCGCATCTTGTTGGATGCATTACTCATAAAACAATGGGGGTTTCCCCTCTTCTTCAGGTATTCTGCTCTTTGTCTCTTTGCCTGTTTCATTTAACACCTTGATAAGAAACATGATGAGAGGGCTATTTATGTCACCCAATTGGGAAAGTAATTGTGTACATACAAAGTTATTGCAATAAATGTTTGATTCATTGAAATTTTTTTCTTAAATTAAATGCTGGTTACATCGTCAGCAGATGCCCAAGAAGCGAATATGCAACGATATAGTTATACGAAAATAATTGCCATCTGTACGCAGGTCTTTGGAAATTATAGAGCTCAAACAAACTAGATGCAAGTACAAAAAAAGGACAACTTTTTTTTTTACCCTTTGAAGTCGAGCTTCTAACTGTTCTTTCATTTTCCTTCTCTCGGTCTCTCTCTGGTGGTATACAGATTTGGCCACTCGGTGTGCTCTCATAACTTTTGCATGTGCTCGTGTCTTCTCTGCTTCTAGAAAACCCAACCGATTCCTCTCTGCAGCAACCCTCTTTTGATAGATTGCCTTTTGAACGCATTCTCTATACTTGTTTTCTCGATGAATTCTCGTTATCAATGATTGAGTTTTCCTCTCCTGAACAGCAGCTCTTCGCTGCAAATGTGCCTGTAAAAGAAGCATCCGGTTCGCCTCAGCCTGTTGGATTCTAGTATTCACTTTTGTGCCCAACTCTTCGCGTTCCCTTTTAAAACGCAGCACTGCACCGGTTTTAGCAGCTTGCCGTAGCTCATCCAGCCTAGCCAACCGCGTCTGAGCTCTTTGAAGAATGCTCAACCTGTCGTTCAAAAAAACTTAAGCATTTTTGCGAAAACAAGTTTAACGGTCTCCCTGGGAGCAGAAAGTATTATTACTCAATAACTTACTGAGAGGAAATTCAATAATTTATATATATATATATATATTTAGATTATCCCCGTGAAGAATCAATGATCTTTAGATATATCGCCAAATTCCCAGTTAAAAAACATACGTGACAGTTATAAGTGCGCTTAGAAGTCACGATATACGTGACAGTTGGGAATACCTCTTCTGTTCAGCAGCATAAAGCTTTGCTTCAAGTCGTTGGCCTAGGTCTTCCTCTTGAGATGACCAAGATGGGCTCTTCACTTTAGGCCGGGCCTTGCTCGACAACCATTCGTGGAATTTCTGTTTAAGGATCATTGTATAAAAAACAATAAAAAAATTAAAACATGGTTCTTAGACCATAAAATAGACAGAAAATAAAGGCTTTGACGACCTTGGACGTGCATAACAGGCATACACACCTCTGAAGAAAAATTTCAGAAAATAATTTTTTAGCAAAGTGATTGTTCATCAGGAATTTCCCAAGAAAAAAAAAATAATAGGCAGCAACGAAGGACCATGGCAGGGAAGGAAAGAAAACATCAATACATAGTAGAAGAATGAAAGAAGAGATATTGATAACTGAAGAATAGACAGAAATTGACACAGGCTGCCTATGAGGAAAGGCCGAAGGCATCGCGGGTATTGCCACAGTCAGTATCAGTAGAAACTTAATGTGAACTAGTAAGTCTTCCCCTAACCATCGAACAGAAAATTGGGAGGAGAAAAAAAGGAAAATTAATCAATAATTTAAGCATGAGCGAACGCTACGGATACAAAGAAGACAGAGAACAGAAAAATCCGTTAAATATTAAGAAACGGAAACAGGCCGAGGTTCCCGACTGATATTTTGAGACAAAAACTCCGAATTCACGAACGATATTTAAAACATATGGACTGAAACCTTAAACAGAGGGTGAAACGGTACATAAATAAGCCTCTGATCCTACGGTAGTAACAGGCTCCCAAATTCAGCGAATGACCAAGAAAGTAGCAGATTATAATTCAAAAGAAAACCTAAAAGTCGCCGATTATCCGCGGCGCTCTACCTGTCGCCGGAGATCAGCCTCCCTGAGTTTAGCCTCAATCTCCTCCACGCTAGAGGGGGCACCGCTCCTCCCCTCCGACAGCCGCTGCATCAGCCGCCTCGGCACCTTCGACGGAGGCGACTCCCCCGGGGAAGATGCGTCCCCCGCTGGGAACTCCAGCACTACAGCCATGGGCGTCCCCGTCTCCGTCCACTCCATCTGGGAACCACGCCTCCACCCGCGCCAGAACCTCACCACTCCTCTTCAAGCACCAGATCCTCCTCCAAGAATCACCGGAGATCCCACAAGCAAGACTTGGATTTCCAGGAGAGCAAGCAAGAATCCGTGGAGCAGCAGAAGATGGAAGGACGAGGAGAAGAGGAGTACGCTTTCTTCCTTCTTCGTCTCTCCCTTCTCTCTAAAAAGCAGAGACCTTCGCCGACTCACTCCATCTTGAGTCTGCAGGAAGACGCCGTCGGCCAACGGCCCACCGAACTCCATCCACTTCCCGAAAGGCCATCTGATTTTCCCTTTTTGCCCCACATTTCCTCCTCTCTTTCTCCCCATGCCTGTCCCCGCCGTTGGATGCAGAATGAATGGCTGAGATTCGGCCAACTGTGAAGGACCGCAATCTGTGGGCCTCACTGAATCTCACTTATTGGCGGCATTGAACACACCAATGAAGTAGTTGGAAGAATTTGGCGACACGTGGCAAAGCGTGAGGCTAAAGATCTAGATTCGTGGACCTTTATTAGAGCGTGCGATAACTTTATAGCCGTCCGATCTGTCTACAATTTTACGCCGCAAAGTGCGAGTCCACGTGTGGAATCAGCCGCGGGGCTTACTCGTGGCAGGGAGATCGTAATTCTTGGGAGAAGTCGGGCTATTTTAACCAAGTCTTTTATTAACCCTGCAGTGCCTGACGTGCGTTTGATCGTCGCCGTTACGCCTACGTGGCGAGGCTTCTAGGGTCGTCTCGCCGCCTTACCGTCCGTTCGTCGTGGTCGTGCCACGTCAGACGCCCGCCCGTCCACGCGTAGAGTTGCGTCTTCTTTCGCCTGAAGAATAATAAAAAGGCGGCCGGCGGCCTCTAGAGGGGGGTACGTATTAGTTATGTGTATTGACGATGCTTTTTACAAAGTTTTCATAATTATCCGGGTTTTCATAAAAAATTGCACGTTGAAAAGGACTTTTCTGGTAAGGTGAACCCACAGCGATCCCCGCCTCGCCCTCGGCTTTCTATCCGTTTGTCGGGCCCTTTGACTTCTTGCCACGTCATCACAGCCTCTTCGCTCCCTCTCCTTTCCTCTGTCTGTATCCGACATGAATGACGTCACATATCATGTCAAAATCAACCGCGGAAATTAAATAATACAACCACCTCCTATATCCTTTTTCTCCATTTAATGAACTAGTCCATAAAAAAATATTTAATAATATTTGGAAAAAAAATAGCACAAAATTAAAAGGGTACATAAAAATATAAATAAAATGACTTAAATATGGGTAACTACAATTATTATTATTATTTAAAAATAATGAGAAATCAATCATGATTCCCGTCAGACGTGCACGTAATCTCCCGGGGGGAGCTGATGGGTTGGCCGGCTACCAAGGCCCGTTGACCCAGCACGTCAACGTGTTATTGGGAGCAGCAGTTTTGTGACCGTTGTGGTGGTTGACGTAGAAGAGCACAAGAAACCTTTTTTTTTCCTCTTTGCGCAAAAGATAATTCCTTTAAAAATTTAACAACGCTTATAAAATCATATAATTATATTGGGGTTTATTGGCCATTAGGCCGGGGGTAATACTCGGAGCGCTACGGTGTGACCGTTGTGGTGGTGGGCTGACGATGGGAAGCATGACAAAAAAAAAATTCACTTTCCCCCCTGAATAAGTCCCCTTATTTTTTTTAAACCCTAGTTATTCGGCCATTCTGTTCTCAGTGGCGTGTCGACTCTTCCCTTTCCCTTTGACCCAAGCACCACGAATAAAACGTGAGCGTCAACTGTGGGCCCCACTGCTCCCAACGGCTCCAACCGCGAAGGCAGTAAAAGCGGGGGGCCCATCAGGAGTCCACATCACCCGGCCCACTTATGCCTGACATCTCACATCATCTTCATTGTGGGCCCGCACGGGGAGTGGGCCGGATCAGGAGAAGCTCGTATTAAAAGGAAATGAGATTTCTAGGATAATAAATAATAAAATAAGGATTACATTATCAAAATCTGTATAGACTTATTTAGTCCATTTAATTTTCTGGAGGAAAATTGGTCGTCGGGCCAGACGAAGAAAATAGCAAGATGACGTAAGAGAGAGAGAGAGAGAGAGCATCCTACGATAACGGTATAATCCGATAAGGTTATCTACCCTCACAGACCCCCCGCCGCTCGCGTCGTTTTCGCGCGTGGGCTTAGATGGGCCAGTTGGGCCTTTTTATTTTTGGGCTTGGCTTTGGAGCAAGTATACACATTAATTGGGCCATAAACGACCAAACTGGACCGAATCTATTTTCGTTGCTAAAGGCCCAAATATATATAACGGGACATAAAGGTGAGCTTTTGGCAGCGTCATATGGGCCAAAGAAAGAAGGCGGAAAATATGGGGAATATTCAGCTATTCTGAACTGGGATCTCAATGAAAAGATGAAAATATGGCCCGAGAAATCTATCCCCACAAGAGGGAAAAAGCGATCCACATCGACTACTTTCTGCCATTTGAGCTATCAAGCATCCAAAGATAGAACATTTTTTCCCAGATTAAAAGATCAAATATGTTCCATCATCCCATTCTCCAACAAGGGCCACTGGCTTTCAACATCTCTCTCTCTCTCTCTCTCTCTCTCTCTCTTTCTCTCTCTCTCTAAAGAAGCACAGATAGGAATGAGAGAGAAGGAGACGAGGTGGGTTTCTTCCTCGGGGAGAGGGGGGGCTTTTATTGATCCGGGCTCGTTTTACAGGGAGATGTACATCCGAGGGATCACACAGAGGGAGCAGCATTGTCTAACAAGAACAAAGATGACGGAAAACTAGGGAGGTTGAAGCATCAAAGAGAGAGAGAAAAGAGATGTGACTAAGGAGCACAGTGGGAAGGAGCCAATCACCTTGGGATGATCCTCTACCGGTAGACTGAAAGCCCGTTGAAGATGACCTGCCCAGTGCCAGGCACCAAATGGGATGCCGGACAGAGAAGAAAGAAGAGGTAATCGGGGGCACCAAGCTTGGGAAAAGCTTGAAACTTTGAGGCGAGAAGTTGGTGGGTAGGCTTGGGCAGAGGGTTACCTCGTTTAGGGATGGAAGGGGGTTGGTGGGTCGCGGGTGGAGGGTGGGGAGGGGGCCCTCTTCCATGGCTCGACTAGGGATGTCAGATGCGGAGTGGGCCAGTCACTGGATCCCGTGTGGGGTTCCCCTCCCGGTGTTTCAATGAGAGGTTGGCAAAATGTGCGTCGAGATCTCTACTGCGGCTGCGACCGTGGGTTGCGATTGGCTGCTCTTGCAGGTGATGTTGATTCAGCTGCTGCTGTTGATGAAGTGCCCGGAGACGAGCGATCTCCCTCTCAAGCATCTCCTGCTGGACTGCAGGATAAGAGAGGCACATTCAAGATTCAATACCTTTTTAGGCAGGGGAGTTAGTCGAATAGAACAGATGGGGAGACTCCAAGAAGACTCACGGTGCTTTATATACTTCTCCTGCGCCAAGCTGTCTAATCGCTGCTTCAGAGCCGTGTTCTCCAGGTTCAGGATGATATTCTGCTGGTCTAGGAACTCCAATTCTGCGGAGACTTCACAGCCTCCAGCCTGCAGTGTGACAAACATGTTGGCGAGTTTTACGTTTTTGGCAAGGATGGGAGAGCGATGCAAGGAAAACGATCATCTGTCCCTCGAACTCCACCTATGGTACTTGCCTGTAACGCTTGGCAGTTCCTCTCCAATTCAGCTATGTACTGGAGTTTCCGAACACGGGACCGCTGGGCGAATTTCCTGCCATGGTAATGTTTGAGTTCACTGATTTGTTGGAAACTGGAGACTGCTCTAAAGATCTTGGACATAGCAAAAATGACCACAAGGAACAAGGTTCGGATCTTAAAATTCTAGGAAATTTATGCAAAAATTAACACCAACCCACTTCCTGATCCAAGAAAATTCTTCGAGGAGCTGGCAAACATTTGGGTTGTAATCATCTTTTGGGGGATTACCCCATTAAGAACCCAGTCAAAAGATGAATCAAACAATTGTAACCAATATTCGTATGGATAGATAAATAGAACTATTCCTGACAGATGCAAATAGTAATGCTTCTGAAAAATCAACAAATTTAGATGATTGAAGAGATGCAGCTCTCAGAATGGAAGACGACCAGCTGAAAACTTACTGCTTGACACGTTTTGGGTCTGCCTCGGTCTGAGAATGGTCAGAAGATGGATCTTCCTTTTTCTCTGACAAACCTTTTGGATCCTGCGTTGCAGATTCTTCCTCTTCGTTCTTTTTTGTGAGGGTACACATCAAGGAATCAGCTTCCCTGATAGCATCGTATGATGTTGGACCTTGTTGGATCACAACCATATCCTTCGTTGGTGGAAGGCTACTAGGAAGGGCCATACTATTCAGAACGGGTTCCCTTCCTCTGTTTTGTGGTCTTCCAAGGCTGTTCATTCCCGCACAGTAGGAAGGATACTGCATTGTTTTACCATGACTAAGCTCCTGTAGTCTTCCAAAACTCCTGTCTCTGAGTTCCTCGCGAGCCACATCCTCAATCTTCGAACTGATGGAGGATGCGTCCAAGTATGCAAAGGAGTCGCTTGAAGAACGGCGATGAGATCCCTTCTTCACAGGCGTCTCGGGCTCATTAAGGAGATCATCGAGCCAAGAAGGTTGCTCCTCAAAAATAAAGCTCTCAGATGAAGTACGCTGGTGGCGGTTGTGTCCTTCTCTCGGTTTGTGGGAGCCTTTAGGTCCGACATGATCCGCATAAGCTGGAGAAATGCTCGGAAAAGGACTTCTGGGAGGAAGAAATGACGGTTTTCCGGGACACAATGGGTTTCTATAATTGGCCACTCCTTTTGTATTTGCCATGGCAACCAGAGAACAGCAAGCCTGCGCTGTACAAAGTATTTTTGGATAATAAATATATTGATGAAGAAGATGAGTGTGCTCGGGCACATCTTGAATGAATTATCCAAGAGTCACGAACGTGTATGCGTAAAGATTACTTCAAGTAGTATGACGGTGATCTTGTGGAAGAAGAACATAAATGAATAAGTTAATGAAATGGGTTTAAATAATTACTATTAACGGGAGGGAACAAAGAGAAAGTGAGGTGAAAAGCAGCAAGGTTGATAATACTTCAAGATTTAGCATGATTCTTTCTTCATTTAAGTTCTTATTAATCGATGACACTCTGGATCTCCGATCCCAATTCCTATGGTTGCGGGTTCATGCGGCAGAGGAGAATCTAAGAAAATGCAGCAGGATAAATGCTTTCATGAAAGACAGAAGTAGATCGATCAAGGCTGAAGAAAAAGCCGGGCGGGGAAATCATTTAATCCCTTTGGAGGTTCATCCTTTCCTATCATATTCTGTCAAATTAATGCAATGTCGATGATGGGTAATTCCTGGTCAATTAGAATTACAAATCGTCGATAGGAAAATGCATTACACAAACTCCAACGCCGAGTAAATCGACGATCTAATGGTCGGAGAAAGTCAAATGGAAAAAATTGACGGAAGGATTCCAAAATCCGGAATGCCGATCAAAATAATCGTAGACGAGGGGAGAAAAAAAAACACGAAAGAAGGCACGGGACTCGCGCCTGACAAAACTACCGCGAAAAAGGGCCAGGAGGAGAGAAGAAAATCCTTATTCTCCACCAATCCTCCACAATAATCCGCCAGTCTAGCAGTAACTAGAGGTTGAATTTTTTTTTTCTGTGGGATGGGGCCGGACAACAGAGTGGATGCGAAGAAGAAAGCACGACGAAAACAAGTACCGGTGGGATTTCAACAAACAGAGAAGGGGAGGTGGGGGAATGCGCTCACCAGATCGAGCCTTCGAATTTCCAGAAGATCTCCTCTGATCACGGGACGGTAACCTGGACGGGATCTGCGGCTCTCAGAGGCCCGGAGATGATACCAACACGGAGAAGAAGAAGAGGAGGGAGATCTCGGGCCTACACAAGAAGGACGATGGCCTCCGAGGAAAACCTGCCCATCAAAAAACCTCGGATCGGCGATCGACCGCTGGGCTTCGGCGAAGAACGTGGAGAATTATCGGGGAGCTCGCCGGAGGGGCGCCTCTCGAAGCTGTGGAAAATGATTCCCCGGTTATATTCCGACGAGGAGGGGCCGCTACTACCACGCCCGCATCCTCTTCCTCGTCTCCTCAGTGTCTCCGCCGCTCGCTGCCGGTTCGTCTCTAACGGAACGGGACGTCGAACGGCCAGGGTGTGGGTAGGGAACGGGAAAGGGGTGGAAATAGCAGTGCCCAGCTTTGGACAACTCCCGGCACTTACCAGGTCAAAGGAGTTAATGAAGGACCCGGGATACGATCATTCGCGGTGACCTCACCTCTCGTACTACAAGTCCCTTACGGGGATGTACATCGGGTCCTACTCAGAAAGACGAGCCTAGTTTTCGCGGATGGCTCATTTTTGTCATCACCCTCGGTATCTCCGCCATTCAATAAAAAGCCTACCACGAAATGTAATTACCGAGAGGCAAAATATTCTTAAATTCATTAATAAATTATTAATATTGTCTTAATCGAAGAGAAATTATTATTTAGATAGTTCATTTTTAAAAATAATATTTAAATTAAGAAAAAAAAAGAAAAACGTCAACGATCTTCAATGATCGGGGTATGGCCAGCTGATTTTATTGGGTGGTCCGGCACAAGAACCAGAGACCTCATCTAAAGGGTCTTCTATCCACCTGGATTGACCAGAACAGATTTCTAGTTCCCATTTTCCTCAAAATTTTCAGGCAAATATTAGTAAATTTTTAATCCAAGAGAAATTATTAAGATCATTGATTTTAGGAATAATATTTTTAATTAAAAAAAATATTAGAAAAAAATCAACGATCTTTAATGATCCGGGTATGACCAGCTGATTTTATCAGGGTCCGGCACAAGACCAGAGATCTCATCCAAAGTCAACGTCTGGCAGAAACTGAAGGGTCTTCTATCCACCTGGATTGACCAGGAGCAGATTTCTAGTTCCATTTCTTTCTCAAAAATTTTAAGACAAATTTCAATAAATTTTAGAAAGAATATTTTTAATTAAGAAAGAAATATTAGAAAAAAATCAACGATCTTCAATGATCCGGGTATGGGCAGCCGATTTTATCAGGGTCCGGCACAAGACCAGAGATCTCATTAAAGTCAATGTCTGGCAGAAACTGAAGGGTCTTCTATCCACCTGGGTTGACCAGAACACGTTTCTAGTTCCATTTTTTTTCAAATCCAGAAAAAAAAAGAGACAAGCAAGACATCATGCCAGGCTTAGGACGGATCAAATCCTAAACACGCCAGAACCCAATTGGGTCATAAAAAATAGCCACTGATTAATGAAAAAAAACTATAAACTTTGAAAATAAAACACCAAAAAATTAGGTAAAATACGAGTTTTTTTTTTCCTCATCCTTTTTCATGAGAAGGATCTCCTGTTCACAATGCTCACCTTGAAAAATCAATGAGATCAAAGAACATGCCCCTGACAGAGAAACTAGAATAGTAGAGACTGGGAAGATGATCTCATGAACACCTTTGGATCATCAGCACTCCAGAACAGATGTCCTCTCTTGCTCTTCCCCTATTACGGCCTAGAATCTGCCTGCAGCTGGCATGACCACTTGATCCCACTCGGTTGCCCTTTCTGGAATCATGAAGTTTTATACGCTGCACCAGCCAGTAATAGAGGGATGGTGAAGCAATATGTGAAGGAATGAACCAGTGGGTTCATGTCGTATGCCTTCACTAAGGATCTGCAACTCTGTAAAAGAAAAATAGAATGGAAATTATTATGGCATGAGCAAAGTCTTTGGGAATCAATTTTGACTGGCGAAGAAATGCAAACTGCTACCAGAAAGAGAAAAACTATAACATAAATGATAAATGATAAATGATAAATAACGTCACACTAAAAGGACAAATGAACCCTAAAGGTGAAAAATATCTGGGCATTTTCGCATTTGGAATCAGTTTTGAATTGGATGATCTGACGTTTCGCAGGTTCAGTGTCAATTGATTTTGAGAAGAATGGTTTGATTCTTTCATATGTTTTCAGAGCCTACAGTTTTGTTTCAGCACAGTGGGTGCCATTTCTGGCCTGATGTTGACAGCCAAGGCCAACAGATTTTGGAGTTGTACGGTCCAATTCAAAGGAAGAAGAGTAGGAACACAAGGGTTACCTTCCAATGTCTCCACAGGATTGCCAGACAGAGTAACAAGAGAAATTTCCTGATTATTCGTCTTTCCCAGATATTTCTTCTTCTGTTGGTGCTGGTGCCGTCTCCGTGTTCCCCTGTCTCATCATAATCATCTAACTTTTTGCCTGATAAAGACAAGCAGTAGACATGATATGCTGACTTCTCTGCTGCTAATGTAGCCATAAGTAGGATTGACGGCAGGATGACAAAGCAGAGATGCGGCAATACAATAACCATCACATCGGGTGATCCTATATATGCTTTCTTGATGCTTTCCTTGGAGATTCTGATATCCCAGCCTCTGTGAGTCATGTACCCGAGGTGGCCAGGAGCAGTAAAGATGTGCCCGGAGAACCAAGGGAAGAAGGTCAGATGAAGCAAGTAAAGCAATGTAGCAGACCAAATAATTTTCTTTCTACAAAGTTCTACAAGGACCCATATCAATCCATCTAAGAGAAAGAGTTTAACTTTTCTCTCACTGAAGCTACAGACAATGTGGTTATATGAGTACCGATTCTTAAAACAAATGAGAAATGCTTGAGGGATGAGCAGCAGGCCGAAGAGAATGAGAAGAGTGAAAGGGAGAATCAGTTGGTAGATTGACCCCCATTGACAACCCATAAATATAAACTCCTTCCATTTCCAATCAACTTTTGCAGTGAGGCCATTAATAGAAAATGGCCTCAACTCACTAAAACTGGAAATCCCAGTCACATCAACAGCCTCTACCTGGATCCAATACCGGACTGGAGAGGGGTCAGTAAAGGCTTTCCAATTCCACTGTGCAGTGTACAGATCTCCCCTAGTCTCATTGTAATATTCCTTCTTCATCTCTGAGTCTAGTACCAGGTAGAGCTTCCCAGGGTTGGAGTCATATATTTTCAAAGAAACTGATCGGATCCTGGTGGCAGAGAAGACCAAAGCTCTGATCATTTCATAGGATGATGAGGTTCCGAGAGAGTGACAGATGTAATCACGGTAAGATGAACTTCTCTGCATGAACCTGGAGTCCACTGGAAACGTCGGCAAGATAATTGTCTTTGTAGATTCTGGGGTGAGGTCAACATCCAGATATGACACGTGGCCAGCATCAATTGCTAAAATGCGCATTTTTCTTCTCCTCCTCCAGTCACCCATCTCCCACTCCCAAAATTCTTCAGCAGGTTTATAAACCATGGAGCAATTTTGCCCATCAGCATTGCTTACTAGAGAGTCTCTGAAGATATTTAACTGATAATAGTTCCCTAGAAAATGACGATCAGAGTAATGGTGGCGCTTTAAGTTCTCACCAAACCTTGCATGGAGATGGCCGCATAGATATGCCGCTAAAGAATGCTTCAGAAAAACTTCTTTCAGACTCCTCCCAGAATCTGAAACCGAGGAAAAAGACAGAGGAAAGTGACCAAAGGCGATCTTCGTGACAGGTGATTCCGTAAAATCTGAGTCCCACTGTGAGAGCTCTGAGTCTACAGCTTTAAGGAGTTGGTCCGTGGGATGCCCAAATAGATTTGTTGGGCCACGAAGGCCGACTTCCATTGTGCTGTCAAAGCCAACAAACAGGTGTTTCCTTCCATTTTTCTGCATGCACAAGCTCAAATGATTAATGTATACAAAATTGAAGAAAATGAGACGAGAGGAGAGACAGGAGGAGCCTATTATCTGACTACGATTGAGATCCAAACTCAAGCTGTATGATGACATATAGATGTTCATTCTGCTCAAACTTAATTACTAAAAATAAATCAAGTTTAATGGAGGAATAATTGAGGGCACATCTCCTCAGTGCTATTCTATATGAAGAAGGCATGAAGATTTAAGCCATAAAAATTGAGGTCAGCGGTCATGAAGAGATGCCTTACATGTAAAGAGACACTATGAACATTTCCTCTACGTCCGAGTCTGGCATTGACACTGTATTTCTGATAGAAATCGTATTCACCCCCGAATTCTGGCACACCAAAGTTATCATGATTCCCTCTGAGATCATAGAAGATTTTCTCGTCAAGTCCACTCCTTTCTATGACATCAATCATTACTTTTTGGTACTCTAGCCATTCTACCTCGTTTTGCTTCATTGTGAGTAGGTCTTTGCTTTTCCCATCTAGTAGAAAAAGAAAGAAAGAATATAGAACGTTTCTGTTAGGAGTTTTTAATCTAGAGTCCACAGACAAAAAATGTAATATTGAAATTATCAAAAAAAAGGCTAGGATTTTCTAGAACAATGCGCAGTTAGAAGCTGCAGTGAAAGAAAAATATGAGGATATTGTAAAATCCCATTAAGAAGCTAAGAAAAGCTAAAGATTTCTACTTTCCAAGCCCAAAAAGCCAAGGGCCTCTGGTACAAGTGATGGTGCATCGTGTTGGAATGTCATCTTTACATCTCTATTGATGCCGAAGTTCTCTAGAACAAGTATCATCTCCCCAGCTGGTCATCAAGATATCACATTCAATGTCGATTAAAAGTGTGATTGAATTATTTTTTATGTTCATCATGCAATAAAATGTATTTCTATCCACATCAGAAAAAGAAAAACGGTCGACTCTGGATTTTCAGATTTCACAACGCTTTCACTTGATTCCATTCCTCCATAGTTCAAATACCTTTTTCGATATTCTCTCCCTCAACTATTAACAGACGGAATATCCCAGATCTATATATATTAACATATACACACACACACCACTTAAATAGCTGTACTTCCCATGGAGGACGTCTTGCGTTCTGTCTCCAACCGTATGATCCTAACAACTGCATAGGCATGCGCCACAAATGAACCAATCCCTTGTGCACAGATTTCCATTTAGCTGATTGCGATCCGCGGCAACATTTCCTCATTTATCATGAAAATACGTAGTTCAATTGAGGGTTTTCATTAGAAAGGAGAAGACGACTCACATATTTCTCTGATCATAAGCCCTATCCCTGAAGCATGCAAAAGGAGCACTCCATACATTGGCCCAGCTACCGCGAACTCCTTAATGTCCAACCAATTCTTTGATATTCACATTCATCAAAACGTCTAGGGTGTGGACCAACATTGATGCCTATTTGATAAGGCAACCTTAATCGAAATCTGATATGATGAGCATCACGAGGAAGATATATAACATGAAAACAGCAGAACGACAATCCAGAAATACCTGTGAGGTCGCCAGTTATCAGGACGAGGGAAGGCTTGATCGTAGCGAGAGCAGGGCCGACCAGTTGGCTGAAGTCAACGGCCCTCGCCGGGTGGAAGACGCTGAAGTGGAGATCGGAGAGCTGCACCACCCAAACGACCGAACCCGGTCCTCCCTCCACGTCAATGAAGCTCCTACTCGTCTCATACCCAGACTGGGCATCGGACGCTGCGGCGGACGATCTGAGGAGGAAGAAGATGCCGAGGATAGCCCATCCACCTCCTCGCATGGTTGTTGGTTCTTCAGACGAACAGGAGGACAAATTTGACCTAAAAATCCATCGCAGGAAGAAATTGGGGAAGGACACGCCACGCGGATCAAGGAAATCTGACCCGGGACTCCCACTCTCCGGCCTTCGGAGACGATCGCAACCCGGTTCTTGCCTGGGAGTGAGAGTCCCGGGTGAAGGAACGCGTCCGAAGGCGTCACCTTTGACGGGACGTGATTCCATCTAATTTTAGAATATGTTTCGTGGGGCTAATGGGCCGGAGGTTGAGTAGAGCCTATCGCACTGTGGAAGGGACTCCAAGGTGTCCACGTGGCAGATGACTAGGCTTCAACGTCAAACCACTCCTAAGCTGTTCTTTCTTTATCCCATGCAAGATGAAACAAAAAATAATATTCATATATATATATATATATATATATATATTTTCTAAATGATATCTATAAAAAGCCGTGATATTTTTCCCAAGCTCCAGTTAAAAATTTCAAATAGATCTATAAAAGGCAATGATCTCGTTTTTTAGAAAAATAGCCGATTCTAATATATTACCCTCGGCTTCAACCGTGACATGAATTTTAAAAATATATTATATTATACAAAAATCATCTCATGCTCCAATTAGACTCAAGTCCAACTTGTTCCTTCGAGTGGAGAGGTGTCGCAGTTGACCAAGGCCAAATTAAGTCTAGAAAAAAAACATTTTTGGAGCTAATATCTAACAAAAAAAAACGGCCCACCTCATTAAGTCAACGCCCTCTAAAAAAGAGATCAATTATTATCTTCCTCTCTTGCCTTTTAAAGATAAATAAATGTTCCTTTGGAACGTAAATCATAGCAAAGAACCCAAAATTGAGGAAAAAAATGAAATATTTGACATAAAATAAATCACATTCATATAATAATTTATGCACGAAAATTTAATACCACCGCAAATTATTACAATCACTCGAGAGGCGATCATTGCCCGAATGACTTGAAAAGTCTCGCATAGCGCTCCTGCAATGGTGACCGATTATGGGGAAAGAAAAATGTGAGAGGCTCTCCCCCAAAAAAAAAGGAGAAAAAGAAATATTATTAAATTCAATTAAATTCAAATATTTCAGTTGATCCACGTCCAAGTTCTAGAGAGGAGATGAAAAAGCAACAATTAAATAAATCCAAACATTTATTCAATTAATTATCATCCAATTTCTTCCATTCCATCGCTATTTGCCGTCATCATGGGGGTGGGTGGGGTAGTTATAGGGAGAAGGAGGGAGTATACCAGTGGCAGTATGTTCTTCTTTAAGCTCACTGGTCCTCACCTTGTTGTTGTTGTTGTTGGTGTTCTTGTTGTTGGTCGGTTCCATAGTCGGCCCAGGGGAGCAGCGAATCCAGGAAGACAAGCAATGGATTCCTTCCGGCCACATCGCGAGGAGCCCGGGCTCCCCCTGGATCACCATCCCTGTTCTCACCTGGTACCTCTGGAACCATCTGAGGGTCCAACATAAAATGCCGTATTTCTTCGGGAGGGAGAGTGGGCGCGGTGTCGGAGAAGTCAGAAACCAGCAGGTGCGAATATCTGACAAATAAAGCAAAGTATCAAGAGAATTAGAGCCATTGGGTCTGAAAAATATTGTGGGGATAAGAGCCACAGTTGCAGGTACTCACTCGTTCTTCTCAGATGGGAAGGCTTCTTTTCTCACACAGGCCCAGTCCTTGGCTTCGCCCCCGTCCCTCTTGAGGGACTCGACCACCTGCAGAGCTGCCTCCTTAAGCAGGCCCTGGAGCTCCGGAAGCCTCCACATGATGTAACTCCTCTCGACATATATACTGATGAGATGCTCCAGAGAAGGAGTCCCCGCTTGGGCCGACTTGAAGAAGGAGCTATTGAGGATCTGGGTCCAAGCCTGGTCCTTGAGAGGCACTTTGGCCACCAGCTTCTTCAGAACCAGAGGGTGGAGCATCAGCGCCTGCATCATTAGATCACTCGCTGGGGCCTTCTCCGACTCCCCTGTGGGCTCCCTGCTTGAAGCCGACTCCAAGTAGAAGCGGCAGATGGCGAGGGCGAAGGAGAAGTTGGGGAACAGCCAGATGGAGCTGTCGCTCTTGTACCTCTCGGAAAACTGCTCCAGCCATTCGAATTCTTGGGCCCGAAGAGCAAAGTAGTCGATGCAGAAGAGGGCTCCCATGGGGTCGTCAGAATCCAGAGATAAGAGAAGCTTGCAGACCTCCAGAGCCGACCGATGGCAGCCGCGCCTGCCCATACTGCTCATGTGCTGGAAGAGAGCTTGGAACAACGGCCTGTTCGTCTCGTGGGAGTACTTTACTTGGCAATTTCCCTGCAAGGGGTTGAACAGAGGGTGCCACGCGCATTCTAATGCGAACAGGCACTTGCCGATGGCGTCGGCAGCGGACTGGTGCTCCCCGGAAAACTTGAACACCTCTGCAAAGATCAGGAGGGCCTCGACGTGGTAGGGGTAGCGTGCTAGTATGCTTGCAATGGCGTTAAGATCGTGTGTGGATCTTGCCATCTCGAGCACCTCTTGAGCGTGCATATAGGAAGGCGTATGCACGTATCTGTTGATCAAATTAAATACGGGGTTATGCCAAAGAAGCTATATTCATGTAGAACGGGTAATAAGACACATGCAGATGAAAATTTGAAGCATGTGTGACACCAAGGGGCATTGATAGAATCACGGCATCATACGGAAATCACCAATTGGCCATGGGGGGAATAGACTTGAGCAGGAACATAAAATCATCAAAGTAAACCGTGTCTCAGCAGCGGACGAGGCCCTTGATAATAGGTTCCTCTTTACCACCTTGAGGGGTCATTGGATTTTGATTTAGCAGCTCGGTAGGAGATAATATAGTTCAAATATATCAGACAGGAAAATCGCGCTGCTCCATTGTTTCTTTGGCTAATCTGAAGCCTACTATTGGAGAATAGGAAATGCTTTGGGGGTACTACGAGGCATGTGTATATGTGCATATACACATATGCTTTGGGGGCATATGTGTATATGCTTTGGCCGAGTATGTTTTCAAGTACTGCCGAGTCAGGCTCTGAATCCAGCCTTGCAATCGTATTCTCAGTAGCTTGGGCGATATTTTGAATGAGGTAGGGGGGCTGCTCTGTGGGATTTATTGGCTTCTTCTGCTGTGTCTTACGTACTCAACTACAACTCTTCTGTTCCTTGCTGACCTCCCGTCCATCTTTAAGACTTCCTTTTCTTCTGCATACAACGTCCGGTACCAGGAGTAGCTTGGTTCTATATGCCATCCAATCTATATATGAGGTGATATATTCTCCCTGAAAATAAGGATGTGGGGGAGATATGCAATTGTGGCCTACGGGCTTTTAATTTCATTAAAAAAGAAAAGAAAATGAAGGACTTGGAGCCTGATAGAAAAAAGAACGTGCGAAAATATAGGATGGAGTAATTGTGCATATATCTTGATTAATATTTTCACCACAGGAAGAGATAACTGCTAGATGAGTGTGACAACGCAAGCAAAGTTGGTTAAGTATCATAGTCAAGCATTCTCAGTAGTTTTCATCTTTTTCTGTTATTATTATCGTGAATTATATGAGTCTTATCTGCTCATATGCATCCTGGTTATTGTTATCAGAACCGAAATGAGCACTATAAATAAGTTGGGATACCAAAAAATATTCCATAATTGGTCTACACTACTTTCATCTAAAAATTAACCTCCTTGTTTAAATTGTCCCCATGACTGTCTCTTGGCCTTTTCCGTATAAAAACAAGCTAAGGCATTGATAGAGAGCTGCTTTAGTTTAGTGTAGAGAAAGAGCAATGGATCATCACTATCCATTGCTGAAGTCTCAACCATGTTGAATGAGAACTCCTGATTAAATCAACTAATACTGAATCAGAAATGATTTTTCACGAAATAAATAAAATAGCTTCTTTTATAATTAATGGAAAAGAGAAAGTCGTAATCAATGAATTAGCATGCAAATTAGCTGCAAAAAGAGACCGAATCAAATGTTATAAGTGGAAACTATCAGTAGAACTACGTAGACATTCAAAATTGCGATGGCATCCTTAAATTGGGCAGCTGAATAAACTAAAAATGCACTAAAAATTCAATAAATCGAAAGTATCCCAGCACACCAATTTCACAGCAGGAAATAAAAACCGAGTCACAGTGAATAAGAGGGAAATATTCCTTACCTAAAATATTGTATCCCATTTTTACTTTCTAGAATTTCCATGGACAAGGATCCATCCCAACGAGGCCAAAACCCTGGGGGAGAAACAAGAACCGTCTTCCTTGCGTTGTGTGCCGTACGTCTCCCACCGTGTAAACCCCTAGAGCTGGTGACATTCTGATGATTTTCAAACGAGCTGACAACTTTGGAGCCAAAAATTTTTCGCAGCTCATTCTCGGCCTTCAGATATTTTGGATCCACAGTCAAGATATATGATGTGCTTTGTTTCTTCTCCTCCACTCGAATTTCATTCGCTGTTCTACTGTTTCTGACATCTTGTTTATCAACAGGTTTTGCATCGATAGAAAGTTCCTCTATGATTGAAACTATTGACTGCTCCGCTGTAAGCTTCTGATCACCTTTCTCCTTGCTCTTCTTTTTCTTTTTCTTTATTTTGCGTTTTGTCATCGGAGCATCATAAGAAGAGCTGGTGCTGACGATATTTTGCCTAACATTGTCACTTGTTGCAACCTCATCATCACCATCTGGCTCATCCTCCTGGAATATAAGAGTATGCACTCAATGCTAACCATATACGATCAAGCAAGTAGCACATGATGCAAAAAAACAAAAAAAAATGCAAAAAAAAAAAAGCACCACTGTTTCAAATATCACCAATCTACTGTCTCCTCTTCGATCCACCCACCTGCCGATTCCAATGAATCAAGAAACATAGTGACTTTGAGCTACCAATCCCAGCCCAGAGATAACAAAAATTTTATTGCATACGTAAGGAGCCTCGCTCTTCTCCTTCTTATTCTTCTTCTTCCTATGCTAATGATGGCTTTCATGAAATAATCTCGACATTACGGGGAAGACTACGAAAGGTGGAGCCATAAAACGTGACCAAGGAAATGGAGGAACACCATTTTCATGCCACAGGGCCTCCTACACAGTTTTCTTCTACGTACACTCCCCAGGAGAGGGACGAATGGCAGAGGCAGAAGAAAATCATGAATCAGCTTAAATTTCTGAAGTATGATTGAGGGGTCTGGGCAAAATCATGATGGTTCATCTATGAATTATGATTCAAAACTGGAAATCATCCAAACTGAATCTAGGAGATCAGTTGACCAATGTTAGGTAAGAGTCAAAAGTCCAACTGCAGGCTAAGCCATTCAAAGAGAAACTGTCGAGATAAAAACTCAACTATTGTGAAATCACCCTATTGACTGCCTGTTCTGGTTTTCCAGCCAAAGAGAGGTCTTCTCTCCCTACAATGGATGAAAGAGGGAAATCTCTTCGCGACATTGATTTCATGCTCTCCACATCGCAGGAATTTCTCCACTATAAAAACACAGCTACAGCGCCTGAAGCCTCTTTCAGACAAATCCCAAGTTCTTCTTCCAATTCTGAACCAGATATGGGTTCCCTTTCAGGTCTAAATAATCTATAAGACCACGAAATAAAACTACCATCATCCTTTCCCGGTCCCTTGGCGATACCGCAAAATATGTCCATAGCTAAAGCAATCTTCTCCGGTCGTAAAGGAAAGGTTCGCTGAAGAAAACCAGACAAATCATGTTTCCAAACAGAGCGAAGCAGAGGAAAACGCAGCCAGCGTACCTGGTCGTCAAGCAGATCGAAAGGGTTTCGGAAGGGAGCAGCTGAGACAGGAGATTCGGGAGAATCTTCGGCGTCAATCTCCGGGTCGACATCCTTGGGCTTCAGCTCCTGCTCCCTCAAGACTTTCCTCAGCAGCCGGCCTGACATGGTCGGCTCTCGTCTGGGTTCACCGCTCCCTCGATTTCTAGTCCAAGAGAAGACTCCACTGCGATTAGGGTTCTTTCGTTTCCTCAAATCCGATCATCCAGAGAAGCTAAAATCGGTGGGTTTCAGCCTTTCATAGGGATACAATTTCCGGTGCTTATGCCCTCCGCATTATGCCGCCTCCAGCACGACGCAATCCCAGGCAGGTATGTTGGGAACGTAAATGCCCGTCATGGCTTCGGGAAATCGATATCCAGTCTCTTAATCAAATGGGTTGGGCCCTCATTTCAGGCTTAAAATGGGCTGGACCCTAATTTTTCTACTACTCGGCTCATAAAAAGCCCAGGAGAGAGAGAGCCCATGAGGTGCTGCCTCTTTGGGGAGGATAATTCTCCATTTCGTTCACCTACTTGGTCACAACTGCTGTGACAAACAGATTGTTTCCTTTTTCAGTAGGTTTTGATGAAACCAGGAAGGTTTTTTCTCCATTTTTTGTGCCCGTGGAATGCCCCAGTCTAGGTTTCAGCGGATGCTTCTCTTCTAGAGTCTCCACGAGGGGTTCCTCTCTTCTAGGAACGAACTTGAAGCTTAAAGGCGGGATTTGATGAAGTTGGGAAGTCAAATGAAGAATGATTGCCTGGGAAAAAAGATCCGGGGCTGAACCTGATCTCTGGTCAGTTGCTCTAAACCAGTGTCATCTCCGAGCCGTCCTGTTCAGAAATCCTCCCACCGCAGAACCATGGCGGCGGCCGCCTCCCTGCATATCCTGAGGATTGTGCTGAGCTGCAGACAGATAGCGGCGGAGGTGACGGCTCCTGCTTCGGTGGCAATAGTGGCCATGGCGTCCTCGTCGGAGCAGGAGTTCGTGGCAGAGCAGCGGACGAGGCTGAACCGCTTCCCCCGGTGCCGCACCTTCTGGGACGCCAGGGTGGCCTCTCGCGTAGGGGATAAGTTGGCTCTCCGTCTCCACGAGGCTGGCGTCCCCAGCCTCCAGCTCCACATAGGCGAAGGCCTCTCCTGGCCGGTTCACCATCGCCGCCCCGCTGCCTCCCTCTTCGATTCGTTGGAGCGAGCGGGGATTCTCGTCTACGGTGCCGAGCCGCTGATGGAGGACGCTAGGACTGGGGCCTCCTCCATTATTTGCTCCTACGATTGATGGTCATTTCTACTGCTGGTCATGGTCTTCCTTCCAATCCTCCCTCAAGGCCATTGAATTCATTCAAACCGATCAGCGCCTCTATTGGAATTCCACCATCCAGGTAAATTTGGAAATCTTCGGCGTCAAAATCCCGCAGATGTTGACACTGTGAGGACCCCTGATATAAGGCGTGCTTTCTTAGGGTGGAAGTTGATCGATGAACGCCCCTGACTCCCCTCTCAAGTGATGATCTACGGTTTCTGTTTGTAGTATTTGAGACTTGACGTCTTGAATATGCGGTTGTTCTTTGTGCAAGAACTGGTCGCGGTGACGTTGAAGGGGGGGTTGCTGCTCTCCATGCGTATTCAAGATTTGCTCTTTTCCGATTTGGCAGTTGGAACAAGTTTGATGAATGACATCTTGTCGGGTTTCTACTGTTCGATGAACCTTCACCGTTGGGGATGCCCGAGAAGTTCCATTTGAGCTCAAGACTCCAATAGGATTTCCGATCAAATGGCCAGAAGATGGGCTCTTCGCTTTCTGAATCCTTCAAGAGGGTTCTTATTTCTAGGATATAATTGGCGTATCCTATCAGGGTTCGGATATCCAGGAAATTGTCGGCAGTCTGGTTCCCACTCAAAATGGAAGATCTAGTGTGCAGATTTTGCCGTTTATGAGTCGTTGGGAGGTCCAAATCTTGATCAAGGGCAGTGAATGTTCCCCTGCACCACTTGGATTCCTCCCCCATTGAAGGATCTGTTGGCCCATTTTCACCGTAGATTGCATGCCACAGAAGCCAATTCTTTAGGATGTCTCCTAGACGATTCTGCATTCTCTCAGGTGCAGGCTGATGATGAAGCACCATATCACAAAGAGCAATTTCCAAAGAATCCAATGATAGAAGTTCATCTGAACTTGGAAAGGAGTCTGTCATGTTGCTCGAGGATAACCACATGCAGTCGTTTTCATTAGTCAAGCCCTCACTAAATTGAATTTGCATCTCCCAATCAATATCTTTGATTCCTAGATTTGCTACATCTTTGTTATTTTTTAAACCTTCCTCATGGTCTGATTGATTTCCAGAGAATGCCATGCTGAGCAAGATTTTCTCATTCACTTTTCTATCACTTCCAAGAGATCTGCATGTTGAGTTGCATAAACGAAATAAGATATAGTGGAGGAAGCTAAACTAGTCTATGAAAAAAGGCAGCAATTTATTGGCTTCCTCAAGATAATTAGTGATAGCAAGTGTTTTTCTTGACAAATATTTATGGTCCAAACTATAAGCATTCCGCAGAAACAGAAAAAAATGACTTTGCATGTTGATCACATAATTTCTTCAAGCTATTATTGGAGCGTGCATATTGACGAAAGCTGGATGATCTCAGAAATAGGAAGAATGTAAATTCTAGAAAAGCGATCAACCATTGGGAAACAAATGCAAAGGCGCATGGGACGAAAAACTACAGAACCGTGTATTGAAATCGTCAAGAATAAGTTGTCGGTTGTTCCACCTGTCTCCCTTACTTGATGTATGTCAAATTATCTGCATCTCTTCTGCTATCCAATTAATTGCAGTATCAGATGATTTTTTTCAAGTGTGAGTGATGACTTGAGTTTTTTTTAAAAACCAAGTCCGAAGCACACTTCAATTTTAAACTACCTGCCGATAACATAGCATTTGCTGGAGAATGGGTAAATCAGCTCATGATCTTCTGATACAGGTAATAGGTGACCTTCGGTTGTAGTCCTTTTATAACTAAGTAGTAATTTTGACCGCTAAACGGTGAAAGGGGGTGCGTCTGCATTCCGGAGTATTTCATTAACATTCGGGACCAAGTCTAGCATCGAATCTCTATTTCGTTATAATCGAGAATCTCCTCAGGAGTATAGCCGTCGACCGGAGAAGAAATGGCATACTTGTATTCGGAGAAGCGGAGTGATTTCAGCCCCAACGAACGGATTGGTAACGCTGCGACGACGAAATGAATCTCCGCACATCGCCGTCGGGATTATTTTATTCGCAACCATAACCAAACAGAGCTGCCTCGCCAATAAGAACAATCTCAGCATCCAGAACTAATGCAGATATCAAGTATCCTCACGGACGCAGGGACAACAAACGTAAAACGAAAGGAATGGTAACGTTCAAGGCTTCAGAATCTATAGATCTAAGCGAACTGTAATAGCAGATGAACATTCAAGGATTTCAAAACGACTGCGGAAGCGAGGAAGAGAGGAAGCTCGAGAGAGAAAAGAGTTCGAGGGACCTTAAGAGAAGTAGGTAGATGATCAAATGATCTCGCCGGCCATGGATCAGTAGAGCATAGGGGCACCTCCGTCTATGCTCAATTCCGCCTGGTTCCTCGGAGGGAAAGGGAGGATCGTGTGTACTGCTGCATTTATAGCAGATGGGGCTGAAATAGAATTAGCAACTGCCAGACAGCAAAGAAGGGAAATTTTATATTTTCCCGCCTTCGCCACAACCTCCTGATCTTGATCGAACGATCCAAAAGATAAGCTCAAGAGCCCCGCGCGAGCGTATCAAACGCCATTACGCAGAATGCCCCTCCATCAATAGTTTCATCTAACAATGTCACCTAAAGATATGTTTTTATTCATATACCCCTGAAAATACTTATCAAGCAAGTACACCTAAAAAATCATTATATCTGCTTAAACATGCCAAATGCAATGTAGAACTTCTCATTGAATGAAATATAAGGTCAGCAGTTAACGAATAAATTGCAGTTAGGTCCTTAATTAGCTTATAAAATAAAAAAGTCATAAATATGAATATTATAGGGTATAATAGCAAATGAAAACCCACGCGCAATCCAACTCCGAGCGAGCCATCCGACTTGGTCGGACGAGTGGGATCGGAGCTGTAAGAAGGCCAGCAGGCCGTTCGTACACGCACAGTGGGTGTAGTTACCGAGCTGGAGACACCGCGCAGACACTGGTCAAGTACGGATCAGGCGTCAAGAAAGGGAGTTCACTTATTTTTAGAAAGGAAGTACGCAAGTCATTGAGCTGACTTATTTATTAAAAAGTCCATTTTTAGTAATAGAATGCCCAAGCTATACAACTGCTCAAACTGAGGTGAGACAATGGAACCTTGCTGGGTAATGAGCTTGCTCCTAAACAGTTTTAGGAACAGAACCTGTACTCGATCTGTCAGATTAAGAAATTTTATAAACAAAGTCAACTTCCCATTTATATACTTTCTTTAAGAAACATTGGAAAATTTATATACTCGATCTGTGAGCTGTTTCTCAGCCAACTGGGTCAAATAATTCCGAAAACATTGGAAATTTAATCTACTTGCAGGTATGCATTCATGGGCCATTAAAGCTGCACTGAAAAAAAGTCAAACTCCCATGAAACAGAGACAATGCAGGGACATAGGTACTGGGAAAATCATGGGTACTGGTGCGACCAACTTTCTCTAAGTGAGAACAGATACTATAAATACTATTTACAACATAATTCTTTCGACCACAGAGCCAGAGCGAGAGAGGAGGAAAGGAGCAGGGAAGCCACTGGTTATTGGCAGATATTGCCGGCCTTCACATTGACGAAAGTGCAGCGGCCACAGAATCAGTGGCTTCCAGCGTCGAGGCTGCTGCAGCTTGGGCCACCGGATCTGAAGGAAGCCGACCTCTCCGCCTTGCTCTCCTCACCTCTCTAGGCTCTGCTGATGGTGCTGCCGGATGGGTGGAAGAACCCACATCGTTCAGCCCCGTTTCGAGGGCCCTGATGAGGTTCTCAAAGAAGTTCCGGGCCACGCTGTTCATCAACAAACAGCAGAGAACCACACCAGATTATCATTGTACTTCAAAGATCATTAACCAGTGGACAGAAACTTGTCGGAAAACTCCGTTTTTCTTTTATAATCTTTTTTATTGGGTCATTCCCCGCTGACCAACTCATGTTAAAAGTAAAAGAATAATCGAAAGAAAGTCAAATTATCTCCACAATCATCGCGTTTTGCCAGGATATCAAACCGAAAAGTGCGCATGAGCAATCACTCAACTGACTACGAACCATGGATCATCCCATAATTCCCAGATATTTCTAGAAATATTAGATTTTTTCGTACGTAGAATTTACTTAGCTCGTTCATTTATGGTGGGCAGAATGCACTCTCCTCATTCATACTTGGAATCACCAAATCGGGAAAATGAGAGCTCAACTCCAGTGAGCATGGTGCCCACAGTGACGAAACCACGGGAAATACTTAGTGCGAAATACTTGGAAGAGCACCTTGTTAACCCAGCCAACTTAGTGCGAAAGTCGTTGAAATCCTTTGAAGGGCCTTCGGCCTCAATAAAAACCTGGAGCTCCTTCTCAGCGCACCAATGGAGCCGCTCCAACCCAGACTCGGCCTCACCTGGGAGATAACTAGAAGATCTCAGGAAAACAAGGGGAAGAAAATATAGTAGTGGCAACTATACTAGTAGATAATAAAAACCTTGAAGATATTCAAAGAAATTTCGCTTGGCATATTCAGTGTCCGGCAAGTAATATCCGTATGCATATGTCCACTTGAGCACTCGCCGGCACTCAACAATCTACACGTTGGAAAATAGAGTTAAAGTAGATAATTGGTGGGGGGAGGGTTTGGGATACCTCAACCGTAGAGATATTGGGTATACCTGCAACCAAGCTTCGATAATGAACTCTAGCTGAGACTCGGGTTGGCTTTGACTGTAACTGAGTTTCTCTAGCTGGATCAGCCAAAGAAAATCAAATATATTCCCTAATATAAGTGACTACAAAGCTGGTGGAAACAAATCGTAAAAAAATGGTTCGCATAATCAGGTGTTGAATGAAGATGTCTTGCAGTAGATATATCTACTTGGCATAATGTTGTTGAATCTGTCCGCTTCCTGGGTAGACCCATTAAACCCCAGGTTCAAAAGTACTCAGACACCAGATTGTCTAATCATAAACAGTCAAGATATTTTCCCCTTCACTACTATTAATAGACATCCTCCTTACTCTTTCAATTTATTCTGTAAAATTAAAGTTGTCCCATCAATGCATCGACCCATCAAGGCATGTCTTCTCACATTACTACTATTTATAGAAAACTTTCTTCCCTATTTCTGCTTACTCATCGCACTGTAAACCTTGTCCTAACCTTTGCATTTGCCGATCAGGATATTTATAGAAAACATTCTCCTTGTTCCAATTTACTCATCAATGTCAAATTATCCCCTAAAACCTCTTTCATCTGTCCATTTATCCATCAATATGATGCTGTCCCATCTGTCTGTCAATCCATCAATTGTGTCAAGTTCATGTATAGCAAGCCTTCTTCCCTGTTTCCATTTACAGATAAAATTTTAACTTTTCCCATTAATGTGGTGACGCATCAATAAGGCTAGCCTGATGTGTTCTCTCACTAGAGTATTATTTATAGAAAACGTCGTTTCCTCTTCTCATTTATTCATTTTTTAACAATTATCCCATAAATGAGGCCAGGTCGATATGTCCCCTCACTTTACAATTATCTACTGAAAGCATTCTTCTCTCTTCCCATTTTCTCACAGATTTAAAGTTATCCTCTCAACTGGACTAGATCGACACGTCTTCTAGTTTACTGTTATTCATGGAAAACGTTCTTTCTTCTCCTCCATTATTCGTCAATATGAAGCTTTCCAGCAATGTATTGATCCATCAATCAGGCTAAGTCGACATGTCTTCTCACTTTACCACTATCTGTTCAAGACCTTCTTCTCACTATTCATTTCTTCATCAATATGAAGGTATCCCAATTGCAGGTTAACACTCCTCAGGGAAAAAAATAACGAGAGGATCATTTCAGGGTATGGTCTAAAGAAAAAACTAGGAAGATGTCAAAAACTCCTCAGATCAGTTTACTTGTGTTTGCTATGTTATGATCGTGGTTTTGCTTTAAAATTAGCCCAGAACCGGGTGTGGCAATTCGGAAAGAGGCAACATTGTATCATTTTTTCTCACCTGTACAGCTTTCAGATTCTGTAGATCAGAAAGTGCCTTCTGTCTCGACTGAAATATTTCAAGAAACGGTGTCTTAGTACACATCTATGCGTGTTCAACATTATCACTCAACATAATAAGAGATTTTTTTTGTACTTACAGACTGATTAGCCGCCCATCGCTCATAATAATGTGTATATCTCTCCAGATAATTCTTAGCCATCTTCCTCCTACTTTCGGTTTCATCATTCTGAGACCATATTTATATCACTCAAAATATCTAAATGAAAAGTTACGATGCCATGCTACGGATAAAGGGAACGAGAAAGCATCAGCGCACCAGACCCTCCTGTCTTGCTGCTTCATATCGATTACAAGAATAAAAACCACCAGTCCTTTCGTTATGATCAGACCATGGCTCTAAGCACAGCCTAAAAGGTAGTAAAAGAAGAAATAAATATTATATTTTTTAACTAAGTACTACAATGATGATCTTAATTTCTTACCAGCAGAATGCAAATTTACATGGAGGACATGTAATTCGCATGAAGTCCCGATTTTTCTCAATTGGTTGTTTGCACCTGGGACATGGCTTGGAGTTGGCTGATGTCCTGTGTATAGTCATTGCATATATTTATTCATCAGCAAAAGAAACATATAAATAATGAATAAAATTCAGCGGCAAACACTGTAGGTAAAAGATTCCAATTAGAATATGAAAAATAAGTGACTACATTGATTTTTTATTTAAAACAGACGCAGTTTCCAAATTTTCATTCCCCTAGCACTCAGGTAAACAAGATGGTTAATTGGACAAGTAGTAAATAACTAAATATTTTTTTATAAACTCATGGGCATCTTAATCAGAAATAATCATCAACTGAAAAATGACCTTGTGGAAGGTATCATGCACACATGGAACGGTAAAAAAAACGTATTGCCCCAGTTTCAGGTGATGATTTCCACTCACAGGATATTTCTAGAGTCCACATGTCTATTTTTTTTTTAATATGTACATGAAAACTGGGAATTTTAAATCTTGATCCCGTCTCATATTCTGGTTATTACTGATCTATAAAATTGCTTCCCCAAATTATTTATCAGCTGGATTGTACAAGGACCTGGACTTTCCTATTCAATCCTGTAAGAGTATCTCGACAAGCATAGAGGTAGATGAGTATTCTACGTCGAGTTTTCCGCACTGCCAACAGATGAAATTCTTTTAGATGGAAATGCCCTGGGGATGGAACTGATGGGGGGTAGATACCTTTTTATACCATCTTGACTGAGGAAATACAATCTTCCATGGCGTCTTTGGACATTGAGAGTGAAAATATCATGCAGGAAAATGAAAGGCTTTCTCAAAAGATGGGGGAAATCAGATTATTCTTTACGAATTTTTCTTAGGTGAATAAAGTTCCATGAAGTTCTGCACCGACTTAAGTGGGCCATGGGAACAGAGAAGCTCCATTTTTCAAATAGAAAGAACTGGAAGCATGTGTAGATCAATAGATGGCAAGAGGAAATAAATATGGTTAACAGGAGAGATAAGAAGCCTTCCACTTTGTACATCTGACTTACATGGGACATCGACAGAATGGAAGAGCACGTAGCTGTACGCACATATGTACGTATAGCAGTAGTTATTGCATCTATGCCTACATGTTACATGAAATGATATTGTAGCTGGTTCAGTCACGGGTGAGCTGAATCAATGTTTAGAGAATATGGATTCCTGTTGAACGGTGAACATATATATATATATGCGGATGGATGAGTGGGGTTTCTGGAGGCAGGAAAAATAAATATTTTTTAGAAAGATCAGAGCAATAGTCTACACAAGTAGGCGTAGACTAATATTTAGAATTCTCAACATACTAAAATTATCAAGCCCAAAGACCAAGGTGGAGGGACGAATGAATGAATCATTGATTAGGTTATCACATTTACAGTTGAGACATACTTGGGTAACAACCTTCAAACTTATTTATGAATAAGATGTGAATTCACAAATCTGGGAGGAAACAGATGACAAAAACCTGGTTACAGGGAAATAACATTTTCATATTGTTTAATCCTTCTGTGAAATTGTTAAATTTGACAGAAATATAAAATAAGATATTTTCTAGGATAAAACTATGGTGAATCTATTTCTCAATTCCTAATTTTTCAACTTTTTATTCTTCAAGTAGTATTATCATTTACTGCTAGAATCAAGTTTTCAAGTTTTCAAAACTTAGCCTAAAACACTATTTAAGCAAGTTTTCAAGATACACTTTGGTGATTTTCAGCCAGAGGGATAATTAAACAACAATAAAAAGCTTACATGCTTAATTACGATAAAAAGATGAAATTACGAGAATAGAAGGACAACATGTAAGTCTCTTTGGCCTGGTACCTCATATTCATTGCTGATGTCCATTCAAAACAGATATAACCACATAAATAAATAAGATAAATTAATTATGCGTGAAAATATCTCAAGGACATCACGTATAAGACAGCCACTAGGATAATCCTGGAATTGTAAGATACTACAGTGCAGATATCTACCACTTCATTTTTTGAGATTCAGTACTGTTCTCCAGATTCCACCTTGTCACTGTTTTGCAATCCACTGGTCGATGGGTTTCCTCTGTACACTGAAAATTATTTCCAAAAAATAAATAAAATTGAAAATAAATTATGATTTGATTCAGAGTACAATGAATCAGACATAAAATGTCAAAAGCTCTCACATTCCAGCAAAAGCTATGAGAGCACTTGCAGGTAACGTCGTAACTTTCACTTCCCAGAACGAAGTCCACTGCAAACTCACAACCAGGTGCCGGACACCATTTTGTCTAAAAATCAAAAGAAAAAAAGATTAAGACGTTGAAGAGGTAAAAGAAAAAATAAAAAATGATGGCGGTTATTTTGGGTCATCAATGGGGAGAGAGCAATGTGTACAGAAAACTCAATAATTGGAGGAACTGATGGTGAAACGGGGATTTTATGCATTTTTGGCTCCTCTGTGGGCTCTGGTAAGTTGACATTAAATATTGTCTGGGAAAATAACACTGCATCTTAAAATCCCATGCACTCCCCACAATTTCATTACTTCAACTATGGAAATTTTCTACCATCTCCAAAAGAAGAACATAAACAAAATCAACACTGACATGAACTAGCACAAAAAAAACATCAAGAAAAATAGTATCATTGACATTACTTAACGATTTCCAAGAGCTAAGAGTGGTTTTCTGCCCACAAAGCTGCAAAGATGCGAAGGATGACTCCAAAGCTTTTCAGTGTAGCAAAACCCACGTCTTTCCAAGCATGAAAGCAGTCACTCTCTCTAAATGTTCATAAAAAATTTAAGGTCGTGTTAAACTGGATAAATTGACTTTGATTATGACAAAAATCACAATTTCTGCATTCACTTGTCTTGATTTTCTCAATGAGATTTGGTTCGAGAAGTCCAACCCTAGAAATTAAAAACGAAGTCCTTCAGAACCTGCCTTATCGGCAAAAACATAATATCAAATCAAACCCTTGATCATCCGGGTAAAAGTATCAGCCATTGTATCAACAATCATTGACAAACTATCAACACTTGTGGTCTGGAATAGTATTTAACTATAATCCAAAAAAAATATTATAACCTGAAGAGATTTATGCCTGTTTCCTCATGTCACAACCACATTTCTCTTTTCAACCTGTTAAACTAGTTTTTTCGGTGAAAACTTAAGTAGATTATTGACTCAAGTACCCAAACTTTTCAAATTCTGTGTGAGTGCGTATACATATCTCCGGTCTACGTTTCATAGAAGTCCAGCATTCTGAGTGCATTGAAACTCATCTTAAGGTCAACCAAACTTTCAATGAATTTGAATCTTTTGCCCATCTTTTTCTAGGCAGTTTTATTCTCAGTTAATTCATGTTCAAATATCTCCAATTTTAAAGCTGTTGTTTCGATGCAAAGTAGGATGAAACCATGACAGATCCGGTCATGATCCACTTTTGTTAATCATTGCAGTATAGAAGAGTTCCTATCGAGGTCCAAAGTAGGATAATGAATGACAAAGTTAGGTCCTCTCTTCTTGCTAAATCAATTATTTCCAAGGTCGAGAAAAACAAATATAATAAAAATCTTCTTTAACACTGAAATATCTGAAAAGAATACTACTAAACTCTGGCTTAGATTTACCTTCCCATTATCTTCAATATATGATCTACGAAGGTGTCGCGCATACTTCTTCTTTTCTTCTTCAGTTGCCATTTCATCAATCATATCTTGGCCTATGGCCACAGTGCACTTCGAGTTAGGACATCGTAGCATCAAACATCCAGGACCATCATTTATAGCTGTGCCAATGTAGCCTGCCCATAGAAATTTTGTGCTCGTCAATTTTTCTCTAGTCAAATAGATGTAAAATTATAAGAACTGCACATTACGCATTTGATCCCAAGTAGAGATTCCAGAGAAGGTTTCTTGGAACAGAAATCAGAAGTCTAGATACCTTCTATGGTGAAAAAAGATAGGGGAAAGAAAAAAACTAATCAGAAAAGAAATCTGTTGATATGAAAATTCCAGAATCAACAGGGTTGGGTCAATCATGTCAGTATTATGTTTCTTTTTAGCCTTTAAGAACGCAGGGTAAATATTAGATAATAATAAAAAGAAATTTCGATCTGGTAGCTCATCTAAATGATTAAATAGTAAAGTAATTATCTGGATCTCTGTATAGATTCAGTTGAGTCAAGTTGGAACTGGAAAATAAAATAAATTTGACATGTAGAAATGGAACGCTGGAGCCATTTGGGGCCTAACGGGCCAAAGATAAGGGGCAAGTTAGGAGCTCAACCCACGGACTCTTTTGTATTTTGCATTGTGGGGGGGGGGTTGGAGAGGAGAAGAGAAACAGCATTTAGGGCAAACGAACTGAAGGATGGGGGAAGAAAGCTGGTCGTCGTAAGCTGGAAGAGAGAAAGGTCTCCACATTCTGGTGCAAGGGTTCTGCCAGGAGTTGGATTCGCCCATTTTCTGGTATCTCCACCGCCGCGCCCCCCTCCCCCTTCCTCCTTTTTCTCTTTCTCTCGTATCTCAATCTAGGATTCCCATCGAGATGATTCAGCAAAAGCAACTGAAACTCCACGAATAAATATGAAATATTTATTCTCTAAATCGGAAGGGACATGATATCACATCAATAGTGATAGAAAACGAACCTCTCCAGCATGAAATACAGAAAGGATGGCCGCATGCAGCAGATCTCATCCTATCACGCGGGTGCACCTCAAAGCAGGTACCACACGCCAACTACCCAAAAGCAACAGAGACACAGTTGAGGCTAACCAAGAAAGCCATGAATACAAAATATTAAAATGAGAATTAAAAGCGTGATTTTCAAACAAAGGGAACGAGAAAACTTGATGCCCACCAGGAGAATTCTGCTGTCAGAAACTAAGCAGAAATGGCAGATAATATGAGGAACTTACTGTCCTGCTTGGCATTTCCATGGGCGTCTCCAACAATCCTACTGCTTTTCGAACACCTTTTTCATCTGCAAACCATTCATCGTGCACCCTGTTTACACTCCTGTGCAGTAGAACGATGACATGAATAAATAAGATCACTATGGATAACAGATTGCCATTTCATTCAGTAGATAAACCAAATGACCCGCATTACATTAGTTTCTTTTTTAAAGCAAATTAAATAGAAACTACACATAACTGATGGTAAATTAGATTAAATAAAACAGTTTGCTCTCTTTCCAACCCAGTCAAAGAAATTTCTCATATGTGCTAGTAGGCCAGTATTTGAATCCGTCTTTTCCATATGAGCGACAAAGATTTAAATAGGTTGCGTGGAACTACAGCTAGAAAAACACAGTGCACATTTGATTTTGGATTTGATCAGACAGACCAATCCGACCTCTTTTAACTGGCACATAGGCTACAAAATTCTTAACAGATTGGTGATTATGTACGTATATGTACTTCTAAAAGTGATTTCAGCAAGACCACCCAAGAATAGTTTACAGGTTTCTATGGGGCTTGACTGGGCTTGCCCCAATCATTTTTAGAAGTATATGCTCTCGCACAATCAGTTATAAGACTTGACTGGATTCGGGCCAATTATAAACACGTTGACCTCAATCCAGGCCAAATTTAACCGATTAGTTTTTGACCGAGAAGTGATCCTTTGCCTGACAGTAACAACCAAGTTACAACCCGAACAGCATTTCATGGAAAGAGACACTTCTAACTTTTAGTAAATCCAGATATCTAGTCATCTGCGGATATTACTCCAAGCCAGGACCTGGGACTTTAAGATATGTAACTAGCCTATGATTAAGCACCATTTAATAAGAGATGAGGATGACAAATTGGTGTAATTGAGCATGCCATTGGTCAAATGCTGTTCTTTCATAATTCTCTTGGGATGTAATAGAAATTGAAGTTTTATGGGATATTGAGTTTTTTGGATAATTTTTTTTGCTATATGGGATTTATTTTTCATGTTTTTTCTATCATCTTCATTTCCTATAGTTTACTCTTCTTCTCGTACATTATTGTGGTGTGATCTCACCCTAAGCATTACGCTTTGCTAGAAAATGGTTTCCTTGGTGGAGACAGGATCATCCCATGAAAATTTCAAGTATCATTTAAAGTCTAGAAATAACCAGAAGACGTAGCACAATGAAGCATAAACTCCCAGTACCATTTGGATAAAACATACCATTTATAATGGCGAAGAAGTATGCACGCATCGTCTCTAGATATCAAGAGTACTTGAGATACCCTACTAATGTCCGCCATTTGAAGCTGAATTATATCATGCTCACTTAAGATCGTATAGTTCTGCAGAACCAACTGTAAATATTAATTATAGTTGATGATAAAATAGTAACAAGTCACCAATCGTACAGAAACTAAGATATCACAAGATTAGCTACCCGCACCAAGAACAATACTAGCCGTAATTTTCCCCATCCTCAACGGCATTGATCCGACTAATTTCCAAAAAAAAATCTGAACTAAATTATTTTGCGCTTTACCCATCATCTACTTCATAGCGAAAACAAAACTGGGTCCTTGCCAAAAGAAAGAAGCAAGCTAAGGCAGATGCAGAGATCGTCAAGTCCTCCGGCAAGTCAAATGATTTCCTGCCAAGGATAATCGGGAGTAGTCGCCTTTTGAAAGGCCAGGAATTAAGCATGAGAGAAGGAGAGGATTGGGGAAGCTCCCCACTGAATGGTTCCCACCTGATGCCGGTTGTGGAGGACGTCTTCAGAGTCGTCGGAGTCATTCTCCTCTAATCCGGAATCGTCATCCTCTTCGTCGCTGTTCCCCCCGCCGTAGAAATCGTCGTCTTCCAAGTCCAGATCGTTCCAGTCGTTCAGGTCGTCTGACGAGTCCATCACCGCCTCCCCACGCTTAGTCGGCCTTCACCAAGAAAATCTACTGCCCGGCAAGGAACTCGGCGACGAGACCTCCGAAACTGATCACCCGAAGGGTTTTAAATTCATCTCCGAACGAGAAGTCGATCAGCGCATCAACACGGTTTTTCATTCATTCGTACACGATATACCTTTGACCAGTAGAGAGAGAGAGAGAGAGAGAGAGAGAGGTGGTCGTGAACGATATTTCGGGAAATAACAGTGCAACTTCTTGTTCGGACAGAGTCGACCGCTAGCTACGGAGCTTGTCTCAGCGCATAGCCAGTCCCGAAAGTGGAAAGTCTTACAAACGCGGTGATCTGTTGAAGAAATAGACTGACGAGATCTCCGGACAGGCCTTAGAACGGCGGATGTTGCTGTCCGCCGCGAGGATGACTTGACGGCGGACCCCAATGTCGCCATCAACGCTACCCTCTACGCGGAATCCGGCGTCAAAGTCTTCGCTTTAACCGTTTCCTCCCCATCTTCACCGGTCGTCCTCTCTCTCTCTCTAATCCCTTCTAGGGAGAGGCTGCGCCTACGAGAGCCTCACTAGAGCAAGAACCATGAGTACTGGGGCGTACGATACTGCCGAGTTAGAGCAAGGATCATAGAGAGAGGTTGTGGGCATCTGTGGTATGCCATGCATGCAGAGAGCATGTGATGGCACGCCACGACGCATGGAGAGTGCATAAAATTGATCGCGTGTGTACCTTGGAGGGGTGGAAGACTTCGCCATCACACTACAGCTGCCATGGCACAACTGTGTGCATGTGGTGCATGTGCGCATCCACAAGTGGCACGGTGGCAGTTTGTGCATGCGACACAGATGCATGTGCGCATGGCAGAAGGATGGACCGTGAGAAAGGTGGAATATAGATATAAACCGATAGGCATAGAAACTTTAAGGAGGTGAAGGATCAAACAATGTGATGGTATACGGTAGAGAAGGCGAAGCGCCAAGTGTTGGAAGCTGAAACGCGTCGTAACCCTTCTAGGGCCCATGCTTCCCTTTTAAATAGGGTAAATCTTTGCCTAGTGAAATAGGTAGGTCATCCAACATCTCTTGTTATGTCTTTCAGCGAATGCTGTGTCTCCCCTTTATGTGTGAAATTTCTGTGTCTACATGAGTGTCGAAGATGACATACAACACTGGTCATTCAAGTAAAACAGTGTTTAATCCAGAGTTATTTATGTAAATGTTGAAGCATTAATTTTTTAAATCTCGTTTCAATGATGATAAATGAACATAAGATCAATAAAACTATTGGTTAAACTGCTTATTCATTATACATGAATTTGAAATCAATATGTTTTTAGACATGGGTATGTAATTGATTAAGTATCAATTCAAGAAAAAATCAAAGTAATAGATTAAATATTCAGATAATAATTCAAATAATGTACTTGAATCTAATGATTAAGAGCTTCAAAATGTGATTGATTTTATCACTCAAAATTATTGCCTTGATCATTAAGATTGTAAATCCTAATATTTACAAAAGCTATTACTAACGTAAAGTGATGATTAATTAACACATCAAAATCGATAAAAAATTATGAAAACTTGCATAGTACATTGGATGTCAATGATGTAAAATCATTATTTTAAATTATCTTTTTATATTGAACTAATCCATTGAATCTAAACTCTTAACATGACACACTAAAATTTTAAAATATTATTATATATAATTAAAATATGACAAGTCACCAAAGTAATGATTACCTATATTGATATCATTATTTGATATATCTATTTAATGTTTTTAATTTATTTGAGATAGTGTCAAATAAGTTTGAGTGTAAAATGCTAGCTTATTTTGAGATGCATTATTAGCTTTGATTTAACGACAATGGATCCTTACTAGAGTTGTTCGATTCAATAAGCTTAAGATTAGTACGATGGTAATTGATGGTTATACATATTAGCTTCTCATAGAAGATATTTAAACTTTTAAAAGATATGTCATATTGGTTTGTTACCATTAATATTTGTTATTAATATTGGGATTTCAGGGTTGAAAAATGATTGAAAGCAAGAGAGACTTTGTATAAAACGTCTCCATAGGTCAAGTCTCTCTTCTATGGTTAATTAGTTCTGAATGATCATTTGTGACCTCTATGTCACATTGAGTTTTTTTGCCAAACATCTATATATAGAAATATATGCAATCTATAAGACATGGTTAAATGATGAGAAGACAACATGTTGAGGAACACTTTAATTGAAACAAAATCGATTTCAACGTTGTCTATACTTAAATCCCCATGAGAAGATGACAAAGAAACCAGGCCAAATCCAGCATTATCTTTATCAATATTTTTGACACACCTCAATTAAACTCAATACCCAAAAATATCCTACAGTCATTTTTTTTAGTTTTGTAAGAAATACCTTTGATTAAAAATTAATTTAATTTCTCACGAGGGTTTTTCCAATAATCAATAGTGAGCCTCAAATAGCCATGAATCTACAAGAGAATTTCATAAAAGTTGAACTAAATAATTAAAGATTATATATAGTTGGGTTAGTGGAACTCAAGAATGAATTATTTTCAGAGACTGAATAAGGTAGAGGATTCAACCACTATGAAAATCTTTGGGTTCTAGATTGAAATCTAAGAAACTATATCATTGAGATAAGAAAAAGAGTTAAAAAAATTAAAATAGTTTATCAATGTGCACTAAAATTCAAGTGCTGATGCACTATAAAACTTAGTGAGAGTACAAGATTTAAATATAAGAATACCCTTCCATTAACACTTTCATCTAACATTGTGACAAAAATGTTATTGTACTATAAAGATATATTTTTATGTATATCAACCTAAAAATATATTGTAACAAATAAGTAGACCTACAAAATCATTATATCTGCTTAAACATAACACATTTCTCCTGCAACGTTAAACTTCATTTTCTTGAATAGAAGATAAGGTCAACGGTTAACAAATAATTTGCACTTAGGCCCTTGATTAGTTCATAAAATAAAAAAATCATTTTAAATATGAAAAATTAAAGAATGACATTCGTTTGCACTGACCCTATTGAAAAAATATTTAACTTATAGGGTATAATAGCAAATGGAAACTCACGTGCAATTCAATTCGGCCGAGTCCACAAAAGTAGAAATATGCAGGTCATCGGATTTGATTTCTTTACAAAATAGTCCATTTTTAGTGATAGAATGACCAGACTATAAATTTGCGCATACCGTGGCTGACAAGTGAACCTTGCAGTGTAATGGGTTTATTCATAAACATAATTCGGAAGAATCAATTATAGGAATATAATCAGTACTCAATCTAGGAGATTTAGAAATCTTACTAAAAAAAGTACAAATTCTCATTTGTATACCTTCCTTTAAAAAAAAAGCGTGAATAGTTCCGAAAAGATTGGAAAATTCATCCACTTGGAACCTAAAGCAGGTATGCAATCATGGGCCATTGAAGGTGGACTGGGAAAAGTCAAACTCCAATGAAACATAGGTAATGCAAGAACATGGGCAATAGGAAAATCATGCTTTTTGATGCCAATGAACAAGTGATTGGTAAGAGCAACTAGCTCCAAGTGCAAACAGATACTAAAAATATTATTTACAGCATAATTCTGTCAGCCACAGAGCTAGAGAGAGAGAGAGAAGAGGAAGGTGCGTGGGAACCTACTGATTATCGGAGGGATGAGCACAGGTTTGGCGCTGGTGACCACACATCTGGCAGATATTGCTGGGGTTCACATGGACGAAAGTACAGCGGCCACAGGACCAGTGGGTTCCATCGTCGGAGCTGCTGCGGCTTGGGCCGCCGGGCCTGAAGGCCGAAGACCTCACCACCTTGCTCTTCCCGCTCTTGGCTCTGCTAATGCTGCCGCCGGAGCCTGAAGTCCTGCTGCAGGCGGCCAGATGGCTGGAAGGCCCCACATCGTTCAGCCCGGTTTCGAGGGCCCGCACGAGATTCTCAAAGTAGTTCCGGGTCACGCTGTACATCAACAAACATCAGATAACCACACCAGATTCTTACTGTCATTCAAAGATCATTAATCAGTAGACAGAAATTTGTCACAAAAACTGCCTTCCTGGGCCTAGAAAATGGTCTTAGGCCTCGTACTCCGTTTTTCTTTTATTAGACATTTTTATTGGGTTGTTGACTGCTACCCAACTCATACTAAAAAGGAAAAAAATGGTCGAAAGGAAGTCAAATTATCTCCATTATCATCGCATTTTACCAGGATATTAAGCTAAGAACTGGGTATGAGCAAGCACTCAACTGACTACGAACCTTGGATTATCCCATGATTCTCAGATATTTCTAGTAGAATGTATTTCGCTCGTTCATATATGGTGGGCAGAATGTACTCTCCTTATCCACATGTGAAAACACCAAATCGGGAAAGTGAGAGCTCAACTCACTTTCCCACGGGAACTAAAAATTGGAGCTACTTGGACGAGTACCTTGTTAACCCAGCCAACTTGGTGCGAAAGTCGTTGAATTCCTTTGTAGGGCCTTCGGCCTCAATAAAACCCTGGAGCTCCTTCTCAGCGCACTGATGGAGCCGCTCCAACCCAGACTCGGCCTCACCTGGGAGATAACTAGAGTTTCTCAGGAGAAAAGGGAGAGAAAAAAATATAGTGGCGGCAACTATACTAGTAGATGATAAAAACCTTGAAGATATTCAAAGAATTCTCTCTTGGCATATTCACTTTCTGGCAGGTAATATCCGTACGCATATGTCCACTTAAGGACTCGCCTGCACTCCACAATCTACACATTGGACAATAGAGTTAAAAGTATCTAATTGGTGGGTGAGGGTGGGGGATACCTAAACCGTAGAGAGATTGGGCATACCTGCAACCAAGCCTCTATAATGAACTTTAGCTGAGACTCGGGTTGGTTTTGCTTGTCACTGAGTTTCTCAAGCTGGATCAGTCCAAGACAATTGAATAAATTTCCCCATACAAGTGACTACAGAGCTGGTGGAAACAAATCGTAAAAAAATGGTTCGCAAAATCAGGTGTTTAATGAAGATATCTTGCAATAGATATATATACACTTGGCATAATGTTGTTGAATCTGCCACTGCACCCTGGGTAGACCCATCAAATCCCAGGTTCAAAATTACTCAAATACCGGCTTGACTAATCATAATCCGTCGAGAAAATTTCCCCTTGAATGCTATTAATGGACATCCTTCTTACTCTTTCAATTTATTCTGTAAGATTAACATTGTCCCATCAATGCATCGACCCATCTAGCCATGTCTTCTCATATTACTCTATTTATAGAAAACTTTCTTCCCTCTTTCCATTTGCTGCTCCGGCTATTTATAGAAAACATTCTCCTTTCTTCCGTTTACTCATCAAAGTCAAGTTATCCTATTAACCCTCTTCCCTCTCTCCATTTATTCATCAACATAATGTTGTCCCATCAATCAGTCAATCCGTCAATTGTACCAAGTTCATGTATCTTCTCAACTTACTTGACTACTATTGTATAGCAAGCCTTCTTCCCTGTTTCTATTTACAGATTAAATTCAAACTATTCCTATTAATGTGTTGAAGCATTAATCAGGCCAGACTAATGTGTTCTCTCGCTAGACTACTATTTATAGAAAACGACCTTTCCTCTTCCCATTTATTCATTTTAAAAATTTATCCTATAAAGGTATCGGCCCATCAATCAGGCAAGGTCGGTATGCCTCCTCACTTTACTATTATCTATCTAAAACCTTCTTCTCTCTTCACATTTGTTCATAGGCTTAAAGTTATCCTCTCAACTGGTCTAAGTCAACACGCTTTTCTCACTTTACTAATTTTTATGGCAACCTCCTGTCTTCTCCATTATTCGTCAATATGAAGTTTTCCAGCCATGTATCGATACACCAATGAAGCCAGGCCGACATGTCTTCTCACCTTACTACTCTTTGTAATGGTATGGCCAGGGAAAAATTAACGAGAGGATCATGTCATGGTATGGCCGAAAAAAAAAAAAAAAAAAAAGCACAAAAAACAGCTCTTTATTGATCGGATAACACAACTGTGTTCTTGTTATGTTATGATCGTGTAAGAGCATCGATATTTCATGTTTACTTGTGTTCTCTATGTTATGATCGTGGTTTTAATTAAAAAATTGGCCAAAAACCGGGTCTGCAATTTCGGAAAGAGCCACATTTTATCATTTCTTACCTGTACAGCTTGCATATCCTGTAGATCAGAAAGTGCCTTCTGTCTCGACTGCAATATTTCCAGAAACAATGCCTTAGTACACATCTAGTATGTTCAACCTTATCACTGACAATAATAAGAGCAAAAATATTTTTTTCACTCACAGCCTGATTAGTTGCCCATCGCTCGTAATAATGTGTGTATCTCTCCAGAGAATTCTTAGCCATCTCCCTCCTCCTTTCAGTTTCATCATACTGAAACCAGATTTATATCAGTCAAAGGGTGTAAATGATGTTACGATGTCATGCTATAGAAAAAGGGAACAAGAAAGCATCAGCACACCATCCCCTCCTGTTTTGCTGCTTCATATCGATTACATGCATAAAAACCGCCAGTCTTTTCGCCATGATCAGACCATGGACCCAAGCACAGCCTAAAACGTAGAAAAATAAAGAATAAATATTATATTTTTTTTGCTAAGTACTTCAATGATGATCTTAGTTTCTTACCAGCAGAACTCAAATTTACAAGGAGGAGTACATGTAATATGCATACAGCCCTGATTTTTCTCGATAGGCCGTTTGCACTTTGGACATGGCTTGGAGTTGGCTAATATCCTGTGTATAGGCATTGCATATGGTTATTCCGCAGCAAAAGAAACATCATGAATGAATCAAATTCAGCGATAAACTTGTATGTAAAAGATTCAAATGTGAATAAACGAGTACGTAGCTTTTGGATTTAAACCAGATACGATTTCCAAATTTTCATTACCCTCGCATTCAGGGAAATAAGATAGTTAATTGGACAAGTAGCAAATAAATAACTAAATATATTTTTGATAAACTAATGATGGTCATCTTCATCAGAAATAATCAACTGAAAAAATGACCTTACAGATATTGTGCACACATGCAAGGGTAAAAGAAACTCATTTCCCCAGTTGCACGTGATAATTTCCACTCGCAGGAGATTTCCAGTCAGGACTACCAGTTCCAAAGTTCCTGAAGTTTACACGTCTATTTATTTTATCCTGTCTCATATTCTGGTAATTAATGAGCAATACAACTGCTTATTTATCAGCTGGATTGCACAAGGATGTGGACATTCCTATTCAGTCATGAAAGAATAGGTTGACTAGGATAGAAGTGGATGAATGTTGTACTTCGAGATTTCCGCACTTCCAAGGGACGAAATTATTAGATGGAAATGCCCTGGGGTTTGGAACAGATGGGGGGTAGATACCTTTGTATACCATCTAGACTGAGGAATACAATCTTCCATGACTTCTTTGGACATGGAGAATGCAAAGATCATGCAGGAAAATGGAAAGCTTTCTCAAAAGATAGGGGAGACCTTTGGACTTTTTCTTAGGTGAATAATTTTCAGGGAAATAAATTTCCATGAAGTACTACACATAGCAGAATAATCATCATAAACTTAGGTGGGCCATGGGTACAGAGAGGCTCCGTTTTTCAACTGGAAAGAACTGGAAGCACATAACAGAAGGGTGATGATTCCTCCCACCTGTTTTTCTCCATCCGTAGCATCAACAGATGGCTGGAGGAAAGAAATATGGTTAACTGAAAGATAATGGAGCATCCCACTTTGTACATTTGACTTACTTGGGACATCGACAGAGCAGACGAGCATGTAGCTGTACGCACATATGTATGCGTAGCAGTCGTTATTGCATGGATGCATGCATATTACATGAGATGTAATAGCTGGTTCAGTCGCGGGTGAGCTAGATCAATGCTTAGAGAATATGGATTCCTGTTGAACGGTGAACATATATATATATGCGGATGGATGATTGGTTGTTGGAGGCAGGCAAAAAATGTCTTTTAAAAAAATGCAGGATTAAATGTGTGTAATCGGGTATTTTAAAAAAAGCTCAGAGCAATAGCTTAAACCAAGAAGGTGTAGACAGAAGTAATCAATCCATAAAAAGTACTCCAAGATGCTAATGTCATCAATCCCATGGTCCAACGTTGAGGGACAAAGGGATGAATGATTGATTAGATTTACCACCTTTACTGTTGACACAGACTTGGCTAACAACCTTCAACCTTTTGGATAACATGTAAATTCACAAATCTGGGAGAAATCATAAGATAAAATCTAGTTACAGGGAAATAACATTTGCATATTGTATAATACTTCTGTGAAATTGTTAAATTTGACAGAAAGATAAAATAAGATATTTGCTAGGATGAAACTATGATGAATCTATTTCTCAAGATAGACACAATAATTCGAATCCTAATTTTTCCACTTTTATTCTTCAAGTAATATTATTATTTACTGCTAGAATCAAGTTTTCAAAACTTTGCCTAAAACACTATTCAAGCAAGTTTTCAAGATAGACTTTGGTGATCTTTAGTTATTCTGGTTTATAGTAGCCATAGGGATAATTAAACGGCAAAACCCAGCTTACATGTTTCCTTACGATAAATAGCTGAGATTACGAGAATTGGAGGACAACATGTGTCTCTTTTGACCTGGTACCTCATATTCATGGTTGGTATCCATTCAAAACAGATATGACCACATAAATAGATAAGATAAATTAATTATGCGTGAAAATATCTCAAGGACATCACGTATGAGGGAGCCACTAGGATAATGCTGTCATTGTCAAAGATAGTACAGTGCAGATATGTACCAGTTCATATTTTCAGACTCAGTACTGTTCTTCAGAATCCACCTTGCCACCGTTCTGCAATCCACTGGTCGATGGGCTTCCTCTGTACACTGAAGATAAATTTATTTTTTACAACTTATTTGCAATAATATAATATTCGATTTTTTTTTTATGATTTGGTTCAGAGTACAATGAATCAGACAAAATGTCAGAAGCTCCTCACATTCCAGCAAAAGCTATGAGAGCACTTGCAGATAATGTCGTAACTTCCACTTCCCAAAACGAAGTCCACTGCAAACTCACAACCAGGTGCCGGACACCATTTTGTCTAAACATCAAAAGAAAAAAGTTTAGACGTTGAAGAACAATGTGGGTTATTTTGGACCCATCAATGGGGGGAGAGCAATGTGTACAGCAAACTCATAATTGGAGGAACTGATGGTCAAACGGGGATTTTATGCATTTTCGGCTCCTCTGTGGGCTCTGATAAGTTGACATTAATTTTCTCTCAGAAAATAACCTTTGGTCTTCCAATGCCATGCACTCCCCACAATTTCGTTACTTCAATTATGGCAATATTCTACCAACCCCAAAAGAAGAACACAAAAAACAATGAACACTGACATGGACTAGCACAACAAAAACATCTAGACAAATTATATCATTGACATTACTTAACGATTTCCAAGAGCTAAGAGTGGTCTTCTGCCAACAAAGATAGTAAGACCCCAAGGATTCCTCAAAAGCTTTTCAGTGTAGCAAAACCCAAGTTTTTCCAATGATGAAGACAGTCACCACTCTAAATATTCATGAAAAAGTTAAGGTCCTGCTAATCTGGACAAATTGACTTTGATTACGACAGCATCATAATTGTTGTATTCACTTGTCTTTATTTTTTGTCCATGAGATTTGGTTCGAAAAGTCAAACCCTAGAAATTATAAAACAAGTCCTTCAGAAACTGCCATATCGGCAAAAATATAATATCGAATCAAACCCTTGATCCTTGGTGTAAAAGTGTCATCCCTTGTACAGGAATCATTGACAAACTATCAACACGTGGTCTGGAATAGGAACTAAGGCATGAATAATATTAAATTATGCCTGTTTTAAAGAAGGCTCGGGTTTCCTCAAGTATCAACTACATTTCTGTTCTTAACCTGTTAAATTAGTTATAGTATTAAAAACCTCAGTAGAGTTTTAACTCAAGTACCCAAAGTTTCCAAATTCTGTGTGCGTATACATCTCCACAGTCCAAATTTTTCAAACTCCAAATTCGTAGTGCGTTCAAACTCTACTTAAGGTTGACCTAGCTTTCAATGCATTAAGATCTTTTCTCAATCTTTGCTAGACAGTCTTTTATATGTGGTTAACTTTATTTTCACATTAGTCCAGTTTTATAGGTATTTGATGTAAGAAGAAGCCTTGTATCGAGAAAGCAAAGCATGGTGTAAAAGTCCAATTAGCATCTTCTATAAGGTAACTTCTAGGTTAGGTCACTTGGACAGATAAATATGTAGGAAATTAATACCATAATGTCTTACGCATTGTGTGATTACAACACTCTTCACTACGTTTTATCTTATACAAAAGAAATTGTATTGAAGCCATTCACCCCCTTTAATTGCAGAGCTCATGTTGGAGGCCCTTTTATACTGGAACTGTCAAAGGCAGAAAGAAACAAGTAAGAACCACTCTATCTCGGAACAAACAAAATGAGCCAAGGATGAAGCCAGACAATTTTTTACTCAAACATAGAACAAGAAGCAGTCATGGCAGATCCGGTTATGATCCACTTTCTTAATTATTGGAGTACAGAAAAGTTCCTATCGAGAACCAGAGATGGTCAATGTTCCTACATCTACATTCGTCCAAAAGATAGGAAATGAATGACAAAGGTGGGCCCTCTCTTCGTGCTAAATCAATTATTTCCAAAGTCAAGAAGAACAAATAGAATAAAAATCTTCGTTAAAACTGACGCGAAAAGATAATACTAAACTCTGGCTTATCTTTACCTTTCTGTTATCTTCAATATAAGATCTAAGAAGGTATCGTGCATACTTCTTCTTGTCCTCTTCAGTTGCCACTACATTAATCATACCTTGGCCTATGGCCACACTGCAATCCGGATCAGGACATCGTAACATCAAACATCCAGGACCATCATTTATAGATGTGCCAATGTAGCCTGCCAAATAAATGTTTTACTCATAAGTTTTTCTCTAGTCAAATCGATGTAAAGTTATGAGAAGGATGTATGTCCGTATAATTGCACATTGAGCATTTGATACCAAGTAGAGATTCCAGAGAAGGTATCTCGGAACAGAAATCAGAGGTCTAAATAACTTCTATGGTGAAATAGAAAATAGGGGAAATCAAAAACTAATCAGAAAAGAAATGTATTGATACGAAAATCCAGAATCAACAGTGTTGGGCCAATCACGTTAGTAATATGTTTCTTTTCTGGCCTATATGAACGCGGGAAAAGTCTTATAAAATAATAAAAAGAAAGCTGGATCTAATAGCCCGTCTTAATGATCGAACAATAAAGACAATATCTGGATCTCTGTAGAGCTTCAGTCAATTCAAGTTGGAGCAGGGAAACAAAATAAACTTAAAACTAGAAATTGACATCACCCATTGGTTCCAAACTAAAGTAATGTAGCACATACATTCCACCCCCCAATGATGTTTAAAGAAGGAACGGGTTTACAGATTAGTCATCAGTTTTGGCAATGGTCATATGATATCTTCGGACTAATTGACAAGTTTCCTAAATGATGTGTAGATCACTTCATCTGTTCCTAAATATAAACTTTGATTTACTGATTCCCATCTTACCTTTCAACAGGCCATTGGAACCTATCACTACCACAATCATGTTGCAAATGGATAAACAAAACAAGTCACAGGAAGCAATTCAAAAACAAAAATAAGATATATCAGAATAAATCACGGAAATTTCTTCATATCCACAGAGATGATTCAGCAAAAGCAGAAGTTAAAAGCATCTTAGCCTCCACAAATGCATATGAAATATCGGTACTCTAAATGGAAGGGAAATGATTTCAGATCAACAGTGATGGAAACAAACCTTCCCAGCATGAATTACAAAAATGATGGCCACATGCAGCAGATCTCATCCTATTACACGGGTACACCTCGAAGCAAATTCCACATGTCATCTACCAAAAGCAACATATACACAGTTGAGACAAATCATAGAAAGCCGTGTATAAAAAAAAGTACAATGAGAATGAAAAAAACCTAAATTTCTAAAAAAAAAATAACAAGAAATTTTAATGCCCACCAGGAAAATTCCTCTGTCAGAAACTAAGCAGATATGACAGATAATATGAGGGACTTACTTCCCTACTTCTTGGCATTTCTATGGGCTTCTCCAACAATCCAACTGCTTTTCGAACACTTTCTTCATCTGCAAACCATTCATCGTGCACCCTATTTACACTCCTGTGCAGTAAAACGATGACAAATAAATAAGATCACCATGGATAACAAATTACCACTAGAGTCGGTAGATAAAACAAATGACCGGCATTGCAATAAGTTTATTTTAAGAAAAATAAAAAGTAACTACAGAGAACTGATAGTAAATTAGATATAAAAACAGTTTGCTCTCCTTCCAAACCAATCAAAGAAATTTCTCGTATGTGCCAGTAAGCCAGTATTTGAATCCATACAAGCGTATTTTTCTTATGAGCGACAAAGATTTAAATAGGTTGCATTGAACTAGAGCTAGAAAATTCCAGCGACCAACCCGATCTCTCTTAACTGGATCATAGGCAATCCACATTACCTAACTTGAAAAATTCTGAACATATCGGTGGTTATGCATACAAGTGTACTTATGATTAGGGTAAGACCACCTAATAACAGTTTTCAGGTTTCTTTAGGGCTTGCCTAGGATTTCCCCAATAACTTTTAGAAGTACATGCTCATGCACAATCAGTTCTCGAGCTTGACTGGACTAGGGCCAATTATAAATACTTTGACTTCAATCCAGGGAAAATTTAACCGATTAATTATGAATTTGAGCCACGGAGAATTGATCCATGGCCTGACAGAAACAACTAAGTTCCAACCCGACAGGGATCACATGGAAAGAGATACATGAAACCTATACTGCATCCAAACATCTATTCATCCGCAGGTATCACTCCAATCTAGGAGGTGGGATAAGGATATCTAATTAGCCTTTGATTTAAGCACCACTGAATAAGAGGGGAAGATGACAAGTTGGTGTAGTTGAGCATGCTTAGAGACAAAAAAAAAATTCAATAAAAATCAGAAAATCAATCTTTTGGGATGGCATTTTTCTGCAATAGGAATGCTGAGCATGTGCTGCTCTTTCACAATTCTCGTGCAGAGGTTATTTCTGGACTTTAACTGACACTAGAAATTTTAATCGGATGATCCTCCATCCACTAAATAAACCATTTTATAGCGAAGTGTAATGTTAAGGATAAGGATTCACTACACAACAATTTAGGAGATGGAGTATAATATAGGAAATGAAGAGTGTTGTTAAAAATGAAAAAGAAATCCCATAAATGGATTTTTTTTAATCCAATAAACTCAATAACCAAATGAATTGATGAAGAACGAAAATTCGATTTCCCGGAAGAAGGAGCACAATAAGCCAGTACCACTTGGATAAAGCATACCATTTATAATGGCGAAGAAGTATGCAGGCATCGTCTCTAGACATTGAGAGCACTTGAGATACCCTATTTATGTCCTCCATTTGAAGACGAATTATATCATGTTCACCTAAGATGGTATAGTTCTGCAAAAGAAATGGTAAATATTAATTATATTCGATGAAAAAGTAATAACAAGTCAAGAATCGTACAAAAACATAGATGTCACAAGATTAACTACTCGCACCCTTTGAAGACAGTGAATCCATCAAGAACAAAACTTAACCGTAATTTCCTATCCCCAAGGGCTTTGGTCCGACTAATTTCCAAGGGAATTTAAATTAAATTATTTTGCACTTAAGCCATCATCTGCTTCAAAGCGAAAACAAAACTGGGCCCTCGCCAAAAGAAAGAAGCAAATTAAAGCAAACACAGAAATCGTCAAGTTCTCCGGTAAGTAGGATGATTTCTTGCCAAAGATAATCGGGAATAGTTGCCTTTCTAAAGGCCGAAAGTTAAGCATGATAGAAGGAGAGGAAATCATCGGCAGAATGGAAGGCACAGATTGGGAAAGCTCCCACTAATTGATTCCCACCTGATGCCGGTGGTAGATGATGTCGTCAGAGTCGTCGGAGTCATTCTCCACGAATCCGTAGTCGGCATCCCCTTCGTCGCTCTCCATCCCCGTCCCCCCACTGTGGAAATCGTCGTCCTCCGAGTCCATCACCACCCCCCTAACAATCCCCCTCCCCACACGTAATCGGCCTTCTCCAAGAAAATCTTCAGCCCGGCAGGAACGCGGCGACACAGCCGAGGCTGATTAACCGACGGATTCTGAATTCATCCCCGAATAAAGGTTCATAGTTCGGAGGAAATCAATCCGCGCATCAACACATGCTTAACGTCGTCTGAGCGGAGAGAGAGAGAGAGAGAGAGAGAGAGAGAGAGGGAGGGGAAGGCAGAGAGAGAAAGGTGGCCGTCAAAGAAGCGCGACATTTCGGGCAATAACAATGCTTCTTACTGTTCGGACAGACACTAGACCGCCAAATACGGAGCTTGTCTCAGTGCACAGAGCAACGGGCCGGGCCACCATGGGACGAGCGGTACCCGGCCCATTTTTACCTATCCCTAAAATGGAAAGTTCTATAGACGTGGTGAGATCTGCCGAAAGGTGTCAGAACGGAGGGGGTTGCTGTCCGCTGGGGGCCCCAATCACGCCATCAGCGCAACCCAGCACGAGGAACCCGCCGTCGAGTCTTCTCTTCAACCGTTTCCTCCACATCTCCACCGGTCAGTCTCTCCCTCACGTTCAACGGAGAGGCTGCGCCGATTAGAGTAGAGCCGAATGGCGTTCCCCTTGCCCACACTGGTGGAAGGTAGCGCGTGGAGTAGGCCCACTGTGATGATTTCGGTATGTAGGGTGTGGAACTGCATCACTTGCATGAGTGCGACACTATGGTCTCATGTGCACGCGCATGATATCTGTGCATTGACATGGCATAATGCTGCGTGGCAACAATGGTGGGTAAGTGTTGGGGGTGTGTAGAGGCAAATACATATGGTATGGTCACTGCCAAGTCATAGTGAGGGTCATAACACGTTAGGCCGTTGGTTATAAGAGAGGTAAGATGGATTGTAGGTCATTTGAGGGTTAAGTAGGGATAATTAGGTCAAAGTCGTACGAGGGAGAATGGGGGTTATTAGGGTTAGGATGGGGTGAGAGAAGGTGAGGAATAAATGCATAAGTCTATACCATAGATGAACAATCAAGTAATATCATATTTCGTAGAATTCACTTTTCTTGAAGAGTGCGAGTCCACTTTGTGTGACACTTTTGCGAGGTTGATTAGATCTTAAACCCTGTTGCGACTCTATGTGTCATAGGAGCCTTGGTGCACCAGCCATGAGTTGAGCCTCTTATGGCCTCTAACTCGTAGCTACTCCGCGTGACGGTTGGTAGTTAGGGAATGGCGTCCGACCACCGGGTGTCATAAGGGCCTTAGCGCACCAGCCGCGCCACGCTCGACGCTGGCGCAAGCCGCCGCGAGCTGCGTGGGGGCGGCGGCGTGCCGGACGGGCGCGTGAGGCCGTGAACGGGAGGTGGCAACGGCCCGTATCGCGCGCGTTGCAACACAAAAGAAAGGGAGGAGATTTGTGATGATTTTGATATTTTTTCTATTAGGTAATCCATTATCCTTATGCATGAAAATAATTAATTCCGTTGTTATAGTTGGACTGTACTATGGATTATCTCTTCCTTCTTCGAGCTTGGGTTATGGAAGAAGGAACCGAAAAGCACCACGGTGCTGCGCTGCGCGTTGCCACCAACGTTGTGCATGGCGGCGTGGCGCCCGTCCACGTTGGCCACTGCCGCGCGCGCCACGGTGCCGCGCTGCGCGTAGCCGCTCACGTTAAGTGTGGTGTGTTGGCGGCATGGTGCGCGTCTGGATGGGGCACAGCGGGTAAGAGTTTCCCAGGTGGAGAGGCAACCAGGCGTCGGCATGTTATGGTCAAGGTTCGAGGAAACCTTGACCATCCTTCGGGGGGGTGGGAAGGGTAGAGAAGTGATTCCCAAGGGATCATTGAAGCTTCTTCGTACATACACACTGGTCGGACTCTTCATGGAGAAGAAACCCTTTATTCAAGCAGACAAGCGACTATTCCTCTGGACTTCTCACCCAGCCGTCATCACGCCTCCAGAAGTCTCTTGATGTCCTTCTGCAAGACGAACAACACGAACAGCACCGATCAAATTCGGACACAGATATATACATAGAGATCATAGAGAGAGGGAGAGCGGGAGAGAGGGAGAGAGGGAGAGAGAGAGAAAGAGAGAGAGAGAGAGAGAGAGAGAGAGAGAGAGGATAGGGGCGTATCTCTACCTTGCCCGTCTTGTCGACCAGGAACTTGGTGAAGTTCCACTTGATGCTGTCGCCGAGGAGCCCGCCCTTCTGGAATTTCAAGAACTTGTAGAGGGGAGTTGCGTTCTTGCCGTTCACTTCAACCTGTATATGTGAGCCATCCAATATGAGAATTTCCATTTCGATCTCAAAACCGGCCAAGAAATTGAAACCAGAGAGATCAGGCTCTTTGATGTCTCTAATCAGCTCCTCTCTCTCCGTGTCCATCAATTAGGATCAGTGTTACGTGAAGCTGAAATACTTTCAGAGCCATCATCTCAAGAGGAAATATCACATTGGTCAACTAGAGGCTGAAGCTTCAATGGCGGGTAAATGGGTTTGAACATCATTGCACACAAAAAAAACCTTCAATAACGTTCAAAGACCAATCTAGGCTTCACCCCCTAGATTGGTCTTATACAGTCATGGGGTATCACTAAAACCTGTGATAAACAATGGATAGAATATGGGTATCAACGGGACCGCCCAGGAAAGATGATCTTGATGATTTGATCAAACATAGACCTTTTAAAGTGGAAAGTCAAAGAATCTCAAAGACATGTTCTTAAAAAGAGGTTGAAATATTCTTAAAAAGAGTTTATTCTCTCTTTTTTTCTTTTCTGGATGTTGTCGCCACTTAAAAAGAGTTGTAAATCGCTACTTACTTTGTCAAAGATGGGGAATTCCGCTTTGAATATTGTACAGACTGTTTCCTGGATTTCCTCATTGCTTCCCGATTCTTGACTCCCGAATTGGTTGCAAGGGAATGCCAATATTTCAAGCCCTAAAATTTTTTTATGGGAATTAGTTATTATGATCGATCATAAAATAAAAATGAAGGCGGCCAACGTGGGAAACAATAAGAAAGATCATAGCACGAACCTTGATCTTTATAAGTTTTATACAAAACGTTCAATTCCTTGTAGTTCGAATGGGTCAATCCACTGCCAAACCAAAAAGAAACTCTTAGCAGATAACCACATTTAAAGAGGGGATCCTTCTAACGGGGATGATTTCAATTATGAGCGTCTACAATTGATCAGAGAGAAAAATGAGGCAGAGTTCACATATGATGCCATCTATTTTAAGTAGAAACACAATCAAGAAGCCAATTCTAGGACGAGATCAAATTCTGGTCCCTTAAAAATGTAATTTCCTCAGTGAACGGAGTACCATTTAGATGCGACGTTGACAATGAGGAGAACCTTTCCGCTGTAGGTGCCAAGGCTCACATCCTCGCCACGAATGTCCTGCGAACAACCATGATTCGATTCGTATAAAAGATCTTCGTCTCAACCCGAAGGCCATAGCACCATTAACTAGGGTTCCGCAATCGTGAAACTAGGATCCAAGAAATCTGCGGACGTTTTCAAACTTTCCGCGAAGAACATCCATTAGTAATTACAGCAGGACCTGTGGAACTCCATGACCGATTACGGGGATGGGGAGAAAAAGCAGCAAATCGAGGACCAGAACAAGGGAGAATACCTTAACGGTGAGGTCGTAGATGCTGCTGGGCAGTCCCTCCGCCATTTCACCCCCAGGAAGCGAAATCAGGCTCTGGCAGTGGAAGAGGAGAACAGCGAGGCTCAGAAACAGGGAGGAATAGAAAAGACTGTGGAGTCCGGGCATTTGCACAGGAGGTTTGTAGCTGCCGGCAAGGGTAATCTACTGCAATTTGATGCCTAGTGGGAGACGATCCCGCTGCTTTGTGTGGGGGCAGAAGTAGAGACGTAGACGAACCGGAAGCCGTCAGACGAGTTGCAGAAGACCCGGAAAGAACGAATAATGAGAAAATGCACGCACCGGAGAAATCCCAGCCGCCACTGTTGAGTTTGACCGCTGTGGGCCCCACAGAGAACCGATGCGCCAATAGGGCCCACTTGGACCAATTTGTGCGAGTGCCCATTAATCCTAGCGGGGCCCACCATTAGGGCTGACATATAGTCGGGCCCAGAGATTCGGCACTGGCCAATGCCCATAACATTAACTCCTCTGGGAATAACGGGCCTGGCTAGCCCGATACCCCTACTTGAGGCACTTAACCGCCCGTAAGAGAGTAACTGTGGCGATAATAGTTTGTTAGCATTCTAATAAACTATTAGACCAAATTTAGAAGATAACAGGAGAAAATGATCACCGGGTTTTCCTGCCTATTCTAGTAAGTGCTTCCCCTCCCCGCTCTCCCGCCAAGTACGTTTATTGTGAGGTTCACAGCCTACCTTGGAGGGTCTTAACCAGAGCTGGAAGCCACCGCCAGCTCTTGACTCTCCGCCGCCATCTCCGGTGGCTGCTCCGAGAAGCTGGGGGCTTTTGGGGTAAGCCCGAGGACCTTGAACATCAGCCGGTCAGCGTCGAAGTCATTGTTGGCGGTGGTGAGCAGCTTCTCTCCCGTAAAGATGGAGTTGGCGCCCGCCAAGAAGCACAGGGCCTGCTCGGGCATGGAGAAGCGCACGCGGCCCGCAGAGAGTCGCACCATCGCCTGTGGCATCACGATGCGCGCCGTGGCGATCATCCGGATCATCTCCCAGATTTCAACCGGCTGAAATCAAAATTAATTACACATTTTTCCAAGGAGAATTTGTGTTAGATTTATGGCTCTTAAGACAAAGAATAGAGGGTCGATCGCCAACAATACGGGGTCTGAATGAAGCCGGTTCAGAAAGAAAACTATAATTTATAGAATAATAAATCTTTTAGGGATCAATCTATGCTTTAGGATGTCAGGAATTGAACGTATTCCCGGAATTTTCTTGCTGGCTGGAGAGAGAGAGAGAGAGGAGAGAGAAGTTACCTTCTAATCTTGAAGGGGAAGTAATAAATATTTTAGGGATCAATATATGGTTTATGATGTCAGGAATTGAACATATTCCAGGAATTTTCTTGGTGGCTGGGGAGAGAGAGAGAGAGAGAGAGAGAGAGGTTACCTTCTGATCTTGAAGGGGAGTGCCCTTAACTGGTACGAGTGCATTGATGGGAACGCTCTCCGGATGAGCAGGGAGGGTGGCCAGTGTGTGCAGAAGTCCAACCCGGTCTTCTTCTGCTTCTCCGAGACCGATTATTCCCCCTGTAGAGGCCGAGTTGCGGGTCATTCCATGTAGAAAACTGAAACGATTCATTCCAATTCTGTTTCCCGGTCAAATTCCCAGGTTTTATGACTTGAATATATCCCCTGTTGAGAACATGAACGTATATAGCAACTTGTTGACTTTATGAAAACACTAGTGTTTTTCACTGTATGAACCAACAACCTGAAAGTTTGACCTGGAAGAAGAGAAGCACATTCACTGGGTTGACCTGGACAATAGGCCCAGTCAACGAAAATTAAAATGATTCTAGACCCACAACTTTGCTAAATAAATACGAGAAAAAGGAAAAAGTATGAATAACAGGAGAGAGATGGTTCCCAAAGTCCCGGTCAGGGTTCTTCAGTAAGGAGAATAAGCTCAAGAAATCTACCTGAACAGATGCTTATTCCCGCCTCACGAACAAACTGGAGAGTTTCCAGCCTCTCATCATAGGACCTTGTGGTTATAATGTTGGGATAATACTCCCTCGAGGTGTCAAGGTTGTGATTGTATGCTGTGAGCCCCGCTTTCTTAAGTTCCGTAGCTTGCTGCTTTTCTAGCATGCCCAGAGTGCAACAAACCTCCATGCCCATCTCCCTGTGTCACTTTTGACGTTTAGAGAATTATGCAGCACAGTGCACAGGAAAGCTATGGTCATCTTGGAGGCTCCTCCATGAAAGGAAACAATGCTATATACTGCAACAGGCATAGAGAAGCTAAGTAGGCCTAAACGTACCTTATTTCTTTGACATAGTCAAGGATCTGGTTGAAATTGGTTTTCCTGCCAACTGTGTCTCGCCACGCAGCTCCCATGCAAAAACGTGTGCTGCCAGCATCTTTCGCCTGTGTAACATGAGATGAGATTCCTCACTGTAAGGTGAATTGGAACATAACATCATGCGACAGAGCTATATCCAAGATGTATCTAAGAAAATAAAATGAAAAGATTACACGAAAAAATAAAAGTTGAATCAATGAGTAAAGCAAAGCAACTAGGTACTATCCGATAAAAATATATAATTTAAGGCTGAAATCAGATTCTGAAGGTTATTGGTCATATCCAAAATCTACTTCAGTGGTTACTTGGTCAACTAACATTGCGGCGTTGTTCTAACTGTAACGGATTAACACCATAGGTCAATATTTGTTGGATGAAGGTAAAATGATTGGATGCAGGAGGGTAAAGGAAAGTGAAAAACATAAGTTAGAATTATGGCTTTACGGGGCTTTGGTGGTTTCGTGGTCCCTAATTGGCCCACTATAATCGGTGATGGATCAGAATTCGTAGTCTATAAGAAACGTGGAAGTGTCCTTTGGTCCTTATATCTTACTCTACTTCCCTTTCAAGAAAGTGATGGGGCAGATGAAGAGGGAGGAGCTTAAACGTTGCCAGCACACCAATAGCATACCAATCTTAATGGCAGATGGGACACTGCAGACGGAAGCCAGTGTCAGTCCCACAAATGAATTAGGGATCCCATCGTGCATCTCTCTCTGAATAGGGTAGTAGTGAAAAAAATAAAACAAGGACCGGAAGTGAAGAGAGATTTATCGAGCTCCGTGGTACAGTTTGTGGTGAGCCTAAGAAGCATATGTTGTAAGCTTGATCGCAATAGTCAAATTGCTTTCAATATGTGAGCTTAAACCTGATTTCAACAAACCTTTTTGGGGTCGTATTTATTCACATCCTTTGTTTTATGTACAAATTTCCTATATGAAAAACATTTTTTAGGAGTGCAAAATTTGATGATAGTTCTTTTATATATACTTTTTTTGAATAAGGTTACCAGCAGAGTTAGGAAAGCAACCAAAACGGATACCAGAGACTATAGTAGTCAAGATCCCGTTGGCTGGTGCATCTAGGAACCAAAACATATTTCCCTCCAACAACAGCTTGCACAACTAGAAAGTAGGTTATGTGCCACAATCGCTTTATTGGTATACCAAAGTCAACCGGAAGATAAGCCACTTCTTGCTCACAGCGAAGAGTAGTCTCATCCACTGAAAACGATGACCCACACACTCTATCATCCATCAAATAGAGCAAAGAATGGCTGAGTGAGCGTGGCATACGATGATCTCTAAAATGTATGAAAAATCTAGATCTTATCGGTTACTTTTAGAATATCATCTATCAGACATTATCGGTCCTAAAAGGCATGTATAAGAGTGCAGTAGTTTACAGACGAACGTAATGTGGCAATAGAGGTGGCTACAGATTAAAAAATGAGAGACTGGAAGAAACTACAAGAAATTGTTTAAATAGCCAGCAAGATTGAGTCACGTAAATGCTGAAACATCAGAGGGACATACACCGAAAAGAACATGTCCTTGACTTTTGGGCACCATGGTTCAGTTCCATTGTGTAAACAGACATCCACCCATAATCTGAGATCAGCATGGTCATTGTAATTATCAATACCTTTTTTGCTGCTTGTAGAACATCATCCTTGCTCATAAGCCTTTGAGCCTTCAATCCTGTATCATATCGGGACGATTGTGGACAATATGAACAATCTTCACTACATCCACCTGTCTTAATGGAGAGAAGAGTACACTGTTGCACTTCTCGAAACTTGTGTACGTGCCTATGGACTTGAGCCTAAAAGAAGCAGCACGTAGTAGAAGTCAAAGACTGGTAAAGAAAACAACGGATATATTTTTTTTAATGAAAAGAAAATTAAAGCAACAATCCGAAGAAACTTTCTTAGCCAATGGACAACTACAGTCGAGTAGAGATATTTCTCTCAGGTATCTTGTGAGGCTAGGCTTTACATAGTTTGGCGCCGGCAGAAGAATTACCACTCCCCATGGGTCGTTTCGCCAACCAGTAACTAAATACAGATTCGAAATATTTATGATTCTCTTGAAAATCTACACACGGTTCACTAATTTCTACATTAGACATGATGTCTTATCTTTGAGTTGGAGTATGTGGAAAAGATGCACTAGTGATCGAGATAATGTTGGATTTTTTATAACAAAATGTTGGAGCCATGAATATACATCCCTTAGCAAAAACTGAATTAGATACTAGAAAACCTTTGAGGTGCGCAACAAGTATCCGCAAATGCACAGGGTCCAATGATTCTCAGCACGGGAATCATCTTCCTGCTTGTAGAACTCAAGCAACGAGCCAAACACACAGGTTTACAGATCATGTCCACAGAATTTGGCGGGTTACTAGAAACGGAGGCAGTGTGGTATCTTAAGCGGAATCCCGGTAACGTCTAGTATGGGTTTCAACCTTCATTTGGCAAGAGAGAGGATACATGCGGAGATTAAAGATGAGGGAGATCCATGCGGGGACAGTGCATATAAAAACTCTGATGAATGTCTCCTAGAATGACACATGTCAGATTCCTCGGGAGCCACAAGCCAATGCTTAACACACTTTTAGCAAAGCATCACGAAGTGAACCACGGAAGGAGCAGGAAACTCACGCCATGGAAGAGTAGATCGAGGACGGGAGAATCGTAAATCCCCTTAACCTCGTCCCTGCTCCAGTCGTTCCTCGGCCCCTCCCTTATCGTTCTTTCCGACTGAACGGCCGCTGCCGATGCGGCGGCGGCGGTGGAGAAGGCATAGCTAGAGGACGAGCGTTGGAGGCGCGAGCGGAGAGACCGGATCAGGAGCATCTTCCAATCCGGCGTGTCTGATCTTCTCCCGTATCTTCGCAGAATAAGCGTGGCGTTACACCCGAGGCCCAGAGCGAGATAGAGAGAGATTAGAGAGAGAGAAAGAGTAGTGGCAGCAGCACCACCAGAGCAACTAAGAGTAGAGATTGGGTGTGCGTGCTGTTCCCCTGCTTTCGAATTCGAAGCCGTTATATTCAGTAATCTTCTTTTTCTAACTAAAAAAAAGATAATCGGAAAAAATAAGTAAGAAAGTACTGTTCTGGGAGAGAAGAGAGAGAGAGAGAGAAGGAGAGGGAGGATAGAGAGAGGAGAGAGAGAAGGGAGGGAGGAGAGAGAGAGAGAGAGAGAGAGAGAGGGAGGGAGAGAGATTTCTCTTGAATGACCGGATGGGCCTCTGAACATATCACATCAGGTCCGCACGAATCATTCTTAAGCGGACCGGATCGGTGGATCCACTTTGCCGACAGTGGACCCATTGATCCCATCCCGAGCCTTGATCTGAACTCGGGCCTTCATAAAGCCCGAAAATAATAGTAGCCCTGGTCCCGAACTCGGGCCTTACGTTCCCTCCACCCATCTGTCTCCAGCTGACGGGGTCAAATCCGGGCCCAAAGTCAGCCCGATTAAACAGAACTCGGGCCTGGTTCAGGGCTTGCCAAGGCTCGGACCAGATCCGGCCCGGCCGGGCTCGTTCTGTTAGATACCGGTTTTGATTCCACCGACCTTTCTGATTAGATGAGTACAAAAAATAGTACTAAATTATTTTTAATAACTTCCGGATTATTCGCCTTCCCGTATAAAAGTTACCAATATCGCCAACCGTGTGAGATGAAGCCACGTCATTAATCACGTAACCATGACCGTCCGATTATTGAACTCGCATTCTGTGACGGACGGTGGGATTCAAACTGGGCTATAAATGCTCAAAACTCCCTCTCCGTCCCCACGCGATCCCTTTCTCTCTCTACCTCGTTCCGTCTTCGTCATGGGCTCTGCCACTGAGACCAGGCCCGGGTTGCCGGCGAAGCCCACCCGTAGAGGCGGCGGCGGGGACGCCGCCGCAGCCGCCGCCGTTCTCGGGCCCGTACCGCCGGCGGAGGGCGCTAGGAATGGCCAGGGCTTCAGGAGTTTTAACGCCGGCGGCGACTCCGACGGCAACAACCCTGGTTCATCGGCGTCGTCGTCGACAATGCGCCCCATCTCCTTGGACGGATCCGAGGAGGATGCTGCTCTCCAGGGAGCGGAGTACCTGTCGAGGAACGAGGTGGCGCGGCGCCGGTTGCGGCGGGGGAGGCAGCTGATGAAGCTCTACAAGAGGCTGTACTGGGGCTTGATTGAGGAGGTTAGGGTTCGTTATCGGAATTACTACTGGCAGTATGGGAGGAGCCCTGTGGAAGAGGAGGAGAGCGGATCGGAAGGGGAGGGGGAGGATAATGGTGGATTCGCGTCAGGAACGATGGATGGCGAAGGAATGGGTGAGAGCGGGAGGGCGGGCGAAGTCGGGGGCAGCAGAAAGAGGGACAAAGATCGGTGTGCTTTTCCTGGGTGTAAAACGAAGCCGATGGCATTGACGATGTACTGCCACCCCCACATCCTCTCTGACCCAAGACAGAAACTGTATAAACCCTGCTCTTTCCCCATCAAAAGGTATGCCTCGCTCACCCTTTGTAAATGTGAGACATATACCTACAGATATAGATACATCGCAATGTGGATTCTGATATGCTTACTTATTTGTTTGTTTTACTGCGTTTTCTTGTGGCTTTTGGGCTCTAGCTCGAGGAACATTGCTTCTTCTGTAGATGTCTTTTGGGTCCATCCTCAGGCTTTTTAGTTTTTCCGGCGTTGAACAGGCACCTGTCTTCGTATATGAATTTCGGCTGGTTTTTTCTATTTTTGGTGCATTATACAAGAACCCGAGGGTATGCTTTTATATGTTCCTCAACCAAGTTGTTTCCATCCAAGTTGCAGCCTCTTCTTCCCTTCTCTCTCTCTCTCTCTCTCTCGGATTCTCTTACACCACCTCCTTTCACTGTGTCTCCGCTTGTATCGTCTCTTCTAACGTCTTGAGACCCTGAAAGTCATCTATCGATACCTTTTTATTAATCCCTTTGGCCCATTAGGATCGTCTATGAAATGGATGGACTATGCTTGCTTTAATCCCATCAATTTTTATTTATTGAATGTTTAAATCCAATTTAATTTAATCCAATTTATTCTTTATTTTTTCCAGTTTTGACCCGTGTCAACTTATTTTATTCATCTCATCCGTCTCAGTAGATCAAGATTATTTGTTATTGCTACTCAGAAGAGATCATACCTCTTAGCGTCAGGACTAACGATCGCTATAATATCTTCTTAATTTCAGCTCTCACTCTGGCCCAGTAATCTGTGGGAAGCCGATTCTCTGTGCTCCTCAACTCTCGTATTGCCCCACCCACGTTCAGAAAGCTCAGAAGAATGTGTCACAGGCACTGAAAAGAGCAGGGCTGTTCCATAATTCTAGCAGGCCTCCTCCAAGGATCAACGTTATAATAGCCGAATGTGTCCGCCAGATCCAGGCCAAACGAAGAGAAGCACAAAGGGCTCTAGATGAAGAAGAAGCTGCCGATGTTGAGGAATTGTCTGGTGATGACTGAAGAAGGCTCGTTTGACGTTGACATCTCAGGATCAGATCAGAATGGCTTCAACTCGAGCATCCCTTCTAAATCTGGGTACTACCCATTAAGCGGTTCCTTTTCCTTCAATGGGCTTTCCTTTTAAACATCTATCAACATCCTGAAGAAGATTCTTTGCAATTACAGGTGTTGTAGAGGAACAAGGAAGGACAGATAGTCCCAGTGTATAGCGCCAGTTGTGATCTCCTTAGCGCAGCAGTTGACTCTAATGGGGCCTTTGACCAAGAGCGCAGAGGGATTCTAGAATGCAGCTTTCGAAGGTGTTGGATCAGATGCACGTGGGGAATCCCGTGCCACTTCTTCCAACAGATTTATATTTGCTGGATTAATAAGAATTCCATCCATTTATAGTATCCTATGCTTTGTCTACGAGCTGAGAGGTTCAAGATTGCAGCTTTCTAGCTTGTTGAATTGAACCCACATGGGAAATATTGTGCAGTTTCTACAAAAGATTCAAATTCACTGGATTAATAAAAAAAATTAATCCATGTTCGTACAAAGGTAACCATGTCTGCACTCTCTCTCTCTCTCTCTCTATCTCCTCCGCTCACTAATTTTTCTCTGAATTTAAGTGAAAATAACCGTCCTCTAATTTACGAGGTTCAAAAAGGCTCAGTATTTTAGTATAAAAAATGTACTGTTTAATCCCTCGGTAGGTCTCTGGAGCTGTAGTCTCTGCTGCTGGAGTGCCTCCTGTGATGGTGTCGCCGAGGCTCGTAGGAGTCAGACTCTCTGCGGTGCGAGCCAGCCCGCCTTGTGGGGGACCTTTCTCTCTCTTCCCGTCTTCCCCTCTTCGACGTTTCTTCTCTCTCTGCAGGGGCCTTCCTGCGCGCTGGAGGCGAGTCATCCCTCTCCCCTCGCATTCTCTCTCTAGGATGGATGTCCTCTCCGTCGATAGCGCTGCGTCTCGGGGGCGAAGGTACCTGAGACGAGCAATGAGAGGGAGAGAGAGAGAGAGAGAGAGAGAGACAGACAGACAGAGAGATTACGTTACCTCGTAGCGTGAGAGGTATCTGCCCTCCGGGGGAAGCGGGATGCCCAGTCGTTTCAGGTCATCAAAAGGAATGGGTCGCCTGATTGACAGAAGACATCAAAATATAGAAACTTTTCGCCAAGGAAGAACACTTGAAGCAGACTGAAGCAATGAATCGGAGACAGAGGAAGAGGAACCATACAAAGGGGCACGGAAAGGCCTCTCTCGTCCCCCAAACCGAAGCTGCCCAGACTCTTTTTTCCCTCCTAATCCCCCTCCTGTGGACAAAGAAAACTAATTTACTATGATTTAATTCAACCCAGATGAATTAATCAGCAGATCAGAAGACCTAATCTCCTGGGGATCCATCCGGGCATCAGCTGCTGGCGGCTATAATCTACGATGATCTCGCTGTCATCGACGAAGGAGTGGTGGGCTTCCTGCATGGCGTTCCAAGATGAAACGAACTCATTACCAGAGCCATTGAAATGAACCAAGCAGATGGATGGAGATGCTATGGATTCAAAGGGAAAAAAGAAAACCATGAAAGGATATGAATACCTTGTAGGCGCGGCGCATCTCTTGGTCTGTTTCAAACTCGATAAAGGCATAACCTCGGGAGGCACCAGTGACTGCAGGAAGAAGCCAGGACCATCTCAGATGCATGCCACAACGTTTGGAGAAAGATAGCATACGATCCACAGATGGGAGGGGATGCAGGCCATTGTAGAGTTGTTGTTGCATGGATTTGGGTTGACTTACAGCCCAGAAGGTGAGTTTCTAACTGTTTTGCTTTGATGATCTTTCTAGTACAATCTTGCTGATAAAACTATAACTAATATGCCAAGGATGTGGTAAGCAACAGCCTATCTATGGAACGGATATCGATCCACTCAACGAAGTTGATGCCTCAGAAGAGTAGCCAAGTAGCAGAAACTATGATGCATTATAAAAAGGAATTTTTTTATCATTTCACTCTTAACTTACCCTCAAACTCTCAACCAGGTTGATTTTGATGAATCGAACGCCTATAATAATACTAATGAGGGACCCTGATATTAGTTTTTCCCATAAGAAAAAGGAATTTTACTAGCTGATCGAGGGCAAAGTAAAAATCAACACAAAACCCTATATATATATAACCCAAACAAAAAATGCGGATGTTTCGGACTTGGATCTTCCAAAAGACACCCAAATTCGGATCAATCAATGATAACAGTCTAGCATCTTAAAAACTTGGTCTGTTCTTCAGCAAAATACAGACCCTTTTGTCTACTCACAAATATGATGGATTTAATTATTCTTTTTTCTTCATTTCGTTATTTTCTAAGGAAACACATTCAACCTTCACACCCAATATTTTGATCTCTCAGTCTCCAAATAAGTTTTTGAGAAGAAGAATATATAGATATCATATGCGAAAACAGAGTTTGCTTGAGGCCCTGACAAGGTTATATCTTTATCTGTGGGAATATAATTCATTATGGTTGAAGCTTAATCTAGAGAAGCTCAGTTCTTCAGCTCACGTCAGACAGCAGTGAACGATAAATTAAGGGAAATATAGTGTCTACTGTGATGGAGACCATCTATATAAAGAACTCGGTCAAACTATCTTGAGGGATGAACTAAATAACCAAAAAAAAGAAGGTGATAGTACCTAAGATTTGACCGAGTTCATGAAAGTACGATGGTACCATAGTTTATGAACTAGGACTGGTTGAAAGCATCGTAACCCCAGTTCTTGAATCCATTTGTGTCAATACAAGTTTTTAGAACTAATGAGGTTGGGCTATTGAGGTCAAATATAGAAGGTACATTACCGGCCAATATTTTTCCATTGACATGCTTTGCAACTTTTGATGGCTAAGAACATACTTTGAGAATGTATGATTTTGTATCAGTTACAGATATCTGGTACTGTCCAATAAGGTTCTTTACAGGTTCAGCTTAGATACTCACATTAGCTTTATGCGAAATATTTAGTAGCATCTAAGATAACCAAGGAACTGTGGAATTATGTAAATCAGTCATTCAGAAGGCATACCTATGTGCCTGACCAGTCGCAGGTTCTTCACTCTTCCATACCTTTTCATCGCCTGGCAAGAAGAACTCGACCAATGTAAGCGGCCACTGCTCAGAACCCTCAAACGGGGAGAGAGAGAGAGAGAGAGAGAGAGAGAGAGAGAGAGAGAGGGGTTAGTTTAACCTTTCTCAGGGTATCTTCAGTGGTAAAATGCGAGAGGTGACCAACGAAGAGAGTGCGGTAGGGATCGCCGATAACCTTCGAGTCGCCAAATGGGTCGTCTGGAAGAAGAACAGGAATGCAAGGAATCAATTGAATTTCTCAGAAGAAATAGGAAACCTTCTTCTGGGCTGCCGCTGGTGAACACATACATAAACCCGCAGATGAGCACAAGAGGGCCCTGTAGATGGCGTTGTCATGGGGGAGGACATCGGTCCCGTCGATGCTCCCCGCCTGAATCGGATGGTATGACTCAGCGTAGAAAACCTTGTTCACGTTGTCCCTGCTCATCTCTCCCACCCCACGCCTTCTCTCTCTCTCTCTCTCTCTCTCTACGTCTTCCGTCTTCCTCTCGTATAAAGCGAAGCCGGTGGGGGGGGGGGAAGGAGAACGGAGCCGAATCGCCGCCTCGGGGGGTCCCGACTCGGGACCGGGTCAGGCGCGAGTCGAGCTATCCGCCGGCGAACGTGGTCCAACCCTGACCCGACACGTATTTTTCTAGTTTTTTAGTTTAATTTTGGAAAAACACCATCATTATGGAAATGTACACGCGGTAGAAAAATTACGTCAATCCATTGAAATATGGTATGCTACCAGCGAATATTTGAGACAAGAAATGAATCCTAATTTTTGGGCCCCAGATTTAGAGTGCAGAAGGACTTCTTGTCTCTGAGGTTCGCAGGATTTAAAGGACGCTACTAGTTTTTCCTTTTCAGCAATAATGCATGTATTTTAAATAAATACTATCCAAATTATTTTAAATAATAATATCCAACTCATTTGATAATAAAATACATATATGACGCTCATTGGTCACTCATGGGGGATTACCAAACGCAGCACTGTCGTCTTTTAATTCCTGTCATGTCGGACAGCGGCGCCGCCGCCGCTCACCGGAGGGCGGGGCCGCTCCATCTCCAGCGACGGCGGTTCTGATCCAAAAAGAGGCCTCTATTCATCCCTCCGAGATGGAGCAGAAGAGCATATCTGATCTGTCATGCGGCAAGGATCAGTCCTCCGACTGCCCGAAGAACCTCCCGGAGATGGCGATGAGGATGTTCAGCCTGGCGACCTCTTCGTCGGCCGGATCCGTCTTCCTCGCGAGGAGTGCGGAGCTCCTCCTAAGCAGGCGCCGCATGCAGGAGCTCATCTCGGCGTCGAACGGCGAGTCCACCGCCGCGCAGAGAGCGAAGATCCACAGGCATTCGTCCCTCGACAGAGATCCGGTGGTCTCCAAGATCCTCACGTGGCTCCTCAGCTTCGCCGCTCTGCCGACGGGTGGCATCCTCAAGATTGAGGACAGCGTCGGGCAGGTCTTCCTATCCTCGAGCCCTTCCGGATCCCCTCCGCCGGTTCCTCCGTCGACCGCCGCCATCGCGAGCTCGCAGTTGGGAGAGCTCTCGAGCTCCGAGAAGACCTGATCCCACGAGAAAACCAGACGCTATACTTAAATGAACAGGCGTGATCCTTGCAGATTCCCAGCCATGAACATAAAACTGTAGATGAACTGCAATCCCCGAACAGAATCTGATCATGTTCATATTTCTAGACTGATTCATGGATCACAGACTAATTCCCGCATAAAATCTCATCATCCGGCTGATTCTGGACCAATCCTTAGCCAAACTCTAACATAAGGACCAAATATTCATACACATTCATAAGATATCATCTTGTTTTTTTATGAATTATGGACATCAAAACAGAATGGAAGATGATACCTTTCTGAGATCGGAAAACTCGGCGAGAAATTGGTCCACCCATATTCTCGACGGCCTCAGATTATCCGGACACTTGGCGATTTCGGGAATCTTGGGCATGTAGGGCGTCTGTTTATCACTCCATTTGCTCTTGTCTACCTTGGCGACCCTCACTCTGGGCATCTGGGCAGCTTCCCACCTACAGAGGCAGCGGATGGATGAACAAACACTCAACAGAGTTGACTTTAATGGTTTCTAGAAGTTTTTTCCCCACACCCTCCTCTCAGCTATCAAAACATTATCATATTGCCTCCTAGCTAGCTCTGTTCTTCGAAAAAAAGAAAAAGCAGATATATTCTAATTTATTTTGTTTTCCATGCCAATGTCTTCTTCTAATGCAATATTTGGGAACTATTTACCTCATTCTTTTAGTTTTTTTATTCATCCAAGAAAAATGGCAAGGCTAAGATCTTCCATGATCTCATCAAAACAACGTTTGCTCATGAATGATGGCTATCTTGAGATCATCAAACCCTCCAAGAAAAAAGGAAATTAATTTATTTTCAAGTTAATCTCTGTCCTCAAGGATTACCTCACACGCCGGAGGTACTCCAAGCCATCTTGAGGGGGGCCAGACTCAAAATCAGGCTCCCCTTGAACGGCAAATGCAAGGTGCTGGAAGCTGCCGTCTTCGTCGTCGCTGTCGTACTCATCGCATGCTTCTAGTTCCTCAGCTGCCCAGCTCTCCTCATTCCAGTTCCTGCCATGCAGAAGTCCTGACAGATCTGATGCACCGAAAGCTTCTCCCATTTGCTCCACAAACAGCTCACCTGAAATGAACAAGATAAGAGGAAACTATAGAATTCTCCATTTGGATGCACAAACATTATTATTCCTGATTATTAATCAATGCCCATTAATGTTATCTAAGAGATTTTATCAATCACTAGTAGATAAACAGCTACTTTCTCCCAATCACAGGTACAACGCATGTTTGCTTGCAAGAAATGATGTCCTTGTTCATAGCTTCTTCACCAATGGAATGTAGAGACAGAAGCCCATCAAATCGGGTCGATTGGACTAGATTACCAGAGGAAAAATCATCATAAATACGAGGTAAAGCAACTATTGAGCAGCTTTAATCAGTTGCCAACTTTCTTGCTAGATTGGGTAGAAGCATGTTGATTTCTCTCTTCCTTGTTTACAGAGTTTTTCTTCTTCTTGTACCCAAAAATGGAAGTCAGCTTACGTTCTATCTGAAACCCAGGAACAGGTCTGAAGAGAAAAAATGCCACATTTATTCTAGAATGGAAGGAGTTATGAGCTTACTCTTACCACAAATGGGCTCCTTCCTCCTCTCCCAGCGCCTCGGCTGTTCTTGATTCCTGTTCATCTTCTTCTGACCGTCCTCTGCCAGTTTATCGTATTCTTGGGAAACTCCAGAATCGAGGCCCTGGTATACTTGATGCCACTTTCTCTGCTGCTCATCGACATCGGCAAATCTCAGAGCTTCCAGGTCGCCCCTCGGATATCTAGTCACCATTCCTTCACCGGAGGTTCCGCACTCGGCGTGATGATCGGCAGTCGCCGAGGTCAAGACGGAGAACTCGCCCTCCGCTGCGTTGAGCTCGCAGGTGGAGATGTTTTCCTTCATTTCAATCAGCTCCGAATCGTCGATGGAGCCATCTCTCGGGCAACTCGATGGGAATCCTTCCTGGTAGGAGGCCTTCACTTCAGAGACCTCCGTTCCTTCGCCCGCAGGGACATCCCCAACCTCCTCGGCGCCCGCTCCCATCTCGTCGAGGAACGAGCTTGAGAAAGCTCGACGGGAAGCTCTACAGGAGGATGATCGATGATATTAGGGTTCGTCGCCGCAACCGGACGTGTGGGAGGAGGCCCGTGGAAGAGGAGGCGAGCGGATCGGAAGGAGAGGAAAGGAAGGTTGAGGGAGGCCAGAGACTAGGGCTTTGAGCAGGGTTTATAGGAAGGAGAAGTAATTAGGCCGAAGAAATGAGGGCGTAAATGGGAAACTGCGATACAGAGCAGGCGCTCGTCTCGATCGTCGTCGTCATCATCCACAACCGTTGCAGCAGGAACAGAGGTCGATCAGAGATGCCGAAAGAGAGGAGCGACAGTGACACAGGCGTCGAGAATCGCCGGCGCAACCCCTTCCTGCCTTCCTTCTGTGGCTTCCTCTTCCCCTCAGTAGCGACTACACACACGCGACCGGAATAATCTGGTCCAAACCCCATATCTTTAAACCTGTGGGCTGAAGCAGGCAATCCTTCTCGGGGAGAAGGAAAGAAAGAATCCCTAAATCACATTGGAACATCTCTGTCTCTAATAAAGGAGAGAAGAAAAGGGAAGAACCGAAGACAGCTCCAGGTCAACCATCGCCGCATTCAAAGACAACCTTAAGAATCCATAAATCCCCATTGAAATACTGAGAAGCCCTCCAGCTTCAAAGCGCTGCCATTGCTAATCAACGAAGCAAGAGAGAAACCAACATGAGCAAGACTCCCTTGAAGACCTTTGAATAAGATGATGGCAGATGATTATACAAAGACATAAGATGATGTACTCTCTCTTAGAGATGGAGGGGAAGAAGGAAAATAGAGGGATGGAAAAAAGAGACGACAGTTCCTCGGAAGGTTTGACTAAAAACAGACGAATATCATCGCCAAGAAGCAATCTTGGCATCCCTTCACGCTCTGGAAGTTATCAATAAATTCTATGGGCCAGGCAATCGGCCGGAGATTCTCTTCAAATGGGCACAATCGAATTGAATACATTCGTTCGATCTCCTCACCATCTGTTTCCAATCAAGATGATGATGATGACGGTCACAACGACGTTTCAGAATCTGCTGTCACCCGGTTCACCTATGGAATTGGGGTTTTGCCCAATTTATGGAGGCATCTTCCCAAATCCAATGTTGGTAATAATAATACGGCGAAGATCCTTAAAGAAGCCTGTTGACTGAGGATATACCCAGAATATTTTTGCCAGAAATAGCAATGAGATCAGCAGTGGGATCCTGCAAGAAGAGAGAAAATGAAACCGTCGTTGAATGATTGCTCAGAATTTTGGGGTGAAAGAGGAGAGAAATAGAGCCAAAAGGAGATGAGAACATACCCACTGCAGCGGAGCTCGTTGGAGCTTCATTGGTTGTCCCCCCCAGAATTTAATTAGAAAACTGGGGTCGACTGGGGAATATTAATGCCCATCAACCCACAAGCAGAATTCTGCAACCCACTGACAGTACTTTAGTGATAAACTAATTTAAACTAATTTTCTATAGTACATCAGCCTTCATCACAAAATTTAATTAGAAAACTCGGTTCGGGAAGGAGTATGAATATCCATCAACCCATCAGCGGGAACCTGCAGCCCGCTGTAGCTATTTTAATGAAAAATATCAAATATAGGAAAAAAAATATATTTTTGGGGGCGACTAAGGAGCTACCTGCAATGGGCCTCTCATGCTTCAAGGAGTTCTAGTCAGGAGCTAGAAAAGTTTCTATCATCTCAGTCTCCAATTCAGCTGACCGTTGATTTCAGTAATCAGCAGCTGATTTTTGGTTTGAGGAGCACCAGATCCCGGTATTTAGGATGGACATTCATCAAAATTCCTTAGGTCTGTTGGATTCTTCTTCTTTGGGATTATGCCAGTCAATATCCTGTTCATACAACCAAGATGAAGGATAAATTGGTCACTGGAGAACAAAAAAAAACAAAAAAAAATTGAGACCAAAGGCTATAAATTTCAAGATTTTATGAGAGAGACGTTAGACGTAGAGAGAGAGAGAGAGAGTTGCAACGTACCATGTAGCATAAGCTGTAAGAAATTTGAAGAGCTTCGTCCCATTTGTTGGCCATAAAGAGCCCTTTGATGATCCCAAAGAAGACCGAAAATTCAGGAACAGCACCACTCCTTGTGACCTCGGCATACAATCGAAGAGCCTCCTCCAGCTTGAATGTCATGCAGAGGGCTTCGATCAAAGAACAATATAAATCCTTATTTCTATAACCGGTATAAATCGACGAGCTGCTCAGCAATTCCCTGTGCAGCTCCAAGGCTGCCTCCAGCCTTCCAGCCTTGTTAAGCCTATCAATGAGCAAGCAGTAGGCAGGCAAAAGGGGTACGGGCCCACTGGCCGGCATCTCTTCCATGAGCCCATGCAGGCTGAGAAACTCCCTGCTGAATCCTTGGATCACCTTCTTGTACCCCGACACATATCTCGGCCAGTGGGTCTGCTTCATCTCCTCTAGAAATCCACGGGCTTCGTCCAGAAGCCCAGAAGCACAGCAATGGCTTATCAGAACCCTGTAAGTGACAAAATTGGGGGCACAGCCCTTTGCAGTCATCTGGGTCAGGAGTTCGAGCGACCTCTTGACTAGACCAGCTTTGCCAAATCCGTTGATCATGGCAGTATAGGTTACCACATTCGGGTCACACCCTTTCTCCTCCATCATCAGCAGCAGCCTGTGAGCCTCCTCAACCTTCCCCAATTTACAGAGCCCATCAATCATCTCAGTGTAGGTGACGACGTTTGGAGGGCAAGACTCCTCCAACATGCTGGACAGAACCTTCAGCACAAGATCGAGCCTTCCATCCTTGAACAGCCTGTCGATCAAAGAGCTGTAAGTGTACACATTTGGGGTGTATCCACGGGCTGCCATCTTTGTGAAAACCTCCTGGGCTTTGTCCAGCTTCCCAATCTTGCAGAAGCCATCTATTAGCGCATCATAGACCTCATGATTTGGCTCACAGCCAGAGAGGGACATGGCGTCCAGGAGCTCATGAGCCTCAGCTACCTTGTTGGCCTTGCAGAGACCATCAACCAGAGCCCCGTAGGTGAAGACATTTGGTTTTATTTTGTGGGCATCGCCTCCAACGAATACATCATCCCCCTTAACACCACCATTTCCCCTCATCCTCGTATAAACTTGGCAAGCCTTATCAATCTCGCCTGCTTTACAAAGCCCATCAATAAGGGCGGTGTAAGTGACCACATTTGGCTCGCATCCTGCACTAACCATGGCCTGAAAGAGCTCATTTGCCTCCACCAAGCGCATGGACTTCAGATAACCATGGAGAAGCGCAGTATAAGTGACCACATTTGGAGTGCAGCCATCTCTCATCATCCCATCAAACCAATCCCGGGCCTGCTGAATCAAGCCCACCTTACAGAAGCTGTCAATTAAGATTGTGTAGGTGTAGACATCAGGAGTAACGCCATTCTCCTTCATCTCCTCAAACAGGAGCAAGGCCTCCTCAACCTTGTGGGCCTGGCAGAGGAATTCAATCACCCTTCCATAGGTGCCAGCATCAGGCACAAATCCCTTGTTCATCATCTCCTTGATGACCGAAAAGGCCGCTCGAAACTTACCAAAGGCACAGAGGCATTGTGCATAGTTGCCGGCATTTACCTTATTAAGCACGAAGCCCGCATCCAGCATCTCCTTGTAAGCTTTCTCCGCCATTTCAAACTTCTCAGAGCTTGGTGAATCGCCACTGCTGCAAATTGATCCGATGAATATATTGTACGTAATGTAGCCAGGTCCACAAGCACAAGAAGACATTTTTTTAAACAGTTTATATGCATACGAGTAATCCCCCGAGCTGCAGTATGCATGAACAAGGGAATTGAATAAAGATGAACTGGGATGGCATCCTTCCATCATCATCATCTTAATTATCCTCTTACACCAACCGAGTTGCCCTTTTCTCAGGAATCCCGAGAGCAGAGTCCTGTAAGTCCCCACATTAGGGAGACATGAGACGGACCTCATCCTGTCCAAGAAGCCCATAGCTTCCTCAAATAGAGAAGCTTCAACTAGCCCCTGGATCATTTTGGTGTATAGATCGGTGTCTGGTGTGAAATCTTCCTTCTCTATGATATTCAGAGCCTCGACCCACCTCCCCTCCTTGCACAGAGAGCAGGCAAAATAACCCATAGTTACGCTGTCCATGAACAAACCCGACCTCGACATCTCCAAGTGAACCAGGAAAGCTGAATCTAACCTTTCGGCCTTCAAAAGGACCTGAATCAGGGCGTTATATGTCGTCCTTGTGGGCTTATACCCCCAGTCCTTGAGCCTCCCCAGTTCCTCCAGGGCTTCATTCCAGAGTCCTCTCCTACAACACTTGAGGACTAGAACATTGAGCAGCCTGCCGAGGACTTCTCTGTCGTCTTCTCCCACTTCCCTGAGAAATTTTTCAGGGATTCTACTGCTTCTCCGGGATCCTAATATCTCCAACAGCAATTCGCAGGTACCATGGTTATGTTGGTACCCAATCTGCCGACCAGCCCATATGAAGAATCTTACCGCCAATTCAGGATCCTCAACAAGTCTTAGAACCTCAGACACCAAAGGCCCGTCGAGCTTTCCTCTGAATTGGCGGAGAAAGCTCTGGGTCTTATCGTCGAACACGTCGCGCGCGGACCTGATAACCTCGGAAATGGCAATGGCGGCCTCCCTCGAGCCTCCTGGATCAATGGACGGGGATCTGGAGGCCTTCCCCCCGACGTCCTTAACAGTATCGTGCAGAAAGGCGAAGTCCTTGGCCGACAAGCCCCCTTGGCACTGCCCATGTCGCCTGAGCCGCCGTCCCTCCGGTGGGAAGGCGAAGTCGGCCTCATTCAAACCAGAGAGATCGTCGTCGGCGCAGCTGCTGCTGAAGAAGTAGAGGCGGTGCCCCAGCGCAGACGGGGGAAGCAGATGGGCGCGGCCGCTTCTGGCCTTTGGAGAAACGAGGTAGCCGAGAGACTGGGACACCGCAATCGCCGCCCCTCGTCTGCTCATTCTGCCGCGGAGAAACTAAGGTGAGGGTGGTGCTCCAGCAAGTTGAGATAGGAGTGAAAAGGCAGTCGGAGGAGCCCCAGGCCGAAGCCGGGCTCTGGGGGGAGAAGGGCTCGGGGCGCCATAGCGAAGAGCTTGAGTTGGCGCTTCTGCCCGTGTTAAAACCCACGGCTTAAACCCTAGACGAGTCTCCGAGTCCATAGGGACCTGCAGAAGGTTGCACTCTACCGGACAAAAAAAACTGTAAAAAATAAAAATCCAGTCTTCCTTGCAAACCTCAGAATCCGCCCCAAAATGCCCACGGCTAGATTTTCATCTCTCTCTCTCTCTCTCTCTCTCTCTCTCTCTCTACGGTGAATGCGTGCGGAGGGTTGAGCCAATAAAAGAGACGGACATTTGCTGGACAAGGGCCAGGCCTGACCGGTCCCATTTCCCCACTTAATTCAGATGTCTTCGTTGTGCAAGCCTCTCAGAGTTGACCCTGAGTAGATTAAGTTGACTAAAGTGCAAAATAAATAAGGGTAAAAGTTCTGGGCTTGCCGCAACAGTCTACAAGCCAATCATAGTCAGCAGTTTGACTTGGCTAGACTTCCCCTACCCGGGAAGAAAGCAAGTCAGAAGAAAACCCTCAGGATGAACAGAGAAAACAAAAGAACCAGGTGAAGAACCAATGAGATGAGCTCATCTAATACTAATTTCGGCAAAGGCCCACATTCCCTTTTCTATATAATGATATTGTATCGTCTGTTCTTCCGAAGGCTGTGATTTTCATCTGCTCAGAAGAAAAAAAATAAAATTCCCACCATGATTTCCCACAAACACTTTGCACAGGGCGCAGCTTATCCACAGAGAGAGAGAGAGCGCCATTGTCCCTATGGTCATCTGGAGCCGGGTCCTAACGAGTTGTCAACAATGAGGATTTTCTCAGCATGGAATGGTCCCAGCTGGGTGTGGACGATGCGGCTCTGCCAGTTCAGGCGGTCAGCCGCTGTCTTGGCCTTGGCGACCACATCAACATGGTCTCGGATTATCACTACTCCCGCAGGGCGCAGGATTCTGTCAATCTCCAACAAAATGTCCAGGATATCGCACCTGCACAACCAAGATTAGCCTCATCATCTGCTTCCTTTTCCACCAGATAATTGCAAAATCACAGCAAATTCACAGCAAATTCACGTGGATATAAAGATGATCATGAAAGAAGGGTCACCTGTCCATGTAGAGGCTGAGCAATCCGGCTGCGTGAATGAGATCATATGTGCGAGGATACGTCGAGAAAGCCTCACACCTGCAAGTGAGTTAGAGATTCTCACACTGTCAGCCCTCGGCAGATGGAAACTGCCCAGAATGTCACTCATTCGATCGCTCTAGGTGCAAATTGGACAGGCAGATTAGCTTTTCTGCTAATCATTCGCCCTCGTAACAGTGTATTGGATAATCAAATATCTAACACAAAAAAGGGAATGAGATGATCAAATACCGAACCCATCTCAATTAAAATTTTTTAAAGTAATAAATGCATGAGCTTTATCAGAGATCGCAGAAAGAAAGTAGTGGGCAAGATCGGGGAGAGTACCAGTCCATGTAGGTCCCAATGAGACCCCGTTCAAAGATGACGCCCAGCGTGTCATCCTTGGCATCTGAAGGAACGACATTCATTACCCAAACTGGATATTCTGACAGTGCGGCAGCAAAGCCGCCCAGGTCGGCATTCATATCCATGATGTTCCTGAACCTCCCAGAGGATTCCAAGGATATATAGCTGTTGTAATATGAAACCCTTTCCTCCCAAATCTTAGTGTCATGATTGAAGGCATCAACTGTAATCCCCTTCAAACTCCCACTTGTTATCCGGGGTGGAGTGGCCCATAATCTTTCAGGCCAGAGCTTCAGAGAACCCCCGGCGACCTCATTGGTGGCTTTTGCTATTGGAAGAGGAGTCGTGCAGGTGCCCATTTTCTCGTACCTGTTGTAAGGTAAAGAAGGAAAACTTTCCTTAGTGAGGTTCGCATGCAATCCAAAACCGGTAATGCTCTGATCTGACAGAGTTAGAACTCAAAAAAAGAAATTTTGCAGGAGACAAAAATACAGATCCGAAATCCAAAGGAGACTATGGCTAGCTGATCTTGGATGTGAAGCTTCCATTTCTTCAGATTGCCGTTGTTGATTATGGGTGAAGGATGGGTTATCCAATAATGGTAAGGAATATGCTCAGTGCAAATGATAAGATAAGAGAGAAGGGGAGAATCACCATGCGGCATCAGGATCTCTTCCCTCACATAATGGTACAAACTTTGTAGATTGCGAGCTCTTCCTGCAAAGAACATGATTTCTGGGCTTCCTCCAAACAGCAATGGGACCCTTCTCTACGACCTTCTCCCAACAAAGGCGTCTGGCAAGATCATCTATAGCAGCCTGCTCTGCTTGCAGGTCCTGCGGAGTCCTCTTCCAACCCTGATACATAGATTTCCAGTTGATCGGTGGCCCAGATAAAACCCAATAGCCACCAGGTCGAAGAACTCTATCAATTTCCAGAAGGTAAAGTCCGTCTGAAAACATGTGGGCACAAAGTCAGGCTGCGGCACTTCACACTCACAATGAGGAGAAATTCACCAACTATTTACATATTATCAGTAACATCATAAGCATTCATGTCAACAAGGGGCTTACCATAAAAATAAAAATAGAAATAATATATCTTTTTTCAAGTAATATGGACGGGCAATCATAAAAAAAAAACTTGATATCTGCATGAGATTTTTCTCCTTGCCCAAAAGTAATCACGAACGGAATATTTTTCCTGACCTGCCCAAAACGAGCATTGCCCGTCTCTATGTTATGCTGTGATATGCGTTTCGATGTAGCAGAACCCAAATGAGCATTGTATGCACGGGTATACTTCTGAAATATCCAGATATCATTGCTACTATATACCGAAAATATCTAGTGTTGAAATCCATTCGTGATTGGCGCAATAAATTGCCATTGACCTACCCACTAATGTAGGATCTCAAGGCTCTGCAATCGAAAAAGTAAAGTGCATGAGGATCAGCTTCAATTCTTTGTCAGTTTAGCCTTGATTGAGCTGTCCTTCCAATGAAGTAACCAAACTTCGTACATGACTACATGTCAAACAACTTAAGGGTTGTCACTGGCGGTAAGTGTCCTCGTTGACCACAAGGTTCGTGTTTTGACTAGGTCAAACAACTTAAGGGAACTCTTGGAATTGAGCTCCAGTTGGTCACATAGCCCAGAGGAGAGAAGAAGGGTATCTTTTATGAGGAAAACAGCAGCATATATGGGAAACTATTGGGGGTGGGATTGAGCCTGGTGGCTGACATGAAGGACTATGCCATGGGACCCATTTTGCACATCACACCAGAAGTGTGGAATGGTACATGAAGATCAAGTACATGCTTGGCACAAGTTCTCAAAAGCCCAACTTCATTATCATTGAGAGGGATTTCTCTTGTATTCATAATGATTCGGGTATAAGTTTGTTTCATAATTAGATTTCCTAAACATCTGTCTGCAGATCGGAAATGAAATTTTCTAAGGAGTTTCTTTCTCGAGTGGAACCAGCAAAAGGCAAGAAGAAATACACGAAAAAGATTTGATGAAATAAACGCAAGAACAAAGTGAGAAAATGTATAATCGAGTTTATTCATCCCCGGACTGAGGAATGATGGCCAGCACATTTTTCTGGTCTTTAATCATTCAAAGATGCGTCATCTAGATGAAACAAAGGGGTTTCATGAGAACGTACCATGAGCAGTCCATGGAATCAGACATCGGGCACAGTGGGCCATATCAAAGGATCTCGAAGGGTGGGGTAACCTGAGGGTGCTTAAGACACCAAGCATGGCTGGCAGACCCCGTTCCAATGCGAATTGTACCTGAGCCTCATGTACATCTCTGGGTGCAACTGACAGCGTCATGATGTTAAAGTCCAGTAAACGACCTCCAAAGCTGGCAACCTGTGCAAGATCAACGTGTTCATGTCAAGGACGATTATGCTCTTCAAATAGGCATATGTTGCCAAATTATCTCCAAAATTCAGACGACAAATACATTTTTAGGAATATGGGACCGGCATTAAGTCAGCGTCATATGGCCACCAATCTCCCTTCTGCATGAAATAGTCAAGACAGAGGGAGAAAAGAATGCCAATCTTGAAGCATTAACACTCCGCAGTGTGGTGTCTATCTCTTTATCCTCTTGCATGTTCCTCCCTTTGTGATTTTCATCTAAGGGGGAATGGTGTGAAGAATCTGTATGTGTCATAGAGAGAGAGAGAGAGAGAGACGTTACAGAAGGTTAATGAAAACAGCTACCTAATGGTGGTGAACTCCAACTTGATAACAATAGAAACATAGGGTGAATAAACACTATGTACTGCGAATAAACACCCATGAAAGCACTCAATAGTGGATCAATTAAGAAGGGTATTCACTAGCTCCAATAGCAGTCACCCCAGATGTAAACTTGGGAAAAAAATTAGAATCCAGAGCGAAAACGTTTCACAGGTAGAAGACTGCTGATGAGAAAATATGCATGAGCAGCAATAAACTGAGCAATTCAGGAAGAACGAATGCTCAATAAAAGGGCAAGAGCGTGTATTCTTGATGTTATCTCGTCGTAATTAGAACTGTTGGGGGAACTGATGAGAATTCTACCATGAAAAAATGGAGTTTACGACCAAAGAATGGAAGATAAGATTACTGAAGACTATAATCATCTTCCACTCACCCCACAGCCGATGTCCAGGACTGTGCGGATCTCTCCGGTCTTCAAGGGCACAAGGTCCGCCATGTCTGCGACGTAGCCCTTCACACCAGCGGGGAACGATGTTCCACCCCCAGGGAAGATCAGCCGGTCGCCCTCCACCTTCACCCAATTCTGGTCCTTCTTCGCGACTGTCAGCCTTGTGGACGGAACATTGGCGAACCAGACGCTGTCCCTGCTCTCCGGCCATCTGACGGGCGTGCGGTAGCCCTCCGGCCTAGGCACGCGGCAGCGCCGCCTCTCCTCCGGCCCCGGGCAATGACGCTCTCGATGGAAGAGGTCCTGCGTGTGGAACCGGCGCTCCCGCTGGGGATCCTGGCAGGGACAGTAGTCGGTGGAGTTGCCTTCGCAGAACTCGATCGGGGGGAGGGGGAGGAGCTGCAGGGAGGAGGCAGCGGAGTGGCGAGCCTCGAAGTTGAGAGGCGCTCCACCGGCGGCGGCGGAGGGAGAGACTTTGGCGGTGAAATTGGGCTCGTGGATGCAATTGTCGGTCAGATTGGAGACGGAGTTCGGGAACAAGGACCGCGAGTTCAGGTACACGCCGAAGAGGTACGAAAGGATGCAGAGGATGGAGAGCAGAAAGATCCTCGCTAGGGTTTTCCTGTTGGGATTCGGCAGCAGCGACAGATTAAACCTGAACATCTTTGATCCCTGCTTTTACTCCTCTTCCTCCTGTCGGTGGGTCAGATGGAGATGAATGACGGGGAAGGGGGAGTATCAATGATTTGGTCTGCTCTCGTGATCTAAACCAGTGCTTCTCCCTCGGTCCCCAACCTGGATTTCCTTCCATTCATGGATGATGCAAAATTCAACTTCTCTGGAATCCCTACTGCAGAATTCTTCTCCACCTCCATCTCACCGCTTCCTGGGTTTCTGGATCTGGAAAGACGGATGCCTACCTCAGAGAGGAAGAACGAGAGGAGAAATTTTCAGAGCAGATCACCGTAGGAGGGCACATGGCCGAGGTGCCCCACAACGAACAGCCATGTCTCCAACAGAGGGAGACGCCGACGAAGCCATCAGAGACGGCATCCAGCCGCCAAGACCAGGCATGTGGGGGCAGTTAATTCAGGGGATATGGACCTTCTTCTGTCTCCAACAGATGTTCACCCCCAGGTTTGATACTCAGATTCTCCTTCCCCGCACCGGCCGCCGGCATCGCCGCGCCCGTGGTAAGAGGCGGCGCCGTCAGATGACCTCATCTCTGTCTTCCGTCAGCTGCGGTCCTCTGATCAGTGCGAGCGCTGACAATTTCTCGTGAGACCATTTGAGGCTGATCGCGATACCACAGAGCCATGGAGAGAGAGAGAGAGAGAGAGAGAGAGAGAGAAGTAAATAACGAGGACGATAACAGGGAGAGAGAGTGGGGACATACAGACCACTTCGAAGTGGTCCCCTTCGACTTAGCCCTCACCCCCCTCATTATAATTTTCATATTCCTTCACGATCCGATATCCATTATTAATATCTATGAGCCTCCTTCTCATTCTGTGTGGGCCTACTCTTCGATACCTATGAGGTTCTTCTCCTTTGACCAGTTCCTTTGTAGTTCTGTGAGACTGGTGTCTACCGGGGGCACGTGGCAGCCGTTAGGTTTACGGCGGGGATGTGATAGGTCAACGAGTATCCCATTAATATTCCCCCACTAGGACTTTCACTTTGTTTACTATCAAGATTTTCCACTTGACAAGGACCTCCACAATGTGAGGACTCTGACGGGAATCAAGGATGTCATATGGTTCTACTTGTCCATGTAAGATTATTAGCCATGGAGAGTGAGGTCAACGGCCTGCAGGGGTGATGGATCAATGACACATTTTAATTGGGACATGTGGAAGACCAGGTGGATACCTACGGTGGAGGGTAGAGCGAGTCGCTAAGTCACTGATCCCACACATGCAATGACTTCAAATGGCCTGAAGAATAGAGTCATGAGCTTCTTGTATGAACACCTTGCTAGAGACTTTTGGTAATATGGTTGGTAACAGAGATACATATGGTCAACGACCATGAACTCGAGCTCTCATTGGTGGTGGTTTGTGTATGCCTTCATCCAAGCCTATGTTCAGGCTAAGATGTTTCTTGAGTTGACAAAGCATGTCATCACACTTCTAAAGTAGCTTATTGACGTCGTCCATCCGCATTGTGTTTGCTTCATAGTTGAGGACTAGAGTAGAGATGTTGAGAAAGTTAGTATTATACAAGTATTATGCTTAATCAATCTACCTACTCTACTACCAAAAGCGATTGCCAAAGAAGTAGTAGAGATAAGTTTCTAATATGCAGATGACCACTTCCACATTGCCTATTGATATGTGGATGATAAATATTGATTTGGTAGAGTGTGGAGCCTTGCAACATGAAGAGCTCTCAACATAAAGCACTCATGAGGATCTGATCATAGTTGCTCAATATTGATGCTAGAATACTATTAATCGGATGATATCATGTAGGAAGATATGAACAATATCTTTGACTGTGGAAGGGTGTTCTTATGAGAAGACATGATTGTACTTGCAAAGAAAATTAGTGACCACAATAATACTACTAAAGTCATTTGACTTTGGAAGACCCTCAGTGAAGTATGTAGATTCATGTGAGAATGGGTTCTAGTAGGAGACTAGCAAGCTTAAGAGATTCAGATTTATTTTTCTAGTAAACATAATATCCTGCCACATAATTTGAAACATCCTTCTTTTGTCCAGCCCAGACAACATTATGTTTGACTCCACAAAAATCTCAAATTGAGGAACTCATGGAGCATCTTTGAGATGTTTGCTAAGTGTCTAGCCAACACAATCTGGCCACAATGAAAAGGGCATCCATGGCAGTTGATGTACTTAGGTCACTACTCTAAATGAGAGCATAATCACTCTTGGATAACCAACCTCCTTAGGTCAGCATGATACTATCATACTATGAGAGCTGTCTAGCAATTCAGGTCAATGAACATCATAGTTGTTTAAGGTGGTCAATTCAAGCTTAGTAAGACACTACTAGTTTTGTTCTCAATGCGGACTTTGTATCAGATCTCAAAGTAGAAGTTAATGATGTTGGAGAGAAATTTTAATAATTTGATAAGACTTTCCACTACTTCAAGATAAACTTGAGGTTGCATTGATTAGTGAAGATGAAGAACTTTTTTCCAAGTAGGTAAGTTTTCATTTCAATGTCACAAACATGATGGTCATAAGTGTACACTCAAATACTAACTGGAGCTTGTTGATGGATGAGAGAACTTGACTAAATGTGCAATCAATTTGTGTTGTTACATGAGCTCAGCCGTGATACCTTTACCTAAAGCATCAACTTTTAGTTCAAATAAAATGATAAAATTCAATAGAGCAAGTACTACTATGCTAGCCAAAGCTATCTTGAGGTATTTGAATGATGTTTCCACCTTGATACCCCAAGAGAACACATCCTTCTTGAGCTGTTGGGTGAGAGGCAATATTATTGTGCCATAATTCACAATGAAATGAAGGTAATGACATGTTAACCTTAAGAAGTCATGAAGTTTGTAAAGGATTTTTGATATGGGACAGTGGATGATGGTTGTGATCTTCTCCTAGTTGATCATAAACTAGTGGTCAAGGTAAGCCATCTTTGTAAAGGAATACTTTTTTCGAGTTGATGTGCAAGTCATTCATTTAGAAGACAACAAACATTTGAGCGAGGTATCCCTCATGTGACTTTTGACTTAAACTATAAATAAGGATGACATCAAAGAAGATTAATCCATACCTTCTAAGGAACTAGTTGAATACTTAATTCATCAAAGCTTAAAGGCTGATAACATGTTGGTAAGTCTGAAAGACACAACAAGAAACTCGTAATGGTCCATATGGGTGGGGAGTGATGTCCTCTCCTTTGACATATATTTGTGATAGTCAGATCTAAGATCTAGCTTACCAAAGATTGTGATGTCATGTAGTTCGTTTGGGAGCTCTTCGACAATCGAAATGAGGAACCTATCAGAGATGGTGATCTTGTTGATAACACGGTAGTCCATGCAGAATCACTTGGTTCTATCTTTCTTCCTCACTAAAAAGTTAGGGTTAGAGTAGGGGTTGGTTGAGTGTTGGATAATCCATGTGGATAGCATCTTGCTAACATACTTTTCAATCTCTATCTTCTAAAAATAAGGCTACCTAAAAGGTCTGGTCTTAACAAATTTAGAGTTCAATTTGAGAGTGACGATGACTCAAGTTGGTATCAATCTAACTTTTGAGTTGAACATGGAAGATAGTCCTTGAGGTTGAAAAATAATTGTGTACATGGTCATTGAGGGCCAATTTCATTGTTGAGGTCAACTGATTGTGAGATAGTAAGAAGAGTTTGATCACAAGTTCTCTCTTTTTTATGATTCTGGATAGAGCCTTGAAGGAAATGATTATCTTCATTATTTGAACATCATCCTGAATCATAATTTGATTTGATCCCACCATGAACCCCAAAACCACATTCATGTTTGCCAAAAGAAGCACAAGCACGTCTTCATTTATCATCAATGACTAGTGTTCTATGGTAGTATTGTGACAAATGAGAATGCTTGGAACTCTTTCTCAATTATGATCATGACTTGAAATTACAATGTTGTAGTCGATGCAAGTTTTAGTTCTTATGTTACTTGCTGTGAGATAAAATTACAAGAGGTGTTTGTGCCAATGAGAATGGTGACCAATAATTCTTTGATGGCTCCTTGAAATTTCAGGGCTCCTACAAGCACATATTCCTGAAATTTGTTTCAAGGAGTTGAGTGAGACCTCTATGTTAGCAATGTTTCTTCCATGAGAGTCTCTCTTGTCTTTCCCTTGTTGTCTTCAATAGATAATCTTTTTTTTCAATGACCATGATTTGTAATTTCTGACTACATAAGCCACTTAGGAAGTATTTCTTGTTGCATGAGAAACACAAGCTTGTGCATGAAATTTCAATGGTGCAAGTTATATTTTTCTATTCCGACCTTTTGTTGGCACGTTTGTAGATGGTTTCACTTGTTCATTATCTTTGCTAGGATTGCTTTTGAGGTTCTCTCACTTAGGAGAGACAATTAGGCCCTTTTCTTTATCGAAAGTTGTGATATTCTCTAACAATCATGAAAAAATTATTCTTATAAGGTATGCTTGGTCTGATAAGCTCTTTGATGGCCAAGTGTTTCATTTAAACCTTCTAAGTTGTGCAGATAATGACTTTTAGGCCCATGTGCTTGAAGAGAGTTACCTCTTCCTAAATTTCATGTGCACCCTTTGAGGAACATATTTTCTAAAATGTATTGAAGAATATCTTTAATTATAGCTATCATCAGCTCGAATTCCTCTCTGTATTCAACTACAGTCCCTCGTTGTCTAATCCTCAAAAAGTTTTAGTAGAGGGAGTCGCGGAGTGGTTTGGGCTGAAATTTTGTAGCAGTTGATGTTGGAAATCTTCTCATCCTTTGAATGGCTCATGTACATCCATCTACTTGTACCATGCTAGTGTCTTCCTTCTATTCTAAGTTGAGGCTAATAGTGGTGTGTGTTTTCTTACATGAGAGCATGCACATGAAGAAGTAGGCTACTTGTACCATGCTAGTGTCTTCCTTCTGGGTCACTATCGTCTTGCTAGGTTTTGGCCGCCTTGCTAAGCTCCCTTGTGCTGGTAGAGGGTTGATGGCAGTCCTTCCCAACTTGTGCTGGTCCATTTGCAAGTTATATCTCTAGATGTTTGGGCCCCAGTCACCAGCTTCAACCAGGTCACAACTAATTTTAACCAAAGCCCGGTCATTGGGTTAGCCAACTTGATTCCTCTCATGCAAGCTGTTCTCGGAAAGGACATGTGTAGGATTACGTTGATCTTTGAGGTTTTAGGTCAGGTACTCTAGTTGTTGTTTTGATCGCTGAGATATCGCCCAGTGTCTCATTGTTAGCGAGGGTATTAACATCCTTCAGAGGGGTAGGAAGATCTTGGCCGAATTCTTCTTGTTGTTTCTTGACGAGCTTAATTTGTGCGCTGTTAGACTTGAGTGGGTCTGATACTGGTTTGATAGGTCCCCCTCCCCTTTCCCTCACTCTAGTCCTAGGCGAGTGCTGACTCTTTCTTGTGAGATTATCTGCTGGAGCTTGGATCAGAAGAGATATCGCTACGAAAGTCAGAAGCTGATCGCAATAATAGAGTGCCCTGATAGGAGGTAGGAGAGAGAGAGAGAGTAGAGAGAGAGAGGGAGAGTACGATGAGAGAAGGAAATAAAGATAATAATAATAAGTGGGAGAGAGAAAGTATGAAGGAGAGAGAGATAATGCGGTCCGATACCAACTACTTTCTACCAATAATACTCTCGTGCCCCTTCCATTTAAACCTTGACCCCTCTCTATAATCTTCATATTCCCTCGATATCCAGTGTCCGCCATCCATACCCACAAGTCATTTCTCTTCCGTGAGAGCCCTATTCTTTGATACCTATGAGGTTCTTCTCCTCTAATCAATTCCTGCAGCTCCGAAGGCGCTGAGGTCTACCTAGAAAGTGGGCAGCGTGCCAGCCATTAGGTCATTTTATGATGGGGATGAACCGAGGGAGACGAACCAAGGAGAGGCATACCGAACTGGCGGAAGAGGGAGGATCCAGACCAGTTTTCCACTTAGTTTTTCCCCTTGCAGCAACTTTCCATGGCAGCGCCGCTCAGATCGCAGGTGAGCCTTCCTCATGATCAGAGGAGAGAAGAAGAAGAAGAAGACAAGGGTGAAGGGGAAAAAACACAGAAGATGGGGGGTACAATCGCCATGAAGGGTATCTCAGCTTCTTTGTCTCCGACCTTTCGTCGTCTCTCTGATCACTGGGACAGTCAAACTTCTGGGCTATATCAACTGTGTTTTACTCCTCTAGTTTTGATGTAACTATATATATAATAATATTGGAAGCATAATGCCATTTATTTACTTACTAAACTTTGAACAGATTGCCACAACACAGCTTTCAAATTTATGAGATTAAAATTTATGAAAACTCACCAGATTTCATCAGACAACCATTAATTGAAAACTTGATGAAAAATAAACGAGATATCGGCAAAGAAGCAGTGAATTTTATAAGGCTGTACATGTAAAAAGAAAAAAGAAAAATTTGAAGGAATAGGTTCCGAGGGGTCTGAGGAAGCTCCCCTCTTCTGATCAGTTTTCTAGCAGCTCTCATCCAGATGCAGTGTGAGGAGTGTGACTGCAAGTGAAGAAATTAGTCAACTTATGCGGCTCCCACGTCAATGCCCTTTCTCATCAAGAAATCCTTGGCTTCTAATATATCCTGCATGGCGAAGAACATTCATCAATAGACTGCATATAAAACAATCCAAACTGATGTTTGACAGAATAGAACCCGGATCCCTTTGAAGCCCTGTTCTGGCCCGGATAAAGTCCAGCAAGGTTGGATTTATTATTGCCTCTTTTAAAGGCTTTTTGACTGAAAAGCCATAGTAGCTATAAAAAATATCAATTTTACTAAGAAGAAGCATATCTCAATAAAAGTGAAGCAATAGTCATCCGATCACCTTTTAACTAGGGAGGACCTCTAGTATAGAAGGAAGTAGAAACCTTGGTATAGCCATCTCGATTAGACCAGCCTACTTCATCATCGGATATGAACGACTCAAGCACCAGAATTGGAGGTACACATCCCCTTTGAAAGTGAGGACCTTGATGTGGAGACCAATTACACCATAAAATTTCAACTAGAGTTCTTGAGAGACTCAAATGCTATCTGGGATGTCACCCTTCCTCCCTCCCTCCCTCTCTGTCTCTGTCTCTGCCTCTGCCTCTCTGTCTCTCTTTCCCATAAACAGGACTATAAAAAGGGACACAGAAATTTATTGGGGTTCACCATCCTTATGATTCTTTAGGTCATCGAGAATAAGTGGCATAATCAAAACAACAAAACAAGAGACACTATTGACTGATAAACTTCTATTTATTTCTGTGATAATAAAGGAGTAAGGTGAAGTAAGAACAATGAGATGGTTCTACAATTTTCAGAGATCTGCAACAGTGGAAAACCCCCAAGAATTGAAGAATCTACAGTTTTTGGCTGGAGAGTTCCTCAAGAGCAGATTAAACAGACGATTTTCATCACAGAAATAATTATCAAACTATTTACTTGAGAAGAAAACTTTTATTTATACATTGGTAAGGTTTTTATTTGTCCCATGCCCCAATTCTATGAAGAAAAACTATAGATCAGCATTGACCGAAAGATTGGGACTCAATTAAAATGAGGAAATATTGCAACCGTGGATCCACACTCCCTAAATCCTTGGGAATTGAAGTTCCTGAGAATCTATTACAAAACATTTGAAAACACTGCTGGGGCCATAAATTGAGTCACTGAAATAGCATCTCGCGTATGTAATCATTTCCCCAATCTTTAAATAAACTGATAAAGAATACAAAATAAAGTTTCATAGCCAAACTGGAATGGACAATGTCAAGTAATGTATTTTTAAGGTTTATCAACGATTCATAAGTGTAATAAAATTATTTCCTAATTCCAATTGCATAACAAGTGCCCAAGTTGTTGTTCCTAAAGTAATGAAAAGCTAACAAATAGGTAAGGATTTGCAGAGGATTATAAGCTTCTTAATGCTCACATGACGGCATCTATGTGCACAATAAATAAAAATAAACGGCCAGGAAAAGAGCAAAAACCTTCTGCAGCAGCGTTGCTTCTTGAGGACAAGTCGGGAACACCATTAAACCCACCCCAACCATTAGCAGACCATAGCAACCAAGAGACACAATCAAGTAGATGGGAAGCTGCAAAGGAACTGCAGATTATTAAAAATCCATCTTAAGATTTATGATCAGTAGCACGACAAGAGAACTCACCAACCAGACATAGTTGTAGGGGATCAGTGATGTTTCCAGAAGGCCAGCCCAGACAGCTGATAATGCGGCAAGCAATCCAAGAATCTTTAAAATATGTTTCATCTTGTCTTAGGATGAATTGCCCTTCCCTGTATGAAGAAAATAATATTAAAAAAATAAATTCATATTAGAGCGAAATCGATCACATTATACTGAAAAATTGCACACAAATAAGCCCCGATTGCACGATACAAGAAATTATTCAAATTTCTCCAAATCGGAGCATAAATTGTCTGAATTGGAACCAATACATAGCTGCTGATCCAATCCCATTTTGAGGATTACGAACACTAAATGGCTGCAGCTCTACTCTAAATCAGGTACACAAGGATCCTCTAATGTTGGCAACTTATATAGTGGGGATGATCTCCTTTTTCACCGTATCTGGATAGCCCCGGTAACATTGGATAGCCTTAGTGCAGGGTACCCTCGAACATCTCACTAGGCACTGAAAATGTTTCCGTCGGACCTTTCCCACTGCCCACTTCTGAATAAACTACAAGAAATTTACTAGGTTTTTGGTTTACTTTCTTATTGTTCTTCTGCGTTGGAAAGAAGCAAGAATCATCAAAATAACTCTCGTATAATTTTCATATGATTATGAGCCACAGAAGGGAAGCGCTTTGAGTATCGAAGTAGCTCCTTTGTTGGATTGGGATCTCGTTTCTTTACTAATTTCAAAAACTTCAACCACGCAATCAATATATAAAATTTAAAACACTAAATTATGTGCCGCTAATAGTAATAAGAGTATGATGAACAAGTAAAATATGAATGTCATTGAGAATATATGAGTACATGACATCGGGGCCGTACCTGGGTCGGAGAGAGGTAGAAGGGTACGTGTGGGGAGAAGGTCAGGAAGCGGAAGAGATGGAACGTAGGAAAGGGGTCGAATCTGCGCCTTCTACACCCAGATCTGAGCCCGCCCCTCCGATTCCGCCCGCCCACTTCGCAACAACCGGATCCGCCCCGCCGGGGATCGGAGAGAGGCAGTCAAGACGGTCTCTGTGCAGTAAAGGCAAGACCTTTAATTGGGCGCCACGGGAGCCCAGCCCATTTTTCTACACCCATACCCATTACCCTCTGGATAAAAATATCTAATATCGAGGCCCAAATCACTTTTGAGAATATTAATGGGCCTTTTGACGGCCCATTAAGACGTATCGACATCAGCTCCAGAAGTCACGTCCTCTTCAAATACGTGGCGTTTAGTCGACGTGCGTCCATCAAATGAGGCTGACCTTCGCTTAATACACACGTATGGAGCATGTGGCGACTTTTGGGGTTCCAACTTAGTCAGTCATTGGGCCATATTATAAACCCCACTTGGTGCATCCCTCACCTTAACCAGGGTTAAATCCATGTGGGCATTTGCGCTTAACCCGAGTTAACCCGACTAAGATATTATTCCTGCATATTTTAGCTGCAAGTAGGGAAGTTCTGGTTAACCTGACTCAACCCGAGGTTGGCACTCGACCCATCTCCAGTCGGAGACCTAGGCCAGAATGGTTGCCGAGGAGGATTGCGGAAGCTTTGCCATTTTTTAGCAAAAACAAGACGCGACGTGAGCTCACACGTGTGAACGGTTCATGCATAGATAGATAGGTACATGCAGAGGTATATAGATATGGTGACAGAGAGAGAGTGAGAGAGAAAGGTGGCTCTATCTTGTGAGGATGGTGGTCGGGGTCTAAGGGTTATTACGTGCAGAGGTGTAGAGATGTTGAATATAGAGAGAGAACGTGTGGCATAGATAATGTAGTAGACATAGCGACATAGCGAGAGAGAGAGAGAGAGAGAGAGAGAGGAGGGAGAGGTGGCTCTATCTTGTGAGGAGTGCGGTGGTCAGGGTCAAGGGATTGGTACATGCAGAGGTACAGATATGTTGAATATAGAGAGAGAAAGTGTGGCGTAGATAGATGTAGGTAGACATATAGAGAGACAGAGAGAGGCATCGATAGACAGAGAGAGAGGGAGAGGACGCTCTATCTTGTGAGGGCGGCAGTCAGGGTCAAAGGTTGGTTAAGGGGCTAGAGACCTATGATCACTCTTTATACGGCTAAGCCTACTTCTTTAGAACGCAAAGGGGGAATTAAACAATGGGGGAAGTTTTACATTCCAATTATAAGGATTCCATTTGGAAAACCGAAGCTTCTGACCGCGACAACCCAAACCCTCCGTCCATTAAAGAGCACTCTCTCTCTTTCTCTCTCTCTCTCTCTCTCTCTCTCTCTCTCAGTTTATCTCTTGTTTGTCTCTCTAATCTCTCTATCTCTCTCTCTACGGGACCTTCGTCCCTGAATCGGGGAGTCCCTTTCTACTTTCGAAAGGCCTCGGGCTGGGGGAGCGGCCATGTTTACGGCTTGTTTTCCTTGGGTTGCACTCTGCCGCGGGGAAACGCCGCCCGGCGATTGGCCACTCGTGGTTGCAACCAGCCAACACGTGGTCGGCGCCGCCGTTCAGATTTGTCCCCTCCCGATAAGTCATTACAAACCATTTTTATTGACAAAACATTATCAAACATTTTAATTACGAATATACCCCTATGCCCGTCGCCAACGGACCGGGCCGGGCCCGATTTTTACTTAAGATCGACCCGAGCCCTAAAGTCGCTTGACAGGTCTCTCTCCTATGGAAAGGCCTGGAAAATCTTCTTCGGGAGAGAGCGCCGCTGGGGGATAAGGAGGATGGGTGAATCTACTTAATTACGAATTTATACATCTTAAAATTAATTTTCAACCATTATATATTTGACAAAATTAATTATTTTAAATGAAGGAAGCAAGCACAGTAAAATTATACGTGTTTCTCGTATTAATATGATTTCAACAACTTTTAAACTGAAAATTAAAAATGAAGCTTAAAATGACGCACAAAGAAGAGTCGTGACTCAACAAATCCCTTGAGTTTTTCTGTCATGGCCCAGCTTATGCATGTACTCCGTCGTCGGCAGCCCCACGCGGCGGCAGTAGAGAGGCCGTGCGCGGCGGCGCCGCGCTGCCGCCGCCGCCCCGCTCGTAAAAGTTCTGCGGACTGCATGCCCCGGTGAGGAGTCGCAGCGGTCTCTCCATAAAGGGCCGCCCTACCCTCCGAGACTCCCTTTTCTTTGGGCGGGAAGATTAGGGTCTTAGATTAACGAGATCATTTGTGCTTCGCTGAAGTAAACAATGGCCGAGGCCATGTGTTATACGCCAGAAAGATCCATTTCAGTGTCCCAGTTGTTCCTCCGAGGTGAAGAAGAAGAAGAAGACAAAGAGCTTCTCTATTGCCCTATACTTCCTCTCCTACTTCCCCCTCCTCTCTCTCTCCCTCTCTCCCTCTCTCTCTCTCTCTCTAGAACTCAACTTGTGGGGACGGGGGATCTTTGAGGCCGAGACCCAGAAGACAAGGACTCGTGTCCTCGTTAAATTCCAGGTGCCTAGGGTTTCTTTTTTTAAACACTAGTACCTTCTCTCCCCCCCTCCGGGGAGAGTTCCCAGGTTGGGTTTTTGAGTTCATGTGTGGGAGATGATGCCGGACTCGGAAAGGCAACAACCGAGAAGTGGAGACAAAACAGTAGAACAGCCACAGAAAGGGAAGAGAAGGGGAGCAGAGCATGAGGAGAGTTAGAACCAGACATGCTATAGTTATACATGTGCCTGTTAGGGCTCTCTCTCTCTCTCTCTCTCTCTCTCTCTCTCTCTCTCTCTCTCTCTCTCTCTCGTAGTCTCATACTGAGGGGTGCAGCTGTCGTAGGATTAGAAATGATAGCTTCCGGAAGCAACCTTCTTGACATTTTTTAGACAGAAATCTGATTCGGAGTTCAATAAGCCGATCCAGATTCGGACCGATCTTTGCAAGAACGTGGCTCGATAATATTGGTTGAAATCTCTGATTTAAACTCGTGCCCTAATTATGTGTTATGATATCCAAATTTTTATAAAATAATAAATATTCACATATGATCATTTTCCGATGAAAATAATAGTGTTGAAACCCAAAATTTCAAAAGCTGGCTCGGGCTTCCAAATATCCTTTGGATCGGAGAATACTTACAAGATCTCGGTCATTTGACTGTTGATACCAAATGGGTCTCTGTCAAGTAATGAGGTTCCACTTTAACAAATAAACTGACTTACAGGTTTTCCTGAGGATGGTATATTTAAGAATGTTGTGCCAGACTTCTTTCATTCTGATCTCTCTCTCTTTCTCTCTTGATCGGTACATAATCTGCGGGGACTTCTCTCACTAATGGCTTATCTTTGCTCCTCCCCAACCCAGCCGTAATTATCAGGCCTCCAAAAGACGACAACCCTCCACCGCCTCAATTCCATTACGCCAAAACAATCCAGTCCATGGCTTCCGGTAGCAACTGGCTTGGCTTCTCTCTCTCCCAGCAGGAGCATCACCCACCGCCGCCACCCCGCCACCCGACACAGCACCCCGATCTCACCGCCGACCGCGACTGCTTAAACCTTGCCGCCGGAAACCACTCTGCGGCGACTCTCGGCTTTCCCAACCTGACGCCCGATGGAAGTTTTGGTATCCTCGAAGGTCCGGTCGCTGGTGCAACGACCTATGACAATTCCTTCATCTTTTGTTTCTTGTCGATGATTATTTCTACACCAATATTTATTTCTTTCTATAGCAGATTGGAATGCGAAGAGTGTGGATTTCAAAGGGAGCTCATCGGAGCTGTCGATGGTCGTCGGAAGCAGACAGAACAACGTGAAGAGTCCAGAGCCAAAACTGGAGGATTTCCTGGGAGGGATCTCCTTCTCCGGCCATGCCCAGGAGCTTCCTCCTGGGTGCAAATCCATGACGTGGACGTTCGATAATACCGGCGACTACGTCTTCTCTAACTATTCTCTTCACATCCCTGCACCGCCACCGCCGGCGGTGGCGGCAGAAGTCTCGGTGTCTGATGTTGGAGATGGTTGTCATAACGGCAGTAACTGCTCTATTGGGCTTTCCATGATCAAGACGTGGTTGAGGACCCAACCGGCGCCGCCGGGGACTGGCGGCGGTGGCGGAATCGCATCGGCTTTAGCGGCGAACGCGCAGAGCCTGTCCTTGTCGATGAGCACCGGGTCTCGATCGAGTCCTTCCTTGCGGCCGCAGGCGACGGTTGAAACCGGCGGGGGGGGCGGCGGGGGCGAGAGTTCATCCTCAGCGGAGGATAAGAGCTCGAGCGCCGGCGGTGGCGGCGATTGTCAGAACAATTCAACGGAAGTTGGTCCACGAAGAAGCGTCGATACATTTGGCCATCGGACTTCAATATATCGCGGTGTAACAAGGTCCTTCCCATTAATGAATGCCGTCCCCTAATGAGGAACCCTAATTCCTTTTTCTAAAATCATCATCTGAAGACAACCCATCGATGATCGCCCCCATATCCTGTTTTGCCTTATTTTTCTATATTTCTCTGACGATATTTCCCAGCCATGCGATGAAAAGAGTAACCATTCAGTTTAACACCCGTCTGTTTTTGCCCGGCCTTCATGTCATTATCCCGAAATTTTTCTCTCTAGAACTTTAAGTAAAGAAACTTCTGGATCATCAAAGATTGTGTCTGCTCCAATGTTCTATCAACACTCATTCGTCCTGTAGCTTCGGTTGATGAAGATTCTCTGCCCCCGTCTCCTTTTATCGCAAAATAAATATACACCATCCGTAACATTCTATAGTCTTTTTACGTCTAGCAGCAATCCTCTCTCTCAATCTTTCTTTTTAACGGTCCTTTCGTTCTTCAAGCGCTCCTAGGGTTTATTTCATCCTGGAATTTTTCTCTCCCCAGGCACAGATGGACAGGAAGGTATGAAGCTCATCTATGGGACAACAGCTGCAGAAGAGAGGGACAAACTCGCAAGGGGAGGCAAGGTATGACTCTCTCTCTCTCTTTCTCTCGCATTGTTTTCATCATAACTACCCATTATTGTGACGTTTCCCTTGTCTACATCCATGGGCGTTATCTGCTGGTCGATCTCGGCTCATCTTCCTAAAAACAGTCTACTTGGGTAAGAGAATAGATTTTGGGCCTTCCTATGTAACGGATTTTATTGTATTTATGGATGAAGCCGGTAATCCTTCTCCAATTTCCCAGGTGGATATGACAAGGAAGAGAAAGCAGCAAGAGCTTACGATCTTGCTGCTCTCAAGTACTGGGGGTCAGCGACCACGACCAACTTCCCTGTGAGAAGCTAATTGTGGTAATTAATAATCTATCCTATACTCCATTGCAGCATCTAATACCTCTTCTTCTTCCTCATCTCAGATTAGTAACTATGAGAAGGAGCTGGAGGAGATGAGGCAGATGACCAGGCAGGAGTATGTTGCCTCTCTTAGAAGGTTAGATAGATCCTTTCCTTCCCCCTCAGGAAGTGTTAGATTTTCTCTGTCTAGATTAGGTCTGAGGAAAGAGCATGCACTTCACAGCTTTTGGAGTTCTTATTCTGATGCAGGAAGAGCAGCGGGTTCTCTCGAGGAGCGTCTATTTACCGAGGAGTGACAAGGTATGAATACGGTTCTTCAGACGCCAAGAACAGGAGTCTGGAAACCTGTTCTTGTCTCCATATCGGTTTCGTCAGTGATTTGGTGCTTCTCTCTCTCTCTCTCTCTCTCTCTCTCTCTCTCTCTCTCTCTCTCTCTCTCTCTCTCTCTCTATACCCATTCCTCTCGTAATATCGTTGATTCCCCGATGAGCAGATCAAGGCGGCCATCCTTTCTTCTTGAACTCAGATTTCCGACATATATCAGGGCCCTCTCTCTCTCTCCTCATGATTATCTCGATGCATGGCTACGCATTCTTTTTTATTTGCTTTTCGGCAGAAGTATCAGGGTTTCATCTCTCTCCTGATAATGCCTGGCCGCACTTTCTTCTCTAGTTGATCCCTTCGGCATAAATATCATTGTTTCTTCCGTCCTCTCTCTCTCTCTCTCTCTCTCTCTCTCACACACACACACACACACACACACCCCACGACCTGGATGAGTGTCGTTGTTCATTCCTTCATCCAAGTATGATGTAAGCCGGTTTCTTCTGAACAACAGGCATCACCAACAAGGGAGATGGCAGGCGAGAATCGGAAGAGTTGCAGGGAACAAGGATCTCTACTTGGGCACATTCAGTAAGCTTTCATGACTATTTTATCAGAAAAAAAATTGAATATTCAAAAATTGTAAGAATTGTCGCATAAAATAGTTGCCTTTGCCTAAGCTCTCTCTCTCTTCCCCCCCTCCATCTATCTATCTATCTATCTTGCAGGCACCCAAGAAGAAGCTGCAGAGGCGTACGATATCGCCGCTATCAAATTCCGGGGTCTCAATGCCGTCACAAACTTCGATATGAATCGGTGCGTTCAAAACCCTACTCTCTCTCTCTCTCTCCCCCTCCCTATCTCAGCTAAGGTGCTTCAAATGGTTTCAGCCTGAAGCTTTTTTTCCCGGAATCTTGCCCGGGGCTGGACATATTATCGCATGTTTGGAAACATTTTTCTATGTTCTGAGTTAAACGGAGTAATTCTTTCACAGGTACGACGTGAAGACCATCATGGAAAGCAACACTCTTCCAATTGGCGTCGCGGCGAAGCGGCTCAAGGAGGACCCTGCTATCAGCATCCGGAGGTCCAATGAAGATGACAACGCCACCTTTCTCGCCGGCGGAGTCAATGGCATCTACGGGCCGTACAATCATGCCTGGCCTGCAATCCCCTTCCATCCGCCGCTGCAACCGGCGGTGGTCAACTATTCGTACGGCCACCTCCAAGGCTGGTGCAAGCAAGATCAGGATCTCCACCATTCCCACTCAGGCGGCGCCGCCCACAGGTTCCTCCCGCCGCCGTTCCACACCGCCGTGAGCCTTGAATCCTCGTCCATGGATAACAGCTCTGGTTCTGGCAACACCATCTACGGAAGCGGTAGTGACGGGTTTCTGCCGGAGCATGAGCTGGTAGTGCCCGCTGCCGGGCCCTACTCCTGCCGCAACGTCTACAATCTCTCCGAACAATCTCCGAACGGTGCGGATGGGTATGAACGGGGCGGCGAATCCAATGGCTTCATGATCAATTCAGTGCATGCGGCTCCACAGAGGCCAGGAAGCGCCACCGTCTGCTATGGACCACCGATCTTCTCCGTCTGGAACGATGCATAGACTGGAGAAGCATTTCTATCACCTGGTTTTATCTCGTTTCTTCAGAATTAAACGCGATACTAAATCCATTTTCTTATCAGAATGCCTCTGAAGTCCTGGGAAACAGCGGTCGACTTTCGCTGTGGATTTTGGACGGCTTCAAACTGATTGAATTCTGGGCAACGCCTCGTGTAAATTTGAATAAACCATACGTTTTTGTAGGGGTGTCAAAGGGCTGCGCGTAAGCCCCGCCCCGCTTTTAACTCTCTCTCTCTCTCCCGCTCTCCCTCCCTCTCTCTCTCTCTCTCTCTCTCTGCCGTTTCATAAACGGTTAAAACATGAATACGCTCCGTTATATAAGTTTCTCGGAGATAACCCACCATCCGGGCTTAATAATCTCGGATGGGTGAGTGCGTCCGGTGAGGCGGGGTTAGAGGTAAGCTCGGATAAAGGATCTTAAGTTATTTGATACAGAGTTGAATGATGAGAACCAAGACGGATTATGAATTTCAAGTCAACTCAACTGAGAACAAAGTCATCCAAAGTCAAATAAACTAGAATCAAGAAGTGATGCAAGGTTAATGTAGGGGATATCAAACATAGTCCTAATTGGTTATCAAACTAGTATAAGTGTCGGGCTACACAATTTCCCACATATTTGACCAATAACTCTGAGAACTAAAACCTTTTGGGTGTCTATCTTATTTGAACAATGAGTATTTTTCTAGTGAGACAAGATTACTGGATAGTTCTTGATATATTATCATTACCAGGTGCCAAGGGAATGAAGACCCTAGCCTAGGGTTTATGATAATTAATCATGTATTATTTCCTCTTTTTTTTAGATGAATAATATTTTTTTATTAAAACCCAAAGACAATTCCCATATTATATTCATTTAAGTAAAATCTTCAGTCCCACATTATGTTGATGGGTTCTTACATTGTCTCTCACCCTAAGGATATCCACATATATATAATTCTATATTTCTATCTATTTATACTTATCTGCATCTCACATTCTCTCTCAAAAATCTCATGTTTTATTACTTACTAAATAAAAAGCCTAGTAAGCTATAGTCATAAAGTCAATGGAGTAATGATAGGGCAGACACAAACTCCAACTCCTAGCATGACATCCCTTAGGAGTATCAACTTCAAGGAAGAATTATCTCAACAACAATATAGATTGGAGGTATCTTACATAGCACTATTATGGAAGATGACAAGATCAGGGTTTGAATTTAAAAAATCAATCATTCAAAAAAACACTAAGTCATGACTCCATAGAATTGGGCTATTAAAGCCACAAATCCACAAGAAAGATGACTGTGAATTCACAAAACTTTAACCCTTGAGTTCAGGAGAGGTGCTTGAATCCACAAGCAAAGGAAACAAAGGAACTCATAGGAGACAAACTCAAAATAATTATACTGAATGTATTAAGGTTATGGAGGGCCTTTATATAAACTTCTGAAGGAGGTGGGGACACCTTCAAAATGAAAATCGATTCTAAAAAAAAACTTGGACCAGACTTCTCTTGCTTTATTAAGGACCAATAAGTATTTAGACCATATTTTCACATTTTCTACTTTATGGCCCAATATTGTGGTCAGGGCTCAGCTTTTGCATTCTAGGTATTCTGAACTACGTAGATACTCTATCTTAACCTTTAGTTAAGAAAGGATAACATTTTTTTGAGCTTTGCCTTGGTTGTTGGATTAAAGTATGAGTGAGAAGCCTAAACACAAGGTTAGAGGCTCATATCATCACCTCATCTTCCTCTTCCCATCCTCCCTACCCTTTTAGCACTTTTTTTTTGTCCTAACTCCCCTCTTCCACCCCTTTCCATCCCCCTATCATCCTACATCTCTTCCACTTGAGTGTCTCCAAATGCCTATTTGATCAAGGAAGAACTTCTTCTAGTTATGAGTATCATAAATTAACTATAGTTTTAACATTTTCCAATCATAATACCTACAGTGGACTTTGTGACTAGTTTCAGCTACAGTGGGGACCTCAAGGGGAAATCTAGGTGGAAAATAATGTCTCAAGTTGGCTAAAGATTGGCTTGGGAGCTGTTCTACCTTTCTCTTCGTATTGATTTTTGCTAGTTGCCCCCCCTTGTGAAATAGGCTATTCTATTAATTGTTGCATCATAACTTACTATTGACGCATCATTTTTTGATGTTATGACATCAGTTGTTGAAATAAATTAATCATGTCACGAAAATTAGATTGATCTAAATTCTGTTGATTTTGCTATGGAACTTGTGAGCTCATTGATCCAAATTGAACCTAGGTGACTTCAAATGGTTATGTTGTTGAAATTGAACCTATATGAGATTTGGGTGGTATATTTTTTATAATTATAGATCTGATATGCTACTTGGTGTGGAGGTGATGTTTGTTAATTTTCACATGAAAAGTTGATGTGAATTATCTACCTAAGATTGTAGGAGTTGGAATAAAGATTATAATTCAGTTTAGAATAATCTTGAGCAGCTTACACTTGCTAATGAAAAGATGTTAGAAATTATACTAAGGTAGGATATTTGTTTTCAACATAATTGGGGTTAAAGCAAAGAGTGCACACCAAATAATTAGGAGGAAATTAAGGTGACATTTTTCTTTGTCATAATCCGTAGGTATGCTTTACTTTATTCTGCTAAATAATCTATATGTGCTAATTTTTTATTAATTTCATTAACTTTAGATCTTAACTCCTTATCTTTGAGTTTTTTCATTTCATAAACTTTCACTTTTCTAAGAGGTACACCATTTCTATCATAAGATGATGATGAATTATAGTTCAAATAATTTTCACTAAGATCTTCAAGAAATTGATGTGTTTTAGCTTGGTACTTGTTCATGAAAAGTTCCTCCACATTAGATATTTATCATTTTTTTATGCTATTATATCAAATCCATCGTAAAAGATCTGAATTATTTGTCATTTTGTTACCTTGTGGTGAGGACATTTTCTCAATAATTTCTTAAATCTACTCTATGCTTCATGTCACAGCTCATCATTATATGGCATTAGTTTTTCCCTTTATGATAATTTTTTAAAAAAATGTTTTCATTTTGGAAATAGTTCTAATGCCAAAGCATCAATGACATCCTTTATCATTCTATAGACTCGTAAAAGTTGTTATAGATGTTCATAGGGCTCTTCATGATCATGGTCGTAGAATGTAGTTAGCATTTAGAAAATGTAAGGTTTAATATCATGCCTATAGATGTTGTAGAAAATGAATTCTTGCATGTGGATTAAAGTAGTCTCTTAATTGTTTAGCAGGATGTACTACCCCATTATTTTCTATTTTCAAGAATAGGTACTTCATTATAAGAGTGCATAAAATGTTCAATTTCAAAGATAGATTCAAAGATCTCCTACCATAAATGCACCACTTATATTGCTTTTTTAGTTATTCTTTTCAGAAACAAGATCAAAACATAGAACATTAAACTAAAAATCAACTAAATAAGATATAGTTCAAAGGGAAAAGATGCAAACTACAACCTAAAATTCAAAGCATTGACCAAGAGTTAACATCAATGAAAATAACTCAACACAAAATCTTTTCAAAACATTATAGAAATAGGTCAACAAAGTTTCATTTAATCAAAATATTTATGTGATTCTACTATTCCTCTCACAATTGATCTTGCTCTATTCTACATATATATATATATATATATATATATATATATATATATATATATATATATATGTTTGAAAGTGAAATAAAGAAAGAAAAACTAGCGATTAATTTAGTATGAGAATATATAGATGAGACCATATGGAACAAGTCATCCCAAGTAACAACACTAGAAATTTGATGTTATTATTGTCATAATTAATAATACAATCAAATTTTGAAAAAAATATAATTGATTTTTAGATTTAAAAAATATGTATTTTGGTGAATTCAAGTTGATTTACAAGGATGATTGTCAATTTTAATATTATCTCTATTTTCAACATTATTATAATTTTCAAATAAAGAAAATGACACAATAAAAGAAAAGATATGTACTTTTTCTTTTCTTCTCATCCCCCATTAGAATCTCCATGACCTATTCAGCAAATCTACAACAACCCTTTGACCATTAATCAATGATCAACAAATTACTTCGATAGATGTTGAGTTAATTACCTCAAAGTCTAATTAACACAAAATAATTGACACAATCAACTATGAAATGTTTAGATAATCATTTTTAGAAGTTGAAATTATATGAATCCATTAGGGGTATAAGAAGAGTGAGTTGGGAACAAATGAAGTTATCACTAAATGAAGAAACATTTCATCATATTACATGAGCCTAAGAAAAAGGTCAATTCAAAACTCTACAATAAAATGACTACGAGCTGCAAACAAGAAATCAAAACTTTATCATATCCAATCATCTGCGACAACATATGAACCAAACAACTACATTGAAGGTTGTCGTTATCCATCATGCCCAAAGGTAACCTATGTGGTGAGTCGATAAAAAGTATGGCTAAGACATGAGGTGTTAAGAGCTTAATTTCACTTGTCGATGGTGTTTTTTCTTTTAGAAAATGAATGACAACTGAGAAAAGCTCTCTCTCTCCCCTTTTGTGATGTATGCTCAGATGAAGCTCATAGACATTTGAGCTCCTTTTCTGGACTCCTCTTTGGGAGTACCCTATTGATTCTAGCGAACATTGACCAAAAGAGTGGATACCATTGAAATTACATATGAGTGAGAAAAAATCTTGATACCAAAGAGGGGCTATATGAGTCGTAGTAATGCCTTCTAAATTATCCAAAGCTCTTGAACAAAATGTGATTGATGAGGCAAGTATCATACACTTTTAATCATCCTTTATGGCATATACTTGGATGATACTTTTATTTTAAAACTATATAACTAAAATATATCAGTCAAGTATATCAAATTTATTTGATCATACGGGAAGAGTATGAACTTTCAGTTCTTCATAAGTGCACATTTATCATTGACCTCTTCATCTTCCAATCGTTTGTGAAATTTTCTATAGATATATCTACTATTCCTTTTAAAAAGTTACAAACATTGTGGAGGCATAATAAATTTAAGAGCATTCATGAAGTTTAGAAGCTTTCATGGTGTAGCAACCTATTATTATCAAATCATTTGGAAATGGGTTTAGATTTTTTTTATTTTATTTCCACATTGCCCACCTAGCATAGAAGTGGTTAACACTCTTCTATATTGGACGCTTCATATTAGTTCTCTTTAGGCCAGAAACAAGTACAGGGTAAAGATTGCCCTTAAGAAAATGAATGACAACTGAGAAAAGCTCTCTCTCTCCCCTTCTGTGCATGTATGCTCAGATGAAGCTCATAGACGTTTGAGCTCCTTTTCTGGACTCCTCTTTGGGCGTACCCCGTTGATTCTAGCGATTAATTATTTTATATTTTATTAATTCCAAAATCTTCATTGACGTGAAGATATTTTAGTGAAACTCATCTTGAATAAAATATTACAAATTAAGACCATCGAAATGAGTCCGCCAGAAAATGTCGTCTCCTGTGTCTGAACGGCGTGGTGACTTGTGACCGAGCGAGGCGGTGGACGTATAGAGAATATGGCGAGCGTGGTATAAATGTAGAGAGAGGAGGGAGAGAGGGAGAGAGAACCTAGAGAGGGAGTAGAGAAGTAGAGATGGACAGAGATGGTGTGTGGGGAAGGGTGAAGGAGAGAGAGAGAGACGGCGACAGTTGAATAGAAAATAGAGAGCGCACGAAGAAATAGAGACAAAGAAAAGTGATATGGAAATAAATACAAAGAGAGAGAGGGAGAGATGGCCCCGATGGAGACCGTTCAAATCAAGAGGCGGAGCGCGCAGGGATGGTGAAGGCGTCGACAAGGAACCGCATTAAAACAAACACCTCCAGCCTGGGCTGCACCTCCCACCCTCCCTCTCCCCTTCGATGGCGTGATCCCAACCAAGACCGCATCCACAGCAGCGCCTCCCAACCAATCGAAATTCCGGCAGAAATAATAATTCATAAATGCCCAGGCCGAAGAGGGCCTCGGATTAGAGCAAGCATCGAACAATAATGGCGCGGGCGATCCGTCGGAATTTGATCCCGATCTACGAGATTCAGAGCAGAAATGGAGCCCCCGAAGATCAATCTTCTCGGAGAAAAAGTACACCGTCATGGTTCTAGAAGAAAGAAAAATTCGCAGAAACAGCTCATATTTTTATGATCTTGGCGCATCTGATCACCGGATTCGCCCTGGAGATATCCTCCCGAGCGGCGGCCTTGTAGTCGAAGGAGCAGTCGTGGGCGGCGGAGTGCCGGTGGCGGCAGCAGAAGAGCTCGCCGCAGCGGCACCGGAACCCGGTCAGCTCGACCCTCCGCCGGCAGCTGGAGCACCGCAACGCCACACGCGGCGGCGTCGCCGTCGCCGCCGTCGCCGCCCCTCGCTCCGGCTTCCCCTCCCCGTCCCTCGAGGAGGCGCTGCAGGGGTCCCCCATCTTTCCGGGCCTCTGCGGCTGCGAGAGATACGCCGGGGGCGGAGAGGAAGGCGTCGCCTTGAGAAGCTCCGCCTCCTCCTCCTCCAGATTGCAGCTCTCTCCCGCCATCGACGTGATTGCCCTAAACGGGAAAGAATAACTGCGGAATCCCACGCTAATAAGAACCCCAGCAAGTAGGGCGGGTTGACCAAGTAATGGCGATTTTTTCCCCACGAGCACGCGCAAGAGATAGAGATAGATAGCGAGAGAGAGAGAGAGAGAGAGAGAGAGAGAGAGAGAGAGACCCACCGAAAAAAATCGAACTTTTAGTGAGAAGGGGAGAAGTTCCGCCGGAGAACCCAGAGGCGCCAACAGCAGGCCGGATGCTGTCAGGAGAGAAGAAGCCCCGGCACCCGTCCACTCACCACATCACCAGATCAGATAATTCTAAATATTTAACTTAATCGATATCATAATATCAAATCGCCGACGGAAGCCGGTCGTCTTTATTAAAAAGTTTACTATAAAAAAATTCGCTAAATAGCCACATCTGTCTTCTGGCCCATAGTGGGTCCGACCACGACCTTTCGGCCAGCGTTTTCTAGACACGTGGCATTCTCCCAGCCCTCTCCCATGTGTCCCCTCATACACTGGCAGATTGAATCGTAATTTTTCCACATGCCCTGATAATAATTGAGCAATTAGTTCTGTAACTATTTAATAGAATGGCTAAGAAAATATAATAATTAAACCTGAGATAACAAAAAAAAGGTCAACTGTAAAAAATATATAATAATTTCGGCTATTTAAGGAAAGCTTTTTCTATGTGTTCACATTGATCTGAGTATAGTTCATTCTTGTCGCATTGACTAGTAGGCTCAACCCTAGAAAACTCTATCGTATTATTATATTGCTATTATTATATTTCAACATATCATCATAGGCTCCAGATCGTATTACTATTGCTATGTAATGCAATAATATCATTACTCAACTCAGTGAACAAGTGGAAATATTTTTAAAAAATCCAACTAAGCTCTGCAAAGTGTGACAAGTGGCGCGCAGAACACCTAGTTAGAAACCTCATGATTGATATATTTTATTTTCTTGTATTTTTTTCATTAAAAATACTTTCTAAGAAGAACTTGCTCAGAGAAATACAATAAAATATATTAATCGGCGCTCAAAAACCCATCATATAAATTAACCTGAAAATTAATAAAAGGCAAAAATTCAGCAGAAATCCTAGCAGCTGACTAATTCACCAACCCCCACCCCCCCCCTCCCCTCCCCCTGTCCTTTAGTTAGGGGAGGGGTGGGGATGGAGTTGAGCCTCTACCTTCATGCTAGGCTTCTCAGTACATGGGGCAGACCAGGAAGAAGACACCAGATGAGCAGGAGAAATCTACAGCGTCAGAGACTAACTGAACTGTTCCAGGGCAGACCTCTGTCAAATAGATTACGCCCAAGTCAACGGCATCCCCCCAGCCTTCCTTCAATACCCATCTGATCATAACTTACAGATTTCAAAGGAACATTCCAAGCACAGCCGTCCGATCCCATAGCCAGGAGATCAAAACAATGAAACATGCTGCAGTGGAGATAACACTCACAGTGATCGTCGGAAGATTAGACAAAGCCCCCCTATAATCTGATAGAAATGTGAATAAGGCGTACCTTGTGATCTCAGATGAACTTCATACCAGCAATCCTCGTGCGCCTTGATATCAAGTATTGGGCCAGAGAGTAGGCCATCCCCAGCAAACCCAAGACCCTTATGGTGCTCACATCTGTGATCACAATCGACGGTAGATTGAGGGGCATTGTGAGGAGCAGCATCGCATCCGTCTGCTTCACATAATCCCACATAAAACGGCTGAAGAGGATGTGGTTGGGCAAGGTGAGGATCAGCAGGCCAACATTTTTAACGACGAACACCCAACCGGGCCCACCAATCTCCAAGCCCCATCCGGAGTCTCCCTGCCATACCTCCGCCCATATCCTCTGAATGGCTGCCAAGAACAAGTAAACAGATATGGCAAGCACCACAGGGAAGTATCTCTGCCTGTCGCCGAAGCCCGCAAAGATATCCGAGTCCTGGTTGAGAAGCAAAAGGATTGGGGCCAGGAAGAAGATGGCCCGGTTGGAGCCGCCGGTGAGGGTTATGTTTAAAATCAAGCAGATGATGAAGCACAGGAATGTGGAGACATTGCCGACGGCAGGCATCCACGCCGCCTCTGCCGCCAGCCTCTTGATTGTGAACGATGGGGCGGCAGATGCTCTCCTTTGCTGAGCGAACCTCAGTTTTGGGGGAAACCCGGAGTGCCTGCCGGCTTGATTGTGGTGCATGCCGCCTCTGTCGGCTACTTTATCCCTCATCAGCGATGCCAGCTCAAATTTGATCTGCAGAGCAATCAGCAAGAACAGCATGGCGTAGAGACCCAGAAGAGACATCCTTGCCCCTTCGACCACGAGCAAAGTAGTGAACTTGTCTGCTTGTTCGCCTTCTCCAAGGGCCCTGGCCCTCAGCTGGCCCTCCAGAAGGTATGTCACAGGGAAGAGAGCCACCAATAGAGCAAATACCCAGGGAAGTATCCTCGTGCTTGAGGCAGATGGGAGGTGTGTGAAGACCATGAAGACAGAAGCACAGACGATGGTGGTAACCAGAAGAGGGAACAACATCAGAGACTGGAAAAAATATTCTGCACAGATGTAAATCCCCAATGTGAATCCGGCTCCAATTGCATATAACGCTCTTAGCTCAACCACATACTTGATAGGGATGGCGGATGTGACTGCCGATAATGTCAATAAGATGGTGATTATGAGTAACCATGATGGCCATAAAGGCTTTGAAACTACAAAGCCATATATGGATATGTCATCAGCGGACTGATGAGCTGCCTTAATCAACTCCGACCGATAAGCCCATGATAGTGGAACAGGCGGCTGCAAAAGAACGAAAAGCAGACCTGCAGACACCAACAGTACAAGAGCTCTCTTCGCAGACTGCACAAAGGAATGCAAGAGTTAAAACATAACCCAAATCTAAATTCTTCCAAGTAAAATGAACCCGGCACTGAAAAGTGAATCAATTGTTAATAGAACACAAGCAAAACGAAAACAAAACAATGAACTAGAATTGAAATCATCAAGATAGACAGTATGTAAGCCTAGTTCCTAAAAGAAGAAAGAGGAATCAGTAGAAAGAAGCAGACTTTGACAAGAATTTCTGTTTTTTTCTGTCTTTTGCGGTAGATCATTGTCTCACGTTATCTAAGCGACCAAGGAAGGCGAGAATTAACACCTTCAATCTCGAAACAATCATTCTGTTTCTAAGCTAATTTTTGGATGATATGAACCTTTTACGGTTTGTTTCTATTGTGACAGACAATTGGTGCAGCCATGCCCACAGGTGTCTTATTCCAAGTGAAAAAATCAAATCCTTATCCAGGTCTCTAAAGTGTCTCAAAGGACTCCTTACATGGCCCTCTCTACAATGTATGAAGAACCAAACAAAGTTAAGGCTTTGAAAGGTAATCTGAAGTTAACTCGATCAGACATACACAGATGATGGATCTACTGAAGGCCTTTCCACTCTCTTAATTGGGATCCACTATCAGTTGTGCATTCCTCTGTATGACTTTTGTTCAATTCTGTCAATTATCTTATACTAACGAGGGCCCACATCAAGGATGATATCAAGATTTTCTTTGACAGTTTTGCTACGGTTCAAGAGTTTCTCTGCAAGAAGAACTGAAGGCTCACAGTACAAAAGTCAAATGATGATACTTGTTTTGCTTTAGAAAGCCGCACTTGCTTTCTCAGGAAGCATTAGAAAATGCATCAGATGTCAATTCACGAAATATAGGATTGATAAATGAGATAGGGTCATCTTCCAACTGAAAAGGAATTGCCAAGCCGAACCAATTTCTCAAGAAGAAGCCAAAAAAACAAAAAAACATCCTGACCATGTCAAGCACTTACCAAAGCAGTGGTCATCAGCTTCGAAAGATCAGAGCATGATTAACACACAAAGTTCTTTCTTTAATGAATCTGGAATATACTGAGGCGGGATCACTAGGCCTCATCACAAAAACAGGAAAATTGGATTGAAGTATGCCATGGAGACCCTTTCACTACAACATCTAGTAAAACTTTGCACACATACAGGTCTTTAGTTGCACAAATGAGCCTAGAGCAATTTATTTTGATATAAGAGAGACTTAAATTCTTAAACACAAAACCTACAACCAATTGTAATGCAAATAGACGAAGAAAATCCGTAGGAAACCATAGATATGACTAGCCCAATGATATGTCATGTCATAAAGTATTATCAAAACTATCCGCACATCTTCAACAATAGGTTTCAAAGAGTCACTAAGACAAACCCATAAGCGAACAGCTACATTCGCACAAGTGGCTTTCGCAAACAGGTTAGGGTAAATTCCCATTCACAAACAACACCATTCAAGGATGCAACGTCCACGAATGGGTTGTATTTTTCGACTATATGTTTTACATATAAAAACCTTCCATTCAACTTTAAAAGGCATTGACTAAGCACCTCACCCTGCTGCCTAAGCGATAGAGGGGAATCATCAACTTGGTGACCTTAAAAACCTTGTATTTAACAGTCCTTTACAAAATTAGGTCAAGAATTATTTTTTTTCAAGTAAAAGCTCATTCCACATATAATCCTACAATTTGATTCAAACTACAAAGATTCGTATAACAGTAGATCATACGACTGGGCATCAAAATCACTTCTTTTTCGCTGTAAACCAGACCAGCAGGCAAAAACAAAACGTTCACCCACTAATCTGAATAGATAATGGGCACAAAAATCAATTTTTTTGCAGCAATGCAGACTATTGAGCATAAAACGTGAAACAATTTAAAGCATCACTCCTTTAAGAATGCTGTATGTATTAGCCGCAACAGGTTCATACCTGAACATGGGAGAAGTGAAGAGCAACAATTGGTGTGCAAGCAAGCCCAGTTAGGAGTAAATAAGATCCCAAAAGCAGGCCATCTGATGGAGGCCTTCCATTCAACCACTGGAGAGCTTCAAATATTGTTTCCCGGCATAACCAGGCAGAAAAAGCTATAACACCAGCATGCGTGATACCCTGCCACACCTTCATTTTTGATGTAGTTTTCGTTTTGTTTCTGGGGAACCTCAAAAAGAAGACAATGAGAAAAGTTGACATGAGCACAAATCCTCCATACCAGTGATATATACATGCACTAACATCCATTTAGCTAATATTCAAAATGTGTGATAATTCAGCAAATAATGTTTCATAATATAAAGAAAAGGATAAGTTCTCTGGCACTAGGCGACTTTTTGACAATGAATTTTTTTTCTAAATCAGAAAGAAAACGGCTGGAGACCCAAAGTCGGAGAGAAATTTCACGGTATGATAGCCATAACGGAAAAAATAAGCATGAAGTACATGAGTTGATTGGTTGTACAGTGTTTCCTATAGCATTCACTCGGTGCCTGATAACACTGAGATTCCAGTAACTGTACGCTGAAATAAATTAGAAAACGAGACATCATCATTATACACTCCCCTCCCCAACAGGGCTTTCATCGTCTCAATCCCTGATGCTTTAAGATTAGACAAGACATAACTTTAAAGTATTGAAAGGAAGGACATTGCTTTAACAGGGTTATAAACCTAGACTTAGTCTCATGTTGGCTAAAGCAAGTCAGTTAAGTCACGTCCAGCCAACGTTGCACATATATCATATATGTGCAACCATGTACACAAATGAGTACACAAGTGTAACTTACACATAAGGACAGGAGAAATATAAGTACGAATGTAATGCTGATTGAAGGAAATACAGTTTAGGACGTACTTGTAAAGAAGCAGAGGAGGAGAAACAGCCAGCAACAGAAGAGCTGATACCCACAGAACAGACGTTGACGTAATAAAAAGCATTGATAGCTTCGACGAATATAAACAGGTCAGAATCCAGACAGTCTTCTGCCCTATTCGGCAATCCACAACCAGTCTCCTCACCAAAGCTAGACCCAAGAATGTTGTTGTCATAACCATGTAACTGGGATACATCACCTCATCATCAAACCCAAACCAATACATATTTGTATAATTATAAAAGCGGTCCTCTATGTAGCAGAGCAACAAAGCATGGGCTATAAGACCGAGTTCGCTCAAGAACCGTAGTTTTGATGGCAAAAGGACCAAACCAGGAATAGACATAGCTAGTGATACACTTGCAATTATCAACTTGCAGAAAGATTTCAGTGGCATACCGGCCATCCAGATATTGAGATCCCAATAGTTGTGGACAACAAACCATGCTGTCATTAGACTTGCTAATGCGACAAATGTAAAATAAGATGGTAAACTCTTTTTCGTGAAAAATCGTCCCAGATAGTACCCAGAGATCAGAGGAACAGCAATGAACTGCAAAACAATGAATAATGGTCACAATGGCATAAAATCCGAACGCTGACATGAATTCTAAATCATGAATTATAACGACACCATTCCATCTCCGCATACCAAAAAAGGATTTATTCTTTGGCTTATTCTGCACGGAATATTAGAAGAGTGAGTTTAAAAAACTTACCAGTAGAATAACTTCTGAAACAAGAAACCCATTTAGTGAAATTTTCTAACCAGGATTAGTGAGAAAATAATTTTTAGAGGCTTTTGGAAAGAAAACTATTATGTATCACCATGGGTCAAAAAAAGGGGAAATGTGACACAAAAAGGTTTCGCCAACTCCAAACATTGAGCACCAGCAAGGTGGTCAACAAAAAGATCAGTAATGAATACACTTTTATACCTTCAAAAAGTTGATTACATGTTTTATCCATGAAAGAAGGGATGTGCTTAAATCGCCTACTTTTCATTTACCAAAATCGTTCACACATTTAGTACGCTTCCATAACATTTTACTTTTGAAATTCCTAAGAACCACTTGCGATTGATGAATTAATGTAAGCTCCCCAAATTACGGGAAAAGAAAAATCAACGTAAGATATTTACCTGCTGTCTAGATTGATAGACAAAAGTTAATTTCACTGAGACAACACATTCTTTTATATTTCATGCTAGACATATCATATTCCCTAATTTACATCAGAAGTTAATTGGAGAGAGGGGGGCCATCCCGTGGCCCTTTATGGAAAGGTGTCAGGATTGCAGCAAATTTTACACAGAAATGTAACTATTTTGAACCTAACGAACAAGCTGCAAATAAGGTATTTAGACCACTGAAGACAATCCTAAGAAAGGTTGCAAATAAGGTGAGAGTGAATCTAAGAAAGAGAAACATAAAAAGACTAATGCGAGATGGGTAATATAAGAAGAGATTTTAATGCACAAAAGTATGTTTATCAAGATTACATTTTTCCCGTCCAAAATGTGAACGAGAGCATTTTGCATCATAGTTGTAGTAATTGCATCATAATTGCATTTATAGCCAAATGAGGGGAAAGATACATATGCCAAGGATATCCTCCAAAACAAAGAAAAAAGCCAAATATGACCAATAAAAGTTGCACCCAAACTTGTTTACTGCTCCTCACACGTTCTATCAAAGAAACACGTAAGCAGACAAATATATATATATAATAAGTCCACATTTTCTGCTATAAAATTAGAGTGGCACAAAATAATGCCTCCTTATGGTCGCAACAGTCCTACACTGATGATATTATATTAGCCATATATGCATATGATATCCCCAATACTTTCAAGTAACACGGACAAACCCTGTGTGAAAACGTCTTTGTCACTCATCATCAGTAAATGCCTTCTTATTTCACGTAGTCATTATCCAATAGGCAAAAGACATCAGACACTAATAGTGTATCATCGAGTGATCAGGTTCCTGAAGGTCACTCGGGTAGGTTCTCACAGAGTCCAGGCGAAAGTCACTAGGGTTCTTACAACTAGCAAGGTGTCCACATTAAGTTCAGACTGAAAAATAAGAAATAACGGTCACGAATTTTGTACCAATTAAAAGCAACTGCAGAACCAGTAAATATTCCTAACCTCTTTATCTCAGGTATGGTGTAAGAACATTCCTAACTTTCCTGTTGAAAACAATGAAACTTCAGTCACCATGCCTCAACGTCCCAACCATCCAATTAATTGTCTGCCTTCAGGATGTCTTTCAGTGAGGGATATTATTAGACAGAGAAAATCACTTCAAAAGAACTCCAATGAAACCAAAATTCTCATTCTTAAAAGTCACAGATTTTCTTGAATTTTCAGGTCTTCCAATAAAGCGAACATTGGCTGATGCAGAAAGTTAATATCAAACATTTTTCCTCACCCCAGCACTTCACTTTTCCGAGATACTCCCAAAGACCAGCTCCAATCTTAACATTTGGCTGAGCTTCTCACACTTCAGACTCTTCTTTTTAACATCACTTCATGTTTGCTCCTGCAAAACGTTCCTCTTCACTAGAAAGGCAACATAAAATGCCACAAGTAGAAATATTTCACCATTAAGGAGCATGATTCCAAACCACAAGAACACATCTTGGACTTGTCTTACATTCCAAATCCATAGTCTATGTTATTCAGGTCAACGTTTGCACTAGATAACAAATATCATCATTACATTCCTTTGAAAGAGAGAAAAGATCACCGTGACCTGCGAAACGTTGGAGGGACTGGCAGGTCTATGGTTCACCAGCTCATGTTCATGGAGACCGTGAGCTTTTAGCCCAGGACTTTTCAAATGTACTTACATTCAACTGATTACACAAGCTACATAAATCACCTCATTGTAATTGACTATAGAATGTAGATGACTTTCCTTTTCTGACATGAGCACTCATCATTCCCCACTAAATTAAGAAATATTTGCATCCTATCAATGTCCAGTTAATTTTTGGTCAAGTCTTATTATTCTAACTTGGTCTAACGTTAAAACTGCTATATCTGTCTCTTTGAACATATACAAGGGTCACTATCAGGTGGAATTTAATATATAGACAATATTGATACATGTTCTAGCGTCAGATTTTTTGGCTATTCTGCGTATGTAGCTGATAGGTACAATCCGGAGTCCTATCAGTAGTTCACACATTTGTATGCAAGATAAATACATACTGGTTAGGTCATCACTGATATGCATCCGTTCAATGATTAGTAAATTCATAGATTTCCCACAGGGAAGCACTGACGAGATTGATTATGCATGTTAGGGATCAAGTACCGTGGAGAAATAGAACTTGGTCATCCCACATCTGTGTATGTTGTGATGGGGAAAAAATCATTCACAAAGATCAAACCCATATCGACATTAAACAAAAATTAATAGCATTCTGAAAATTATAAAGTAAAACAAATATGATCTTTGAAAAAAAACGCCACGTACAAGTTTGGGGAAACCAATGACAATAGCACCAGCTCCGCTTATTAGAACCAACAAGACCGTGAAGGCCATAGAGCTGAATGCATCACCAACCAAACCAAGGATATAGGCTCCCCCAGCCGATGAGCTACCAAGCATTACTACGGTCACAAGGATATAGTTTAGTGGCGGAGGCGCATGCAAATACCTCCCAAATGAATGAAAAACAACCCTGATTTCAAGGCAAACTGTGACCACAACCATTGCAACTGCACCATTCACCACCCGTATACTATGCAACTGATAATCGTCCTTAGTAACCCACCAGAGCGCCCCTCTTGTGGAGGCATAAAGCTGGAATAAGAAAGGGATGAAGAAGAGCAGCAGCAGGTCACACACGGATGAAAAGGAAGAAAACGCTATAGAGTAGTGGGATGCAATGCGGAAACAGAGAGGCACAAAAAGGAGGTGCAGCGTGTGAAGGCAAGACTCGAGGGATCCAATGATCTGATTTTCAGCTTCATGTTTCGTCTTGAAGGAAGATGGCCTGGGCAGGGAAAAGATCCAGTAGAAGAGGCACGCAAAAATCATGTAATAAAAGGCGGCATTCGACATTCCGACAGCGGACACCACGGCCCAGCTGAAGAGAGCAGGGGCTACGATTGGCACGCAAGAAAACAACAGGCGCTCGAGGGCGATAACGATCGAAGGATTCTCGATCTGGATCCACCGAAATTGGAGCGATGCCCATACGCCAATGAGGAAGTTGGTCTCCGCGCATAAGAACAGCGCGAGGCCAGTGAGGGGCAGAGAAGGAAAGGAAACGGAGGAAGCGAAGAAGAAAGCAATCTGCGAAATGAGAAGCGAAAACCAGACAGCGAAGAATGAGGCCATCTTAAGACGGAGAGAGTCCAGGATGTAAGAGATCATGAGGCCCACGATGAGCAGATACAAGACAACGGAGCCGCCGAGATCCAGGAGGAAGGCGGCAGCGGGGACGAGGGCTATGGCGATCCTGCCATTGTGAGAGAATGAATTTGGGGCCTGGAGGCGGGAAGAAGGATTCCTGGAGGAGGATGAGGACGAGGATGGTGGGGAGGGCCATCCGGCCCCCGAACTGAGGTTCTGATCGGAATCGCGGCTGGCGAAGGTGGGGAACGCGGGGGCGCTCATGGAGGTCGCCGCGAAGGCACGCTGCCGGGAGATTGATTCATCGAGCATCATCTCGACCGTATTCTGCTCCCCCTTCTTCGTCCCGCTTCGTTCTGGATTTGGGGCTAGGGTTTACAAAACCCCAGGGTGGGAGTCGCAGACAACGTCTGGATTTCAACGGGTCTCTACGGGCGCCGGACCTCAGGCGGCAGAAGCGACACGAAGGTACCGCCGGCGCCGGTGCAGGCAAGAGAACTGAGCATAGTTCGCCGGAGGACACTGCGGAGAAGACGGTCTGAATCTCCCTGCTCCTTCCTTGCTTGCGTCTACAGACGACGAGGGTGACGACCTCACGACCGGGGGGTCATCTTCCTAAAATTACGAACCGGCCACTATCCGGTTCGGCCGCGTGGAACTTGTCCGGCCGGTTGGGAATTAATGGTTCTCATCCCTAAACCGGGAAAATTATTCCATAGGGCATCCACTTATTTAGTTTTTCTTAGTACCCCCAAAATCACAAGCCGACCGTACACAACGTACCTAACCACAATAAGCTTCCAATGAAGGTTTAGAAAAAGCTCAATCCTTCCAACGGAGCAAGATTACACGTCATTCCTGTGGTACACGAGTCAAACTAATCCATTCGCATAGTATTCAATAAAATATTCATAAATTATTTGTATACAGAACCAATGGATAAAGTTTTTTCTGTAATTTTTTAGATTTAAATAATACAATGAATTAATTAGCATTAATATTATAAAATCATATTTTCGACTCATAAAAAATTAAAAACTGAAATTATTTTTTGAAAAAAACTCTATAAGTATTTATAAATCACGTCCTTCCATTCAATGCGAACATTCCGTGGTCGTTGTAGAGTAAATGAAAATTATTATTTTACGTAAAGTATGATTAAATTATGATTAAATTATGTACTATATTTACTATGTTATCTGAAATTATTTGGGCGTTCATCTAATCTCTTCCCTGTTCATCCGTCGCTCTTTCCGAAGGACGACACTACGCCGTACATCTCGATCCTATTACACCGTCCGTACGCCGGACTATATTAAATGGATGGACGGTCGGATCGGCCCCCGGCAAATTTATTTTAAAATAGTAAATAAACTTTATTGGGTGTAACACAACTTTAATAATTTCTATATATTTGTGATATAGAAAGGCTAGAAATGGGCTTTTTGACTCCGACCCTATAAACCCGGAGGCCACTTGGAGAGTGTCACGCGGTTGATTGTGAGACGGCCATGTGGCAAAAATTAGGCCCCACCTGAACTCCGCGATGGCCCCGCTAGCTGGGGCGAGTTGTAAATGTGGGCCAGCCGAAAGCCCGGCCCATATATGCAACCCTATGAACCGTTGGCGGGGAGCTGGGGAAGGGGGATCTCAAGTACGACCGTTTGTTGTCTCTCCGTTAAAGTTGAGAAACCGGCGGATTTGCCCCCGGGCGGAAACGTTGGAGATCTCGCTGCGGGGTGGAAATCTTCCTACTGGTGCTCTGTCTCTACATCTTGTTCCCCGGAAGAATCTGCAGCTGTAGCGGCAGAGGAGGGAGAGGTCATCTGTAGTTGAGGTTTTCTATATTGTCGCGATGGATCATGTGCAAGGAATCACGTCTTCCTCATCCTCGGTTCATGGCGGAGATGCTGCATCGTATTCTTCTTCCGTCTTACAGAACTACCCGCTCGTATCAGCTCTCATCGCCTTTGCGCTGGCGCAGCTCGCTAAGTTTCTTACCACCTGGTACACAGCTGCGATCCTTCTCCTTGGTTGTGCAATTCAGACGCTGCTGGATCCGCTTTTCTTCTTTTTACTTTTCTGGAATAGTGTTTGCTTCGAATTCGTCGACGATTGCTTTTGTCCTGCCGTTTCCTAGCGTCTTTCTGTTTCCCTCATTCCTGTATACGTGTCCAACAAGGGTTCTCTCTAGGTACCTTCCATTTGTATTATTGTCTGCGCTCGTTTAAGTTAAAATTTTGGGTGGATATAAAATTGGCTGCCAATTGCTTTCCCGAAGTGATTGCTTCACGTTGATGTGAAGTTCAGGTTAATTATTGTATGATATCCTCAAAATTATTTTAAAATGTTATGAAATAAAGAAAATCCTGAAGGCAGTAATGCCAAAAAAAATCTCTAACTATTTTTAATACGTTATCTAATTAATTTTCATCATTGAATAGCCTACTCTCCAAGAATGTTTTTTCCGTAGACGTCTTCGTAGGTCACTATGGTTTATCCCTTGAACCTGCTGAACCCACAAAAAAAGCAGGTTGTTCAGAAAACTCTACGATTTGGACTTATATGACAGTTTATCCTTGGCACCAATCTTTCAATCATTTTTTTTGCTCATATTATTGTTAGAGTATGCATTCAAATTATATTTGTCATTTTCGAGTAACGTTCTCTCCGTCAAACCCTTGTCTTTGTCTTTCAAAAGGATGTTGACACCTTCTCCACATCTCAAGGAAGGAGTGTCGTTTTATTTTAAATTCCGCTCTACAACTTGGACCTCAGTTATTGCCTACAAAGAGTGACTATATCTATGATATCAGCAAAAAACAAATTCACCGAGACAGATGCTTTCTAATGTCTTAAGCCCAAAACCAATCCCAGGGAATTGTAATCCTTCATAGGGTCTCTGTCCACATGCAGGCAGTCCGCATTGGCTTGTAACTGAGTGTTGAAATCGGAAGAACTAGTTAACCTGGCAGTATTTGTTTGCATAAAATTCATATTTTCCCATTTTTCTCACAGACTCTTTAAATGAGCATAAAGAAGACGAGTTCTATTTTCATTTATCTTTCATGCCTTGCTGTTCCAACCTCTCAGTTTGCAGATCATTCATTTCCTTGAATCTTTAAAAATCCGTTCTCAAAGGTTGGGATGGTCATAAATCTTACCTCTATTGTCATGTGTCTGAGGAAGATGGATGACATTTTCCAAAGATTAGGATTGCCTTCTGTGTGTATGGTGATTGTAATCATTTAACATTCTTGATGAAATGGTATCTCTTCACGCTAAATTCTGCAAGGATTTAGCTCAAGGCATTGTAAAGTTTGCAATAGGCACATATCTGTGTTGTCTTATGCCTGGAAATAATAACATGCGTTCAAAACTTGGACTGGGATCAACATTTTCTTTACAAATGAAATATTCTTTATTATAAAAAAGGGCAGGCAAAGCCCGAAGGAAGGCTGCTATCCCATTTCATGGTCATGAAATCATCTATTTCATCTGTTAAAAAGAAAAACCAAAAGTAAATTGCTAGAGAAGTATGGAATCATGTTCTCTAGAATTTTATCTTCTCTTGTAGGTTGTTTTCCACACTCAAATCCTTTGGTGTTAAAACTCATTCATATGTTGTTTTACGCACAGATCTGAAAAAAACAAGGTGTATACACCTCTACTTCATAGTTTCATTAGAGAACTATAACTCATCCAGACATTGTTTCACTGAAGGTGCTAAGTAAATGAAGTCTGTTTTCTTTGGGTTTCAACCTTTCATCCAGGAATCCCATGTACAAGTATTATTTCCTGCCATCGCAGTTCCAAGCTCCTTTATTCAATTTAATGGAAATTTTTCTCTCTCTAGTGAGACTATCTTGTCTGCTTTCATTGACGGTTGAACAGCACCCTCGAGTAATATGATGGCATATATGAATAAAATTAATGGAGCAAATAAAGTTCATTTTTAATTGATGCTAGGAACCCTCAGATTGTTTCCTTTTTCTGCCTCTTGTTCACATTTTTTTTCTCCCTTTTCTGAATCAAGCTAGATAACTTACATAGTCATGGGCTTATTTATACTTTCCTTTTCCTGAGATTTTTAATTTCTTTTAGATTTGCAGGTACAAAGAAAGACGCTGGGATCTCAAGCAACTTATTGGATCTGGTGGAATGCCATCTTCCCACTCTGCCACTGTTACAGCTCTTGCTGTCTCCATTGGATTGAAAGATGGCTTCGGTGGTTCGATCTTTGCTACAGCAATGATAGTAGCGTGCGTTGTAAGCTCAAAATCTCACTATTATGTCATGTGTGATTGTGCCATATCTTTTGTGAATATTATGCCAACTTTTTTACCATTTTTTTTCTAACAAAGATCGTCTTCTGCTGCTTCTGTTCCGTTCAGTACTGGGTTATATGTACCATTTTTGTAAGGTCGTCTTGCGACATGGTCTTGGGATGGATACCTTTATCTCGGTTTTCTAAGCATTCTGCTCTAAGTCGAGAAACCCTTCAGTTTTAAATTGGAAAATAGAGAAGTGCTTGACCCTCCAAAGCAGAAACTAATCCTCCTGATCAGAATGATTTTTGTGCGAACACCCTTCTCTATAATTATCTTTAATGATCTGCATTAAAAGTGAAACTTTTACGTTCCATCTCTTTTCGTTCTCTTTGCCCATCTTTGACCGCAATAAGTTTGAGGAAAGCTCGCAAGAAAAAAATTAAAAAAAATATAGACCGTAGTTATGGCTATTCCAATATCCCTCAGCTGTAGTTATTTCTCCAGGTTCCTGTGAGTTGAATGTGAGTATCATGAATTTTATTATAGAAATGTAGTATGCTTTTTCTGGTGCATGCCACATATCTCGGCCATCTTGGAATTACCTCTCGACGCTCTCTCATGTGAGATTCACTCACAGGTGATGCATGATGCTTTTGGTGTGAGATTGCATGCTGGCCGCCAAGCTGAGGTATTATCTCTTACTTTGGGTACTTATAAAAAAAATTCACTGTCTGGTCTCAGCTTTTTAGGCTTCTTTCCTCTCACTTCTTCCCAGTGCTGAGATGATTTCGCTTTCTAGGATTAAAGTGGATTAAAATGTACTTAGAATTAAAATTTGGACTAAAGTTTTCTGTGTGCAATGCTACACCGAACTATTGACTATTTAAGATCCTCTCATTTTACTGGTTGAAGTCTAACTTTATTCATAATTGGTCTTAAATCTTTGCTTCCGTAGGTACTGAATCAGATTGTGTTTGAACTTCCCATCGAGCACCCTCTGGCCAATACGAGGCCGCTGCATGAACTTCTCGGTCACACTCCTCTTCAGGTTTTTTTCTGACTTAAAACTTGAATTCCCAAGATAGAAACTATTTCTTATTGAGATATCTCGGTCACTCGTGCTGCTCGAAGTGTTTTATTAAAACAAAAGAAGAAGAAGGAATTCCTCCAACCCAGTGAATCTTCTGGGCACAAGATGGTATTTTGCCTTATGCACGAGTCTCTCTTGCAATGGGTTTTAATAGATAAGCTTATTTCCCGTCTGTCTATCCATATTAAAAACTCCAGAATATGTCTCAGTTTCGGTTATTTGGTTGCTGGATTAATAATGTACTGAATTAAAGAGGGTTTTCAAATCAATATTGAAAAAAAGAACAAATTAATCCTGCATTTTACTTCCTCGTGAACTCAGAGAACCAATCTCTCTCTCAAAACCCATCCCAGGTTATCGCTGGTGCACTGCTGGGGTTTGTGATCGCCATCATTGCTTACTTGATCAACAAAATTGGGAGCTGAGTCCGGCGCTCATGTTGGAGGGCAGACAGGTTTTGTTTGGAATGTCATTTGTGCGATTAACTGGGAAAATATTGCGTCTCTTCATTCCAGGTTGATCATTTAATATGATTATTAATTGTATATCATTTCATGACTCTGTGGCCTCTGTTTTCAACCTCTTTTCCCCACGTTCCTCAGCCCCTCTATGGTCTCTCTGAGACGGGCTTCCGTCTGGGCTTGGAGAGTTCCAGCCCAGTGAGCCTTTGTATTTGACAAGAAAAGAAGGATTATTATTTCAGGGCAGGAGGAAAAGAAGGTGGAAAAGCTTTCCTTTTTTTATTTTGGTGCAGTGGGCTCTGGCGTGGCGGCTTGGCTGGCCTAGAGGGCGCTCTTAGGGTGGAGGACGACGATCTGACCGTAAGCGTCCAGCGTGAGGAACTCGTCCAGCTCCGTAGCGGTGCACTGCCTCGTGAAGATCCGGCAGGCCTCGGCGTATCTACCTCTGGCGAACCTCTCCGCCCCCACCTCCCTCTCGATCCTGGCCAGCTCCTCCTCCACCACCCGGGCGAAGAGCTCCGGCGTGACCCTCACCGCCACCGCCTCCCCGTCCAGGGCCGCCCCGTGCCGCAGCCACTGCCAGTTCTGCACCCGGCTGATCTCCGCCGTGGCGGCGTCCTCCATGAGGTTGTACAGCGGCACCGACCCCGTGCCGGCAAGCCACGCCGCCAGGTACTGTATCCCCACGCGGGTATTCAGCCGCAGCCCCTCCATCGTCCGCTTGCCCCGCGGCGGCTGCAGCAGATCCTCCGCCGTGAGCGCCGCGGCGTCCTCCCTCTTCGCCGTGGCAATCTGGTTGGGCCGGCCGCCCATGTCGAAGGCTTGCGCGATGGCGGGGATCAGCCCGGGGTGCGCCGCCCAGGTGCCGTCGTGCCCCGCCCGGACCTCCCTCGCCTTGTCGCTGCGCACGAGCTGCAGCGCCGCCTCATTCGCCGCCGCGTCGTCCCTGATCGGGATCTGTGCGGCCATGCCGCCCATAGCGTGGACGCCGCGGCGGTGGCAAGTGAAGATGAGGAGGTCGGAGTAGCTCCTCATGAAGTGCTGGGACATGGAGACTAGGACGCGGTCGGGGAGAAGGCGGGAGGGGTGGGAGCGGAAGGTCTTGACGTAGCTGAAGATGTAGTCCCATCGACCGCAGTTGAGGCCCAGGGAGTGGTCTCGCAGCTCGTAGAGGATCTCGTCCATCTGGAACGCCGCGGGGAGCGTCTCTATCAGCACCGTCGCCCTTATGCTTCCCTTCTCGATCCCGGCGAACTTCTCCGCCCTGTTGAACACGTCGTCCCATATCTTCGCCTCCCTGCCCACTACTAGTATTAGCGAGAGAGAGAGAGAGAGAGAGAGAGAGAGGGAGAGTGGAAAGGGAAGGAGAGAGATACTCGAGAAGAAGCCGGAGACAAAGAAGGAACGTTGTGGAGGGAGATACAGAGAGACCTTTGGAGAGAGAGAGAGACCTGGAGTGCTCCATCTTGGGGAGGTAGAAGAAGGGCCCGAAGCCGGCGCCGTGGCTGGCGCGGAACGCGGCGTGGTTGTGGAAGAAGTAGAGGCCGAAGTCGAGGAGGCAGGCAATGGCGGGCTCGCCGTCGATGAGGACGTGGGCCTCCGGGAGATGCCATCCGCGAGGTCGCACGAAGAGCTTGGCCGTCTCCGCCTTCAACTCGTACACCCTCTTTCTTCCCTCGTCTCTGAAGCTTATGGTCCCATTCACGGCGTCCCGTAAGTTCACCTGCCCCCTCATCAGGTTCTCCCATGTCGGCGACAGCGCGTCCTCAAAGTCCGCCTGCAAAAAACAACACCACCACCAGCCCCCACCGTCACATCCCATCCCACCCCTCCGCCTCACGCCGGCGGCGCCACCGCCGCTGCCGGGCTTCGCTTACCATGAAGACCTTCGCGCCGGAGTTGAGCGCGTTGATGATCATCTTCCGCTCGACGGGCCCAGTGATCTCCACCGTCCTGTCGGCCACCGGAGGCGGCACCGGCGCGCAGACCCAGTCGCTCTCCCTCACGCGCCTCGTCGCCGGGTCGAACCCGATGCTCCCGCCGGCGTCGTAGCTCTTCTGCGCCTCCCGCCGGCGGTCCATGGCGTAGCGAACCCGCCCGCGGAACTCGCGCTGCAGGTCGGCGACGAACTGCAGCGCCTCCCGGGTGAGGATTCCGGCGAACTCACCGTCGTATCTCCCCCTGATCTCTACCCCCTCGGGGACGTCGTACCCGCTCGCCATGGCGATCGTCTTCCGCACTGCGAGCTACTCCCTCCTCCCTCGAGAGTATATATATATCGCCGGCGACGGAGGAGATGAAGATGAGGCGGTGGAGGGTGGAGTTTTGCGCGTCATCGCTTCTCGGGACATGGAAAGGATGAGGAGAGCGGCGGTGGCTGCATGGCAGCGCCATCCTCACCTGGGAGAGCCGTGTGGTTTACAGAGTCAGCAGCAGTTGTGACCAGCTGATACCAGTCGACTGCGATGCCCATCATCTTATCCGTTGTGACGAGCCGGCGGTGCGTGGCGGCTTTACCAAGCAACACCTTTGACTCTGAGAACGTCCGAGAAGGGTGACCAACTACGCCACTATTTTAAAAATCTCACTTCTTGTAAATGTTTTGTGAAGTTGAGCATGGAGCAATATTTTCGGTGTATAGAAAGAATAACTTTAATAATGTGCAGCAACAACTTGTGCCTTACACGGCACCTCCATATCTTGTTAAGACTTTTTTTGACATATTATGTAATTTTGAATCAATTGGAATAAATATAATGGGCTCTTATAGGGCTTAATAATTAGTACAAAAATCCTATTTTTGTAAGTCTTGCATAGTATTATATTTAAGTATTTTCAGTAACTTACATGATAAATATATTTTTGGAGACCTTTAAGAAATAATCGATGTGATTATTTTACATTTGTAGAACATTATATATTTGCTATAAAAATGTCTTGGGTTCTAAATATGATGCAATAATCTTAGGTCTTGTGTAGCCCAAACTGAAGTATGTTTGGACCTATTGGTTCAAATATGTGATGGATTACATACAAAGAGGGGAGGTGAATTAGCTTTCTAATGAGTTTGAGTATTTTGTATGTTTTCTAATTATTTTTATGAATTTTAAATTCAATGCTTGACATAGTGAAACATAGGTTAACATAAAAGTTTTTTGGTTGACATATATTTCTTTATGTTGGCATAGATTGTTTTGGGTTTGTTGATACCCTTTGTTTTGATAATTATAGATAAAAGTTAATTGATAAATTATTATCTAATATTGATGCTTATTTATATACTTCACTTATATGATTTAAATGCTTAATATGTTCATGTCATTTATTTTATTATTATTTAGTTAAATGACTACGGATTCATTACTAACAATTAAAATCGAAGTTTTTAGCCCTTGAAATAAAGTCAGTTTATATTTTAAGAATATTTGAAGATAAAAATATATAAAGTGAAGAAAGATATATACACAAAATATTAAGTGTATGGTCTTATGGTATGACTCAACACATGTTATTGTAGTAATGTAATATTTATCTATTATATATTTTATTTATACATAATATAAGTTATCAAGTGTATTAAATCAACAATAGAACAAAGAATGGCTCAAATATTCAAGTTTAGAAATAATATCTTGCAGGTAGCATGCTAGATATTTATGTGGACAAAAAAAAAAGAAAAAATTGATGATATAGATCTGATTTTGATATCAACTGTTCTTCATCAAGTTGCGAAGCTTCCACAGAAATTTCAATTCAAAAGATTACTAAAATAAGGACACTTAAAGCTTGGAAGGTTAAACATAGTTAATTAACATTTTAAAAAATGACAAGTTTTTTAATAGGTATTTCTTACATTGGAGGTTTGATAAACAAAGAAAACTATTAAATAATGAACTTATTTATTACATAATAGTTTTAGATAAAAAAATCAATGAATACACTTAGTTTCAGCCCTCATTGTTAAGCTCTTTATATTTCATGCATTAACAACAAACAAAGAAGCTTCAATATCTAAATCAATTTATCTATTATGATCATTAGTCTCCATCAATATCTAAAGAAAATGAATGGTGAGAAGAGAGTAGATTTGACAAAAACACAAAGTGTAGTCATAATTGACCCAAGAGGGGCTGGGTGTATATGGAGGTAAACTTATGTGATCTGAACAATTTATTCTATTAAAATCAATGTATATTCATGACTATGCTAGTAATTAGAAAGTATTTTTATAAGATTAGAAACAACTTAATGAGAGATAAACTAGTTTTAAAATCATGTTTTATATAATGATTCATGGCCACATAAGCAAGAGGACATGTCAAGAGATTTATGGATTATTTTCTCAATAACTTAACAAGATGTCAACATTTTAAGTCACATCATCCATGTATATCTTAGTATTCTTACTCTATTATGGATTGTGAGATGAAATATGAAAAATTCCTTAGATAAAGATCTGAAGGAAACTTGAAGGAAGGTGAAAGAAGATGTTGAGATGGAGAAGAGGTAGTGAGTTGATGAATTTTTTATGATTTTTGGCTGAGTATTCTCCAAGTCACAACCAGAGCAAAGCAATGCTAGGTGCTTATGAATCTGATTTTTATTTAATGCGTTTTATTTTCATTTTGTCTTGTTATATTGTCTAGGTGACAAGAAAATAAAGGGATTAAGCATTTCAATCCACTCTTTTATCACTTTTTCAATCAATTTTGCAATAAATTTCCATCCACAATAATACTTTATTCATATGTGGCATACTACGATAGTTTGTGTTTTGATTTCACTTTTTTAGTGGTTCTTCCTATATTTTTAAGTTTTACGATGAAATCTAACTTCATTTTGTTTAAAAGATCAATCAAATTTTGTAAGGATTTTACTTAAAACTAGTTTAACATTTCAATATCAACAATCATTTTAACAAGTTGGAAATTTCCTATTCTATTTTCACATTCAATAATTCATTTTTTATTTTATTTTCATAGTTAAAGCTAACTTTTTAAAACCCACTTGAAATATTAATGACCTTGTATAAAGGTCTGACTTGAATTATCTTCATGTTTCACCATTGACATAATTATCCTGTCAATTGTCATATTTTATTTACTCTCATATTTTTCTTGATTTATGTTTTATTTATATCCTTTATTTCTCTTTATTTTTACTTCATGTTCACATGACAAGTAAACAACATGTTTTGACAACAAAGGAAACTGAATCTAACATTACAAATCTTGTTTATAAATTAGTAAATACATACTTATGAGTAATTTCTACTTTTATCTTTATGTAATGAATTATCAACATTAAAATCTATAAAGAAAAGTTCTCCATGTTGAATTATAAGGTGTACAATGACAAAATTTAAAGACATTTATAATCAAATAAAGTTTGAAAATACATTTAAATGTGTTTAAAGGACTTATGATGGTTTTTTTGGTAAAATAGAAAAATAATAAAAATAATAATTTGAATAGACAAGCAATTAATTTTAGTGTCAACAATCAATTAACTTCAAAACTTTACAATAACTATAAACAAGGCTTCTATATGTGATGGATATTTATAAAAAAATGTACATAAATTTTATACAACAATTGCCTTTAATACTATTATTAAATAACTTTAATAATATAATTTTTGAATCATGTTGAACTTTGTTATTCCTTTAGATCCCACAAAGTTGATGCTCAAATGAAAGCCCTTGAACTATGCAGTTTAGTAGTGAATCAATCATTCCAATGATCATTTTATTAAACATCATCATAATTATTACGTCTACATGATTTTCAAAATTCCAATGATGAGATGTGCAACAATAAAAAACTAATGAAAACTTGTTATTTCATACCAAAATTAACCATTTGTGGAATAATGTTTATGCCTACTCGCTAAACTCCACCTCATAAAATGGAAAATATTTTCTATCATTTTAAGACAGTCCTCACCTTTTAATTTTTTTAATATTTATATTTCATTATGTTTTATTTTTTGTTAAAAACCCTAATCAATTCCTGCGCAGCACTTATCCCTCCTGAGAAAAAAACAACTGGCCCAGGTTGGGCATCCGGGCCCATTTTCTCATACACAGCCCAATAAAAGGCGAACGAAAGGCAGATAATAAATTAGGTCCATATGGGCCTCATGTTGGGAGGAATAAACGGGCCGTTCTGGTTACTTGGCCGGACCACATCGATTTTTTGGGCCGATTTCTTCATATATAGGCCCAATAAATAAAAATGATCTCCACATGTAATTAACCCAGGTTGGAGGCTTGGGAACCTGGTTCAGGGGAGACTGGGCTCAAAAATACGGGCCGGATAAAAATGGGCCGATATTATTAAGCGCGGCCCAATAAAACTGCCGAAGGCATCTTTTTACGGGGGACTTCCTGCGAAATTATCTGATTTAAAAGGAAATCTGATCGCAACTCGTCGATCCTTTTTGTCGAGGGCGGCCGCCTCTGGTTTCCATTGTCTTCCGGCGGTTGTGGCGGCGCTACCTCGTCCTTCTCCGCTGAGTGGCAGCTTCCAGGTCTGGTCCTCCGGTTCCCATCTATCTCTTTCCTGGTTTGCACTCGCCGGAGGCGTATTACTCTGCCGTCTGTGCCGACTGTGGGGCTTCTCCTTGGCGGTGTCTCTATTTCTTGGTTTTTCGAGATGCTGGATTGCTGAATGGAGTACTCGTCTGTTGTTTATTTCCCTCGTCTGTGTCCCGAAGTGCGTTGTTTCGAGGGGTTTGCCCGAATTTAGACCTGTGTTCTAGGGTTTCCTTGTTGGTGTCCTGGAATTCTAGGGTTTCGTCCGTTGTGGCCGGAGTGTAGGTTGAAATTTTATTTTAAGATTATCGTTTTCAAAAAAATTCATGGCGGGGGGAAATCAGGGCGGCTATCGCGAACGTGAGTCCAGGGAGAGGGAGGTCCATCTCGAGATTTCTAGGAAGAAAGGAATAATCAAGGATCGATTTTGGGAAGGGCGTGATCAGAGAAGGGAACAGGGTGATCGTGATCGCCCTGACCGGTCTCTTGATCGTCATTGGCACGCCCAGGAGAGAGCATCTGAGAATGGTTCCAACAGATCGGCATCCAGCACCAGCAATTCTAGTTCCGGCAGTGCGGGTGTGAACGGAGACAGTAGGAGGCGGCCTTCTGGTAAATCAGCAGACAGGGAACCTGGGGAGTTGTCCAGTGGAAGTGGATCCGATGACCCTGATGCCATCCAGTCTGAGTCCCGAAGTTGCGGTGTACCAGGCTTGGAAAACGGGAAGCAGTCTCCTGCCAAGAAGAGAAAATTCTCTCCTATTGTGTGGGATAGGGATGATGGAAAGCCACCTAGGTGCGATCCATCACGAAGTAAGGACACATTGATTGATGTTCCTCTACCTCCACCCCCACCGCTACCACAAGGGTTTGTCCCGTTGAACAAGATCGAGGTGACAAACGCTGTAGAAAAATTGTATCCCGTTGATGCTGATGTTTCCTCTCCATCACCTTCAGAACAGCACTATGGCAATAATATTGAACATACTCAGTTAGATGAGGATGAGGACTACTACCCTGCGAGAAATATTTCTGCATCACGGTGGGCAGATGGGAATAATACTTTCGAGGATGACGAATCTGAAGTTTTTGGTGAGGGTGTTTTGCCTGACAGAAGGAAAAATACTCCAAAAACTGAAGCTCTTGCCACAATGTTTCAGAAGAAGGTTCCCACTCCTGAACTTGGAGAAGTCATAGTCAGGGAAGGTTCTGAAGGTGCTGCTTCAAGATCTTCTGATTCAAGAGAACTGGGAGACAAGTATCAGGAGAGTGATGCAGATAAGAATAATTATATGGATTTGGATTCTGCAGATTTGCATAAGGCTGCCGAAAATCTAGAGTCAGACACAGATTCCGAAGAGAAGAGTGATTCTATGAGAACTCCAGAACCGATTCAGCCTCCACAACGGAGTATAAACATGCTACAAGGTTGTAGAAGTGTTGATGAGTTTGAAAGGATGAACAAGATAGACGAAGGGACTTATGGTGTTGTGTACCGGGCAAAGGACAAAAAGACAGGGGATGTAGTAGCATTGAAGAAGATAAAAATGGAAAAAGAGAGAGAAGGCTTTCCACTTACGTCTCTTAGGGAGATAAACATCTTGTTGTCTCTTCATCACCCCTCCATTGTAGATGTTAAGGAAGTTGTCGTAGGTAGCAGTCTTGATAGTATTTTTATGGTAATGGAATATATGGAGCATGATCTTAAGGGGCTTATGGAGACAATGAAGCAGCCATTTAGCCAGAGTGAGGTCAAGTGCTTAATGATGCAGTTGCTAGAGGGTGTCAAATATCTTCATGATAACTGGGTACTTCACAGGTACTTATGACCCGTAAAAGGCTGCCTTATGCTTTTCTCTGTCTTCTGTTTGGACATCCAAGCTTTTCTGACGCATGGAGCTGGTGTTTTTCTCAGGGATTTAAAGACATCAAATATTCTGTTAAATAATCGTGGAGAGTTGAAGATATGTGATTTCGGATTATCCCGCCAGTATGGCAGCCCTTTGAAGCCTTACACTCATTTAGTGGTTACGTTATGGTACAGGTGTGTTGTAGACTGCACTATATTTTCTGTGTTGTTGTTTTCTTATCGTTAATAGTTGCATAAGATTCTACTCTTTTAAAATGCTTTTCTGTGCTGTCTCTTTCTTTCGTGTTTCATATCTATTTCTCGTTGTAGAGGATCCAATATACTGACGTACTCATTTTACTGTCATGTTGGCAGAGCTCCCGAACTCCTACTAGGAGCAAAGGAATATTCAACTGCCATAGACATGTGGTCCTTGGGATGCATAATGGCTGAGCTTTTAGCAAAGGAGCCATTATTTAATGGGAAAACTGAATTCGATCAGCTTGATAAGGTACCTTGTTTTCCTCATACTGCCCGCCCTGATTATACTAATCTTTTGATTGATTTATTTTATACTAATTTAATCTTATTCGCTCAGATATTCAGGATTCTTGGTACTCCCAATGAGAAAATTTGGCCAGGCTTTCCAAAACTACCTGGTGTTAAGGTCAACTTTGTCAAACAACCGTAAGCCACTTCTTTCCCATTGTTACGATCTTCTGTTGGCAGTATCCTTTAAATGAGATCTTGGTCATTCCTGGGTCTTGGTTTGTAACAATTTTAGCATGAGTTCGATCTCACATTTTTTTTTCTACTTTTTGAACAGGTATAATAAATTGCGGGAAAAATTTCCACCCACTTCCTTCTCTGGACGCCCCACCTTGTCTGAGGCTGGATTTGATTTGCTTAACAAGCTCTTAACTTATGACCCTGAGAAGGTACCGTCATAAAAGTTGCCACCACGTCATTTGTATATTCTACTTTTCTATCCTCCTGATACATGTCTCTCTCCCAAAATGCAGAGCATATCAGCAGAAGATCCCTTTAACCATGAATGTTGTTATTCCTGATGAATCTTTACTTTTGTTTCTAACTTTCAATTATCTCTTATTTTTTTTTCTCTTTTCCTTTGCAGAGAATAGCAGCAGAAGACGCTCTTAACCACGAATGGTTTCGTGAAGTTCCATTGCCAAAATCAAAATCATTCATGCCAACATTTCCCGCGCAACACGCTCACGACAGGTACTTGTGCTCATTATTTGGAATGCATCAATCTAAATGTTTGACCTTGTTCATCTTCGTATTGACCAACTATGGATTCTTTAGGCGTCTTCGAAGAGTAATGAAGAGCCCAGATCCACTTAAAGAGCAGAGGATGAAGGAATTGCAGCAAGGGGAAATTGGTACTGGGAGTTTGTTTTCCTAAGTCATACGAATTGAACTCTGCAGATGGAACGTGCTCGGAGTCTGTTCATGCTTGGCAGGATATTTTGCCCTGACCTGGACCTGTATGAGGTGAGAGGTGCATTGCTGCGAAGTTCTGCGACCTGTGTTTGTGCCAGACGACAATTGATACCGTTCTCTAGCAGGAACTTCCAGTTTGCTTGGATGAAGGAGAGAGATTTCCTTTTTTCTTCTGCAGAAAAATTCCATTGCAGGATACATTGTTTCTTCTTCATCGATGATCATAAACGTGCACCCTTTATGCAGCCTGGTTGAAGGTTTGGCATATTGGCTTTTTATTTCGGTGAAAAACAGGTTCATCTGAAACTTGTATATGTAAAATACTTCATTTGACCTCTGTAAACGATGCACTTAAACCTGGCTTTGAATATCAGAGTTTTATAGTTACGCTATTTAAGCGTGCATTTTCTTTTGATTGTTACATTGTGTTTGCAAGAGGCGATGGGGTATGAAGCTGAAGAGACGTTCTCAGCTTTTCGTGCTCGAAGATATACACGGAATACATTCCAAAACAGAGGTAATTAATAATTGATACACGGATTGGGAACTGCTTGGGAATATTAAGTTACATTTTCTCCATGCAGTGCGGGTGCATCCATAGCTTCATGGCAAACTGATCATAGTTCATGCGTAATAAAACGAATAAGACCTGGCTATTCGGAGCAGCAGAGTATCTTGTTTAACAAATATTTCCTTTTTATTCATCACCAAACCAAACATAATCATATGTAATTTATTTTTCACGTGGTTAGTGATACGTAATTTGTACCACATTCAAGATGGTAATTTAATGGCAGTATAACATGTGCATTTTCTCCATGCAGCGTCGATCATCGGTAGCTTTGTATAAAACTGGTCATTAATCTCGTGTAATAACCTTAATGGGACCCACGTATGCCAAGTAGCGAAATATCTTGTTGAACGAATTTTCATTTAATCTGTCACAAAACTAAGCACAAGTACATGTGATTAAGGGGAGATTTTTCTCATTCAAGACGGCACTTTGATGCCAGTGCGAGTGGTGTATTTCTGTATGGGAAAATTGTACCAATCTCTCCTGACAGCTTGTCTCGATGTGCTGGATATCACGGTCTACATCCTTATTTTGAGTTTTTATTTTTTCCTACTTCTTTAACCTTCGGTTCCTCCTTTCGAGATTGGAATTTTATCCAAGTATCCATTCCAGCAAGCAATCTAAGTCAGTTCGTTATCAGACGAAATTCAGTATCAAGAACACGGGGTGGAATTCAAAGTATGAAAAATTAGTTTGTCCGGTTAGATTGTTTGTAGGATAGCATTTCATTTATTCTCTTCATTTTCTCTGGTGTGTGCTCGCCTAAATCTTGTATATGGATGTTCATCTTAGGTTAATTCCTATCTTTTAGTCTCATAGCCGTTTTCAATGATTGAGGATGCCACAATTTATTATCAGCACCATTTCATTTCCATTGTAGGAGCTGATCTAAGAAATCCGTGTCCGTCCGCAGTTAAAGTAATGGCTTCTATACATCTTAGGAAAATGTTATCCCTTTGTTCTATCTTTAAGGCGACCTTGATCTTGAACATACATCTTTTCTACCCAGAGATTTCCTGTTGGTCAGTATCCATCCACTTTCCTCTGTATTTTTTCTTCACGCGGTGAGACTCTTGCTGGTTCTTACTCATCCTTGTAACCGTGGGATATAGTAACACATCTTATGTCTTATGCCTTCACGTTTACATTGTAGTCCCCTGTTTCATTGTTTAGTGCTGCTAATGATTGTAGGATTTATATGGAGAAAATTTTCATGTTATTTCGTCTTGAAATGTCGCTGCAGTATTCTGAAAGCACTTTGACGGTGGGGATGAAAATGCAGTCTTTCAGGAATTTATAAAATCTGATTGTAGGTATACATCCTCCCAGAGTGGGACTCTCTCTCTATCAAGGTACTATATGATCCTTGGTCTGTTTTACCTTTCAACGAAGTGTGATTCGTGACGTATATGCATCTAGTCACGAGTCAGTGCTATTTTGGGTTAATGATTGCTTCCATTTATTATATATTTTCTTTAAGACTTAATGGACTTCATTACCGTGATTGGATCGACTGAAAACAGTAAACACTATTGATAGTGTTTCCTCCTGTACTGACTTGCACACAGACACTATTGCAAGAAGAGAAATAGAAGAAAGACTCACAGATGGAAGTTTTGTGTGCGTTTGTCTGCCTGTCCTTTAGTTGGATGCCTATTCTTGTTTTAATCTGGGATTTTTGCTTCTGCATTGTTGTTTTATTTGTCTTTTTCGGTGATCTTCATTTGACTATGCCTCATGAGGAAAAAAATGAAAATCTTGTATGCTTCCGACGATGTGAATGCATAAAATGTACAAACATTTATTTTTCGGCTTTAATCCACTCCAAGATCCTCTGTTCCCATTCTCTGCTGACTGAAAGAAAAGCCAAGGAGAATGAGTTTGTTGAATCCTTCCTCTATTTTTCCATATTTTTGAGTGCTTTGGGTGTAATTTGTTTTCGTTGATTAAGGAGCAGGAGGGGTTGGAGCAAAAAGTAGAGGATTAAAATTAAGAAAAGACTACTGTTGATGTTGGTGTGCTGCAGGAGGGGTACTTTTGGTTTTTCCTTCTATTTTTTGTATCTGAACTGCTACTGTGGGGATAAGTGTCAGAAATACACAATCTTCTTAACCATCCCCAATAGTTTAAAAACCCTGTGATAGGTCGATCTGGCGGGTTTCTTTTTCTTTTCAGTTTCATGGTGGATTCAGTATTCTCTTTTGAAATTGTAATGGCCCAGGTTTATTTCAAAGTTTGTATTTTAGATCCAAAAACTCTTGTAAACGTCTTTTTCAGTCAGTTTATTGAAGAATGCATGTCCGTGGATTAGGCTTTACTTCTTGCAAACATGAGGATTACATCTATATCCCTGATTAGGCTTGACTTTGGGATTAGGGACTCAGTGAAGGACTCTGAATTGGCCTACCATCGGTTATCCTATGTACAAGTCATTAATTCTAAATGCGCATATCTAAATGTTAAAAACGTTTTTCTCTTTACAAATATATATATTTCTTTTATTTAAATAACAAAATGGAAGTGTTATGGAGGCATGAAAAATAAAATAAAAGGCTTCCAAGTACTTTGTGCACCGATTCTTTGATCCATTCTCTTGGTGTTTCTCTTTGGAACGAGCACTGATAACTTGGAAAAAGTAAGTAAGATGCGAGCATGGTTGCCATGTTAGCTTGTAGGCAGAAAGGAGTCGACCATAAATAAAAGGCATCAATCATCTATTCATATCTTAGACGTATCTGTGTGCAATTTTGAATAAGTACGTGTTAGTCAAAAATTCCCTTAAAAAGGTTCACTCAATTACATATCCTTAAATTTTATTTTTCTTTATAGTTCTTCATTACTCGTACATGAAGGGGTCTCTTTCTGTTGGGAGAGAATCTTTTTTTATGAATTTATAATGCCTCAACTGGATAAATTTACTTATTTCACACAATTCTTCTGGTTACGCCTTCTCTTTACTTTTTATATTGCCATATGCAATGATGGAGATGGAGTACTTGGAATTAGCAGAATTCTCATGAATTGATATGACAGTTCACTAGATGTACTACTTGCAAAACGAATCAACTATTTTTCACTTTTAAAGCAAATCGTAGTAGAACGTAAGATGTCAAGATAATTTGCTGCGAATCTCATTTGAAATTTAGTGGCAAATATGGCAAAGGATCCTCAGCTTTATAGGCATTAGATAAGACATTCACTCAATTAAGAGGCAAGCATGGCTACGTTTGAATTAGATCGGAGCTATCATAGAAGAGTGGTTTGATAACGAATATTAATCCGATCCTTTAGACCACTTGGAAGGAGTGAAATAGTTTTATGGTTTGCTCGAGGGAAAGAGTGAGCATGCTCATGTGCAAGGAGATGATTCTTCCATTTTTAGAATTTTAGATATTCGTAATAGTATGCACCATAATAGTTTAATTTTTTGCTTTGTACGCGTCTTTGGGATCTGAATGCTTAGATGTTTATATACCGTTTCTTGTTTTCCATTCTTAATGATTTGGTTGTACTATTACTCGGATAGATATACTATTTCTGAAAATTTATGTCCAGAATTTTATATCCTACACAACTATTGAACGCTTAAATTTCATATTGAAGATATGGGCAAGGTATATCCATGTCCCCAATGCATTCAAGCACATTAAGACGGTTTGGCATGCTGGCCTTAGTATTGTCAATTTTCGGTATTCTAAACAAACAGCATGAATACTGAGCATATTCGCATTACTGGAAATATCTGTTATAGCCCCCAACAAACACCCTGAATGACAGACCCCTGTTTTAATATTGTGGTTATAACTCCAAAAAAGTATCATGGTTTTTGTTGATACAATTTTCAAATGGCAGAAGATCATATTCTCTTCTGCGTGGCTTAGTGGTTAACTCTGTGAGCGCATATTCGGCTGATTGCTAGCTGGCTCAGATGGGCGGGCATCCCACAAGGAAGGGGGAGCCATGTCGAAAAAGAAATCGTTATCGGCTTTACCTCTATGGCTGGCAGGCTTATATGCATTTATGAAATTTCAGTCGTGAACCTTTATAACGTGAAATAAAAATTTCCCTGAACCACGTGTCTTCTTACATGCGTAGCTTGGGATTCCTACCACAATTTAAGCTAAGAAATGTGAGATCCGAGTACGAAATTGCAAATAAGGCATGATTCGGATAATGAAGTCAGTGGGGACTCTTTTTCGACGAATTGATCTTTTTAAAATGTTTTTGAGATACCATGGATTTTGATGCCAAGATGCTTTTCTTGATGTGTCCATATGGGTTTTTTTATGAGAAACTAGTCAATCATCCCTCTTTAGATGCATCGTAGATTTATTATAAATTTCGATCTTTCACGTTGACTGCTAAATCAATGTCACACCATTCAGAAAGAGGAATACCACTGTGCTATTTCTGTTTGTTATGGCCAAATTCTACTTCTGTCGGTTTATTTATTTATTATTATTTATTTTTGTGGGGAGTGAGGGGGGGTTAGGTTTAGCTTGATGGGTTTAGACCAATTTTTGTAGTATGGCCACAACCATGCTTTTAGTAGTCCGCTCCTGTGAACTCTGACAACTTATGTCTTTTCATCGGGGGCTCATGAGGCTGTTTTGATGGTACAACCTCATGCACTTGGATATATTTTGGTACAGGGGTGTCTCCTGCTTTCTTTTCTTAGTGGGCTTTGTGTGCGAATCCTGCTTCACCTCTGTGGTAGGAGTTTGCAGCCACTGAGACCGCTTCAGATTTGTCGCCTTATAACTAGGTAGTTGGAAAAACACAAACTGGGAAGACTGTGGGTGTCTCACAGTTTATCATGGAACTTCACCTTGTCCCACATGCTCAGTATGGTGGCAATAGCCTTTCTTTGATGCAGTCTTTGGCGGCCATGCAGTGGACTTAGGGTTGACGAGAGGGCATCCATGGAAACTCTTTGTGGACAGGATTCCCCTTCTTTGGTTGTCACACCATATGTTGATTCCCAGCTGCCACAAAATGGCAGACTCTCTCTAGAGAAAATTGGTTAGATCTTCAGTGTGTCAACTGTAGCAACATGGTTTCTCCAGATGTATAAGTTCATCTAGCTGTTGGACACACCGGATGTGTGTTGAGCGGGGGGGGGGGTTCTATGCAGAAGGACAAGTAGGGTTTATAGCAGCAAGATTCCAAAGGCCATAGATTTACTTGAATTTTTCTAGCCCAAATGATTGGTTACTTATGATTAAGTTAACCACCGTAATTAAACTGCATGGAATTATTTTAAACCATGGAATCTTATGGAAACGTTTAGGGTTCTTATGCCTAAAAACAGATGATAATCAGAAGAAAAAATTTAATACAATTCATAATCAATGTGTAGTTCGCTTTTGCCATATTAGAGTATTCACCGACTTGTGAGCTTTTTTCACTGAAAAATATGTCAAGATAAAACCTTCTTGATCCATTTATTTATTTTTTTCCTTCAAGTCCGGCTGTTTGATCGGAATCTTGAGTTGGATATGACATGCAGATTCCTGTTTTGATTAGGAAGACTAAAATTTTTCAGATATGTTTTGGTTCTCGTACATAATAACTTTGTTCTTGGTCAGATATATTTCTCGTCCACATGTTTAAATTGATATCCATGATTACATGGAACTGACAGGCGTCATCCATTATTACATATATTTCTCGGGCATGCCATATTTGGTGTCCTAAAAGTTTCTCCTCAAATGAACTGCTGATGCCTTATCTCGCCGCCTGTCTAACATCTCATACCATGTTCTTCGCCGTATTTTGCTTGAATTGCTTCGATGCTTGCAAGCAGAAAAGCTCTGCCTTCTCTCAATCCCCAGGTTCATTTCCCGATTTGGCATCTCGATGCCATGGTTCAGACTCCCCATCTTCTCCACTTATTCAGACTGCCTCACTGGTCTCAGCAACCTTCACCCTCATATAGTAAAAGAATCCCAATATTTATACACATATTAATGCGCATGAAAATTGGAACTTTGGTCGTGATTCATTGAGAGCTGGCAATGTTGCTGCGGTGGACAGCTCATCATGGTGGACTCTCTCGAGGGCCCACAAGACATCGACAGGATCTGCCCTCCCTTTCTGTTCTTCAATTTTCTGAGTGTTAGAAAAATATTTTTTTTTATTAATTTGTGGCTCGTGTTGGATAAATTCTTCTGGGTCTCATTGACCAGTGTGATCTCCCTCTTCTTTTGTTTGTGGTTTTGTTCTGAAGATCGTGGGGATGGGGGGCGTTGACTTGTTCAAGTTGGGCTTCTCTCTCAATGTGAAAATGGGGACGGGATTTTGTCGGTGGGCCTCTGCCTGATTTCGGTCAAGGGATAAAAGTCAAACTCGTGTCCATTGAGATGGGCGGGGTGTTCTTGCATCAGTCATCAGGAGGAAGGCGCCGTACGTGATTTCATAGGTGGGGTTTGGCTGCGACGGCGCAGCCTTTTTGCCCTCCACCTCTTTTTGAAACGGGGCAGGTCGTGACGTAAATCTCCTTTGACTTTGTCTCTTCCTTCCCCTGCCTTACCAAACCTCCAGGTACGTTGTCCAAATCGATTTTGTTGATGAGGATATTAACATAATTACAAAAAGTAATAAATTTATGCTCTGCTTTAATTTATAAGGATACAAGTGTAATATAAATAAAATGGGATTTATGTGAAATTATGGTAATACGCAAAAGTCACTTCGTGCCTAGAAGTCAACTCGCCCTTAGACATAATTACAAGAGACGTCGTCTGCCACCTTTTGATCCATCCCGGTGGCGCCTGTCCCGTCGGCGGGGGTAACGATAGCAGCTTCTGGCCTCCTTACCACTACTTCCCGCGATTGGTTATTGCTATCGGAGTGGTACTTTAACCCCACTCTGGTATGGATGTACGCCCCACGCGACTTCCCACAGCTACCACCGCTTCCTCTTCTCCGCCGGCCACCGACGTCTCTTCAACGGCGGCGACTGCGGCTGGTAACAAGTCAGCTCTTCGACCCGACGAGGTGGATAGAAGACTATCAACCTCCCTCATGGCTATAAATCTCTCCTCGGTGGCTCTCCATCATAGAGAAACGGAGATGGCATTGCCGCAGAGATTGGTTCTCCTGGTTTTCTTCTTCTTCCTCTTCCTCTTCCTCCACTGGCCTGAGGCATCAGCGGCACGGGCGCTCCGGCAGGCGGCGCGGGGAGGGGCTGCGGCGGAGCTGCTGGCGGCGCTGCCGAAGGGAAGCAAGAAGTCCGTCGGGGCGTCGTCATGCACCGGCAAGGCGGCGGCGGCCGCGCTGCGGTGTCCTCTCAAGGTGTCGCTTAATAAGGGGAAGAGGTAGCGAGCCTCGTTGGAAGAGAGACTCCATTCTTGTGAGAGGATTCATGCATCAGAATTAGTTCTAACATTCATTCAAAGCCATGACGTCTCTCTCCCTCTCTCTCTACCTCTATCTATTTATCTACCGAACTATCAATTTTATCTGCTGTTGGCCCTCTGAGGGAGGGGGTTCCGAAGGGGAAGAGGTAACGGTTAGTGCGGAGGACGATGCGGATGTCATTCCCGGGACTCGTTGGAAGAGGGTCTCCGTTCGTTCTTCTCCGAGTGGGGGAGAGAGAGAGAGAGAGAGAGAGGGAGAGAGAAGGCGTGCAGATCTTTCTACGCTGCTTTTTTGTTCTCTTCGATTCATTTTGAGAGCATTCATGCACCAGAAACGTTCTAAGTTTCGTAAAAAACCTTCCTTCTGCCAAGGCAGCCATGACGTGTGTCTTTCTCTCTCTTTCTCTGCCTTCATCTCTCTCTCCCTCTCTCCATCTAACTCTCTTTCTCTTCCTCTCTCCCCCCTCTCTCTCTAACTCTCTTCTCACCCTTCCTCTTTCCCCTTTCCCCCCATCTCTCTCTTTCTCCCTCGCTAAATCTCTAACTCTCTTTCTCTCCCTCCCCTCTCTCTGCCCTCTCTCTCTCGCTCTCTCCCCTCCCGAAGGCCCGCCGGTCGACCTCAGCGCAACGCCATCTTTTTTGCACCGAACGGCGTTCACATCAGCAAAACTTGACGGACCACACTTCAACGCGCCACGCTGGCCGTTCTTTTGCGAATTAGATTGGGAGTCAAAATGACAGCCCCCATAAATTATCCAAATTAATTTAAAACCCAGAAGAGGACTTAATGTATTAAAATATCCCTCAATTTATCTTAATTTGCAACCCCGCACTTTCGGTTCCCAATCTAATTCGGCTTCTTCACGGGATTAATGAGCTCTGGTGCGAATCAATCATGGTCAACGTACGTGGCCCGACGATTGACTGAATTTAACGGAGGTCAAACAGTAACTCGAAATTATTTTTTTCTTTACTTTATTTAATTTAGTGTATTTAATTAATTTCTCTTGAAAAATCTGAGAAATAATTCTGCCATGGAAAAGGGAACTGCTTCCTTGCCAGGAATTACCCGAAAAAATCCTAAAAAAAAGGAATGGAATTGGTTCCGAGAAAGAGTAGAAAGAGCCATTCTTTCTCATCTTAATGCCAGAAGGTGGATTTAGTGTGGGGAAATTTCCTCATTCCGTAGCGATTAATCCGTTCCGCGCTTTAATATATTCTTACAATGTCTGCGTAGAAATGCATTCTCAGAATGCACGGCGACGAGGTTTTATGCGACACTAGAGGGGGAGGGGAGAACAAGGAGAGAAGACCGGCTTCAGGTGGTCTTAGTTCTACAGTTCACCGGCGGGCCAGGGAGAGGAGAAGGCATCGTTCTCATGGCGGACAACGGGACCACCTCCGTGGTTTCCGAGCTGATCGACTTCCTCAACGCCTCTCCTACTGCTTTCCACGCCGTCGGTGGGGATCGTCAATCTGTGTCGATATCTCAGGATTCCCGCTTCTTCAGATCGTCCTGTTTCCGATCCCCTGGCATCATTTCAATGTGGATTTATTTCTCTATCTGGATTTTCATTGATGTTTCTGTGTAGACGAGGCGAAGAGGCGTCTGAAGACGGAGGGATTCGAGCACCTGTCTGAGAAGGAGGACTGGAAGCTCGAGGCCGGGAAGAAGTACTTCTTCACTCGGAACTATTCCACTGTCGTCGCCTTTGCCATCGGGAAAAGGTGCGTCTAATTTCTTTAGAGGTCAGTGACCGCAAGTAATTGAACTCTCTCGTAGCGAATTGTGGTAACGATGAATGTGGTCTTCCCTCCCTTTCGGCTAGATACGTTGCAGGGAACGGCTTCCACATCGTTGGAGCGCACACTGATAGCCCTTGCCTCAAAGTGAAGCCCACCTCGAAGGTCGGATACTGAAACTGTTCCAGCTTTCATTTTTCTTATACCTTTATCTTTGTTGTTGTTGTTGTTGTTGTCAACCTACTATTCCTTCGTGTAAGAATCCTCTCGTTTATTTTTTATGTCGAAGTGACGTATTTTAACCTGTTTCTTTCCCTGGAGGAAAGGATGTTTTCACGTTCTGATGCTTGCATGGACGAGGTGGCGCTCCCTTTTTAGCTCTCGAAGTCAGTGTAGTGGATATGGATTACTCGTCTAGTACTGGTTTCAGGGATTAGAGTGGAACCGGAAACTTTAATTTCTGTGGTTCTCATGGATGTACGTTATGTTAAGACGATTGTGGTAGTATGATTGATCTCATGCAGATTGCGGCTTTTTGTTAGGTATCTAAAGGTGGATACCTCGAAGTGGGCGTCCAGACGTATGGGGGCGGATTGTGGCATACCTGGTTTGATCGTGATTTAACCATTGCGGGGCGTGTAATTGTAAAGGAAGGAAAAGATGCATCTGTCTGCTACTCTCATAAACTTGTTCGTGTTGAGGAGCCCATAATGAGGATACCAACATTGGCTATTCATCTTGACAGGTCAGGCTTCAGGACCTTAGCCCTTTCATGTTTGGGTCTGTTGTATTCTAGCATTTGTTTTCCGTTATATCTATTTCTGGTCTGCCTCGTTTTTCTGTGATGCTTTGTTGCGTTAAAGTATGCTCCTTACTATGTGCATACCACGTGCCATTTTTCTGTTCTAACACAACTGGAGCAATGATTGTTCTTATCCTTTTCCGCCCTAAATTTACGTAGAAAATTTAGCAGGTGGGCTATCAGAAGGGACTATGTGCACCACATCTAGAAAAATAAATGAGTTGTGGAATCCACTGCCAAAACTAATGAAATCTTTGCTCTGTCTACCACAAAGCTCTGTCAACTTGGTGGGAAAAAAATTAGATCTCCTTTGCGTGTGCCTTGTGAATTGCCTTTTGCTCTGACAAATGATGTCGCACAGTATACCATGCTTTTAAATAATTGGAGTGTATCAATGTGCTCTTTTTTGGGGGGATCATGGTATGTGTAGCGATTGTTTGATTATTATGACTCAAATTATTATCGGACTTGATTTGGGAAAACCACTGCGATGGAGTGAGATTTTTTGGTTCTTGAGGATATGTGCCATTGTAATCCTGCCGTTATCATTCTCAAATTGTTCAGAGTGCTTCATGGTACCCCTTTTTTTAGGGAATCGGCTAGATAGATAGCTTCATGTGCACAAAAGTCAAAATAAAAATAAATTTGGTTAGACGATATTGCCATTTTTTCTAGTCTCAGAGTAAAACCATTGCATGAACAGTAAAAAGAAGAAAAGGAAAATAAAAAGTAGCTTTCTACTGGGTTTCAAGGATTCTGCATGCAAGATGGGAATGCTTAACTCTGACGCAATTTAGTGAGAACCGTTGAGAAGGACATTTCCTCTTCCTTCAACATGCTTCTAGTCTACATAAATACTTGTAGTCATCTCCATTTTTTTTGGAAGAGGAGCTGGATTAATTGAGGTTATACAATTGGGTTTTTTTTTTACTGGCTATTGGCAAACTGGTTTATTTCAAAGTAGTTCCTTATAACATACATCAGAAAACAATGGTATGACTTCATCGTGACCTGTAAGTAAAATTGCTTTATTTTTTGGTTCCATCCAATAATGTTCTGTTCCTGTCTTACTTTCAGGGGCGTTTCTGAGGGATTCAAGGTCAATACACAAAGTCACCTTGTCCCTGTTCTGGCAACATTAGTTAAGGTGATTTTATCCTTCAGAGGATGTTCGGCTATGTTTTTTCAGTGGTTGTTTTCACATTTCTCATCATCTGTTTGTAGAGCCGTTTGCTCTTATAAGTAAGAGGTCAATTCTTTTGTCCCCTCTACTTTTCTGTAAATCTGCTGGTTTAAGTCGCGAACCTTTCATATAAGTAAGAGGTCATGATTTGGCAATCTTTGCATGCAGGAATTTATTGGTATATAAAACAATTACATGATATTATTTTACTAAACATTTCTTGAAGTCATCAGCACGATTACCAAGTAATTAATATGCATGCCGCTTCTAATGTTACAGGAAGTAATGGTCAAAGTTTTTGTTAGCGGAAACATGCGGGAAAAATAACTATATATACATTGTCCATCGTGCAAATAATGTCAACTAAGGCTCGAAATTTACATTATATTGATGAAAATATATGCTTACGTCATGCAACGCTTCTTGCAAGTAAGATATGTATATTGATTGTCAGTGGCATGACAAAAACATGCTCAAGTCATATAACGTGATTCCCAAGCCATTATGAATACACAACCTTGTCTGACATTTGTCTTTTTCTTTTTTGCTCACATCACATGATGATGTTTTCAAGGTTAGATACGTGTTTGCTCTATCAATGTGATGAAATAAACTGGCGTAAGTCATCTTTCGGAACCATTAGTGTACGCATTGTTACATGGCAGTTAAGACAGGGTGGTAAAGCAGGCGCAAAACAGAACTATCTTGTTTAGAAAGTGGCCAATAAACACAGCTAATGAGCTACATCAAGAAGAAGAAAGAATGCTGACTAACAAACAAGAGCACTGGGTTGTCGTATTCTTAATGGATGAACCAATCTATGAGGAGTGAACCTGAAGCCTGAATAATCTCTAGGACAGACATGTTTCCTAAAGAGCATACGTTTTCGCTGCAAAGAGATAATTCTCGGAAAAGCTGCTAGGATCAAGCTCAACGGTCTGAGCTTCTCTCTAGATCCATTGATACTTTTTATGGGTAGCTGCATGAATTCGCTTATCTGTCCAAAGCGAATTTGAAGCCTGAATAATCTCCAAAGCAGTCCTTTGTTTTCCTTAGAGCTTATTGTCTCTTTCTCACATTATATTTCTATCTATAGCTGGTTGGAACAGGCTCTACCATCATAGTTTCTCTCTTGATGGAGATGCATTCCTTCTTTTGCGGTTTTTAACTATCTTCTCCCTTACAAAAGAAACTCTCACACTATGAACGAATATACAAGAGCTTGTTTAGAAACGTCAGTTATTTGAGGCTTATGAAACATCCAAGCCAATACTATTGTTCTTATCATTCCGTTACTGTTACACTGGTACTGGATTTGGTTTGGAATAAACTTCTACCGGTTCTTTAAAGGGTTAAAGCTTCTCCGGTGACTACCAAAGTTATTGTCTAAGGTTATTCCACATATACAGGAGCAGAGATCTGTAGGAACTTGGGAAGACTAAGAAAGGCTATGAAGATGCTTTCCACGGTATACCAGTCATCTCAGTGGTTTAATTGTGATTTCTGTTGGAAATGGAAGATGAAAATACGATACATGTTTGGTGCAATCATTAATATAGTTTTAGATCTTGCATTTCCTCCAAGGCTACAGTATTCCTTTTGGCTATTCATTATTACACCATGGAATCTTTTATATGTTTTCGAGCTGCAAGCATCATTATGCAGGATTTTCATTATTCGAGACTGCTTCTTTTAGGAGTTTTCTGCCTATTCCTCTTGTATCTAAAAAGGTCCTTTTGCAGGCTGAGCTTCAGAAGAAAGTTGCAGACACTGGCAATTCAAAGACCGCATTGTCTACTGATGGAAAAAACTCAAATGAAAAAAGTACCAACGATAACAGAAAGCACCATTCTGTCCTACTAGAGGTACTTGGTTGCCGGATCCACATTCATGTTTGTCCGTCTTTTTTTTCTGATATTGAAGACTATGATACCATCTACAGTTGAATCATCCTGATTTATGTTGATAAATGCCTCATATACTGACTGGCAATTGTAGAACGTGTCATGGTCTCAGGGGAGAAAGCACGACCCTACTCCGTTTTAGTTACCTATCACTTGTGATATTTTTTTTGAGTTAGTTTCATGATTTTCAGATAGAAGCTGTCACGGCTGCATAAGCACGCGGTTACTTTTATTATTCCCAGTAGTGCCTTGTACATTGATTTATTGATTTTTCCTGTTTATGATCTGATGCTGACTGTTGTTTTATGCATTTTCATGATTGCACCAGCTTATCGCAAGTCAGGCCTGCTGTGAGGTGGATAATGTATGTGACTTTGAGCTGCAGCTTTGCGATACTCAACCTAGCATTATTGGTGGTGCTATGAGAGAGTTTATATTCTCAGGGAGGCTTGACAACCTTTGCATGTCATTTTGCTCATTAAAGGTTGGTACCTTTCATCTGGACTTTCTAAATATGCAAAACAGACCCCAGTAGACAGCCATCTTCTAGTTATCTGCATATGGTCAAAATTCTACAAGAGCCCATGTTAGTTGTTGTGCTCCTTGGGATTGTAAGGACGGCACACCATTTTTCTTTCTGCATGGGGATGGCTATCACGCTGTTAGATTGGATGTTTCTTTCTTCCCGGTGAACTGATTGTAGATAGTTCAGGGGCCCAAAAGTGTATTCATCAAAAATGTCCACCACAGTCTTTCCTGTGCTGTCAATATTCTTTTAGAAGAACGTCCCGATTCTAATCGTACATATGTTTGTCTTTTGCCAATTATGAGCACCGTCTCTTATAAGCGAACTGCCCATCTTGAAATAAAGAATATTTGTGGGGGAACCTCCACAGTGCTTTTTAGTACTGCGCTGCCTTGGAGAACACTGCTTCAGTCAATCCCAGTGCGATATGAAGATGACAAGAGCACATTATTTCCTGTATGTTTTGCTAAGACAAGATGGCACAAACTGAATGTGGAATTTTTTTCGCGCATAAATTTTTGCTATAATGAGGGGAATAAAGAACCGAAAGGAAATTTTCAATAAACTTGTAACGGACGAGGTATTCAAAGTATATATTTATATGTGAATCGTGTCAACTCAATTTCAGGCATTGATAGACTCAACATCTTCTGAAAGTGCTCTTGATGATGAATCTGGTGTGAGGATGCTTGCGTTATTTGATCATGAGGAAATTGGATCAAATTCGGCACAGGGAGCCGGCTCTCCCGTTATGTTTGATGCTCTGTCAAGAATAACGGAATCATTCAGGTCTTCTGATTACAAGGTAAAGGAAACCCTTTCCATTTTCTATGGATGATTTGTGAGTTTCTATTTTTGAGCGTTTCTTTCATATCATCGAGATCTTAAGTATTTGTTTTGTCTCTTTAAAGTTCCGAGATATGGAGAAGCATCTTTAAATCTATAGATTCTGAAAATCCGCTCAAATATATGATCGGGATCCATCCAACTCACTTTAAAAGGGGTCTAATTGATGCCTGTAGAAAGCATAGAAAACGTTTTATAGTTTAACTTGCACTGTGTATACTGATTGATTCAGCGTACTACATTCGACCTTTTCTGATATATTTCTTTCAATTATTTACAGTTTCTTGAAAAGGCTGTACAGAAGAGTTTTCTCGTGTCTGCTGACATGGCTCATGCCTTACATCCTAATTATATGGTATGCAATGTCCTATTCACTTGTTATTATTTGAATCATTTGTTCCAGTACGTGTGAGGCAAGTATCGAAAAAGAGCAAGCAACTGCTAGCTTTTTGGGAACTTGCTCAAATATTTCTTTCCTTATTTCCACAGACACAAGCGTGAGTTTTTTTGGTAATATTAATTTCTTAGTAACTGTCTAATCAATTATATTGTAGCAACGGTCCCTTAAATATGTCCTCTATTGGTTTATTTTGATATATTGCTTCAGGATAAGCATGAAGAAAATCATCAACCTAGATTGCACGGAGGCCTTGTTATTAAACACAATGCAAATCAGCGCTATGCCACCAATGCTGTTACTTCGTTTATATTTCGAGAGATTGCAGGAAAGCATAACTTGCCTGTTCAGGTGCGTTTCCTTCTTAAGCTGGATTCCACTATAACCCTTATCACTTTAAAGTGAAAATATTCTATTTGGCTAGAATTTGTTTTTCTGTTCGCTACGTATATTGATTTGTTAAAGTAGCTAGCAATTACATTGAAATATATAGTGCATAAAATAACTTGAAGGACGAAAACAGATGAGGAAAGATTTTGGGCTAAAGTTATATCATGCTGGGATGTATCAGTGACCTAAAACAACTATTAGTTACAACTCCATCAATGGAATCTAACTTGAAAGTCTTGTCAACCAACTCTTGTCCAGTAACACACCGAGACAAAAGGAATACTAACAGAGAATCCATTAGTCATTACTGTTCTTTCGGCTATTCTAAGGAGAGCTCAATACCAAGAGATTTGAGATCCTTCATTCAAGCAGCAGTACAAGAAGGTGGACATGTGGTGATGTAAAAGGGTTATGGTATCCTTGTAGTCAGCCGGTGCCCTAGCCAAAAGGGCTGGGCAGAAAACAACATGGCAATGACCGACGGTCATTGTAGCTCCATAACGTGTGTTGTATGGTGTTGGACGGTCTAATTGAATGGAAAAGAAGTCCATTTTGCCATTTTGCCGTTTAACTAAAGGAATGATCGAAAATGTGAGCTTTCTATTGAGTTGATTTGAGCGATAGGCCTGAACCCACTGAGACCCAAAAGCCAATGCTTCTGTTAGCCAACACTGGTTCTAAAACCGTTTAAGAAACCACCGGGGGAGATCCACTGATTAACAAATCAATTGATTTAAGACCATTTCGGATTATCACTATTCAAGTCATCTGATCTGATAGTCACTGTTGTTTTCCTTCCCTTGGGAATCAACTTTTATTTACCTGTACACAATGGCATCATTAAGTATGGGCCAGTAAATATGGGGTCTTCTCTTCATATTTATAATTTGTTGACTGCGCATTATTGGCATTTATAGATCTTCTTTCAAACCATACATTTCTGACTTGGCCATTCGTGGTCTTTTGATTTACAATTCATGAAAGAAAGTCAAGCACATTCTTTGATGTTATGTTACAGTGTAGATAATTCCTCTTACCCTAGTTCTGAGATGGTAGATCTAAGGTTCTTGAAAGAAAGTCCAGCCCGTTCTTTCATGTTATGCTACACTGTTGACTTCGAGTTATTCAATAGGAGCCAATATCGGCAATTCTTTAGAACGTTGACTTTTTTTAATTACTCGGGGGACATTATTTTTTCTCCTTTTTTCAAAAAAAAAATGATGAAATGATTCTTCTTTTTCAATTTTGGAAAAACATACAGCACACTAAATACTCGAGCTGGCGCTTTTGGATTCGACTCGGAATCATCCCTAATATGTGGATGGAATGAATGAATTGAATCAGTATTTTGAGCAATATCGTCTGCTCTGATTTGGGTCGAGTGTTTCTATTTTTGCTTTAGTAATTATAATTTTTATATTGGAACATCATATTATAGTTTACCTTCGTCTGTCCTAACCATGGGCCTTAATAATTTATTGCATAATATTTTCTAATTATACATGCCGATATAAAACTTTTCGACTTATCTGGGCACTCTATTCCAAATGTTTAAAATTTCCTTCGTACAGGACTTTGTCGTTCGCAATGACATGCCATGCGGATCAACTATTGGGCCCATACTTGCTAGTGGCGTCGGAATCCGTACCGTTGATGTTGGCATTCCTCAGTTGTCCATGCATAGTATCAGGGAAATGTGCGCAGTTGATGATGTGAGCCATGCGTACAAGCATTTTAAGGCCTTTTATGAAGAATTCACCCAGCTCGCTGAGAAGATTTCAGTGGACATGTGAGATTTCCCAAGCTTACTCATCCAATTCCCAAGTTTCAAAGACTCAGACGCTGTGAATGAATAATTAGGGTTTTTCGCTCAAGTGCGATGATAACTGTGAGTTATGATCTTCCAATGTTGAATAATATGCGAATGATCGGATTATTCCTGCTGGTGATTTAAAGTTATTATGGGCAATGTGACCAAGTACCATAGCTGATTCTTCTTCTCTCTTATCATGGTGTTATCTAATTTCAGCATTTAGAATACTCGTTCAAGTGCAGTCTGAAAATCATGGACTTATATGTTCAATTCACAAGTTTCTTTCTGAAATAGATCTAATCTCAGCATGTAGAATACTCGTTCAAGTGCAGTTTTAAAAATCATGGGCTTATATGTTCAATTCACCAGTTCCTTTCTGAAATATATCTGATTCAGCATGTAGAATACTCGTTCAATTGCAGAATAAACTCTTTGAAATAGATTTTTTTTATTGGAACTCAGTATTTGAACGAGTATTCAAAGAGTTGATCTGCACTTTATAGTGAAGAGAAAACCTATGAAAGCTGAATCATTGATTTGATCTTAATGCAAGGAGGTAGCCAAAATCTACTATATAAAGTAAAATTCACCGTGCTGTATGTTCCAGATCTTATAACATATTGTGACATATTTTAGTTCACAAGTACGTGAATCACATGATATTCCTTTAGTCTTATTGATTTTTGCCCACTATCTACACTTTGAAGGATTGATGACCCAAGCCATGACTCTCTCTCTCTCTATCTCTATGTGGGCTTTTGTTCAGTCCAGCCCTTGAAAAACCCGGCCGACCTCAAGAAACAAAGTACAGAGATAGATAGAACTCGATAAATAATAAACCAAATGCAGTTATATATATTATACATTAATACATGTTAGTTCACAGAAGTACCTCCCCACATCAGCCTAGCAAAAGATGGTGGATTAGAGGGAGACTAGGGTTCCTATACTGGTTCATCACTCTCCTTGTAGAGAGCGTCTCAAGGGCACATGCATCGCAAGAAACCCCTTTTCTAGAAATGGATATGGATTCCTGGGCTCAATCCCCCCCCCCCCCCCCCCACAGCTGCAAAAACTGGGATGAGACCAAAAATCTACAAGGCTATTTACAGAGCGTGGGGTTTCAGCGTGGACCTACGAACCTTCAGCTCCAAAATGGCCTTCAGACGCCGCTAGATATGAAGATTGCTTTCAATGCAGGCGTCGCTGAGAGAGTGATGTCACCGTATGGGGACTCTTGTTTGGCATCTATACATCCTCTGCTCTTTAGAACCTGCGGTGGCAAACTCATATGAATTGTAGCAAAAAAAAAATATGTAAACTTTTTTTCTCAAATTATATAGAAAACTCTCTCGCTGAAAATATCAGCGAAGTGCAAAGCACCAAAATAGCAAAAAAAAAAAAAGGTCATATCTACATAACCTCTGCTTATTATCTCTAGAGAGTGAACCAATCATGGTTGACTTTATGTGGGTAATGCCCTAGAGAACTTGTAAGCCGTTCCACTACTATGTGGGCAGATTTTCTTGAAACAAAAAAGTCAAACACTGCTACTATTCTATCTCTTTGAACGAGCAGCCAAGCTCGTGACTGGCTGAGTGTCAACATGCCATATAGGTGAATATACATAGACAAGCATGCTTGTACACTACTCTGTTACATTCAATCACCTCTTTTTTATTTTTGCACGTTAAACTTTTGAAGTAAAAAGATATCCTCAATGCTGGCACTTAGATTTACATCAAGCAAGCAATAGAAATTTCTCATGAATGCATATTCATGGAGAACTTACCAGGGTCTCATAGAATACTTGTGCACACCTTGTTCTCCTCTTCCCTTCGAGGATCCTAGATGTACTCAACACTCCTCCCTCTTGCTCAAAGCAGCGAGAAAGATATCGGGCCACTGACCTGACTTGGAAGATCGCAGTCATTCAAGAACATTTAAGAATAACGGATAAAAACAGAAGCTGCCAATGAATACGGTTAGCGAAATAAAAAGAAGACCCCAATGAGCAAAGTAGAAGAAAATAAAGCCAAAGTCACCTTGTCCTGGCCGACCACCCATCTGCAGCACAGGATGACCATCTCAGAGGAGAAATAATTTCTCACAGTATGCATATAAGCCTTAAAATTGACAGAATGATCAAAGCCTCAGTACCTTGGTTGTCTGTTTCTCCTTCTGCGTAGCTGAATTCCTGAAGAATCATACAATAATGCGAGGTGAATGTATCAGTCAAATCCCCAACCCCCAAAGAATAAAAGAAGACAGAGAAAAAAAATGATGCAGCTCTGGTGGCCTGGTGTACTTACTATTAGTCAAATCCCCAACCCCCAAAGAATAAAAGAAGACAGAAAAAAAATGATGCAGCTCTGGTGGCCTGGTGTACTTACTATGTCTTCGAGACTAATCTCAGACTCAAAATTTTCGGTCCTGAATGGCTCTCCGGGTATCTCTTCATCCGCTCTGCCAGCTGAAGGAACATCTACAGAACTTGCTGTTGGAAGAGCTTCAACAGGAGGCTCTTGTTCAGTGATCGCCTCAGATTTTCCCAAATCTGATTTTCGAGCTGGAGTTGCAGGCTGTCTATGAGCCGAAGGAACATAACCGGTCTCCATGAACGCAGATTTCAGGTAAAAAACGACGGCTGAATGAGAGAGAAAACGGATGAGGGCAAGGTAGCAGATCATATGATTAAAGGGTCAAAGGAGTGTGTCGCTCACAAGGGATCAAAGGTTCCATTAGACTCGTTCGGATGTTCATAATTTTCTGGACTTTCCAGACATCTAGGGATGCGTGAGGTACTTTCCTTCTCTTGCCCACGAGGCCACTGCTATTACGTATCCACTGCCTTAGGATCCTGTATGGAACAAGTGCAGAAAAGGGCTAAAATCACTAGCAAGCACAGATCTTGGTAAGATGGGAAAATTAATGGCACATCCACGAGGTGTATACCAAATAAATTCAATGAGAACATGACCAAAAATAGGGGACCCAGTTGTCTTCTTCCATGTGGTATTGTGTCCCATGAAAGCCATCAATCGAGAAAGCAAAGTCATAGTAGTACATGTAGTAGCAGTAGCAGTAGAAGAAGAAGGAGAATATGGAAGAAGGTGACCCTAGAAAGGAAACGGAGGTGCGGACTTCTCAGCTGCACACCTCAGAAGTGTTTTCATTAGAAGAAAGGCATCCTTTGGACTTTCACTTAGCATGTGGAGAAGGATTGATGCGCCCAGTGAAAAATGAAGGACTCCACAAATAGCGTCTGCATATCCTCCCATGTTTCAATCATTAAACAGGCATACTATACTGTAAAAAAACCCTTTCATATGCGAGATAACAGACCTCATATATGAGATGCTTAAAGTATGTGCATATTGACATTGACTGACACAATCGGCCTCAAGTCTAGACAGGGTCAAATGTAACTTTCCATACTACTATCCGTCAAAACCAGACTATAGCTTCCCCCTCATCCACTCTAAACTTTGTATAACATATTTGCATTCTGTTGAAAATCCGTAACATATTATATATATATATATATATATATATATATATATATTCCTTTGTTAGAGTAAGCCATCTGCACTCAAAGAAAAAGAGTCAAGCACATACAATCCGTCATTTCAGATTCCTTACCCAATCTGTCAATCGTCAACCATGAGTTTGATCTCTTCCTTGTTGTCTCTTATGGTCAGCATATCGGGCTATTTCTGTATTGAGAATGGAAACTGTTGAGGGGCTATCGTATTATAAGGCTAAGTTATCGGGCTCTTTATGACCAAATTACCCAAACCCACTCATGCACTTGAGTATTTCTGTCTTTTGCACGCGGATTTTCACCAATTCTTATGATTATGGTCGGCAGAGTGGGAATTCTCCACTGAGCACACCAGCATTAGGGTTCCAGGGTGCACCCTTACCTTTACTGTTCACGACGACACAAGAAAACATAACTAGATTGTACAGAAGTTCATTTGTTCAATTGAGAAGAAAAGTCGCAAGTTCACGAAGGGATCATCCAGGGGATCAATTGAGGAGCCCTCTCGTGTAATTGGGATGAATTAGCAGTTTTTTCCACTAGATTGGAAACCCCCCAACTTTGGCTGTGGTGTGAGAACTTCTATCCACTGAATGCCTGCCAAAACTAGCATTTCTCTGTAATCCCTTACATCAACCTCTTTCTCTTCTTCCTCTAATTTCTCAACACATATTTTTATGTCTGATCATTTTAAATAGAAAGTTTTATCAGTGTAACAATGTGTGCAACCAAAGACGACATGGAAAATTAAACTTTTGACTCAAGCAAAAAAGGAGGGAAAGTTTTCGGTCTGTCAACATCACCATTGATCATTGTTGCGGAGGAATAGGTTAGGAAACGACACCCTCCAAGCCTTCAGAGAGGATGAGAAAGAAAGGTCAATAAAGAAGATGATAAATTATCACACATGATTCCCCACATCTATGGGCCACAGAGTCTATTAAGTTGAATGAGATACATGATACTGAAGTGGGAGGGGGGGGGGGGGGGGTTCTGCTCCCCAGATGTTTACAGGTCGACCCCTCACCAACTAATCATGAAACATGTGGTGAAAATATCTCAGAAGAAATGAGCTCCATACATTATAAGTATCGACACAATAAGTGCATCCAACCATTTGTCTCTGTCCTAAAGTCTTGGAAGTCGCAATGATCAAGGAAAACTTTTACCAAGCAATTTATGCTTATGTCTAACCAGTGATGTCTATTATGCTAATAGAAAGAGGAAATGAATTTATAGCACTAGGGGCATTAGTATGGCCTGTCTCACCGCATGGATTAATTGATAAACTAGGAAGATGACAGATCTAAGTTTTCTGAAAGGATTGTTCTATTCTATGTGAACATACAAGATGTAAGAAAGGGTCTTGCTGTCCAACTATCTGGCATTATCTCTCGGATCACTCCCCTCTTGCACGATAAACAGCTCTGACATCTCGAAAATATGAGGGACATATCCGAAAATATATCGTACGCATTTAGGGCAGTAGGAAGCCATTGTTTGTATTTATTTATTTAATTGTGACGACAAGCCCACTCAGAATCGAAAGGTAGAATAATTTGAGCTCCTTTCCAATAAACCAAGGAAGAGAAGAGATAATAAGATATTCAAACTGTAAATCTCAGGTATCATACCGAGAAGGCAGAAGATGGCCATCTCGTGTAGCAGTCTCAAATCGAAATGCTTGCAGTGGCACTTAACAAAGCCTTAAACATTCTATCTGAGGTTGCCGAGAAGAGGGGAAACTGAATGAAATCCTCCTCTGAGTGAGGCAAAATAAATAAACATTTGCGCAGAACAGGTTTAGAGTTCACAGAAACCATAAAACCGACAGTGAGAGGTGATAGCCAAGGATACTGAGGAGTACAGAAGCAATTAGGGAGCCTCTTCATGTTAAGATTCCTAACACAGAAGAAAATGGAAGAATGAAGAAGAGAAAGCTAGAAAATATACATCAAAGATAGGAAACCCCGGAAAAGAGCTGCGCCCAGAGGTGTCTCTCAGTTGCATAAAAAAACCACGTCACTGCTACATTATGGAACTGAAGTATTCAGGCTCTAAAGTGCTTCAATTTGAGAGAAAATAGGGGCTGATTAGCGCCCTGGACTAGTTAAGACAGGGGTTGGACCCAACTGAAAGACCACCCCAGTAGGCCACACCATCAGACTTGAATATTCAAAAACATAGTTTCATCAGCAACCAACGGAAAACATTTAAAGAATCATACTAAGCTCATAGATAAACACATAGCACCTTAGCTGAAATATCTAGGCAGGATCCCAATTACAACCATACGACACATCTGTATAACCCGAAGGTATTATTTTTTGTTTTCAATATGGGTTTATTTTCTATTATTTTAGCTTGTTTATGTAGATAATAGAGCAGCCACTCGCTCTGCTACCAAGTTAAAACCATTGGTAATCAGTGGAGGTTCCCGTCTACATATAACCAAGGATTTATCACCCTAACAGAGATGGCGATCAGAAACAAGGGATCTTTTGACTAAGCAAGGAACTTCAAGTTGAAGAGAGACAGTGAGCAAGCATTGTAATGCAGCGAAAGCTTCACCAAGAGACATGCACAAGCACCCATCACAGGAAGCCAAGGTAAAACAATCTGAGAAAATATATTTCCTCTTCAAACAACTGAAATACCCTAGAAGAGGAAAAAAAGGCTCCATAAAATCCATTTTAAGGATTGAACCCGTAACCATTAAACTTCAAATCTGTAAGAAAAATATACCCACAATGAACGATAGTTTGGGAAACAATTGGAAGTAGATTGTTCTTCAGCCAATTCAAAAGCTAAAACACCAACAAATGGCATATGACCTAAAGATGATGGCATTTCATATTTATGTAGTTCATCTAAAAAAGCCAGAATCTAGCTACCCTTCATTCTACAAGTTTATCCTGCTGTTTAGGCACAAACAGAGCATCTGTATTCCTCCTGTGAACTTATAAAAATGCGGCTCCAGAACTAGCAGTGTCTTTTGTGCTTCAAAGTGACCCGAGGAACAGGCCCCCAGAACCTTTCGCTCGAGTACCTCAAATGATACAACATGCATAATTTAGTATTGGAATTTTAATCCAAATTTACGCCTTACTGATAAGAGAGTTAGGAGCATAGATAAAAGAAGACTGAATACGTTTTTAACACTTTTAAGTGGTCAAAAGATATTCTAGAAGACTCATTCAGTGAAACTTAGTATATATAGAAGAATCGAATAAAAAGAATATCAAAACATTAAATCAAGAAAAGAACTAACATTAAATTTTCGTCAGTTACTATAATCCTTCAAAAGAATTTCGAAGATAATTTATACCACTTACTGGTTAGATAACACAATGGTGTCGTCAAAAAGGCATTTTCTTTTTCTAGATATTCGCTGACGTTCCTTTATGGCAGGAGTAGAAACTCCAATTTCAGGAGAAGTAGACCCTGAAGAAAAATAGTCCAGTCTGTCACATAAGGTTTAAGGGTAATTTGTCATGCAAAGATATACACATATTCGCATATATACAGACACAACTATACATGCATAACTTGTTTGCATTGTTTATGTAGAAGAAAGCGGTAAGTCATTGGAAAGCAATCTACCTGAGTCAGATGCCGACTTCGTACTAGTATATCTTTTTACTGGTGTATGAAATTCTGCATATCCTTCAGCAGGAGGAGATTTATATGACACTTCAGCCAGTTGCAATTCATTTGGTTCTTCTCGATCGTCTGATACCTGAGGATGTACATCTAGGATAAGTGATCTTCTGGCGCAGGAACGCTTCCCACCATCAAAATGTGGAGGACCTCCTTCAAGCTTCTGATTTTCTTTTGGCGCGCTTGTGTGTTGCCATTCACCGTCTTCGAGGTCAAAATCCATCATTCCAAATGAATTAACACTGAAATGAAACTCTTTTCTTAAGTTTCATGTCTGTTACCAGAAAATAAGTCTTTCAACAGCAGAGTTTCCCAGACATACTCTTCCACAGGCGTAAAGCAACTGGAATAAAAGTCACAGCGGGCTTCCACAGGTGTGAAACAACCAGAATAAAAGTCAGAACGAGCAATCATCTCATCGTCAAGCCTCTGAAATTTAAAAAAAAAAAGATGCCCTGTTGTTTTAATTTGATCAAGCAAATTGTATTTGTGGCAGAGCTCCAGAGAGAGCAATCAAATAGTACTGGCACTCACTGCACCGACCACGAGACATAAAGAGAACAATTTAATGCGAAGTAGAGGTTTACTGAAAATGATGATATTGAATTTTTTGTAGATAGGTATTTTCTACCTTGTTCATATAGGCCACTTTCTCAAACTCATCTTCCACTGCAATAACGTGGAAAAAACATTGTTAGGGAACCTAAAAAAGGAGGAAAAGGTTTTAATTTTCACAGACTGTTTCAATTGCCCAAATCATACCTTCTAGCCTGAAATGGTCATGGGTCCTGAGATTTTCACTAAGAAAGACGCAGGATGAGCAACATATTAAAATAAATGATCCCAATGAGCTGTGAAGAGACAATAATCCAAGAAACTGAGGTACTTACTCTTCATCTGCGACTTCTAAGTCAAAACAATCAAGTTCAAAAGTTTTGGGGAGAGTGAAAGTAGTGTCATGGTGAGCTATACGGATCACTTCGGAGGAACCATGGAAATCTTCCTCACGCAATGCTACACTGAGTGATTTTCCATGTGTTCCTTCTTTTGGAGGAAAGGCTTTGCGACGATGTTCTCCCTTTGCTCTGTTGGATGTATTCTTATGAACGGTAAGAAATATTTTCCCCAGCTTAATCAGAACGTCATTACAGTCGTGGAAGAGGTAATCAACTTTCTTAGAGAAAATTCTGACAACACCTAGAAGAAGATGAGCTAACACTCGGTATGAAAGTTCAACATCTGGGATGATTGTATCTGCAAGAAGACAAAACCCACTGAAGTGAATGAAATGACGCCATAAACAACGTCAAATAATTTAGAATCTAAAAAACGTGCTACCATGTTCGGAAGACTAGATAACCAAATAATTAGTGTGACAAATAAATAAATAATAGAAAAGGTAAAGAGTATAAAAGTTGATGACTGAAACATAAAACACCTTTTTACAAAATCCCTCCCGCTGCAGTTTCCGCCAAAATATGAAGGCACGCGGATAGAGTCGAATTTTCGTGCTTTACGATTAAGCTCATCTTAAATAAAAACCAGCGCCTGGTACGAAAGAAAAATAATACATGGCCAAAAAATTCCAATTCGTCAGGACAACAAAAGCACAGACAGGTGCAAACGTTTCAACAGCCCAAACCCATATCTCATGAACTCTCACCGAATATCAGTCGCCGAGCATTTACATGAAACCATGAAAGACACGAGGACCCGTTTGAGAAGCATTCTTCGAGTGTCCCAGAGGAAAAAGACGGCGCAAACCAAATCAAATAGAGGAAGCGGAAGCAGACGGCAGACGGACTCAGAAATCTTCAACGCGGAGGATAAAAAGAAGTGGGAAGAAGAGGAAGCGGCGGAGAGCCTACCAACGGTAGAGGAGATGTTGGTCCCGGTGACTTGCTCCCTCCTCAGCCTCTTGTAGCAGTGGGCAGCTACCCAAATGTTGCCCAGCGGCCCTTTCCTCGACAACAGAGACTGGGAATAGAACATGGCCCCCTTTCTTCTTCCTCCTCTGGCCTCAGACTCGGGAAGGACCTGCAATAGCCTTCCTGCCCGTTGGAGGGAGGGAGGGAAATAAAAGGAAGCCGCGAGCATTGACAGTAACAGTACTATTTTATTATTATCATTAATTATGGCCCAAGAGTGGAAAATCCCAGTGTGGTATTACCCAATTACCCCTCTCGAAAAGACGGTGCGTTAAATGGTGCAGTTATTAATCCCCACGCCTCAGTTAGCTGGTGGGGGGTAAGTGACGACGTTGACTTTTCTTCTAAGCCGGAAGTGATCTCTATCTGCTCTGGTCAACTATCACTGGTGTCTCCATTATATGTCTGTGTATTCCCAAAAACATACACGTTGACTTTTTACTTACTTCGGTGCAAATGCGCCAAAATGTAATTAAGATACATATTTTAGCAGAGTTCAAATCATAAAAAAATTTCTAGACCCAACCGTAATTTGATCCATTCTCTATGTCTTCTAAGTAATTTGACATATTCTAATTTCTCATGTTTATTATTTTTTTGTTCTTGTTCACCTTCCTATACAACATAAATTCAATTTTTTTTATAAAATATGTATTTTCTTCAAAATAATTAATCGATTTCAAGTGATTTTGAACATTACTTTATGATATAAGGACACAACACTGGTACCCAACCTAGTGACTATCTATAGTATCTAAATCCACCATCACCGACTTTTCAAAAAAAAAAACTAGAACAATTAATGTGGGGAAAATATTTGCATCAATCATCAAAAAATAATATAAATAAATATCCTTTAATTGAATAGGGCACACGGTTCTAGTTTAATAATTATAATTATTCTCTTTATAGTAACCGAAAACAAAGCCAACATTTTCAGGGAGAAAATTCCGTTGTAGGATACATTGACAATAGGTATGGAAAAAACAGTATTTTCGGAAACAGGCGTTTATAGGATAAAGAAATCTTTTGGAGGGGTTCTGAGTAACAGGTGGCTGTCGACGGCCGCAATGCGCAAAAGGGGGTATTTGTGGTGCATTAGTTCACATGATATTATCGGTTAATAATATCCTGTTTACTAATGTGGTGATTGTTATCCCCAAATGGTATTCACAAAAGGGGTATTTGTGGTACATCCTGGAACAACGGTCGGTTACACGGTAAAAGGGTTGTCATGTCATTTACTGCGGCGCCGGATAGACTCAACGATACCTTTTCGAATAAACAAAGTGATGTGAGTGGAGTTCGCAGAGCCTCTCAACGACACGTGCCTTTGCCACGTGGATGCATTTGCCGGTTCTTATAGACTGATCGAATTTCTAAGAATATACACATTTAATGATAAGAAATGATTTCTGGCAGTGATGAAGCGGAACGAACCATCAAAATCGGGTTATAGATGCTTATTTTTCTCCCGAAAATAATATAATAATTTATCTCCAACTAGGGAAAGAGGAAACCGAAAACCTTCTCAACTATGGAAGTCTCAATAGGCGCTTAAAGGATTTCCATGTGAACTGTCTGATTCATGGATTTTAGAAATAATGCAGAGATCATCCCAGATTTTGCTCGACGATGCAGTGATCAAACGAAAAATGATGGTTGGTGATTTATTATCATCAGTGCAACCGACTGGGGCATCAGAAGATCGAAAACATCCCGGCCTAGGTTGATTGATTCCCATACTGATATATCTGGAGGGAGGAAATCCGAAAGTGTTCACCTAGATGAAGGGAAGAAATCCGGTGACTAACCGAGCAGGACAATGGCGGAGCAGCGGTTTTGAGATCTGGATCACAATAATTCTTCGTCGCCGAATCGAGAATAGTTATCCTAATACCGTGTCCTGCAGGTGCCTATCTCCACAACAAGCAGTAATTTACCTGCAACCTACAACAACAAGACGTGAAATCTCAACACGAAAAGTGGAATGATCCGCAGAAATCTCGACGCAAAGTTTCGTCGCGGCCGCCCTCGGTGCTCTTCGTGAATCTGAACGCCGTCGAACGGGAAAGGACGAGAGACGAACGGCTTTTACCAGGAAGCACAATTTTAAGTTGTTGGTTTGGGCGGACTACGGTCACTGGAGTGAGGATAGTCAAATGATCACCTTTACGACGAGGGGGGGAAAGGGTCGTCTCTACCTTTGAAGGCCGTAGCCCGCCGCCGACGACACCAAGTTCCCGGAGCTACTCGTCCGTCATTTCTGTTCAATAAGGCGGCGGAGAGATCCCCCAGGCGTTCGGCCATGGCCACCTGTCTCCGGCGAGCTCTCACAGCGAGGAGTCTTCGGTTGCTCCGGGCCCCTCGCCAGTCCTGCGGCATCTCCTACCTGACCTACATCCCACCTCGGAAAGAAGAGAAGAGAACTCCAATCCCCGCAGGGGGATCGCAAGGTCTCGATTGCGTGGGAGGGAGCTTTCTCTTGGGAAGCCCTAGGAGCTTCGCGAAGGGGAGAAAATCGAGTAAGTTGAAGGATCACTGTGTTGTTGAACTCTTGACAGAATCTCACGCAGGAGCTCTTGATTCGCATTGGGTTATCTCGGATTTGAGCGCTCTATCTGGAGAACGAGAGTAGTGTCTTCGCTTCATTGTCTTCTCAAGCATTTCGATGATTATAGATTTGCTTCAATGCAACCTCGGTGTGTGACCTCGGGGTGTCTTGGTAGGTGACTTGGCGTTTGGTGAAATGCCTGAAAGAGTCGCCGTAGAGCAAAACCTGCATCTGATTAGGCTTTGTTTTTCTGGAGAAAGTACTTGCTCAGTCCCATCAGTTGGCGGCTGATTTCTTCAATATCATGCTTGTGATTCAGATTGCGGTGCCGAGGAAATATGGTTCGGGACCTTCTTTTTAAGTATTTGGTCAGAATTTTCCTTTCTGAGGTAGCTGGATTTTATTTCCTTCAATGTGTTTTTAAACGCGATGACAATCTGCGCCGCTCTAAGATCACTACTGGATTTGACTCTGAGTTCTTGGCTATGGACACTACAATGAATTTGTGATTCCTTGGTCAGAATCTATAGACTCGTATTCTCAACATCTTATCCTCGATTCTCTTTTTCGGGTCTGCAGAAACAGCTCATTCTGACTGAATCGACCAATTCGAATGGAAATTTTCTTGATTCAGATAAAAAAAAAGCAACCAGCTGATCCTGTGTCGCCCCCGAACCAGCCCTGAAATAGTCGAATCAGAATGTCTTGTTGGTTGAGTCTGGCTCCATTCAACGTGTCTGGCCGATCTAAGATCATTGATTATACATTCAGCGCTCTCTATATTGACTTTCAGCTCCCCGGCTTCCATATCTCTGTAGGGGATGAAGATGATGGAGACGCAGTTCAGGTTGTTCCAGATGTTGGGCCTACAGTGAAATCCACAGCTAATTCACTGATGGATTCTGCCATTGTTGCTCTGTCCCGAGAACTGGCCAAACTAAGAACAGGAAGAGCATCCTCTGGTAAATTATCATATCTATGCTGAAAAATTCCTTTGCCAACCTCTTATAATTTCCTTATCAAGAAAATGGTTCCTGCTTAATATTTTTTGGCGAATTGTTCAGGTATGCTGGACCACATCATGGTTGAATCAAACGGTGCAAAGATGCCCTTGAGTCGAGTTGCAGTCGTTTCCGTCTTGGACTCCAAGACTCTCTCAGTGACTCCATATAACCCTGATGTAAGCTGCAAGTGACAGTGAAGAAATTAGGGGGAATGATTATTGATTAATCATCTCTCCAAGAGTCATTGCATTTATTGGATAAATTAAAATAAAATAAAATAAATCAGTCTAAAAGTTATTTCTTGTGCTTTGTATTTATTACAGGCATTGAAGACGCTGGAAAGTGCCATTGTATCATCCCCACTGGGCCTAAATCCGACGGTGGATGGGCAAAGGCTGATCGTCGCCATACCACCGTGAGTATTTCCGTCACCATCTGTTTCAAAGCCCAAGTTTTCTCCATGTGGTCATAAATCATAGGTTCTGGCCATGGTGGAGAAATATCTTTGCCTTCTGAACAAAGTTCATGTTAATTACTTCCATAGTTTCATTTATTGTGCCCTGATTATAGCAAGCTCATCTGTTTTCTCTCCTACGCACTGCAGATTAACAAAGGAGAATGTGCAGGTGAGACCATTCTCATCAAACTGCTCCTCTTCCTGTGGTCTAACTTCCATATTCCTCCTATTAATAATCACTGATTTAATCTGCAGGCTCTATGCAAGGTGGTCGCTAGATCCGCTGAAGATGTTAAGCAAAGTATACGAAGAGCCCGCCAAAAGGTACCAACATAAACTACCCTTTGTTATGAAGCCATTAATCAGTCTCTGAACCTTTTATATTCCTCAGGCATTGGATTCAATAAAGAAAGCTTCGTCAAGCATCCCCAAGGACGATGTAAAGAGACTTGAGAAGGAGGTATGGCGGGCAAATCTTCTGGGTCATCCCCGTTGTGGATCATTTGTTGCCCAACTCCGTTGACTTTTTGCAGATCGAGGAAATCACCAAGCGGTTCATCAAGTCGGCGGACGATCTGTGCAAGGCTAAGGAGAAGGAGATCACCAATGGCTGAGATTCCTCATCCTCATCCAGACTTCGGGAAAAGGATTATGAATATGCTCAGCTGGGTTTGGGAATCTCCGGATGCAAGTGAGAATGATCTGGGAAAGTTAATTTCTCTGTCCTATCCGGTTCTTCAAGAACCAATTTTGAGCTGGAAATTGTTTTTTCATTTTTTTTATGGGGTTGAGAGAGAGAGAGAGAGAGAGAGAGAGAGAGAGAGAGAGCATTGGGCCATATTTCCTGCATTGATCTGAGAGGACTGGGTGAATCAGTCGTGTAATGTTTTGTTTCTTAATCTCTAGGATTACAATATAATTATGACTGATAATTCGACTATTTATGACGAGCTAGAAATACGAAATATTAGATATGTCATGGAAATAAATGTATTATCTTTCTGTTTTATTTGATGCGATGGGCTTGTTCTAAGCCTGCTCAAGACCCAGAGAAAAAGCTCTAGGGACCCAATGAAGCCCGAGGCCTCCTAAAACGGGCTTTCGGGGCGCCCCACTTCTGTGGAGCAACTTTATGGAAAGCCATAGGTAAATGAGGATCTTATTTATCTGTTTAACTGAACCTTTTGGTGCGTACGGGCCTAGGAAGCCTTGTGAAAAAAGCCCGAAAATAAGATGGAGAGCAGGCCCAACGAAGCCCGGGCCCAATGGGGATGGGCTTTCGGCTTGGCCCGTTGAGATGGCGGAGTTTTCCGGAATCGTTTTCCCCCAATCCAAACGTCAGTAGGACAATCTCAACAAGAAGCCTCTTCCTCGTCCCCCCCCCTCCTCGGAGACCTATTTTGTTACTGTCTTGCTGCCCAAGTTTCAGGGTGGGATTGTTTCTTCACTCCACCCCCGGTCACCTTAGGGAGTCTGCTGCTGCCTTGCCCGTCGGACCGGAGGAAGTCGACGCCAGGTACTGATCAGGCGATTCGGCTGGTGAGTTCTCCCGCAATTCCTGACCTCGATCTGCCGAATCTCCCTCTTGTTTTTGTGGCTGATCTGGTTCTGTTTTATTTTATTAGGTTGGGAAAATGAAGCTCGACACGAGTGGTCTAAATTCCATTGTACCCTTCTCTGGGACAGACGATGGTCTTGAAGAGAACATCCATTTAGCCGTGTCATCCTTTCAGCTTCCCAGAACGACTGATGTGAGTCTAGATATCGTTTCTATGCTGTTTATCAACTCCACTTGTTTTTTCCGCTGCTATGCTTGTCTTTCCTCTTGAAAGTCTCGTGCAGTCGTAACCTGGGAATGACTGAAATATGGCGATATTCCGCTTTTTTGGTCAGTTTGATGGCTTTCAGAAGAAAGCTGTGGAGATGGTGAAGCCAGCCAAGGGAACGACAACTCTTGCCTTTATTTTCAAGGAGGGTGTTATAGTTTCTGCTGATTCTCGGGCAAGCATGGGAGGATATATCTGTAAGCATATAATTGACTATTTTTAATCGCTTTTCTTCATTGTCCGTTTTCTAATCCATCAGTGGAGCTTAAGTTGTGCGACTTGTAATTTATAACCTTTATCGGCCCCAAATGAGTTTTCATAAGTTTGCCATTTCTTTGTGTACTCATTGGTAGAGTGGATTTGTGTGAAGCAAGAGCCATCTCTATAGTTTACAGCGACCTCTTGTACTCGTTATTGGGTTTCTGGAGTGCCCATCATAGTTTCTTCTTGTAATTTTAGTAAAATGCTGTTGTGAAATCGCTTCTTATGAAGAAAGAGGGTCAATTATCATTTACCTAGGAAATCGCACTTTTTTCACTTAAAGGAAACTAAAAAGGTAATTAGGACTCCTATTGTGACCACTTCGTTTTAGAAGAAGGGTTGATGTAAACCAGACTCTGTCTATGCTGGCTCTCTGGAACAGATTCGGATATATTTCTCTGGAATGCTTGGGATATGGGTGGCAAGTATGCTTTTAGTATGACAAAAGAGGAATATCCACATGGTTGAGAAGGCCACCAAAAACCATCTAAACAATTAAGTGCGTTCTAGTCCAAGATGTTATAGAACGCATTAGGTTCCTCACCCCACTCACGAATGAGTAAAGTTCTTGTTACAAAACTTCTCTCCAGATAATATACAAGCACCAATTCTCTTCTGGGTAGTTCAAATGGCTAAAAGTTGTGGTCTGTTGCTCGTTCCAAATGACACAAAGAGTAGCATGTAGGACATGCTACCAGACTGCTCTATTTATTGCCTTTGACTGACCATTGTTGGCGCTTGCCGCTCTATAAATCTTCCATTATCCTAGGGATCTGTCATCAAGTGTCTCGTAGGTATCAAAGAATATCCAAGGAATTAGTTACCCAATATTTACTCTCCTCTACACAAAAATTAATAAATTTTCATGGTGCAAAAATTTAGTGATTCGGATACATGTTGGCAGCCTCCTGTGAGAATTCTCTCACACTGAAATCTTCAGTTTCAAAGGAGAGGATGAGCTCATGCAGGAGGAGCATATTCTTTCTGAATTCTCGGTGTGAGATGAAATAGCCTGGAGATTGAATGGTGATATAGGCCTTCTGCTCCTGCTTTCATGGGTTGAAACCACGAAGGTTTTGATCAGTCTTCGTCAATGAGCCTGACCGCCTATTCCAATCCTCCTCCAATCTTGTCTTCCTTCACATTACCTCATGATTTCTGAGAGAATTTGAGTGGGAAACCATCTTGTCGCTTTCCTCATCTCAGCTTCAAAGAAACGGTCCATTGCCTCCTCTTGGGGTCTCATTCACTAGGTCTTCTGTCGTAGAGAATCCCTGACAGTCCTCTGATAAGAGGTTCGGGTAGAACATCATTGAGTACTCTTTAATATCCTCTTCTTTCAAAAGGACCTGCTCCCCTTTCAGAGGACGTTTCTTGGAGTTTCTTCTCTGCCATGGTAGTATCATGTGCAAGAAAAACATACTTATCTCCACTATTTCAAGCACTTATCTCTTGAAACTTTGAAGCTAATAACTCCTTTCTTTCAAGAATTTCATTCCACTCTGCCAATAAGAGCCTCTCATCTTCGTCTTTAATTGATCCAGTTTCTTCTAAAACATCGTCCCTGAATTTATTTATAATCTATCTTTTGTTTCCTTCCCTTGTATTGCCTTCGTTGGCCTTCATTGGGGCAGTTCCTGGCCTATCTATTGGCATTAACTTGGTCTCTTTGTCATTAGAAACAGCAAGGTTATCGAATGAACGGTTCCTGGTCTATCAAATTTTTATGTAAAGCATAAGAGAGTTATCTTCGTATGCTATCATCATCGTCATTTGCTCTCTTTTGTAATGTATGTAGATGACTAAAGGCTACACAGCCCAACTTTGTAGAACTTGTGCCCTTTTTCGATTGCGTGGTAATCTACAGTAAAACTTTTAAAAAATAATAGATGTTTTTAAACAAGTAACTGCTTCGGATGATCATTTGCAAGAAACCCTACTATTGACCTGACAAAATTTTCGGAAATTAGTAATCTTATGCGTACTTTCTTCTTTTAGTGTTTGTCTTTAGCTTATGTCCATATAGCCTTCCTTAGCTAAGAAACCACTCCTACCATATGTCATTTTCCGGTAACATAAAATTAATTTTGTGATCAATTCTTGGAATGTAAGCCCAGGATGTTATATTCATCTAACAAGCTAATTGGGCCCAACTCGCACTGGTCCAACAACATCCTACCCAATGTAGCCCAGCCCAATTATATCCTCTCTCTGGGCTATCAGTTATTGGCTCTTCCAGTTAAGTTGACTGTTTATGAGTATTTACATATAAAATATTGAATTATTCCTCGGACCGTCACGATGTGGGGAGGACCACGTGGTGACAGCTTAGAGTCTTAGTTCTCCGCTGCTGCCTTGTTCAAGCAGTCCATGGACAATACTACTACACCCTCCATAGGGCCTCCTCACATCCCAACACAGAAAAAAAAACCTATGACTCTCTGAGTCGGATCGTCCAACCTTATTGACTTTGATATTGATGCTTTTGAGTAACACAAGAGTCTTGAAGAGCTCCACCCCAATGCAGTACTGCACTTGCTGTGCAAGCCAGATAATGGTACCATTGTATAGAATTACTTCCGAGTGGAAGGTGTTAGAGTATCACTGGTCATGGCTCAAGAGGTTGGCTTGTGATCAGGGTGACAAGGAAGAGGAAGCCAATAAGTCCATGCTTTGTGTTGAAAACATAAACAAAGGGAGAATGTCCTCTGCCACAGAGGAAAGAGGGGAGGAACGGCGGACAACAGCCTCAAGATTCATCCACCTCTCTCGCCCATTATATAGGGAGAAGCCCTACACAACTTTCTCAAAATACCTTCAGTCTTTAACAGTATTTCTATATGACTTAGAACTTCCAACAGTTTTCATTCCATGACATTTGCTTCTGAATTGGATCATCCAACCTCAACATGTTCTACCTAGTGGATGTGGGTCAGCAGATCTCACTGGTTAAATGTTGGATGTGTAAGGAGGAAACGAGTTTTTGTTTCCTCATGTTTTGTGCAATATATTATAATTGTGGCATTTGGGAATGAGATAATTTATTATTGTCAGACATCGATCCACGTATAAGAGCCGATTCCATGATTGGCAGTTGGTTTGGGTTAGATTGGTTCTTATTCATCTGTTATTAGAACCTTAGATTTTGATCTTTTCGTTATGTGCACTGCGCTTCAAATGTTTGTATGACATAACTACTCACGAGGGGAGCATGTCAATGGATTATCTCACATTGAAAATAATGGTTAAATACGTTTGTAGAAAGTTTCTCATTCACAATTGTTTTTGAGTTGTGAGGCCTGATTATTTCATACTTTTAAAATGGAGGTTTTAAAGTATGAATGATACAGCATAGTTCTTGTGCGTTTATTTTGGGAGTCTTACATGTGCTACTTTTGTCTTTGCTTAGTATAAAGAGAATGCATGTTTGATGCTTACCAAATGGTACCTGGCATGTATGGCACGCAGTCTTATGTGCAAGCAGCAGCAAAATAAGCGTTCAACCTTCATAAGAATGTTGTGAATAAATAGGCATGCATACAATGCATGTCATGTTCGAAACCAGAATAAATTATATGCCACAACGTCAATTATATAAACATGCCGCATCAGCCTATATTGCTTGCTAGTGATATTTTTATGTGCTTATACAATCATTTGAGAAACAACGGGAGATATCCCAATATTATAAATGGCGTACTTTAGCTTTATTCCCGAAGTAGTGTTAGAAAACATACTAAGAACATTTTGATGTCAAAGTCGTGGCTCTTAAAGTCTGAGTAGCTGCCTGGATCAGCCTAAGTTGGTCAAATCTGACCTTGGGTAGCGTGGCCCGGAATTGGCTGATTCTATTGGCCAGGGGCAACTCTGAATATATTTGTAGCTCTGTTTGAATGGAGTTTAATTTTTGTAACAAACATTTGATGACGTGTAATTATTTTTTTAGTGACTGTATCTTGAGACTGCTGCTTATGACAGTTCTTTTTCCCATCTTTAGCTTCTCAATCTGTGAAGAAAATCATAGAGATCAATCCATACATGCTTGGGACAATGGCTGGAGGGGCCGCAGATTGCCAATTTTGGCACAGAAATCTGGGCATCAAGGTACACTTCTTGTTAATTATCCTCTATGAGCTCACCTTTTTGCTAGTGTTCATTTAGTGAATGACAATTATTCACGTAAAGCTGATTCTGACCTCGAATAATGCAACACGTTTCTAAGTTTCGTTATTTTTTGTTCCTCTATTCCTTTCAGTGTCGTCTGCATGAACTGGCAAACAAGCGCAGAATTTCGGTGACAGGTGCCTCAAAGCTGCTGGCCAATATTCTGTATTCCTACAGGGGAATGGGGCTTTCCATAGGAACTATGATTGCTGGATGGGATGAAACGGTATAATCGTTCAAGGGTCTTTAACTCATTTCACCTTCTTGCCTCTGTTTCTGACCATTTGATCATTTACACCACAACGTACAGGGCCCTGGTCTATACTACGTGGATGCCGAAGGAGGGAGGCTTAAAGGTAAAAGGTTTTCTGTTGGATCAGGATCACCGTACGCATATGGGGTGTTGGACAGTGGGTATGTCGCTAACTATCCTTTCCATTGATATGATTATATGTATCAATATATGCATTCCATAAAACATTTATCTGCTTGAGCTAGGTACCGCTACGACATGACGATTGAAGAAGCTGCGGAATTGGCTCGACGGGCCATCTATCATGCCACATTCCGAGATGGAGCTAGTGGTGGAGTTGCTAGCGGTAATGTTTCTTCATTCTCCATCCACTCTTCCTTGCCGAATAACGCAGACACCTAAACCACGTGATGATTTTATCTGCCGATGATTTATTTCCTTTGTGATGATTTCTAAATCTGTGTTGCAAAATCCTGAAGAAGTTCCCCTGCAAACTGAGGGAAACCCCTGATAAGTCCCGCATTACAAAAAAAGAGAAGATAATTCCTGTGGCTATAATATAATTATGCCGTATAGTTTTTAATTTGAAATTTAATTAATTTACATCATATCTGCTCCCTAAAATTCTTTGTTCTTCAGTTTATTACGTTGGGCCTGATGGATGGAAGAAGCTCTCTGGGGATGATGTCGGGGAGCTGCATTACAAGTACTATCCCGTCGTGCCAAGCCCAGTGGAGCAGGAAATGGTGGAGATTCCAGTCTCTTGAGAGGCTCTTGACCGCCTCTTATGGGCATGCTCTTCGCTTAGAAATCTGGCCGGCCTTTTAACTCTTTTCTAATTTCCTTGTTTGTGTACATTTGATACTTTGGATGATTTACATGCTTTGCTCGAGTACTTGATATCCATTTTAAAGAGTTTCACTTCCAAGTGACTACATGAGCCGCATAAAAATCCCTAAGCAGAGTGATTTTAATCCTCTCTTTGAAATTTAATCGGTAAATAAGTGATTTATATTTTCATTGTTTCTTATTTTAGTCCTTTTTCATTGCTCAACCTGTTATGAAGGCACCAGCCTTCTTTGGATTTTTTATTTTTTTTACTTGGGTTTTGAGAATTTGTCCATCAACTGTTATGAGAAATAAAAATAAAATCTTTGAATAGATGGCATCAGCTGAACATCAGGTTCCTCCTCCTTTCTCTGTCAGTGCAAAAGTCAATGGCTCATGGGCACAACATAGAGAGGCTAAGCCCTGAAGATCACGTTAGAATGGAAAATCTAAGATGGATAACAACATCTCATGATTTCCAAAGTCGGGATTGGAGTCGACTTGCTTCCCTCTCCTCTGTTTTTCCGCATTGGATTGAGTAAAGCGTACAGGTGTATCTCCTCAGTCACTGCTGCGTGGAGCAACGCTCGCTCGGCATGTGGTTCATGCTCTACATCCCCTTTCACTCTTATTCTTAGTCACTATTTATGATGCCAAGAGAAACAATCTATTATCTATACGAAATCTCATTTCCTAAGATTCAACACAAATTGGGCTTTTATACAACGTCATGGAAAATTTTTGATTTAATCTTGAACCATGAAGAATGCTAAGAGAGAGAGAGAGAGAGAGAGAGAGAGAGAGAGAGAGAGAGAGAGAGAGAGAGTGGAAGACACGCCGGCCCAGTTGTGAGGCTTTGGATTTCAGATCAATTGAGGGTATCTTTTTTTCAATTTCGTGATTTTTTAAGTTTTTAGATACATTCCTTGAAATTATTGTGAAATAAAATACAGTCATAAGCTAATCCTTATGATGACATATGACCATCACTTCATTCAGGTGAATTAGTTAATATTACCCAAAAAAATTGATTTCAGCCTTGGAGATTTAATAGAAATTGAAAAAATATATTAAAAACTTAAAGTCACTATCATGTCAACAATTGCCGACAGTCTTCAAGTATTAGCATTTGGTGGGGACAGCTAACCAGCTCTCTTGGCGAAATTATTTTCTATTGGTTTCTTGCTATGGTCAAGATATGGTGGCGTTGAAAAGAAGTGTTTGACCTTGTTGACCGATTTCTTGGCACGTAGGGTGGTGACAAGATGTATCAACGATGACGGACTTCTCTCACTCACAGATTCTTCGAGTCAATTACTGGGTAAGAGAAATCGTGTTTTATCACATTTTTTGGGTTTATTTTCTACTTTGGCCTTAACTCGCCCTTTCGTTTTATTCCTGATAAACAAAACAAAACATCAAGCTATATTTTTTTTCTTATTGTTCTTTCGCTCTGACATTAATAGCCCGGTCGACGAAGATATTATCCCTCGAGCATAGGAACATAGGTGAGAATGCCTGATCGGATAAGCATTTCCAAATCTGGCTGAGAGGAGGCGAAACGCGGAGAGGGATGGCGGACGCAGCTCTCGGCTACGTCGTGCAACGGGTCGGCGACCTCCTCATCGATGAAGCGGTCTTCCTGTACTCGGTGAAAGATCAGGTGGAGTGGGTCAAGGAGGAGCTCCAGGCGATGGAGTGCTTCCTGAAGGACGCCGACTCGAAGAGCAAGGGGGACGAAAGGGTGCAGAACTGGGTGAGGGATGTGAGGGAAATCGCTTATCGGGCTGAGGACCTTGTCGAGTCCTTCGTCTCTCGATGTCGATGGGAGACGTCGGAGGAGAAAGGGCTTCATCCGGACCATTTTGTGTTGCCGCCTTCCATCCCCCAACGGCATCATTGTTCTCCACCAATTCGGTGACGAGATCGAGGCCATACGGACCAAAATCGACGAAATCAATGGACGAAGAAGCACCTACGGAATCCAGGACCTGGGCGAAGAGCCTAGGAGGCAGATCGACAACACAGTGCGGGAACGAAGGCGGGTCGTTCTCCATGCGACATATGCTGATCTGGTTGGCATGGACGAGGAGAAGAACAGAATCGTGGAACATCTGTCGGACAAGAGCAAGAAGAAGAGGTCGGTGATCTCGATTGTGGGGATGGGCGGCCTCGGGAAGACCACTCTTGCTAAGAGAGTCTTCAACGAAGCAAAATCCAGGTTCAGTCACTCGGTTTGGATCGATGTCTCCCAGCAGTATTCCGCTGAGGATCTCCTTGGAGAGATTCTTCTGCAGGTCAAGAAGACCGGAGAAGAGGAACTCGAGAAAATGACGAGGCCCAGGCGAGAGGAAATGCTTTACCAGACCTTGCTGGCGGATAACTACTTGATCGTCATGGATGACGTGTGGGACACCGACGTTTGGAGAATCCTCGGTGCGCATCTCCCAGACGCCGAGAACGGAAGTCGGGTGCTCATCACCACCCGGTCCGTCGAAGTTGCCAGATCTGCGGATACATCTACCCCTCCCTACCAGCTGCGATTTCTAACCGAGGAGGAGAGCTGGGAGCTCCTCTCCAGGAAGGCGTTCCCGAATGAGGAGGATATCGGAGTAGTCTGTTCAGCACCGTTGAGGGATCTGGGGAAACAGATTGCGAGGAAATGCGGGGGCCTGCCTCTTGCGCTGGTGGTGCTCGGGGGTTTGCTGTCGACGAAAGGTCCGTCACTTCGGGCGTGGAGGAGGGTCGCGGAGACACTCGTGTGGGAAACCAGCAAAGATGGCCGAGTGTGCTTGGATATACTGGCGCTGAGCTACGAGGACTTGCCCCGTCATCTAAAGTGGTGTTTCCTTTATTTCAGTTCTCTTCCAGAGGACTTCGAGATTGAAGTCGACAAGCTGATTGGATTGTGGGTCGCGGAGGGGTTCGTCGAGCAAAGAGCAGGTGAAACACTGGAAGAAACTGCAGAGGATTACCTGGAAGAGCTCGTCCAGAGGTGCATGGTGATACCTGTGCGAGATGTATCTGAGCTACGATGCCGGATCCATGATGTGCTGCACGATTTTACCGTTGCAGAGGCTAAGGAGGTGGGGTTCCTCGTCTCTCACGGGATTGGAGACGACCGTGGGGCCTCCCAACTGGATTCCTCCGTGCGGCGGCTTTCTCTTCAGGGGGAAAAAGCGTGGTGCTGGGACTCGCTGTCCACTCCAAGACTGCGCACCTTGCTGACGTTGGGAGCCCGTCGCAAATTCGGTAAAAATAGAACCTTCCCCTTTCTACATCTGAAACTGCTGAGAGTCGTCGATCTGGGGAGGACACGAATCGCCAAACTGCCAGAACAAGTTGGAGACCTGATCCATCTTCGATACTTGGGCTTGAAAACTACAATGATAACGAGTCTTCCGTCTTCAGTGGGGAAACTTCGTCATCTACAGTGCTTAGACGCAAAGTGGACGTGGATCAGAACGTTGCCGAGAGGCGTCTGGAAGATCGAAGCCTTACGCCAGATCATCGTTCCCGACAATGTGGAGCCGAAGATAGAGGAGGGAGGCTTGTTAAGAAACTTGCAGGTGCTCAAGCGCGTCCGCGCCGGGAGCTGGTTCGATAGCTGCCTAGGGAGCCTTACCAGTCTCCGGGAGCTGGAAATAGAAGATATCAAAGACTGTCATCATCCCGCGCTGTCATCTTGGCTACCGGAGTTGCGACACCTGAAGAAGTTGTGCTTACGAGGCGAGTCAGTCCCAGAGTTTCTATGGACAACACCATCCAGCTTTCCTTCCCTTGAAGTTTTATCCCTGGGTGGGAGAGTGAGTAGGCCACCACAACAATCAAGTTCTGTCGGCGACCGGTGGCCCCCCAATCTCACCCAAGTCAAACTAAGCTGGACCTTTCTGGGTCAAGACTCGATTGCGGCGCTCGAGAAGCTCCCTGAACTTACATATCTGTATCTAGGTGCTGGATCCTACGAAGGGAACGAGATGATCTGCTCCCCCGGCGGGTTCCCGAAACTGGAGTCCCTCGTACTTAATTCACTGAAGAAGTTAGAGAGGTGGGTAATTGAGGCCGGGGCCATGCCCCGCCTGAGGAGCTTGGAGATCTACGGCTGCACAAAGTTGGCGATGCTTCCGGAAGGGTTGCAACAGATGGCTGCATTGAAGGAGCTCGTTTTGTGGAATACGTCCCCTGAAATCCGTTCAAGAGGCGAAAAGGAGGGAGAAGACTGGCCCAAAATCCAACACATACCTTCAATCACCATTGGATGACTTCGGAGTGAATTTGGGACTTAGGGCAAGTGGATTGTATATTGTCTTTCATGTAAGATATGGAACCGTTGTGATAGATAGATTGCATGGGGAAACCCGCCGCCGTCCGTCTCTCTCTCTCTCTCTGTGTCTCTCTCTGTTATGTCAGAAATAACGAGCATAACATTATCTCATTAAAGTACTCCATACTCTTTGGCATTGCAATTGTTCATAGGAATTTTATTTTCTATTTTTAGGATGAATAACGATAACTAGTCTAGTCACCGGCGAAACTCACAGATGGAATACTTACCGGCGCCGGAAAAGACTTATGCCGCCGGAAAACCTTCCGCAGCAGCAGCGGCGGCAGCGGCGGCGGCGGAGCAGATGAAGATCGTCCTCCTCTTAACCTCGTCTGGTTCTCACCTCCTCGCGGCGTTGTCGCCGAACGGTCTCACGCTGCTTGCTTTCAAATCCTCCCTCTGGTGATCCCTCCGCCAGCCTCGCCGGCTGGGAAGAGGGCGATGGGGATCCCTGCCGGTGGCCTGGAGTCTCCTACAACAATGTCGCCGGCTTCGCCTACTCTCGCGTCGTCGTCCTCACCATCTCCGCCAAGAATCAATGCGAGTTCCTCGGGTTTTCCTATTTAACTGCCGTAAATTCCTCATCTTATTCTCCCACACAGCTCATAAGATTGTCTCTTCGTTATTCGTTTTTGTTAGTTCTGTGACCTTGCTGTTCTTTTATTTCTGAAGACGAATTCCTTGTGATTGTGGGTTTAGGATGGTAGAAGCTGCTGTTCAGTTTTCTCCCACAAAACCACCTGCCGCAGTGGGCGGGGGAAGCAAAGGAGCAGAATACAGCTTCTATTGCTACTACCGTGAAGGTGAGTTCATCTTCACGCATTAGAAAGATATTTAATACGGCCGATAGAGAGGTTCAGCCCTAGATTTGTAAATGAAAGGAAGCCATCATCTAGTATAACAGAAAGATTTAGAAGCGAAAAATAGAGGCACAATTTTTTATTCAAAAGAAGAATCTGAACTGTCTGTCGTTCCTGAGAAAAATGTGGTTAATGAAATTGAAGAAAGCAAGGACAAATTCTGGAATGTATCATCTTCCTCTTAAATTGGTCCACTTTCTTCTAAAACATCGTCCCTGAATTTATTTATAATCTATCTTTTGTTTCCTTCCCTGGCATTGTCATAGTTTGCCCCCCTTGGGACAGTTCTTGGTCTGTCTATTGGCATTAACTTGGGTCTCTGTGCCATTAGAAACATCCAGCTTATAGAATGAACCGTGCAGATCAAATTCTGGATGTATAGCATGACACATTTCTCTTCGGATACTATTATCATCGTCAGTTGCTCTGTTTTATAATGTACATGGATGGCAAAAGTCCACACAGCCTAACTTTATAGAACTTGTGCCAATTTTGATTGCATGGTAGTCCATCGTAAAACCTTTTAAAAATGATAACTTTTCTATTCAAGAAGTTGCCAAGCCTGAAGAAGTTGTTCCTAAACGGCTCGCTGATCCCAGATTGGCATACCGAAGTTGCTAAGCCTGAAGAAGTTGCTCTAAAACGTCTCGCTGATCCCAGATTGGCTATGGACAACATCCAGCTCTTCTTCCCTTGAAAACTTATCCTTGATAGTGAAAGTGAGGAGGCCAGAACAATCAAGTCCTGGCGGCGACCAGTGGCCCCTCAATCTCCCTGAACTCGTACTTATACGACACTGGTCTGGGTCAAGACTCGACTGCAGCGCTCTAGATCCATACCTGTATCTAGGTCGCAGATCCTACAAAGGGAACGAGATGATCTGCTCCCGCGGCGGGTTCCCGCAACTGGAGTCCCTCTTACTCAGCTTCACTAAACGAGTTAGAGAGGTGGGTAGCTGAGGCTGGGGGCCATGCCCCGCCTGAGGAGATTGACGATCAAGAACTGCAGAAACTTGGCAATGATTCCGAAGGGTTTCAACACATGGCTGCTTTGAAGGAACTCGCTTTGATGTTTATGTCCCATGAACTCTGTTCTAGAACTCAAAAAGGAGAGAAAGGACTGGCCCAAAATCCAACACATACCTTCAATCACCAGCTGACTCTAATTGAAGTCAACAGAAATTTGCATGTTTATTATTTAGAGGGAAGATTGTCCTTTGTCATCATTTAATACTCCCCAATATCATGCATTGCATACTTGCTATATTTTACTCCATCAGAAAGGAAATTTTCATAAGATTACTGAGAGAAACAACTCGATATCATGCACCTAATTAGGACCGAAGAAATATCCATCTTTGCTATTTTATTCTTCATAAAATCAGGTCTCTTAGTGTTCGTATCCACTTTTTGTGGGGGGGCCTCCACGTCCCACCACAAAAGAAGAAAAGAAAAAAATAAAATCTAACTCTCTGCCTAGAATGTTTGACTTTGTCATTGATGCTTTTGAGTAGCACAAGAGCCTCGAAAACCTCCACCCCAGTGCTGTACTGCACCTGCTGCCCAACTTCTGCATGATGTCTCTCTACTGCACATGCCAGATAATGGTGCCATTCTATAGAATTTCTTCCGAATGGCTGAAGAGGTTGGCTTGCGATCAACGGTGACAAGGAAAAGGAAGCCAATAAATCCATGGTTTTCATTCCTTGACACTTGCTTCTGAATTGGATCGTCCAATCTCAACATGTTCTACCAAGTGGATGTGGGTCAGCAGATTTCACTAGTTAAATGTTGAATGTGTAAGGAGGAAAACGAGTTTTTGTTCCCTCATGTCTCGCGCAATGTATCATAATTGTGGCATTTGGGAATGAGATAATCTATTATTGTCAGAGAATGATGCACGTATAAGAGCTAATTCCATGATTGCTAGTTGATTAGGGCTAGGTTGGTTCTATATTCATCTGTTATCAGAACCTCAGATCTTGATCTTTTCGTCATGTACACTGCGTTTCTAATGTTTGTATGACATAACATAACTATTCGTGATGGAGCATGCTAATGGATTATCTAACATTGAAAATAATGGTTAAATACATGAGAAGAAAGTACTCATTCCCAATTATTTTTGAGTTGTGAGGCCTGATTTTTTCATACTCTTAAAATGGAGGATTTATAGTATGAACGATCCAGCATAGTTTTTTCGCACATTTATTTTGGGAGTCTTACGTGTGCTACCTTTGGTCTTTGCATTGGATAAATAGAATGCATCTTTGATGCTTATCAGACGATATCTGGCATGTATAGCACATAGCCTGATGTGCAGGCAGCAGTAAAATAAGTGTTCTACCTTCATATGAATGATGTAAACATGGGACATGCATAGAATGCGTGTCGCTTTCGAAACCAGAATTATATGCTACAACATCAGTTATATAAACATACTGTTGTTGAATTACTCACGGTTATACAGCGAGCTAACGAATCGATATTGCTTGATAGTGACATTATTATATAGTTCGTACTTTCGCTTTATTCCTGAACTAGTGTTGGAAATCATACTAGTAAAGTTTTGATGTCAAACTCGTGGCTCTGAAAGTCTGAGTAGCTGCCTGGATCAGCCTAAGGTGGTCAAATCTGAATAGATTTCTAGCTGTGTTTGCATGGGGTCTAATTTTGGTAACATTTGATGACGTGTAATCCTTTTTTAGTGATTGTTTCTTGAGACTGCTGCTAGTGACAGGTTTTTTTTTCCATTTTGAACTTCTCAATCTGTGAAGAAAATCATAGAGATCAATCGATACATGACTGGAGGCGCTGCAGAATACCAATTTTGGCACAGAAATTTGGGCATCAAAGGTACACCTACTGTTGTTAATTACTCTTATTAGCTTACTTTTTTGCGAGTGTTCATTTAATGCATGACTATTATTCACGAAAAACTGATTATATCATGTTTCTAAATTTCCTTGTGTTTTTCGTTATGCTATTCCTTTCAGTGTAGTCTGCATGAACTAGCAAAGAAGCGAAGAATTTCGGTGACAGGTGTCTCAAAGCTGTTGGACATTAATATTCTGTATCCCTACAAGCGGATGGGACTTTCGCTAGGAACTATGATTGGTGGATAGGATGAAATGGTATAATCGTTCGAGGGTGTTTCTAATTCATTTCACCCTCTTGCCTCTATTTCTCACCATTTGACCATTTGCACCACAAGGAACAGGGCCGTGGTCCATACTACATTGATGCCGAAGTAGCCAGGCTTAGAGGTGATGGGTTTTCTGTTGGATCAGGATCATCACACGCATATTATTCAGTTGTAGTCATGATAATTAAGGTTTTACATATTTTAAATAACTGATATTACTCCTTGAAATTGCTGTCAAATAAAAGATAATCTTAAGCTAATCCCTGTGATGACAAATGACCATTACTTCATTTAAGTGAGTTAGTTAACACTACACAAAAAAATTGATTTCAGTCTAGTTAAGTGATACCATGGAGATATAGTGGAAATTGAAAATTATATATTTAAAACTAAAAGTCACTCTCATGTCAAGAAATTATATTGTTTATCTTGCGCCTGCTCTTACTAGAGCTGAACCAGCTGTGTAAAAATTTCTAGCTTAAGAATACCTAACAACAAAATAGCCTTGCATTGAGAGGTTTTATGTTTTTTTCCATCAGAAGATGTTATTAAAGTATTGGCCTTCCTAAAAACATGTACGACCCAAATTAGTTACGTATTATCAGCAACAAATAACTTGCATTGTTTCAGCGGACTTCACCAATTCGGTAACGAGATCGAGACCATAATGGCCAAAATCGACGAAATCAATCGACGACGAAGCACCTACGGAATCCAGGACCTGGGCGGAGAGCCGGGGAGGCAGATCGACAACACAGTGCGGGAACGAAGGCGGGTCGTTCTCCATGCCCCAGATCCTGACCTTGTCTGTATGGACGAGGAGAAGAACAGAATCCTAGAAAATCTGTTGGACGGGAGCAGGAAGAAGCGGTCGGTGATCTCGATTGTGGGGATGGGCGGCCTCGGGAAGACCACTATTGCTAAGAGAGTCTTCAACGAAGCAAGAGCCAAGTTCGGTCACCCGGTGTGGATCGACGTCTCCCAGCAATACTCCGCTGTGGATCTCCTTGGAGACATTCTTTCGGAGGTCACGAAGCTCAACGTAAAGAAACTCGAGCAAATGACGAGGGCCGAGTATGAAGCGATGCTTTACCAGACCATGGGGGCGAAGAAATACTTGATCGTCATGGATGACGTGTGGGATACCGACGTTTGGAGAATGCTCAATCCGCATCTCCCAGACGCCCAGAACGGAAGCCGGGTGCTCATCACCAGCCTGTCCGTAGAAGTTGCCAGATCTGCGGATACATGTACCCCTCCCTACGAGCTGCGATTTCTAACCGAGTAGAGCTGGGAGCTCCTCTCCAAGAAAGCTTTCCCGAAAAAGGAGGATATCGAAGCATTTGTAATTTTTATTTTCAGATCATCAATAATTTTCGGACATCAAATAAGGAGAGGCTACCTTGGAGACTTAGTAGAAATTGAAAAGAAATATTAAAAGCTTAAAGTCACTCTCTCATGTCAAGGTTCAATCATCAATAATTGCCGACAGTCTTCAAGTAGGAGCATTTGATGGGGACAGCTAACCAGCTCTCTTGACGAAATTATTTTCTATTGGTTTCTTGATATGGTCAAGATATGGTGGCGTTGAAAAGAAGCGTTTGACCTTGTTGACCAATTTGTTGGCACGTGGGGTGGGTGACAAGATGTATCAACGATGGCCGACTTCCCACTCACCAATTCCTCGAGTCAATTCAGTTTTCAGTGTCTTGGAATTTATTTCTTAAATTAGTGGGTACGAGAAATCGTGTTTTCTCACATTTTTTGGGATTATCTTCTGTTTTAGCCTAAACTCACGCTTTCGTTTTATTCCCAGTAACAAAATAAAACATCAAGCTATATTTTTTTTTCTTATTGTTCTTCGCTCTTACATAGTTGAGAAGCCTGATCGGATAAGCATTTCCAGATCTGCCTGAGAAGAGGCGAAAGGCGGAGAGGGATGGCGGACGCGGCTCTCGGCTACGTCGTGCAACGGGTCGGCGACCTCCTCATCAATGAAGCCGTCTTCCTGTACTCGGTGAAAGATCAGGTGGAATGGGTCAAGGAGGAGCTCCAGGCGATGGAGTGCTTCCTGAAGGACGCCGACTCGAAGAGCAAGGGGGATGAAAGGGTGAAGAACTGGGTGAGGCAAGTGAGGGAAATCGCTTATCGGGCGGAGGACCTTGTCGAGTCCTTCGTCCTCGATGCCGATGGGAGACGTCGGAGGAGGAAGGGCTTCATCCGGACCATTTTGTGTTGCCGCCTTCCGTCCCCCAACGGCATCATCCTACTCCACCAATTCGGTGACGAGATCGAGGCCATACGGGCCAAAATCGATGAAATCAATCGACGAAGAGGTACCTACGGAATCCAGGACGTGGGCGGAGAGCCGGGGAGGCAGATCGACAACACAGTGCGGGAACGAAGGCGGGTCGTTCTCCATGCGACATATGCTGATCTGGTGGGCATGGACGAGGAGAAGAACAGAATCGTGGAACATCTGTCGGACAAGAGCAAGAAGAAGAGGTCGGTGATCTCGATTGTGGGGATGGGCGGCCTCGGGAAGACCACTCTTGCTAAGAGAGTCTTCAACGAAGCAAAATCCAGGTTCAGTCACTCGGTTTGGATCGATGTCTCCCAGCAGTATTCCGCTGAGGATCTCCTTGGAGAGATTCTTCTGCAGGTCAAGAAGACCAGAGAAGGGGAACTCGAGAAAATGACGAGGCCCAAGCGCGAGGAAATGCTTTACCAGACCTTGCTGGCGGATAACTACTTGATCGTCATGGATGACGTGTGGGACACCGACGTTTGGAAAATCCTCAGTCCGCATCTCCCAGACACCGAGAACGGAAGCCGGGTGCTCATCACCACCCGGTCCGTCGAAGTTGCCAGATCTGCGGATACATCTACCCCTCCCCTTAAGCTGGGATTTCTAACCGAGGAGGAGAGCTGGGAGCTCCTCTCCAGGAAGGCGTTCCCGAATCAGGAGGATATCGGAGTAGTCTGTTCAGAACCGTTGAGGGATGTCGGGAAACAGATTGCGAGGAAATGTGGGGGCCTGCCTCTGGCGCTGGTGGTGCTCGGGGGTCTGCTGTCGACGAAAGGTCCGTCACTTCGGGCGTGGAGGAGGGTCGCGGAGACACTAGTGTGGGAAACCAGCAAAGATGGCCGAGTGTGCTTGGATATACTGGCGCTGAGCTACGAGGACTTGCCCCGTCGCCTAAAGTGGTGTTTCCTTTATTTCAGTTCTCTTCCAGAGGACTTCGAGATTGAAGTCGACAAGCTGATTGGATTGTGGGTCGCGGAGGGGTTCGTCGAGCAAAGAGCAGGTGAAACACTGGAAGAAACTGCAGAGGATTACCTGGGAGAGCTCGTCCAGAGGTGCATGGTGATGCGAGATGTATCTGAGCTACGATGCCGGATCCACGATGTGCTGCACGATTTTACTGTTGCAGAGGCCAAGGAGGTGGGGTTCCTCGTCTCTCACGGGATTGGAGACGACCGTGGGGCCTCCCAACTGGATTCCTCCGTGCGGCGGCTTTCTCTTCAAGGGGAAAAAGCGTGGTGCTGGGACTCGCAGTCCACTCCAAGACTGCGCACCTTGCTGACGTTGGGAGCCCGTCGCAAATTCGGTAAAAATAGAACCTTCCCCTTTCTACATCTGAAACTGCTCAGAGTCGTCGATCTGGGGAGGACACGAATCGCCAAACTGCCAGAACAGGTTGGAGACCTGATCCATCTTCGATACTTGGGCTTGAAAAATACAAAGATAACGAGTCTTCCGTGTTCAGTGGGGAAACTTCGTCATCTACAGTGCTTGGACGCGGAGTGGACGGAAATCAAAACGATGCCCCGAGGTTTCTGGAAGATCGAGGCCCTACGCCAGGTCATCGTTCCCTTTCCAGTGGAGCCGGAGATGCTGGTGGCAGGCCTAAGCAACTTGCAGGTGCTCAAGAAGGTCCGGGCCGGGAGGTGGATAGATAGCTGCCTAGGGAGCCTTACCAGTCTCCGGGAGCTGCAAATAAGAGGCATCAAAGACTGTCATCATCCCGCGCTGTCATCTTGGCTACTGAAGTTGCCACGCCTGAAGAAGTTGGGCTTGCGAGGCGAGTCGATTCCAGATTGTCTGTGGACATCGTCCAGCTTTTCTTCCCTTCAGGTCTTATCCCTGACTGGGGAAGTGAGGAGGCCACCACAAGAATCAAGTTCTGGCGGCGACCAGTGGCCCCCCAATCTTACCCAACTCACACTAGAGTACGCCAGTCTGAGTCAGGACTCGATTGCGGCGCTCGAGAAGCTCCCTGAACTTACATATCTGTATCTAGGTGCTGGATCCTACGAAGGGAACGAGATGATCTGCTCCCGCGGCGGGTTCCCGAAACTGGAGTTCCTCGAACTTTTTGCACTGAAGAAGTTAGAGAGGTGGGTAATTGAGGCCGGGGCCATGCCCCGCCTGAGGAGCTTGTGGATCACCTACTGCAGAAAGTTGGCGATGCTTCCGGAAGGGTTGCAACAGATGGCTGCATTGAAGGAGCTCGATTTGACTGATATGTCCCCTGAAATCCGTTCGAGAGCTCAAAAGGAGGGAGAGGACTGGCCCAAAATCCAACACATACCTTCAATCACCATTACAGTCATATCGAGTGACGGCGAGGTCGTATACGAGCGTATTTCGGATTAAGGGCAGGATTGTCCTTCGTATCATGTAATATCTGTAAACCTGCGATAGCATGGGAAAACCTGCCTTCTCCATTTGTGCTTTGGGAGCATTGTATGATGTCAACGAGGATTGAACGTGTGTTCTCCATTTGCTTCTGAATTCGATCATCCAACCTCACTATATCTGCCTAGTTGATGTGGGTCAACAACTTTCACTGTCAGGAAGAAACGAGTTTTTTTCCCCTCATAATTCGCGTAATCTGTCCTGATTGTTGGATTTCGAGATGAAATAACTTATCATTGTTAGAGAATGATCCATATACTATAATAAAAGCCAATTTCATGATTGGCAGTCCGTTTGAGTTGGATTTGTTGGTTATACATCTGTTAACATAAACCCAGATTTTGATATTTTCGCTGTGTGCACTGGGTTTCTAATGGTTGTATGACATAGCTACTCGTGAGGGAGCATGTCGAGGAATTATCTCACATTAAACATGCCCATTCCCAATTATTTTTAAGTTGTGGGTTTTACACTCCATCAACAATTATTTCCTTGAACTATGTACTGCTATGTCAATAAATAATAGATCGATAACATTGGAGACAATTCTTATTCAAGAGAAAGTCAACAGAAAGATTCGATTCGGATTTCGTACAGCCGGTGCTGCTGCTGCTGCCTGCGCGTAGGGCCTCCAGCTTGCTGAAGTTATATTGACTAGGAATTTCCATCTGCCATGGTGTTGTGGGAGGGAGCTGCTGGCCTCACTCGCATTAGGGCCAAGGGGAGTTGTCCGATTGCCACGTGTGGAAAAACGGCCCGGTAAGAATCGGATACGACACTTGGCAAACGAGTGATCATCCTGCTCGTCGATAGCTCGATGGACAAGCACGATTCTCAACAGTACTTGAATGAAAGAAAACTCAGGGCTGGGCCAGGGACCGAAAATTCTCAAGGCTCTAATCATCGCGCGAGCAAACTGCCCACACGAGGGGAGGATTAGGGCCTGGTTTGTGGACGTAATTATAAACTAGCCTATGCATACATGAGGCGGAGATGGCGGGATGATGACAGGCTTTGATCCGTGATGGTAAGGCTCCCTACGCAGCTACCTATCCAGCTCCCGGCCTGGACCTCCTTGAACACCTGCAAGTTTCTTAAGCCTGCCTGCTCCACCTGCCGTAAGGAAGCAGTGAGCCGAATATGGTGGAGGCAGGCTTAAGAAACTTGTAAATGCTTGATGGGTACCTAGGGTCGATGGACAGAAGGTGGGGAAGGGAGGGAAGACGATCACCACAGAAAGGAAGAAGGATAGAGATAGAAAAAGAAGATTAAACAGAAATAGGACGTAGATTGGGCTCCGAAGAACATTGAGTTGGTTGGGGGCGTTCGAGTGTTGCCCCGCTCTCCCTCAGCCACAGCTGCCCTTCCTAAAGTCCTCACTTGAAGGGTTTGTTTGGTCCTTCAAGAAGGGGTGCTGGGTCCTTTGGGCCTCTTTTCAAGGCTGATAGTAATTAGGCCCACTGGGCCTCAACTGTGTGCTCAAGGAGGTCCGGGCCGGTGCTTATTTCATGTTTACCTTCAAACATCAGTTGGTTAAAACTGATTTCTATTCCATTTCTAGCCCGCCCAGTGCTTGCAAGAGAATCTCATCAGAATACTACTACTTTGATAGGCAAGTATTGTCTCAATCCCCCCCCCACACAGCTCATAAGATTGTCTCTTGCTTATTCGTTTTTGTTAGGTTTATTGACCTTGTTCTTCTTTTATTTATAAATAAGAGTTCCTTGTTCTTTCCTCGGGATGGTAGAAGCTGCTCTTCTGTTTTGTCGCACGAAACCATCTGGCGCAGTTGGCGGGGGAAGCAAAGGAGCAGAATCCAGCTTCTATTGCTACCGTGACGGTGAGTAGCCGATGGAGGGGGGAGGTCCACGCCTAGATTTGTAAATGATAGCCTCGGACTGGCTGAAATGAAGTCATCAATTAGTATAATAGAAAGATTTGGAAGGAGAAAAAGGAGGCATAATGATTCAAAGGAAGAATCTGAACTATATATTGCTCATGAAAAAAAAAGTGTCGAATGGAACTGAAGAAAGCAAGGGCAATCATACTCCAATTGCATCTGGCACCTATGCTCATTGTTTGGTGGTGAAAGCCTGAGAGAATTCGGCAATCCCTCTCTGTTCAGGTATGTTTCCACATGTTGAATATACTAGCTCTTTGTTTGTAATACTTGGGAGGTCATCCTTAATTTATTGGTTATATGATTGCTGAATGTTATATTCATTTTGATTTGACGGCAATCTCGATCTTATTTGATTGTGTTTGATGGAAAGGAAAAAACCTACTTGGAATATGTTGAAATGCCTTGAAAATAATGTGCTAATCACACGAAGTTTCTCACATCCTATTTATCCGATCCATTTCTGAATTATACTTTTGTGACAATAATGTTTTTTTTCTTGTAGTGTTCTTCTGGAAACTATATCTAGGCTGCGAAATTAATATGGTCGGTTCCTCCCACTACATGAAATGGGTACATGAGAGTTAAATAGTCATTCATAGCTCCTTGAGAAAAATAATAGTATGGACCATACTCATTTTAACATTGTCCTGACCTGGTGAATGATCCCTGTTGCCTGTCATGATGATGCCAATTTATCTCGTTGAATGAGTCTTGGTTTATTAATTATTTCTCATTGACGATGCAAAATCATGTAAAGTTTGTGTTCCACATTTTATTTGATGAATAAAGATAGGCCTATCCTTTGCACTTATTATTAGATCTGTTACTTGAATGGAGATAACTTCGTCCATTCAGTTCTGTCTAAATTTTGTGATTCAAATTCCAGAAAATAGAATCTTTAGTGTTAGTCTGGTAATTGAAGTGTTATATATGAAGACAACGAAATTCTAGCTTATAATTGTATAATTTGTATATATATTTATACAAATGCTGGAAATTTCAGTTTTCCTCTGCATACAATCAGGGAAATTAGAGTTTGTCTTGGTAAAATTCTTGCATGGACAGCACAATTTTTTTTTTTTGTGGGGGGTTTTTTGATTTTTGTTTTGGTAAATAAGTGTCTCTTCAGAATCTGAGACATTTTCTGTTTAGCTCCTAGCGTCTTTCCCTCTGTTTTCATGTCTTTCAGTTATACAACTCCATTCAAAACGGGTTTCTTACTTCCAGACTGGCAACCTGTATGTCTCTGTTGTTGTTATTCTTAGTATGTCCTTGGAAAGTTATTTTAATTCTATTATATGGGGAGAGATTGCCATTTTTATGTTTTGTTCTGTGACACAGGAAGAGGAACCAAGGGTTCAGGGTATGCATAGACGTGAAAAGCTTCAGCGCTGAAGGCAAGTTTGTCTTGAGAAATAGATTTTTGTGACGGGGAGAAAACTTATAATGCTCTCTGCACGCAGGGAAGACAGAAAAACAAGAATGCATGAATTTGATCAAAAGGATCGAGAAGTTTGGAACTGAAGGCACTACAACTTTTATTCACTTCTTAGAATTTTCACTGTTGATCGTAAACTCATGCATTTATTATGGTTCATTCACTGTTATTCTAACATCAATCATATTACCCAAATGTGCTGTAAAAAATTGAATAATAATATTTTTTGCCACAAACATTTACTGTTCTCTTAATTCCGTCTACTATGTTGCATTGGGTTGGCTTTTGGAAATACTATTATACCAATTTAATGATAAAACTTAGTTGTTTTTTTCCTTGTGTGTACGCAGTTCCATATGTGAATGGGACTCATTAGTCCGCTCTTTCGTAAGATAGAAATTAGAAAACGGCTACGTTTCTTCTGTCATTTTACTGTGGAAAAGTTCTTCCGGTTCTTAGAAGAGTCAACCTCCTTCCTCCTACGGAAATCGAAATGATGTCGAGAGGTGTCTGGAAGATTGAGGCCTTATGGCAGGTCCTCGTAGAGAAACCAGTGGAGCCGAATATGGTGGAGGCAGGCTTAAGAAACTTGTCAATGCTTGATGGGTACCTCGGGTGGATGGACAGAAGGTGGAGAAGGGAGGAAGACGATAACCAGAGGTAGGACAAAGTATAGAGATAGAAAATGAAGATTAAACAGAAGTAAGAAATAGATTGGGCTCCGAAGAACCTTGAGTTGGTTGGGGGAGTTGGAGAGTTTCCCCTCCCGCTCTCCCTCAGCCGCAGCTGTCCAATATCATCTCGATGCCCTTCCCCTCTACGACCTAAGCCCTAATATTATTTTCCTTAAGTAGAGAAAAGACCAAGATAGCCTTTATAAAGTCCCCACCTGGAAGGGTTTGTTTGGTCCTTCAAGATGGGGTGCTGGGGGTCCTTTGGGCCTCTTTTCAAGGCCGATAGCAATTAGGCCCACTGGGGCCAAACTGTATCCTCAAGGAGGTCGGGGCCGCGAGCTGGATAGATAGCTGCAAATAACACGGATCAAAGGCTCGGATATTTGTTCGGGCTGTCACCTTTCTTTTCCTTGATTTATGCATCATTTTGTCATTTTAAACTCCTATCAGTGAGTGCTTTGAGAAGCATCTTATTCATCTTGAAACCAATCCACAATGCAAAGATTGTTGTTTGCCTGTGTTCTTGTGTATATGCTCATGGTCCTCTAGCATTTCAATGTTTATAATAGACTCTGCCTCATTTCAATATTATTGGGCTCGTCCCTACAGAATTGTATACTAGCTCATACTTGTATGAAATAACTTAATCTCAAACACTTACTTCTTAATGTATTATTTTAATGGAAATTAAGTTTAATGATGTCTTAATCTACATGATATAAATATGTATGTTTGCATTGACATGAAATCCAATCTGATCACTTTAGCATTCTAGATCTGATTGAGTGAAGGTGAGAGAAAGAGATCTATGACACGAAGGAAATCCTCCAAACTAGAGAAGTCATATTCAAATTTAACGGAAAAACTTTGGGCGTTCCAAAACTTGTTGAAAGATGGCGACTCAAAGAGAATGAAAGAGGAAGGAACGAAGAACTAAACGAGGGTTGTTGGAGACACCATTTATTAGTGAAGGACATCTTCAAGTCCTTAAGTCCCGATGCAGAGCACAGGTGGCGAAGGACAACTTCAATGAAGGTGTCTATTGACAATATGTAGTTTTCTAAGGAAAAAGAATAGTCAATCATCCATTCATTAAGTTCCTTTGTGTGTCACTAGCCAATCTAATAGGCTATTGCATGGTATACCAACTTGTGCTCTTAAGTCTCTACATCTTTCCATATTGGAGAAGTTGAGATTTCAATCTATGACTCAGATCTAGTAGTCATTGCTTGATTAAAGTCACAACATAAATTTGGTTTAGAAAAAGTCAACCATTGGGTAGTAAACCACCATCGCATGTTGTTGTTACCCAGCTGTATTCATGACCATTGAGGCTTCACCGATTTTAGATGTTAGATGAGGCGGTTAGTTTTTAAATACATTCCTTAAAATTATTTTTATTTATTATTTTGAAATAAAAGATAGCCATAAGGTAATCCTTATGAAACGTATGACCATTACTTCATTCAGGTGAATCAGTTAAAACTGCACAAAAAACTTGATTTCAGTCTAGTTAGGTGATGCCATGGAGATTTAGTGGAAATTGAACAAAAATATTTAAAACATAAAGTCCCTCTCACGTCAAGGTCACTTTGCATTCCCTAATTTTAACACGACTGGTCAAGCTCCAGCTAGACCAGTCGTGTTAAAATTTCTAGCTTAACACTGGCTAACAACGAAATAACCTTGCATTGGGAGGTTTTATGTTTTTTATCAAAAGATCCATTCAAATATTGGCCTGAATCATTCGTTTACTATTAGCAAAAAAAAAAACCTGCTTATTATTTGGTTGCCTGAGAGCGTATTGTTTCAAACTAAGTGATGAGGCCAAGGCTACTAAAACTCCCCGAGTTCACTACTTTTTTTGGCTAATTTTGTTGGAATTAACAACTCAAGTTCAACATTTCTAGCATGTAAATAATATTTAAACGGTAAAAAATTTATAAAAAACATTGCATTTAGGGCAACAATGTCATACATTTTCACGGAACTTGTTGGATTTAGTACAAAATTACTGGGCAAGTTTAATCATCAATAATTGCCCACAATCTTCAAGTATGAGCATTTGAAGGAGAAAGCAAACCAGCTCTCAAGGTGAAATTACTTTCTAACGATTTTTTTGTTATGGTCAAGGCATGTTGGCTATGAAAATAAGTGTTGACCAATTTGTTGGGATGTTGGTGGATGAGGTGTATCAATGATAACCGACTTCCCATTCACCAATTCCTTGAGTCAATTCAGTTTTCAGCGTCTTGGAATTTATTTCTTAAATTATTGGTCCGATAGATCGTGTTTTATCACAATTTTTGAGTTTATAATAACAAAAAAAACATGAAGCTATTCTTTTTCTTATTGTTCTGCACTCTTACATTATGCCCAGTTGACCAAGATATTATCCTTCGGGCACTCATCGACCACAGAAGGAGCATAGGTGAGAAGTCTGATCGGATAAGCATTTCCAGATCTGGCAGAGAGCAGGCGAGAGGAGGAAAGGGATGGCGAACGCGGTTCTCGGCTACGCCGTAGAACGGGTCGGCGACCTCCTCATCGATGAAGCGGTCTTCCTGTACTCAGTGAAAGATCAGGTGGAGTGGGTCAAGGAGGAGCTCCAGGCCATGGAGTGCTTCCTGAAGGATGCCGACGCGAAGAGCAAGGGGGACGAAAGGGTGCAGAACTGGGTGAGGCAAGTAAGGGAAATCGCTTATCGGGCGGAGGACCTTGTCGAGTCCTTCATCCTCGATGCCGATCGGAGGCGACGACGGAGAAAATGCTTCATCCGGACAATTGTGCCTTGCTGCATTCCACCCCCCTACGACTTCATCATTCTCCACCAGTTCGGTGAGGAGATCGAGGCCTTAAGGGCCAAAATCCGCGAAATCAATGAACGAAGAAGCACCTACGGAATCAAGGACCTGGGCGAAGAGCCGGGGAGGCAGATCGGCGAGACAGTGAGGGAACGAAGGCGGGTCGTTCTCCATGCCTCAGATTCTGATCTGGTCGGCATGGACGCGGAGAAGAACAAAATCCTGGGACATCTGCTTGACGGGAGCAGGAAGAAGCGGTCGGTGATCTCTATTGTGGGGATGGGCGGCCTCGGGAAGACCACTCTTGCTAAGAGAGTGTTCAACGAAGCAAGAGCCGACTTCGGTCACTCGGTGTGGATCGATGTCTCCCAGCAGTATTCCACTGAGGATCTCCTTGGAGACATTCTTCGGCAGGTCACGAAGCTGGGAGAAGAGGAACTCGAGAAAATGAAGAGGCCCAGGCGACAGAAGATGCTTTACCAGACCTTGCAGGCGGAGAAATACTTGATCGCCATGGATGACGTGTGGGACAAGGAGGTTTGGAGAATCCTCAGTCCGCATCTCCCAGACGTCCAGAACGGAAGCCGGGTGCTCATCACCACCCGCTCCGTCGACGTTGCCCGAGCTGCGGGCACATCTACCCCACACTACGAGTTGCGATTTCTAACCGAGGAGGAGAGCTGGGAGCTCCTCTCCAAGAAGGCGTTTCCGAATCAGGGGGATATCGAAGCAGTCTGTACAGAACCGCTGAGGAACGTCGGGAAACAGATCGCGAGGAAATGCGGGGGGCTGCCTCTGGCGCTGGTGGTGCTCGGCGGTCTCCTGTCGACGAAAGGTCCGTCAATCCGGGCGTGGAGGAGGCTCGCGGAGACACTCGTCTGGGAAAACATCGAGGAAGGCCGAATGTGCTTGGATATACTGGCGCTGAGCTTCGACGACTTGCCCCGTCACCTGAAGTGTTGTTTCCTTTATTTCAGTTCTCTTCCAGAGGACTTCAAAATTGGTATCGACAGGCTTATCGGATTATGGATCGCGGAGGGGTTCGTCAAAAAGAGATCAGGTGAAACACTGGAAGAAATTGCAGAGGGTTACCTGCAAGATCTCGTCCAGAGGTGCATGGTGATAGTTGTGCGAGATGTATACGTTGACCCCTGGGTAATACGAATGCCAGAATTTGTGCTAAGATGCCGGATCCATGATCTGTTACACGATTTTACAATTGCAGAGGCTAAGGAGCTGGGCTTCCTCGTCTGCGACGGGATCCGAGACGACGGGGGCGCCTCGCAACTGGATTCCTCCGCGCGGCGCCTTTCTCTTCACGGGGATAAAGCGTGGTGCTGGGACTCGGAGTCCACCCCAAGACTGCGCACCTTGCTTTCGTTCGGAACCTATCGCAATTTTGACATAAATAGAACATTCCCCATTACAGATCTGAAACTGCTCAGAGTCGTCGATCTGGAGTGGGCATCAATCGACGAACTGCCAAAGCAAGTTGGAGACCTGATCCATCTTCGATACTTGGGCTTGAAAAATACAAAGATAACGAGTCTTCCATCTTCAGTGGGGCAACTTCGTCGTCTACAGTGCTTGGACGTTGAGGGGACGGGAATCAAAACGATGCCGAAAGGTGTCTGGAAGATTGAGACCTTACGGAAGGTCCTCGTTCCCTTTACAGTGGAGCCGGAGATGGTGGATGGAGGGTTAAGAAGCTTGCAGGTGCTCAAGCTCGTCCGGGCCGGGAGGTGGATAGATAGTTGCCTAGGGAGCCTTACCAGTCTCCGGGAGCTGCAAATAACAGGCATCGAAGGTTGTCATCATTCCGCGCTCTTATCTTGGCTACCGAAGTTGCCACGCCTGAAGAAGTTGCTATTGCAAGGCGCGTCGATCCCGGATTGTCTATGGAGACCGTCCGGCTTTTCTTCCCTTCAGGTCTTATCCCTGATTGGGACGGTGACGAGGCCACCACAACATTCAAGTTCTGGCGGCGACCAGTGGCTTCCCAGTCTCACCGAACTCATACTAAGCTACACCAGTCTATGTCAAGACTCGATTGCGGCGCTCGAGAAGCTCCCTGAACTTACATATCTGTTTCTTGGTCATGGATCCTACGTAGGAAAGCAGATGCTCTGCTCCGGCGGCGGGTTCCCACAACTGGAGTCCCTCATAATTGATTCACTGCACAAGTTAGAGAGGTGGGTAATTGAGGCCGGGGCCATGCCCCGCCTGAGGAGCTTGAAGATCTACGACTGCACAAAGTTGGAGATGCTGCCGGAAGGGTTGCGACGCATGGCTGCTTTGAAAGACCTCACGTTGTTGAATATGTCCCCTGACATCTGTTCTAGAGCTGAAAAGGAGGGAGAGGACTGGCCCAAAATCCAGCACATACCTTCAATCACCATTTCAGCCATAAATCCTTATTTGCTCTGACCGGCGATTCCACGGGCAGACTCTCGGGAAAACCTCAGATATGGGACTAACCATGTGGATACCCCCTTTCCCCCACTTTTCTTTGCACATAATACAACACATCCGATAACCATTTCAGGGTCACAGTGATAGAATGTAATATCTCTAAATCTGTGATACATGGGGAAAACCCATTTGTCATATTGATGCAGCACGATCCCACTCGCCATTGAGTGAAGAACGTGGAGCCGTTCAGGATAACTAGAGAGGCATGACGTGGAGGACGTGGATCTCATTGATGACTTAGCCATCCACCAAGCACACCGCGTCACAAATGCATTGAAGCGGACGATTTCCTTAAATACGCTTTGTTCGTCTTGAATTTATTTCCATATTGCTCTTGAGTGTCACAAGAGCCATGAAAGCTCTACCCCAATGCTGTACGGCACCTGCGGACCAGCTGCAGCTTGATGTAGCGCCAGTACACATGCTAGAGAACAATGCCATTGTATAGAATTACTTCCGAATGGATAAAGGTGTTAGAGCATAACTGTCCATGGTTGAAGAGGTGAGCTTGGGATCAAGGGTGACAATCAAGAGAAAGCCAATAAGTCCATGTTTTTTATTCCATGGAATTTGCTTCTGAATTCGATCATCCAACCTCACTATATCTACCTAGTCGATGTGGGTCAACAGCTTTCACTGGTTAAACGTTAGATGTGCAAGGAAGAAACGAGTTTTTGTTCCCTCATATTTCGTGTAATGTATCCTAATTCTTGCATTTGGGGATGAAATAATTTATTATTGTCCGAGAATGATCCATACTATAATAAAAGCTAATTTCATGATTGACAGTCCGTTTGAGTTGGATTTGTCGGTTATACATGTGTTAACATAAACCCAGATTTTGATCTTTTCGTTGTGTGCACTGCGTTCCTAATGTTTGTATGGCATGACTACTCGTGAGGGATCATGTCAAAGAATTATCTCACATGAGAAATAATGGTTAAATAGATGGGTAGAGACTGCTAATTTCCAATTATTTTTAGTCGCCTGACTGTTTCGCACTGATAGAAAATATAGGTTTTACACTATGAATGATTTTGAGGGAGAATGCATGTACGATCTTTTTGTCTTTGCTTTGTATAAAGAGAATGCATCTTTGATGCTTATCAGATGGTACCGGTCGTGTACGGCCAGCACACGTAGTCTTATGTGCAAGCATCTTTGAATGTTGTGAGCATGTTCAAAACTCTGAAAGTCAGAATGACTAACTGGATAAGCGGAAGTTGATCAAATCTGTCTTTGGATGATGTGTCCCGGAATCGGCTGATTGTGCACACCATGGGAAAAATCTGAGTATATTTGTAACTCTGGTTGCATGGAGCTTATTTTTGTGACATCTGATGACGTGTGGCGTTTTTTTAGTGGTTGTTGCTTGGGACGTTCGGGAGTTCCCCCGCTCTCTTGCAGCCGCAGCTGCAGTTCAATAATATCTCGATTCCCTTCCCCCTCTAAAACCTAAGCCCTAATCCTCTTTTCCTTGAGTAGTGAAAAACCATTCTACCCTCCATAAAGTCCTCACTTGGAAGGGATTGTTTGGTCCTTCAAGAGGGGGTGCTGGGGATCCTTTGGGCCTCTTTTCAAGGCCGATAGCAATTAGGCCCACTGGGGCCTAACTGTGTGCTCAAGGAGCTTGGCAGTTGGGCAGTTGGGCAGTTGAGGTTGGGGCCATGCCCCGCCTGAGGAGCCTGAAAGAGATAAGTTCCGGACGGGTTGCAACACATGGCTGCTTTGAAGGACCTCGATGTGTGGGGTTTGTCACCTGAAATCTGTTATAGAGCCGAAAAGGGAAGAGAGGACGCCCCCAAAATCCAACACATACCTTCAATCACCATTATATGACTTCGGAGTGAATTTCGGATTAAGGGCAGGATTGTCCGTTGTCATCATGGAATAGTATCTATAAGCCAGTGATAGCATGCGGAAACCCGCCGTCTCCATCTGTGAGGAGGTTGCACTGTGTGACGTCGACGAGGATTGAATGTGTTCTCTGTGTGTGTGTGTGTGTGTGTCTCTCTCTCTCTCCCTCTCCTCTCTCTCATGTTTCCATTAGTCTTCTACTATGCAAGGACGATGACTCTAGCTCGAACACCTCAAAAGGCGGCTCTTGGTGGGGTGCCGAAGGCGGGAGAGAAGAGGTGATTAGGCTCAGATTGGTCAACAGTCTGACTTCGGTAAATCACCGCCGATACAATATGAACTGTCGGAAAATCAAAAACTAAGAAAAGTCCAAAATTTAACCAAAAAACACTTTTTAAATGCAGAAAAATCTCACAGTAAATATAGACGACTAAAAAAAAAAGAATTAATGTTTCTATCATGGTAAAAATAAGAGAAATATTTCCATAAAAATCTTTAAAGCAAGGTAAGAGACTTGAAGTCTAGAATATCAATAGAAAGATATAAGCGTCATAAGATAACAAGAATAACCAAAGACACTTTATTTCATTAAAGTGTTCATAAAAGAACAATGCCATGTACATAGTTCATAAGATCAACACTAGACACGGATTGTTCAAGTATGCTGTTCACAAGCCCACCCAAAGGACTCTAAACAATAAATAGCTTTCTACTCGAAGACGCTATAGAACAGAAATACTCTGAACCAGCAACATGCACATAAAACGTTTTCCAACCAAAATCTATGACCAAAAAATTTCATGTTTACCTTCGAATATCAGTTCCTTAAAACCTATTTCTATTCCATTTTTAGCCCGCTTAATGTTCATGAGCGAATTTCAACAAGATACTACTTTCATAAGCAAGTATTGTCTCATTCCCCCATACAGCTCATAAGATTGTCTCTTGTTTATTTGTTTTTGTTAGTTCTTTGACCTTGCTGTTCAGTTTTCTCCCACAAAACCACCTGACGCAGTGGGTGGGGGAAGCAAAGGAGTAGAATCCAGCTTCTACTGCGACCGTGAAGGTGAGTGCATCTTCACGCATTAAAAAGATATCTACTGCAGCCGATGGGGAGGAGATAGGTCGAAGATTAGATTTGTAAGTGAAAGCCTCAAACTTGCTGAAAGGAAGTCATCAACTAGTATAATATAAATTTTTTAACTGTCTATAATGATTCAAAGGAAGACTCTGAACTGTCTATTGCTCGTGAAAAAAATGTGGCGAATGGACTTGAAGAAAGCAAGGGCAATCCTTTTCTTTGCATCTGGCACGGATGCTCCCTTTTTTGGTGGTGAAAATCTGAGGGCATTTAACAGCCACTATCTTCATGTTGTTCAGGCATGTATCCACATGTTGAATACTAGTTATTTGTTTGTAAAACTTGGGGGATCATCATTAATTTATTGGTTATTATTATCTCTTGATTGCTGAATATTTAATTCATTTTAATTATACAACCTCTTATTTCTTAGCTTAGTTCAAAAGTTTTCTAACCATTTGGGCATTTTAGAACGAGGTAGGAGAAACTGATTGATCAGAACAAAAATCTCATCTTAAAAAGTGCTCTCATTTAGATCTTTTTGCTCTCATAAGCAACTCTAATGTAACAAAATGGGTCCACAGTCCAACTTTTTTAGAACTTTCACAGATTTTTTTGGCACATAATGAATTCATAACATGATCTCATAGAGTTGGTAATCTTCTGACAGAGCCTGCAAGTTAACCCATAAAAGAACCCAATCATAGGCTCTATGCCTACTATGACAACAAGTTGAAGGGGCTTTTATAGATGGTCATGGAATACAATTCTTCCTTAAAATTTCATGTCTATTTAATGAATTTTCAAGATTCAAATTCATGAGAAAAACTAGAAATACATGCATGTGGTAATTATTATTCTTCTTTTAGAAAAATAAGGAGAAAAATCTAAGGCTGCTATTTTTTACCTTATGAAAGAAAATTTCCTAGTTTTGAACGGTCAGCTGTCAAAAGTATTATGCTAGGTCCTAGCATGCAAGAATTTGTGATAATTTCTATTCCAATAAAGTTAAATATGCCAAAGGAAAGTATGAATGATAGCAACCCTACATTTTTCTTGTTTGCATCTTACTTGATTGTGTTTGATGGAAAGGAAGAACTCTATTTGAAACGTTTTGAAAGCTTCTTAGGTATCAATCAGATCAAGCGACATGAAAATTATTTTTGGATATTAGATTAACATTATTTGAAATGTCTTGAAATCAAGATCTGTGAATTAGAAGTCTGAAGAAATTAGTTCAAAACTTTTCATGCATCTCATTGACAATCAGAAAAATATTTCCTTAAGTCATTGTATAATAAAGTATGAGTATTGATATTCTTTTATCTACATTTATGTAGAGAAAAATATTAGTACATATACAATAAATAGGAGACTTAACAAACGTGATGTGGTTTATTTTCAGTCTGTTTTAAGAAAACTCTACATACAATGCCTATAGTGTAGGCTATTTAATTGTGTAAGGTACCAAAATAACCCAATCAAATAATTATTGCAAATATTGAGAAGGTGATGGTAATTACATGAAGTTCCTCATATGAAAGAATTATCCTCTTTATCAAAAAGCTGTCTCCCATCCTATTCATCCAATCCATTTCTGAATTAGACTCTTTGTAATAATACCTTTTTTTTGTGGAAAATGTTTTTTTGAAAACTAGATATAGGCTGCCAAATTGATGTGATATGTTCCTTTCATCACATGATAAGGGAATATGAGAGTTAACTGGTCATAGATCCCTCAGAAAAATAATAGTATCGACCACACTATTTTAACATTGTCCTAACTTGGTGAATGGTCCATGTTCCTCATCATGATGATGCCAATTTGTCTTGTTGAGTGAGTCTTGGCCTAGTAATTCTCTCACATTATGGTGCAAAATTATGTAAAGTTCGTCTGATTCTTAGTGTTCCACATTTTATTTGATGGATAAAGATAGGTCTATTCTTTAGATTTATTTGTATAATTTGAATGGAGATAACTTCATTCAATTAAGTTGTGCCTAAATTTCTGATTCAAATTCTAGAACATAGAATCTTAAGTGTTACTCTAAGAACTTTAAGAATGTTAAATATACAAAACGACTTAGTTACAATGTACACGACCTGATCTGTACTAGGCTGATGTCGAAGGAGGTAGGCTTAAAGGAAAAAGTTTTTTAGGATCAGGATCACTGTACACATATGGCATCATGGACAACAATGGGTATGCCTCTAGCTGCCCTTACCACTGATATGATTATATTTATCAATATATACACTCCATCAACAGTTATTTACTTGAACTAGATCCCACTATGACATGACAATTGAAGGAAGTGTAGAAGTGGCTTGACAGGCCATCTATCATGCCACATTTTTAGATGGAGTTAGTAGTTGAGATGCTAGTGGTAATATTTCTTCATTCTCCACCTAGTCTTCCTCGCTGAATATGTAGACACCTAAACTATGTGATGATTTTATTGAGAAATAAATTTTTATCTAATTCCTATCTTGCTAATTGGTTCCTTTGATATTTCTCCACATGCATGTTAGTTGCTTGCATATTTTATCTACTGTTAGAAAGGTTCACTTAATATATCCATTATTTTTTGCATTAGGTAGCCTAATTATTTATATTTTTGATGCAAAGTCATCAACAAGTCAATTGCAAACTGAGGGGGATATGGCTGAAATATCCAACATTGAAAATATAAAGCAGAATTCTTGTGTTTTTATTGTGTTGTATATTTTTATAAACCTACATTAATTAGGAGAATGTATCTGCTCCTAAAATTCTATTTTCTTTAATTTATTTCAGATTGAATTCAGCTGATGCCAACATTGTACAAGCAATCAAGTATAGTAAGTGACGTCATGGATTGGTGCCTTAATTCAATGGCCCATTTGAGGTTGTAGAGTGGTAGGATGGTTTGCCTATCAACTCAACTTGTCAAGACAACTTGTCATCTAGTTGGTCTTCCATGTATCCCTTCTAAAAAAGTATGTGGTCAATGTAGACAACATGGAGCACGACCAATCACACTGAGCACCACTTATAGTGCATGCTCAATGCTTCGAGAAGATTGAAGCTATATTGGACTGGCAAGATGACAACCAAGGAGACAAGTTCAAATGTCACTAGCACATCTACTTTTTGGTGAAGTAGTAGGGTATAGCCCTCAAGGACAAGACATGTGACCATGATATCAACCTATGGTAGTCAAAGATTGGTTAATCAGTATCTTGACAAACACCCTCCAATGAGGATGTCAGATTCATCACGTGGAGGAGGATGTGACACTTTCAGAACTTTCCGAGTGGTTTAAAGGTCAAGAGGCCATGTGAGATGCACATAGACAGAGGTAGGCAGGCATCTCGCATGCGCAGTGGGCCACACAAGAATGTACGAGCAAACAAGGGAAACTCGAATATCATGAGTCTCCCACATCTGGAATGGCTCCTCTAGATTTATGAGAGATTTGTGACAGATGGAGAAAGGCATCTACATGAGGAAGGGGGAAGAATGAGTTAGGTCAAAACAGAGAAGGTTCTTTAGATCTCTCCCTCTATAAAAGGTAGGAACTCCACTTGCTAGTGAAGAAATGGGAAGGAGAGGAAGAAGAGAGAGAGAGCGAGTTGTATTGTGAGAGTGTGTGTGTGTCTCATCTATAGCAGAGGTGAAGCTCTAGAGCAAGCTTGGGGAGTGCTTGGAGGGAGTTGGGGTTGCTGTGGTGTGCCAGCAGCAAATGAGGAGTCGATAGAGAGCTGTGGAGAGTTGGATGCCAGGAAGTGAGAAGGGTGGTCATGTTGGGCTCTTCTCCTCCCCTATTATATGCCCCTCTTAAGATAACACAAGTACCTCAATGTTCTATTATCACAGTAAGGTATTAGAGAGTTTGGCAGGTGACGTGGAGGCTGCTTG